GACGACGGGCAAAAAAGTATGGAACAGCCGTTTGCTGCTGCTTTCTCCGTCGCCACCCGCCACCCGCGGCAATCGTTACCCGGTCTCCACATGCTTCCTCTTCCTTCTCCACCCTCCACCCAGTCCAGCTCCTCACCACTGCTTCTTACTCCCAGTTCCTACTCACCCCCTTCACTTCCTTCCTTCCTTCCTTCCCCTCCCACTTCCCTCCCCCTCCTAACTTCTCCTACCATCTGCTTCTCCCCTCCATCTTTTATTTTCCTATCTATTTAATTTTACTGCTCACCTCCCACGTTTGCGGATACAGTAAGATTGATTGCTCAGCTGGCATTATCTTCTTTCGCCCTCTATAGTTGACACAAACCTGGCCTAAATGTATTTTTACAGTATCGCCACTGATACAGACGACGTACAAACTCCGACTTTTTCTCTATTAGCTGGCTGTTTGTATCTAAAGTCAGACGTATTTATCCGCGCCGAGTTTTGGCTATTGAGACAGAAATCATTTAAAAAGACTACTCGGAAGGTGTCTATGCCGACAACCAAGCTCTGCATCTCGTATGGGACAATGTTCACTTTTACCACACTCAAAGCAGTAGTAATTACTAAGCGGAGAGAGAAATATTGATAAGCTATATCTTCTGTGTATCAATAGTCACGGAAAAACAAAAGCATTGGTAACTTCCTCAAATTGTGGAGATGCACTTAGGAAGACGATGTCTTATGAAATCTTACAATGCAAAGTTTGCCAAAAGTTCGGTGGCATAAAGTATATTCAAGCCGAGCCCTTCTTCCCATGATATTCGAACTAGCTCACTCACCTGGAGAGCGAATCCTGCGTGTAATGTCTCACCTAACTCCTCTGCCTTCCTAAGAATAATTGCCCTTTGTAATTCTGATCTACTCGCAAATCCAATTATAGCCAATGGCCAGGCGACTATACTCCCCACACAACCATTATGAGCCCCCATTTTGGTATTGACTAAATACACTAGAGCCTCGTTTACCAAGCTCTCGATTTGTGGGTCGGTGTCTGGGAACTCTGGATGTAGCATTTTTAAAAGTATCAGTCGTCCTGCTATTGAGTACATGTAAGAAACATTCTGATGCATATGCAATCCGTAATCATCCGATTGTACCGCACAAAACTCTTTTAGTTCTTCGAGGAGTATTTGTGCTTCGGAGTGTACTGGTATTCTGCTCTGAAGTCTGAAGAACCAGGATAATTTTTCGATCTTGCTGAAAAGATCGATGCTTGCACCCATCACAGGGTTATTTGCCCAAACCTCAGATGCTCCTTTAAAAATTGGATTTTCCAACGCAGATTTGAATTGGTCAAGGGTTCCAATTGGAGGAAGAAGATCCAAATCTTCTTCTGCCGCAAAAAGGATCGAAACGACGTAGTTGTATAAAAAGGATTCCAACAGTACTCTTTGAATGGGTTGATGTGTAGCTTCAAGATAACTGGTTTTACTTTGCCGTTGTAACACCTTGAACCCCATCGAAACATGTCCACACACAGATCTACTGTTCGTTCCGATGTGTTTATCCAATAGCAACACCAATTGTACGGTGACAAACACAAGATTATCGAACCTGCCAGGTCCCTCTCCACTTGCTTGTTTTCGCCAATTTTTCAGGAACCGCTTATAATAATCAAATGCGCGTGCCCGCGAGTCATGATGATTCCAACTTTTGTCGATAGCTCCGCAAGCTAAAAATAGATCTATCAACTCTTGTCTCACAGTTACATAGGGAACAAAAGTTGATAATGGTCGAAGTTTTTCATGTGCGTGTGGGGGGCTAATGGCTGGAATAAAAGATACTGTGAAGCGATTCAAAAGTTCAATCTCATGGTTATCTAAGACCACCCCTGGAAGAATGTGGTTGTTTGGAAACACAAAACTCATAAGTTGAGTGTCTGATTGGGAAACATTGGAAGCAACAACCGTGGAAGATTTTAATGCTACTGTGGCGACTGAGTGCAAATTGTTTCCGCCTTTAAATCGTTTGTCCGAAAACAATTCCGGCCAGATACATTGACGTGCTGATTTGGAGCACCGTGAACAAACTGGTTGGCGCTCGTCGCATTTTTTCTTTTTGAGCTTGCATGCTAAACATCCTGTTTTAACACGTAACTTAGCTTTTGCCATGATTGATTTTAGATCGCCGAAAACCGAACTTTAAGTAGCGACCGCTCTCTATCCGCTACATTATCTTGAGTGGTGCACGATATTTCTTATCTGTTGGCAAAAAAGTGAGATTAATCTACTTATCTTAGACACTCGGTAATGATCTTCCCTGCAGCTAAAAGGAACTCGTCTTCATATCGTTGAGAAACCAGTTGAAGCGCAATTGGTGCTCCCTTAAAAACATTGGGAACGTACTTCTGGGACTCCTTCTCGTCTGTAAGGTTCCAGTACTCCGTCCGTGGGTCAACTTTATCGACGACTGGATCTTGATAGAGACCCGTTGGGAAGACCAGACCAGGCTGGTCTAACAAATTCCAGTGCGAACAGTATCCCCAGTAGCTTGTTGTGCCCAGCTCAGCAGCAACTCCAACATATGCGGGACAAAGGATAACATCAACCCCTCGCTCGATCATCAATTGTTGGTATTTATTTCTAAACTCATCCCTTCTGTAATTCAACTCTTGATTTTCAGAGACGGTCAGCTCGCCTTTTCCAAAACTGAAGGCCATAGCGGTCAGTGGATGGATTGGCTCGCCGGAAGCCCCCAAAAGCTTATTTTGAGCAGCACATCCGTCTGCGAAATACATGGAGCTCACAATTTCCCAGAGCTCGTCGCATTTATATGGCTCCCACTCCACAACTTTGACCCCTGCTTCAATGAGTTTTTTTTCAACAAATTCAAGTCCTCGCAAAATGGGTGGATGTGGCTTGACGACTCCATCAGACCTCATGATACCCACAGTCAACTGTTTGTCTACATCCACTTTTTTCCAAGGAATACGGTAAAGGGTGGCGTCCTGGAGCCATGGTTTGGCACCAACATAAGAAGACATAAACAGTTCGATATCACTCAAATGTTGTGCCAACGGGCCAATTGAAGATTTCACAGATTCTTGACCCCCACCGGCGGAAATACACCCTCTAGAAGAAACTCTGCCGGCTGTTGGACGCAATCCGTAGCATCCATTGAAAGCAGCAGGACTTCTGATCGACCCCCCAATATCTGTTCCAACGCCCATCACGGATCCTTTAAATCCAATAAGTGCGCCCTCACCTCCAGATGATCCGGATGGACTGAGCTTGCGGTTAAAACCGTTAAGAGTGACACCAGTGATATAATTACAGGAATCTTGGTGCATCAGGGATTGGGGTTCGTTCGTTCTTACAAACGGAATAGCTCCAAGACTTCTCAGGATAGAAACCGTTGTGGCATCTTCCGGGGTGACATTGTTCAACAGTGCCACAAAACCTGCGTTGGTGACTCTGTTTTTGATTGAAACGTGCTCCTTGATACTCATTGGCAGGCCATGTAAAGGCCCGATAGGTTTTCCGTATGTCTGTACATACTCATCAAGAAGTTTTGCTCTTTCATAAGCCTCGTCAGCAAGAAACTCTGTTGCACAGTTTAGAAGTTGATGAGCAATTGTCGCACGTTTCATGAATGCATCGAGAACAGTCTTGGCAGACAATTTTCCACTGCCCATCTCTAGCACTAGTGTGGATGCATCAGTTTCAGTGATTTTGAGCTCTGCGGGTGACATGACTTTTGCTGGAAACGTGGAGACATCAAGAACGGAATCACCAGGTAGATCAGACTGGGGCACGACAAAATCTGCGACCAAAGAATCTTTTAATCTTTTTTGGGCAAGCTCGATTTGGGGCCTCCAAGTCTCAAATTTGACTGGATCAGTGGTTTTGTCGATATAAGGGGGCATTGAAGTGTTTTGAGTAATGAAGTGCAATTTCGCAGAAAGCTCAGTTATATATCTGCACACACATCCCTTATCTATAAAAAAGTTGCCTAATAGAAAAACTCTCGGCACCTTTAGCATATCTGAAGAGTTATGTTTATCGTCCAATTAAAAACAATTGCGCCCTTTTGGAAAAAGGGGGCAAATCTTTTTTTTGAAGGCAGTCTCTACCAGCTGCAAAAGATTGACCAATTAAACATGGTTGCGCTTAGGATGGCGGCGGTTGTTTGAATCTTATCTAACATTATTCGGTACGATAATTCAAGTACATTGAGAAGCTCATATAAGTAGCAGACAAACGCATGAAGTGACTACCAGGCTGGTAAAGAATGAAAATTAACACGGAGGCCATTCCAGGGACTGTTCACCTGGTGGATTACGGAACCGAGGTGGGAGAGGCAATCAAAGAAGTGGTGCTAAGCCCAACGCCTAACACATTGGATCCCAACAACGAGCCACTTTTATGGAATCGTAACCGCAAATATCTGTCTTTGTTCTGCGTGATAGTCTACACTTATGCTGTTGGTGTAACATCTGCAGCAATCTACAGTGTCTTGGAAAATATTGTCGACAACACCAACTTGACTCTTGACAACTTGAACCAAGGAACAGGGTGTGCTTTTCTGTTTTATGGTTGGGGGTGCGTTTTTTGGCAGGCACTAGCTTTACAATACGGAAAACGGCCAGTTTATTTGTTCACGTGTTTGGCTACAGCCCTATTGTGTATTTGGACACCTTACACGAACGGCTATAGCGAATGGATAGGAAGCAAGATTCTGACCGGGTTTTTCGGTGCCCCTATCGAATCATTGCTTGAGATTTCTATCTCTGACATTTACTTTGAGCACGAACGTGGTACATACATGGGAGTATACGCCCTAAGTCTAGTGACTTCGAACTACATGGCTCCTTTGGTTGCTGGGTTTATTGCTGACGGTCAGGGTTGGAAGTGGGTGAGGTACTGGTGTGCTATCTTTGACGCAGTGTGCTTTGTTGTCCTGTTCTTTCTCATGGAGGAAACAAAGTACAGTCGTCCTCACATATCTGTCGACGATGAGATCCCACAAACAGCTGAGAAAACTCATGATGCGGATGCCCTCAAGATGGTGGCCCAAACCGAAGTCAGAAGTGTACAGCAAGACACCGATTCACAACTTCCTGTTCCTCCTGGGAAAACATATGCTCAAAGGTTGAAACTACTTGATAAGCCTCGTCCATTCATGATGCACAAAATTATCATCCGACAATTCGCTATGCTCAGGTTTCCTGGTATTGTATGGGCTGGGTTCCAATACGGCACATCTCTCGTTTGGTTCAATGTGTTGAATGCTACCGCGTCGTCCATTTACAGCTCGAGTCCATATAATTTTTCGACCTCGATCATAGGCGTCACTTACGCCTGTCCCATCATTTTCTGCTTCATTTTTTCCTATTACACTGGAATCACCGGTGACAAGATCCGGATTTATCTTGCAAGGAAATCGAATGGTGTTTCGGAGCCAGAGCATAGACTTTGGCTTATGTTGCTTTACCTTATAATATGTCCTTTTGCGCTCATCTTGTGGGGAGTGGGCGCGTATCATAAGGTTCATTGGTTTGGAATTGTGTTTGGTATGGGACTTCTTGGAGGAACAGCAACACTCGGATGTTCGTGCTCCGTTAATTATGTTGTTGAAAGTTACCGTGAACTTAGTGGCCAAGCGATGGTTCCCGTGATTCTAATACGGAACACAATGAGTTTTGCTATCAATTACGGTATTACTCCATGGGTGAGCAACCAAGGATTGCAGAACACGTTCATAGCAGCAGCAGGGATTTCTATTGCATGTATCGGGACTTTTGTTCCAATGATCTACACAGGAAAATATTGGAGGAACAGAACAAAGCTGGCATACTGGACGTATTTACAAGAAGCATTAGATACCGGTATGGCACATTGAGCTTGTCAACCAATGCGATGTGTATTTGTTCTGTTTGAATTAAGCCTTTGAAACGTCAGCAACTGGCGCTATTTGCTTTGCATCTAACATTTCTCCAAAACTGGAAGCGCCCAGGCGATAGTAGTTTTGTCCACAATCTTAGTTGCGCATATATCTGCAGCCTTGAATATCAAATCAGATTTGGTGAGTTACTCAAACTGGGTATTTCCGTCTCTCCTTATTGTATTACGACTACCAGTTAAGCTTTAGTGTATATTTTAAGCAAAATTTCTGTCCCAGGGTAACTCGTGAGCCCTGAAACTAAAGGTGGACTATCTCAGGAGATCATATTACTTTCTGGTTCAGTGAAGTCTTGTTGATCTTCCAAGGACCAAGAAATTCTTTTAACAGAATTTACGACCTAAATAGGAAATATTATTGATTAGAAATGATTAGTCGCGGCACCGTACTTTTTTCACCGCTGACTTGTGCATGACGCTCAAGTGAACCAGTAAGAAAATGAAATAATTGTATTGAAGTAAGTATTTTTTTGTGATACTTGGCCTAGAATGGGCAATGTATCATGTCACTCAAAAATGGTGTCAGAGACAACTTTAGCAGCCTGAAGCAGCTCCTCGTCTTTCCACCGTCGACCGGTTAATTGTAGTGCGATAGGAGCACCCTCAAAAACTTTTGGGTCATACAGGCCATGCTCATACGCCTCAATACTGCTTCGCTCCTTGTAAGTAGTCTTTGGATCAAGACGTTGATCACATTTTAGTCCTGAAGGAAATACAACGTTGGGAAAGTCTAATAGGTTCCACAGAGCGGTATAGCCCCAATAATGACACGTCTCAGGTTCAGGAGCCACATTCACATAAGCGGGGCATAGTATGTAGTCCACACCAAGCTGATTCATTGCAGTCAAGTAAACGTCTCTTTGCTTGTCTCTGTAGGCAGCCAATTGAAAAATGTCGTTCGCAGTTAACAGATCATCACCACAGCCGAATGACATAGCAACTTTGGACAATTCCAGAACAGGCTCACCCGAAAGTGCTAGTGCTTTCTTTAGGCCTTGATTTTCTCCAGCACTGTAAATAGTGTTACAACAGGCAATGAGGGATTCCACATTAAGTGGCGTCCATTCAATGACCTCTGCTCCAGCCTTTGATAACTTGGCTGCCGCATGCTTTAAAGCACGGAGAACTGGTGGAGTAGGGGCGACAACACCATCGTCATAGCAAATTGCAACTTTAAGTGTTTTAACACTTGGAGGTTCAAGTTCCCTCCAAGGTAACGGAATCAAATCGGCATCAATGTTCCATGGCTCACTATCAATGACTGTTTTCATAAAAAGCTCAATATCCTGAGGGGATCGCGCAATTGGTCCACTAACACAAATCACCCCTTCATTCTTGCCCTCTTTTGCGCTGAAGACTCCCTTCAAGGGCAATCTCTTTTGAGTTGGTCTGATTCCCCAAACCCCACAGAACGCTGCTGGGGAACGTATTGAACCACCAATATCTGCAGCAACACCAATTGCTGATCCTTTCATAGCAGTAATTGCTCCTTCTCCAGAGCTTGAACCACCGCTGGTAAGCTTGGTGTTATGAGGATTGCGGCAAATACCAGTAATGTTATTACCAGAACAAAGGTGCATGGTGGTTTGAGGCTCTGTAGTTCTCACATAGAACACTGCACCTGATTCATAAAGAATTTTGAGTAGAATTGCCCATTCGTCAACAAAGTTATCAATCATTCCAACATACGCTCCATTGCAACGTTTTCCCTTGTAAAGAAACTGCTCCTTAACTGAAATTGGAAGACCATGAAGGGGCCCAATTGGCTTACCCGTTTTCTTGTAGTAATCGTCAAGGTACTGTGCTCTTTCCAACCCCTCTTCTATGAACATTTCCATGCAGCAATTAACTAGCTGATGAGCAGCGGTTGCTCTCTTTGCAAAAGCCCTGGTTGCCTCAACCGAAGTTAAGTTTCCAGAGGTGAGCAGCTCAACTAGCTTGCTAGCTGACATCTCTGTAATCTCAATTTCCCGATCGCTCATAATTTTCTCGGCAATACGCGTCACATCGTATCCAAACTTATCAGGAACCAGACTATCTGGTAGTTTAAACTCTTCAAGAATCCCCTCCTGCAACCTCGATCTGTAGGCCTCCAATTGAGGCTGGAAGGTCTTGTAGAGATCGGGATCTTCCGTAAGGTTTTCGAATGGACCAAAAAGTGATGCTTTCATCTTGAAACTCTAACCAATTGGAATGGACAATCTGAGCAGTATTTATAGCTCAATTTCAGATTTAGTATGCTCCCAAAAAAAATTCGATTTGGATAACGATTTCGCTAATCTGCACCGTCTTTTATTTTCTGATTACGCCACTTCAAAATTTCGTAAAATAAAATCGCAATTCCTATCACCAAGTGTATGGATGAAATTATTGATTTTGAATCACTCAAGCTTCACACAGCAGCTGGGTATATTAGGGCTTCAAATAGGTGCTTCACATGTAAGGCTAAACGACAACACTGTGACTATAAATATCCAGTATGTTCGAATTGCGCAAAAAACAACACTGACTGCATGGCTTGGGCCAAAGGCTCCAAGTCACCAATTCCAAGAAGCATTGCCTGTTACCTCGAGAAAAGAGTTGCACAGCTGGAACTAGAGGCTCACAGACTCCGTACAGAGCTGAATCCAGAGCATTTAGACGATAAAGAGAATATCGCAGCTAACCTCTCCTCTAAACCATTTTCAGGAGTATGCAATTCCGAGAAAGACGATATTGGTGATGAATCATTTGGTTTCCTTTATTTTCGCTCTAGTAATCTTCCTGCTCCGTTTGACTGCACACTCCATTCGTCCGATCGTGGAAACATTCGAACATTTATGGCACGAAACCCTATGGTAGACATATACAGCATTCCATCAAAGATTGCTGATATAATCCTGCAGAACTACCTCGATATTCATCTCCCACAATATCCAATAGTTTCAAGCGAGTACGTGCGCGAGCTGAAGTCAAGCGTGTTTGAAAAGAGGAATACATGTGGCCCCTATGAAAAAGCTGTAATGGGAATAATTCTCGCAATGTCTACAGCGACATTAAGTTATAAAGGCGAAAAGGGGGCCCTAGCCTCTTCAGGGGCTCTGTTTTCATACTTTCTGTCCCAAATTTTACAAGTTGAGTGGAGCGATAAACTTAAGAAACTACAAATACTCTTACTGGTTGCTCATTATGCCTTCTCAAATCCGTATGCCGCAGATTCCTGTTATGCTATGAAAGAAGCATTGAGGATTAGTGTGGAGATGGGTCTCCATAAGGAACTGGATTTTGATCATATTTCACCGCTGATTATGCAAACACGCCGTCGCTTATTTATGGTCTGTATGAACATGGCTCGTCATGTGTTCTCGGTCAACAAACGAATGTTCCCGATCCCTTCAGAACTCATAAGCTTTCAACTTCCGGAGGCTGTTGACGATCATTACATCACTGATTCTGGAATTGATTTATCGGGTCCGCCCACCAAAGCTGCAGCCATTCATTTTTACAGGTTTAGACTTTATGAAACTGAAATATATGATGTACTCTGGGGACACAAGAGCATCAAATGCGGCCTCAAAGAATGGGTTCAGAAAATGAGCAACAACCTGGATTCATGGTTGTCAGAAGCTAACCATTTCTCCACCATCAACCAATTAAAATATAGAGCTATTTGTCATGCGTCAGGTCATGTCCGGTTGTACAGCAGATCTCCAAGGAAGCAATGGAGGAACCGTGAAGATGCGCTACTGTTGATGGAATCTGTCATAAAATGCCTTGACGAATACCTGGTAAATGCAAGTACTGGATGGCTTGCTTATTTGATGGCTGGTGTCTTTCACGTTGAAGAGCTAACAGTGTGCCTCCTGGATATCATGTGGAACGAATCAAACTGGATATTTGATCATTACAGTCAAGCTTACATTAGTACTCAAGTGATACAGTGCATTGGACTACTACAGCAGTTCAGTTTACGGTGGCCTGATATTGAGAAGAGCAAAATGGTGTCATATCTTTCTAATCTACACCTAAAAATCACTTCGCAGTTGGAACATGGGTTTGTTATCGATCCCCATATTATATCACAGCTCAATTTCTTAATATTCCCTCAAGTATCCACTGGTTATGGACTAGACTCGTTGCCCGAAGATACTGTGGACCTTGATCACAATTTTATTCAGATGCAACAATGGAATGACAATTTTACTTCGAGCCTCTCCATCTTATAGGCTCAAAATAGCTTGATACCATCCATTTTATATGGCTTTCCATCTTTCATCACGAATGATATTTTCCTTAGCGTCCCAAAATTTTGACGTGGGTCTTCATCGACTGCAACTATATCAGCCGCACAACCTTCGGCTAGCCAGCCAAATTTTCTCCCCGTACTATGACCCCCGCAAGCAAGCCAGCCGTTAAATGTTAAACACCTTAAGGTGTCCTCAACTGGCACTCCTGACTCTCTGAATAACTCGGCCTCTCTAATATTTTCTCCGTGATTGAACGTCCCTGTATCACCTCCACAGGCTTGTGTTATTCCCATTTTCCATGCGTTATATGTTTTTGTAAGCATAGACGGAAAATTTTCACCATAGAGTCTTTCTGCAATGCTCAAAGTGGGAACAATAATTGTCTTATTCTCTTTCACTATGTCAAGTGTTTTTTGATCACACCAAAACGCATGTTCAATTGTACGTACTCCAGCTTTCGAAGCCATTTGAACTGCTCTGTTTGTTGCACAATGTGCTGCCACAGGGCAATCCGCACTAGCTGCTTCTTCGCAGAGAACGTTCATTTCCTCTTGAGTGTAAAGAATAACGTCTGGATTAGGAATTTCTGGAGGGAACATGACCGACGAAAGATACGGATGTGGTGTAGCGGGTGGAAATCTCATCACCCTCTTTCTATAGTCTGCAAAGAACTTCACAACATCACACCCCATTCCCAATCTCCTTCTAACGGCCTTCCGAATCTCGACTTCTCCGTCGCATGCTTCACTAGTCTCAGCAATCCGAGTACCGCCAATTCTGTTTTCGGTGTGTGTCATTATTCCAGTGACTGATGCTAGAACTTTTGTTGCCACGTACAATCGGGGACCTGGAATGATTCCTCTGTTGATGGCGTCTCTGAAATTTGCGTCTGCCTCCTGCATCCCCTCAGATCCCAGATCCCGGTAAGTTGTATAACCAGCAAGTAAAGCACTTGAGCAATGATTGGTTGCTCTGAGCACTCTTTCAACAAAACTTTCGTCTCTTTTTTGTTTAGCGTTATCTGCTTCATCATAAGAGTGGAGAAATATGTGAGTATGGGCATCCACAAATCCTGGAAGAACAACTTTTTTTCTCAAATCAAGATCATTTTCACCTACGCTCGCGTCAAAACCGGTTCTTTCAATGACGCCTGTAATTAGTCCTATTGCAGGATCGATCTCAAAGGATAAATTCTTTTCGAAGTTGAGATTGATTGGATTGAAAACCAGGCTGGTGTGAACAACAAATGGTTTAGGATACAACTCCCTCAGTTTCTCTAGTCTCAATTCTTCCGTCTTTGATTGAGGAACTGGTGCAGCGGGAATTGGTGCTTCAGGAATAGAACAACATTGACACATTGGTTATGATGTGTTTTTTGGACGTTTGATTTTCCCGTATTGAATAATTTCTTATTCCTACGAAATCGAAATCGCGATCGGAATCAAGCCATATGCAAAGCGATAAGAATTTTCTTGATTAGATAAGTATTTTATCTGCGGCTGACCATAGAAACTGTTTGAGTGGGAAGCAACTCGGCCACCACAGCGAAAAAAAGGTCAACAGCTGTTTCGACGTCTCAATATGCGAGACAACTTCTTCCTTTATCGCGTCATCTGACATGTTCAGCTCTGCCAAAGTAATGAGAGAAAGGCTCGAATACAAAATATCTGTAATATCCACTGCAAATTTCAGAGGCAATTGAGAACCAAAGTTTTGCGACTGGCCACTTATTATTGTTTTGGCAGCGCTGTAAACATTGAATGATATGTTGATTGATTCACATTCACTGCAACTGTGAAAAATAAGAGGAAAACAAATAATCCATAACGACGGTGATTTCGAGTTTTGAACGGTCATGAACGAATGTACACGTTTTATAGGGCAATCGGAACCTATTGAGTAACATATTCTAAACATATCACATTTGTTTTTGAGATCAATTAAAGGTTTTAGCTCTGGATCATTCTCGAAAAGGTCAGGATGTTCAACAACCAGGTTAATAAGAGGAGGGCGACCAAGCGACAAAGAATTGCTAATATCTAAATCCATGAGGACTCTGAGTAAATTAAATTTCGAAATCTGTTGACCGACTATTGTGTGAGTTTGTTTGAGATTAGTTAGATTGGTGAGCTGAAGCTTCTCTGCAATCTCACATGCCAATGATAATGTTTTCCACAATGATTGTCCACATTCAGGATCCAACGTTTCGTATACTGCATAATACAGCAGAGCAACCAATGTGCTGTGGTCTATATCTGATACCTTAGCTTTCAGCAATTCAACAACCTTGGGTTGAATCATTGCTTTGATAGTAACAAAATGTGAATGTGATCGCTGGAGATGTGCCGACGATACTAAAAGTATCAATAGGATAAACAATTTCTTTTCTGGGGCATAATTTCGTATCAAGAGATCCGGGTCAAAAAAGGATCTGGGCAAAATAGGATATATTGGATAGACTTTGTAGAGGTAGTTCTCGATCAGTAACTTGCTATGATCATTAGAGATCATATTATAGTCAAATTGTACCTTCAACCTTGGCAAATAATGTTCTTGAAAAGTGAGTGTATCAAGATTGCAGTTAATATGAAGCAGTCTTGAGGTGAGATTAATAATTGAAACAGCAGATGTTGGTCCAAAATGATGGAATTCTCCATTAGGATACTCAATGAAACAACCATTACTCGCAATTTGGTACCAGTCATGGGAATCATTTGGGTTCCGTTTGATCTTTTCTGGAGGAGTTTTGAGCCTTTTTATCTCGTCCTTCAACACTGCTATGCGGTCGTTTAGGTCTTTAAGGTATACTCTTGAAACAGTCCCCCCGACTCCTTCATCGTAATATTCGCAGATTGCTCCCCGCTCCTTACATTTGAGGCAGCTTGGAAACTCGAAATCACACTTTTTTTTCCGGCGTTTGCAAGCATTGCACGCCAACAGCATACTTCTGGGTGATTTTTGAAAATTGATAATTAATTTAGGTTTTTTTCCGACCAAAAATCGTTATCGCATCGGAAAACGTGAGTATTTTCACGCTGCCTTTGGGATATATAAATTGTAGTAACAGCACCAAGTCTGAAATTGGACTAGTCTTTGCTATGACACTTTTTCATGCAGTTGGGCAACAAAGTTGGCTATTCTTGGTCGAGTTGCTCATTGGAGGTTTCGTGTTGTACCTCTACCTTTTTAACATCAGGCCTGCAACACCAAAGATTAGAAATCTTCCTGAGCTTCCGGGATGGAGACCTTTTTGGGGTCATTTGAAGCAATTAGGTTCCGATCACTCAACAAAGCTTCAGCAACTATCCATCAAGCATAATATTCCAGTATTTCAATGCTTATTTGGAAACCAAAGAATCATCTTCATCAATTCTTATGAAGCTGCTAACGAGTGGTTTATCAAGAACCAATCTGTGTTGAAGGACAGGCCTGTTTTCTATACCTTTCACAAACTTGTGTCTACTTCTCAGGGTCTTACTATTGGTACTTCCCCATGGAATGATGAGTGCAAAAGAAGAAGGCTTAATGTTCAGCGGTATATGACTACACCAGCTATCCAAGAAAGAGCAGGCCTGATCGATGTTGAGGTCTATTCACTCCTCAGGGACATGTATCGTGATACACAGGTAGAAAGCTGCTATCCGTACCCCTATACACAGCGGCTTGCTCTCAATTTCACTACAATGCTTTGTTACGCAACCCGATTTGATGATATCAAAAACTCTTTGCTCGAACAAATATTATCTATTGTTCGAGTGATCTCTTCTTTTAGATCGACCAACCAAAATTTCCAAGATTTTATCCCATTTCTACGATTTCTTCCGGAAAATAGCAGACGGAAGGCTGCATTACATTCTAGTAAGACCAGAGATGAATGGCTAACAAAACTCACAAACGAGGCTCTAAATCATAAGGACTCACGGCCAAGTATCGTTGGAGACTTTGCTAAAGATACTGAAACTAGCAGACTGAACCTTGATGACGTCAAGTCAATCTGTGTCGGGCTTGTCTCTGGTGGATTTGAGACGGTTGGTTCAACTTCGGCTTTGATCATGGCTCAACTAGTTTCCGAAAAGGGTCCAGAGTGGCAGGAGAAAATATACAATGAATGTCTCGCACACTACAGTTCAGTTCAGGAAGCGTGGGGCAAGGTGCTACTTGAACAAAAATGTGAGTTTTCCAACTCTTTTATACGCGAATTGCTCCGTATGTATGCTGTCATTCCACTCCTTCCTGCTAGAAAAACGATCAAAAGTTTTACATGGAACGGTGCTTCTATTCCTGCAGGTGAAACAGTTATTCTCAATGCCCAAGCAGCGAATCACGATAAATCCAGATTTGGTCCAACAGCAGATGAGTTTATGCCTGAAAGATTTCTTAATGACCCTGACATAGATGTCCCTCCATATCATTTCACTTTTGGAGCAGGTTCCAGGGCCTGCACGGCGGTCAATTTATCTGTTCGAATACTATACGTGATCCTTACCCGAACCTGTATGGCATTCACAGTTCGGAAGGATGCATCTCGTCAGGTTAATACGGACTATATTGGCTTTGCCCAAGATCGTACGGCTCAAACGAACTGGCCGAAAGATTTTGGTGTTTATTTGGAGCCGAGAGATCCAAAAACAGTGGACGCTTGTTTTTCACAATCAAAGATGAATTGTCAAGAACTTTTATCTTATTCAATAGAGTACGATAAGTAAGCGATAAATAATGTAACTATAGAGCATACCTGAAGTTCGGATTCTCAAAATCGGTCAAGTCTCTAAACTCTGTGTTCTCGCTAGATTCAGAAGTGGTAGCAGACGCATCCCGCTTCCGATTTGCATGGATATTAAGGAAGAGAATCAGCACCAATGCCAATACTGATATACAATTGGAAGAAAGCATGGCAGTCTTTGCACCAATGTACGTTGGGCTTTGAGAGGCAATAAAAGTCTGTGGTCCGACAGCCATTCCCACGCAATATCCGATGAGGAAAATCGCATTCACAACCACTTTTTTGGTATGTCCTGCTGTGTTCGAAGCAATACAGGAAAGCAAGCACACCATTCCCACAGGTTGCATTCCAAAAATATAAATAGCAGCCAATTTAACTCCTGGCTCATGAGCATAGGCAAGCATGCCGCATCCAACTATCACTAGAAAAGTGATGGCAAGGGCGACAATAATCCTAGATCTGACATACCGAGCAAAGTAAGCAGCAAGTGGGTTCAATAATATCTGGACAGCCCCCGTGGGGAGGTTCATCAAAAATGCTTTCAGTACGCCATACTTCAGATCTTGCGATATCAAAATTGAATTGAAGTTGGTAATTCCCCCATTAGGTATCTCGGATGTTATTCCGTAGATAAAATAGCACCACGTTCTCGGATCTTCTAAAGCTTCTTTGAGCTGATACAATTTAAACTTCTTGTTTCCGAATCCCTGCTGATTAGTTCTGATACGTTGGACCACTAGCAATTTCTCCTCTTCTGTTAGAAACCAAGCTTTCGATGGTAGGTCTGGAACGTAGAAATAGAAAATAACAGAAAATAGCATGGTCATGCCTCCAATGACAATAAATAGAGCCCTCCACCCTTTGATACTAAGTGAACCCTGATGGAGAGCAAATCCGTATGCGATTGAAGTTCCGATTAAGACCCCTAAGCCATTAGCTGAAAACCAGAGAGCTGATCTGAGGAATTGCTCCTCTCTTTTATACCATTGTGAGGTAAGGATCACAAATGCGGGAGTGATTCCTGACTCAAATATACCAAGGAGCAACCTCATGGCTAAATATGAGGCATAGTTTTGCGAAGCAGCTTGGCAGGTCATGATTATTCCCCAGCATCCTATAAAGAGCGCGACAGTTTTGGCAACCGGAAATCTCTGCAAGGTATTTGACATCGGGAACACAAATGCCAGATATCCGAGGTAGAATACAGTTCCAGTCCAGCTGTACTGATCACCAATCATATTGAGGTCTGTTTTTATCCCCATAATAGATGCGTACGAGTTTGAAACTTTGTCCATATATTGAATAGCATACAATGAGCACATGATCGGTAAAAGATATTTGTCAATCTTACAAAGAATCCTCTTGTTGGTCTCGTCATCAATAATCATTCCTTCTGCTTCCATTGCGTATTCAAGAGCCTGATCATCATTATTTGACACAGCCAGTTTCTTTTCACGTTCGCTTGATGTATGTTGACTCGTTGGTGAGTCAACAGTGATGTAAGTAGACTCATTCTGCTTTCCCATAGTATGCGCCGCAGAAATTGAGTGGCTGTATCGCAAATGGGTCCCTTTATATACAATGGGTTTGCAATTGATCTCATAGTGAGTCAGTTATGATAGATAAGCGGAATCAAATCTAGTTGTATTTATTTGCGATCTCAAATTTGATCTAAGCGTTTTCAATACAATCGCGAGAACTCGAAAAATATTTCTTATCGAGACCATTACCCCTTTTTGTACAATATATAGTTGAGGGCTTGTTCAAAACGAAAACTCGTAGACATGAGCACTTTATCACTTTCGAACTTGTTTGAGATCGCCGGTAGACAGGCAGTGGTCACCGGTGCAGGGTCAGGAATAGGGCAAATGATTACTCAGGGGTTCATAGCCAATGGGGTTCATGTAGCCGCTGTAGACCTTTACCAAGATCGATTGAACGAAACTGTAGCGCTTTGCAAGAAACTAAAATTGAAAACAGATTCCGATGCAAAGTTGACAACCTTATGCTACGATATTGGTGATCAAGCATCCAACAAAGCTTTGGTTGATAAGCTCAATACGGAATACGAAGAAATTGATATTCTTATCAATTGTGCGGGTATTAGGATTCAGAACCCAAAAACATTTCATCCGGGTGATAGTCTTGATGACTTATCGGATGCTGCAAATTCCATCCAGTGGCGTGACTTCCAGAAGACCTTCGATATCAACGTTATCGGTATGTATTTTCTCACAACAGGCTTGATTAAAAAACTCGGAAAAGCTGCAGAAAAGGGTGATGGAAGGGGGTCAGTTGTCTGTTTCTCATCTCCTGCATCTGTTCACACAAACCAATTTGTCCCCACTTACCAATTATCTAAAGCTGCTATTGATCACATGGTTCGGATTATGGCAGCTGAGTTTGCTGACAAATATATTCGGGTGAACGCAATCTCGCCTGGCTTATATGAAAGCAGAATGACTCCAATGTCCACCGATGATCCCACATCAAATATCAGGTACGTTCACTTGGTCCCTGCTCGTAGAGCCGGTACACAAGAAGAAATGGTAGCAACAGTTTTGTGGCTATGCTCCAAAGGTGGAGCCTACATGGATGGAAGAAATATCAGGATGGACGGCGGCCGGCTGCTAACATTAAAAGGTCACCTTTATAGTGATGAATAAATCAAATAGAATCCTGAAATCCCTTTTGGGTTTGTAAAACCTCGCATATATCCAAAAGTCGTCCATCGTACCCTCTCTTGGCGATTATTAAATTTCCCTTCAAAATCACGCATGGACACCCGACAATCCGTGGCAACAAAGATATTGGAAAACCAGAGAGAGTGGAGTTAACCGGAAAAATAAGAATATCGATGTATCTCAAGCTTTCGTTAAACACTTTTTTCAAAAAGGCCAACTTTCTCTCGTCTTTAGAAAACTTTTCTGGAGATGGAAATGGGCATCTCTTTTGTGAAGCAAGTTCCATAGTAAATGATGATGCTCCAACTTGTATGAAATCCATTAGTTGAGAAACGACCGTGAAATTGAAATCAACCGATCGACCATTATGCAATTTCAAGTCATCAAATGATGAGTAGGCGAATCCTCCTTCTATCACACCGCGATAGTCAACTGGGTACTGAAAGTATTCGTTGGGGTCTCTAGAGTAGGGGTCGACTGCAATATAGCCACCAATCACAGTGAATACAGTCCGTACTTTAGCGACAGATTCAGACAAAATTGCAACCGATGAGAATGAAGGACAGTCTGCACCCAGTAAAGACACCATGCCATTCGATGCCGTAAACTGTACGCTTCCCATATCAAACCCTTGAAATCCATCGTCAACTATTAATTTAAATTGAGCATCAGTGGAATATATTGCTCCCTTCTCTTTGCAGAGTTTGTTCACATGACCATCGAATGATTGATACCTGACGCCATCTAGAGGACTATTATGAACACTCCAAGTATCCGGCTGTAGTTCTCCCGGGGAGTTTTGATTTGCAAGAATCACGAGATCCTTACCAAAAGAAACGCTTCCTAGCAACCCATCGTACGCACAGGAAACATTAATTGTCTGTTTGACGATATCCTCATTGAATCCGTTAGTACAATCCGCCAAAACACAACAGTCAAACCCTCTGTCATTTGCCTCCCTGAATGTTGTCGCGACACAACATTCAGTAGTTACCCCACATAGCAGCAAGTGAGTAATTCCAAGTGAAGTTAGAGTCCAATATAAAGACGTGTTATAAAACGAACCTTTCCCAGGTTTGTCAATCACTATCTCCGTAGGCTTTGGCTTAAGTTCGTCAATGATTTCATGTCCGAACTCGCCCCTCACCAATAATTTACCCATTGGACCACGTTCTCCAATCACGAAAGGATGATTTTGAGGGCGGGCAGTCCTTTGTCGGAGTCTCTTTGAAGGAGCTAAGTCCAAAAGATCGGGATTATGTCCCTCGCGAGTATGAATCACGGTCATTCCCAATCTCCGGGCCGCCCAAAGAGCCTCCTTGCACGGCTCAATATTGCTAGCTACTTTATCGAAAACGGTTTCTGAATTGCATTGCAAATCTCCGTAACCTCCTTTTGAGATAAAATCTCTCTGCATGTCTATCATGATCAATGCACATCTTCCAGGAGAAAGCAAGATTGGAGCTGGCTGGGCAGGAAGAAGATGCGAGGCCATTGAAGAGAAAAAAAAATATTGATCGAATCTTTCTTATCAGCCCGTCGGGCCCGGAGGGGAATTGTGTGTCCGAGAAAACTGCTAGTTTAAATAGATACCAGATTAGACTATTTTAATGAGATAACATCAATGGCTACTAGTGTTCATCAATTCACATCTTTTAGTGGTAACTCAAGAACAGTTATTAGCGAGAAAGCTCGCGCTGCTACCTTTTCGGAGATTCCGTTAATCTCTTTGGAAGCAGAAAAACAGGAGCTGGTGAGGCAGATTAGAACCGCTTGCACACAAGTTGGGTTTTTCTATATCAAAGATCATGGAATCGAACAGAAGTTGGTCGACGACTTGATGAATAGTGCGCAGGAGTTTTTCCGCCTTCCGATGGAAGAGAAAAATGATATTCATTTCACCAAATCCAAACAGCTCAAAGGCTACGAAGGCTTTGGAGATAATCGAACCGAGAGTGAGCGGAAGCCAGATCTGAACGAGCAGTTTAGCTGGGGATATGACAAAGAGATGGACCCTGATCAGGAGACTGTGTTTGAAAGTGACAGCTTCTTATATGGTGAAAATAGCTGGCCCTCTCAAGTTCCAGAACTGAGAACTGCCGTCAAAAGATACTTTTCACAAATTCTCTTGCTAGCCAGAAGACTCATGTCACTGTTTGCTTTGGCTTTGGATCTTCCCGAGAACTATTTTGTTGATATGCTCAAACACCCGGGTGCTATGGGTCGAGTTCTACATTATTTGCCTCAGCCAGTCGAAGAAACCAACGTGTTGGGGATCGGAGCTCACACAGACATTGAGTGTTGCACCATTCTCTATCCAGGAGAAGTTCCTGCGTTGGAGATTTTGAATCCTGAGGGAGAATGGATTGTGGCTACTCCCATTCCAGGGACATTTGTCATCAATATTGGGGATATGCTTGCCCGCTGGTCCAACGACTTCTTCATTTCTACAGTTCATAGGGTGAAGAATATTACAGGACAGGAAAGATACTCGATTCCTGTTTTTGTTGGAGTTGATTACGAAACAGTGATTGAGCCATTAGAAACCTGCATTTCTCTTCACGGTAAGAAGTATCCTCCAGTGAAAGCCGGAGATTACGTTTACAAACGCTTGGCATATAGCAGGTTTGATAAGCAGGATTTTGAGAATATGTTAGATCAGGTTGGAGTCTCTAAATAGTCAAATTCACTCATTTTTTCTCGTCAGCAGTAATTTCAACTTCTTCGACGCTCTCCTCGTAGATATAGTAGTTTGTCTCGTCCACCAAAGTTTCTGGTTCCGGCCAGAGTAAACTTGTAGCAGTATAAACGGTAAAAGAGGCAAGAAAACCGTAGAAATAGGACATGTACCAAAGCTCCAAAATCCCTGCGTTCACCTTGATATGGCTATTAACATCAGATGCCAATCCTGGAAGGCACGGGACGTTACCAATCAAAAAGGCAACTGCTGCTCTCCAGTTGATTCCTTTGAAATATCTGTATCTTCCCTCCGGATCATATAGGGCAGGCACGTCGATATGCTTCTTCTTCACCACCCAGTAGTCTGCAATCATTATTGCAGTAATCGGTGCTAGGAAACATGAAAGTCCTGAGATGAAGTTAACCAGTTGAGTGGCAGAATTCTCGATTTTCCATGCCTGCAAAATCCAACCAGACGCAATAGTGATAAGCACGGCACCACGGCGAATATTGATGTAATGAGGGAATAGTGAGCTCAAGTCGTTGGCCCCAGTTATCACATTTGCTGATAAGTTAGTTCCAATTTGTGCAATACACCAGGAAGCGCACACAAAGAAAGCAGCAGCTCTACCTTTTGATCCAGTCTTGGTCCATTCCAAAGCGAAATCTGTAGGAGACCAAAGATAAGATCCGTAGACAACTTTTCCCGCAGAGGATGCAACAAGCGACATCATGGTAACAAATGTTGCCCACACAGGGATCACAATAACTTGAGAGTACTGTGCCTTTGACTTGTCATTCATGTACCTGGTGAAATCTGCAATGTTTGTTGCCATGGTTGCCCAACCGGCAACGTTAGAGTTCAACAATTTCATCCATAGCCAAGCTCTCTCAGAACCATGAACAGTATATTCTTGGTGCCAAATGTTGTCTGCGGTACCGGCCATCTTGGCCATTCCCGCGGCAGTTCCGATCAAACAGGCTGCCACCACAACGGTTTTAAACACAAAAAACCACTTCATTTTATGTGGAGGAATCAACAAGAAAGGTAATTGGATGGTCCAGAAGATGAAATGACCCAGCATTTCGGTAGACGTGATACCCATTGAAGCTGGAATAGAGTTATGGATCTTGTCGAAGGAAGGCCAGATTGCCGCAATACAGCGAGTCATTGCCAACGAACCAGAGAAAGTTTGGGTAGAGTGCCAGAAAATGGCAGTAACACAACGAGTGATGACTGCAAATTTAGCAAAGTGATAACCAAATGAGGCTCTCACAGCAACAGGAAAGGGGACATGGAGGTCGGCTCCGATAGCACCATTGAAAATCAGGGGCAGACCAATGAAAACCATGCCCACGGTATTTGTACTCAGGCCTGTTCTCCAGGTCATTCCAAACTGCAACGAGTTTGATGGATTCTCAACTGTTTGCATCGATAGATAGTCCGAGGCCCAAAACCCAATGATGAGGAACACGTTCCAAGTTCTTCTATATGGAGGGGTCACATCATTGTCAATATTCGTGTTGACCCCGTCGGGGGCACACGACGATTTTTGTTTGGGAAGCTGCCACGCTTCCTTTGATAGAAGTTTCATTACTCAAAACTTTGTAATTATCTCAACTTTAAATGGTTGGACCTAAGCGGTGAAAATTCTTTATCTTTGATAAAGATTCAGCCCGTCGGCCAACTCCTTTCCCAATTTGGAAATTCGTCTTCGTGATAAGATCCGCGAATTTTTTTCCGACATTCAACTTGAATTACTGCGGTGTAGGAATGTGTGCTCAGGAATCAATAAGGGGAACAAAGGCAAAACGCTCTAAACAGCGTCCTTGTGATGCTTGTCGCAAAAGAAGATCGAAATGTGTCATCGAAGAGCCAAATCAACCATGTTTTCTGTGCAACTTCCATAGCATTGAATGTACGTTCCGCGATCCCCCACAGAAGAAGAAGAAACTGACCGATTCCGCATCAGCGCAGGATCCAGTACCTCTCCACAGTGAGTTGGCTTTTGAGTTTTCGAATTTACCCGAAATTCATCTCAATCCAACCACTCCGTCCAACGACTCTATAATTCGGGCATTTGAGCAAGAGCAGATCATAACCTCGGCGAAGACCGAAAACTCAAACTACTGTGGAGCATCCAGCGAATGGGATCCCTCACTTATCAATCTTCTGCCATCAGGAAGTGTCTTTTTATCACCTGTTCAGGGAAAAAGACTAATTGAAAGAAGGTTTACCAAGATCACCAACGAGTCGGGATTTTTGCACGTTGAAGTGAGTTTACCATTTACTGACACCCACATCACCAATATCAACACAATAGTAGGGCCCCATGGTCCTGTTTTAGTCGAACTGTACTTTCGAATTGTTCATTCGTCCTTTCCAATTGTTGATAAAAACTTATTCTTTCAACAGTATGAAACGAATCCAGGCTCGCTATCTCCTTCACTCCTTGCATGTTTATATCTCTTTGCATTGAACTGGTGGACATTTGAAGCCTCGCTCTCCCTTACTCCAAAGCCCTCCCAAGAAGCATTAGAGACACTTGCCGAAGAGTATCTAGCGATCGAAGTGAAGCAACCGACACTTTCAACCGTTCAAGCAGGGTTGCTGTTGATCCAGCATCAAAATTTTAGAGATGAGTATGCATTTCCAGGACGATCCTGGGCCCTACAGGCACAGATAGTGGCAATTGCACAGCAGCTTGGACTAGAAGAAGATTGTTCTGCGTGGACGATACCTTTTGAGGAGAAAATACTACGCCGCAGGGTGGCATGGGCACTGTTTATGCAGGAAAAATGGCTAGCTTTAAATCAGGGAAAACGCTCGCATATCCAAACACAAAATTGGGGGTGTATACCTCTTAGGTTTGAAGATCTTGACTGTCACTGTGAGAACGGCTTGCTCCCCAGCGACGGTTCGATTGATGCCAAAATTGGTGGTGAATTGTTCATTGAGATGGTGACACTTTCTACCATCGTGAGTGGCATCCAGGACAAGCTCTACAGCAGGGACGCGCAGAAATTATATCAAAATTTAGCTGACCCAATCACGAATTTGAAATGTTTGCTAGAGACACTGCGTCCATTACAGCAACAGTTGAAAGATTGGGAGTCTCGAGTTCCATCGCAGCTTTTAAACGAGGATGTTCCGCGCGGCCATATCTCGCCTATCCCAAACTTGCAGATCTCCATTATCGCAGCACGAAATTATCTGCTGAAGCCCGCATTAACATTGCTGGTACTTGCAAAGTCCAAATCTTGCCTTGTTGATCGCGAGTTCATAGAGATTCAAAAAGTTCTATTCGACAGAACATTCCAGGATTTCCAGTCGGCTGTGAATTTTCTGAGCGCAATGAAGGCCGAGCATTTCCAAACTTTCTGGTATTGCTCTGCGAAGCACGCATTCTCTATGACGGTGAGTTTTGGAGTCATGGTAATGTTATCTGCTGGTAGCAACGAAGATTACATGGCTTGTCTGGACAAATTGGAAGAGTTTAGGTGGAAGCTGCAGATAAACTCTAAAACCGCCGAGTTCTTACAACACTCGCGCCAATGGCAGGATCAACTGTCCCGTATTGTTTCCATGTCTCATAGCGAGTATCAAGTTCAGTGATTAACGCGTATGATTCTCTGTATACACCTGACACCAATAGTTGTTTTGAGCATTAAATTTCAAACTCTTGCAAGACTTGAACTGTATAAAAAAATGAATTACTTCCGGAACAGCAGGTTATTCCTGGCTCCTCGAATCCGTTTCAACTGGCAGGCATATACTTTCCGAGGATATTCCACTGATGCTGCGTCGAACACGAATCTGGTCACAGACCTGGCCGGGGACAAGGCTATCAATATTTACGTTCATGGAATATTCTTTCACCGAGAGAAGGGTAAGCCAGCATACGGGGGTGGCGGTGTCTACATAGCTCCCAATCATCGCGATAATCTTGGGTTCCGTGTTACAGGAAACGATGTAACCGCTTTAACAGCTGATCTCACTGCAGTCAGAGAAGCACTTCGTATAGTGATTAAACGATTGCATGAAAAGCCGCATGTCAAACACCAGATTATCATCGACTCGGAAATGGCATATGTTACTCTCACCAAGTGGATTTACAGATGGATGTACAATGGATGGGTCAATTCGAAGGACCAGCCGGTTGCCAATAGAAACGAACTCGCGGTGATAATGTACTACCGCAAACTCATCAGCAAGGAGTATAGAAAGCGTCGATGGGGAACCTTGCGTTTTAAGTACGTCGTTCCTCATAAGAACTCTCATGAACTAAAAATGGCCGAAACTATGGCGGTCAATGCCTGTCGATATTTTGACGATTTTAAGAACGTCAAACGTCCAGATCACAAATGCGTCAAATTTGTTGCCAGACAGGTTTACTCGGAATTTTTGAGTCGGAAAGACCTTACAGAGCATCGAAGACTTCTCATGGAGGAAGAGCGTTTGGAATAAATTGTTTTGGTCATGTCACGTAAGATTTACACACCTTCCAATCCCTCGATCTTGAATCTTGTGGCTTGATTCATGTATGCATTGTATGTGATCTTAATGATCTCTGATTGTGGGAACTCCAGAAACGGAATGTCACTGCTTGACGACGCCATTAGGTATCCGTAGAAGACTCTAATAATTGTCTCATCAGCTATCACAAGAACATCGTTAGTCATTCTCTCGATCTCCATGATTAGTGGCTCCAACTTCAATGCGAGATCGTGGTAGCACTCAGCTCTTGGATACCGGTGATGATACGGGTCAAGGAGGTGTTTTTTGTAGTCCTCCGGGAAAACGGTTTTCAATTGTTCATCTGTAAGGCCATCAGCATCTCCAGGATTCATTTGTGTCATCTCAGGACGATGTTTGACATTCAAACCCATATCCTTGAACACTTGAGCTAGCTGTGTGGTCCTGAGTCTCACAGATGTCCAAACGAAAAGGTCGCTTGGCAAAGAGTCATATCCCCTGCTCTTGAAGTGGTTCACCATGGTGCTGGAAAGTTTCTTGGCGTAGTCTCTGCCTTTGGCATCGAGTGGGGGGTCACTCTTGAAATCCAGCTTGTTGTTAGAACATCTTGCGAAATAGATGGAACCCTTCTTGATCTTGGAGTTCATCAGGTAGAATATTATTTTGGTGGTGAGGAAATCGTGTTTGGACTTGTTGACCAAAAGCTTTTCTCCAAAGTTAACAAACTTGATGTAAGTTAATTCTTCCTCGTTCATTTCGTCGTAAGAGTGTTCCACGGCAGCAATACGCTTCTTGTAATCTTCGATGGCCTCTTGTTCATCCCAGTTGAGGTAATCAGGTGACTGAGCAGCATCAGCAATGTTACTTTCGAGCAGTTCTTTGTCGTCAATAAGGCTCTCGATGAACACCACCTTGACGTTGGCTTTCTGCATTGTCTCTGCCAATTCGCGTCTTTCGGAGCTTACTCCGTTAACTGCGTCGTATATGGCTACCTGACCCATGTCATTCTGGAAAAAGTTTAGCACATCTTGCATTGCTAGTTTGATAAGTTGTTGACGGACCTCTTTTGCTTCCTCGCTCTCTGGCTTTGGGTCAAAAAAATCGAACGGCACAGTAGTGGTTTTGCTTCTGCGGTAGTCTCCGAGATGAAACAAATTAGCACGGACCCCTAACCATCGCAGGTAACGACACAAACTAATGGACAAGTTGGTTTTGCCGCGCGCTGGAGGGCCCACCATCACAATACAGATAGACCCAGCGTGATAAAGTTTACCTGAGTCCGTAGAGTAGAGCTGTGCGGGCGAAACATGGAAACGAGAGACCGTTTTATGGATCTCATCCACGTCTTCACGGACGTGGGGTGGAACGGTTTTTTCTTCGGCCACGTCTCCGGCAGGGGCATCTTTCTCCAAAGAATGGTGTACCCATCGATTCTGTTTGCGTGCTGAGTAGTTGCCTGCTATTTTGGGTTCCACGATCTCGGCTGTGGGTTCTGTCATTGATAAGAAATTAGACCGTACAAACACAAAAATTGATTCAGTTATTTTCCTTTCAACCTTATTATTTTCCCCATGGGTTGATGTTTTTTTCCCGCATACACCTACACTAGCCACAATATAGACTATATAAATTACGGTTCCAGCCACCGAAGCCTAAAACCGGATCTTGGTTGACGTCCCGCTTCCAGTGTACAGGATCTCGACCTCGAACTCGCCCAAATGCACCCGCAGCATGGCGATTGTGTCAATGTCCAACTTCCCGTTAAGTGCTTTCCGTAGAATATCGGCCCCAATTCCCTTGGTTACGTAAGTGACAGGGATTCGCGGGGTGGTGTACAAACCGGGTGGTATCACTATTCGGTGCTCCTTGCTGATGTACGCCAGAGTTGTATCTTCGTGGCTGGCCTGCGCTTCGATCAGGTCGACCACCACGTCGCTGTTGCTCACCGGGTTGAACACCGTCAGCTCGATCTCCGACGACATTAAATGCATCGTGGAATCCACCAGGAAAATACTGTCGTGTGACAGGATGGCGGGGGTGTTAGATTGACGTGAAACCTTGGGTAATTGCATCGGCACATGAACATTAGATAATAGCTTCCCCAGTCGGGAGTTCCTGTTTCCGGTGACTTCGATCTCGGGATAATATCCTGACAGGTAGCTTTCGAGCATGTGCTCGAGTTTGAGCTTGACCAGGCTATCCACCGGGTCCAAGGTCAATTTCGAGCTCGTGTTGAAGAACATTCCGGGAGTCAGATGCACAGGGCCAGGCTCAATGCTACCGACGTTTGATCCGTTAAATAGTAGATCAAACTTGAGTCCCTCGATGTCGCTATCAAAATTCACGTCGCTGGTAATTCCGGCAGACACTAAGATTTCGCACTTGGCGCTCGTTGACTTCAAAAGCTGCACATCGTCCAACCGAATTTGCAAGTTTCCGTACAGTGAATCGACCGGCGTTCCTGTAGCATTGTATGTGAGATTTGCAGGCAACCCGGTGAATGTGCCCTGTAAGAAATCCGAATCCACTTCAATGTCGATTGTCGAGTTGATTGGAACACTGATGTTCTTACCTGCAATGAAGTCGTTTGCGATCTTCGCCATGGCAACAGGGTCTCGGATCTTGAATGCGGTGTTATCCAGCAAAACATTCACCTGCATTGTGTCATAGTTTATATCGGCGATTTGCCAGTGATCCATTTCCAGCGACCCCCATGACTGTCCAAGCTCGACGACCCCCTTAATTAGAGGGACATTGATGTTCTTTATAAGTATGTTGTTTGGTAGATCAAGCCCAATATGCAAGCTGCTATCGATTATTAGTGAGTCGTCATCTGTCACGTCCATGGCCAAGGAGTCAACTCCCATCGTGCCTAAGCCGCCTCCTGGGATCCCAAATTGGCTCAAGCGCACACTCGCATGGAATTCCAAAGTCTTGAAGAAGTCATTCATCCACTTGGGCTGCTTGTCCAGTTCATCACCTCGGAATACGAGCCGCACTGGAGCGTCTGACAAAATGGTCTTTGCCACGTTCTCGATCGTGGAGCCATCTCCACAATCTTCTTTCAAGTCAGGATCAATAGAAGGGATCCTGAAATGCACAGTCACTTCCCCGGAGTTTGTAGTGAACTGGTCGATCTCTAACTTGGCAACAGCGACTGCTTTGCTGCAAGCAGGAAGCAAAATGGTCCAGCTGAATGCGTCTGATTGGTAATCGACCCACTTGAGATCCGGCAGCGTAATTGTTCCGTTTCCAGTAACCTGGTCCCCATCCAGGGTGAATGCAAAATCATTAAAATCGATCCCGGCTAAAAATTCCTGAATGAACTGGTTTCCGTCCAATTCCACGTCAAAATGGGATTGCAGCGTATGTTTTCCGGACCAGAATCTGCCAACTTTGACACTGGCAGGCACCTTGGCGGCAAATCTAATAAACTGGGGCTCCACGCTGAGTCTATTCAAAAGTTCTGAAGCTCCGGCCAATGGAATGGTGTCAATAGATATCTGTAGGATTTGTGGTGCTGTCAAATCAACTTTTAACGCACTGTTAATTCGAGTTTTCGAGATGGATAGTTTATCTTCTTGTATCAGTGCCGAAAGCTCAATATCGTGGTCAAACGTAGCCTCCACTGTGTGCACATGTTGTAGGATCCGTGCCCATTTTCTGTGGTATCTGTTGTTAATGCGATCGTAATCAAACGCCAGAGTACCATTGACGGTACAGGAAATCGACTCTGATGAGTTCCGATCCACAACAACATGGTCAAGCTCAAAACTCGCTGCTTGAATATAGAGTTGGTCGGTGATTCGTAGGAGGTATAAACAGTTTAGTAGCACCAGCAAGCCTAACACTATTCCGGTTGCTGATACCAGGGTTTTCACTCTGTGGGCCCTGATCTTATTTCGCACTTTAGAAACGGTTCCTATAGGAATAGCGCCAAATGTTTGGACCTCCTGCCCAATTAAAGGGGCCTCCTCGTCATTCATTTCAGGTTAGTTGCAACTGTTTTATCTCCACAAAAAAATTAGATTATTTGCATGTGCTTATGTAATATCTATCTGCTCTATAGTTTTGCCTCGATCAAAGTCTCATCCATGAACTGTTCAGGGATGCGAGTGCTTGGTGTAGCTGTCAATGGGATCTGGGACTTCCATTGGCCAACGTTGGTGATCGGATTTGGAATAGTATGTTCTTTCTTCAACTCGGCCAAAATGGACGTGATGAACTGTGCTTTGTGTTTGAAGTTAGGAACTAATGCTGTAAATTCGTCGTCAAGCAAAGAATCTAAAACATGTTCGTCCACTGTGGTCTCCTCTGTGATCTTCTTCTCGACCAGGCTAGTGAGCTCGTTTGAGCTGACCTCGGAAGAATCGTACTCGGGGTAGTCAAATAACAAGTTGGAGATGATGCTTGATAGGTTTTGGACCAAAGGCTGTTTTGGGATGACTTGACTTTCCAAGTGAACAACCAGCTTTCCATGGTTATCCTTGTCCAAGATGCGAGAGTTGTAGAAATCGACAACCTCCTTCAACTTGATGGTTTTCAATGTTTCCACGTCTAGCTCCCGTTTGTCGAAATCATAGTAGCCAGATGCAATAGAGTTCCAATATCTGGCCTTCTCCTCAGAAAGATTCTTCACCTTTTGCTGCTTCTTGTTAATCACGGCATTAACGTGCTTGTCAAACTCCTCTTCAGTCATGGTAGAAATGGAGTGACCCATTCTGGTGAGGAATCTGGCCATTCTATCAAGCAAATATCCGGTGCTTCTTTCACTTTGAATCAAAAGTCTTAGGCCAAAGGTAGTTCTTGTCTGTCTCACGCCAGAGAAAACAACATATCCCAGTTGTTCCTTAGTTCTCAGACGATCGAAAAACGGCTCATGCACGATCTGGGAAACCAACTCGGTCAAAACACGTTCTCTATTGTCGGTGATCTCACCCAACTGAATGTACGTTTCAACACACGAGTTGATGTTGTCCTCATCAATATTCTTCTTGATGAAATGGAATTCTTGTCCGTATGGGAGATCCAAGGAACGGCCTCTAGTGAACTGGGACTCGGTGTATGGGATGGTTTGATGGAGCTTGGAGGAAATAAGCTCGTTGATATGAGATGCTTCGTGTCTGGTGTAATTTCCGATAACGAACATTTCAACAAAACAGATGCCAAATAGGTTGGACACAAAACTCTTGAATGAGCTGTAAGTAACGGCATCAAAACACTCGATTTCTTCGTCAATCATCCACGACTCGTCATTAATCAGAGAGGATAAGATTGGACCAATCTGACGGAAAGGAACAGTGTAACCAAAGTTCTTCAAATTTCTATGCATTTTCTCCTTGATGACCTTGAATCTCTCTTCTCTATAATCATTCCACATCGACTCGTCATTGGTGAACTTTATCAGGGTATCGCTAACTCTGTCGAGCAAGTTTTCCAGCTTGTGAGAGAATCCACTAATTGACAAAGTCATTCCAGAACGAGCCAATCCGAACTCGTGGTTCAGTCCACCAAGGCTTGCAAGGTAAGAAACACTGTTGAGCTCGTCGTCCAACATCTCCACAAACAGCGACAAGAACACAGAATTCAACGGAGTCGAGGTGGATCCAGGAAGATTAAATTTGAGCGTAACACCCGATCTTGGACCACCGAGTTTTGTGTTGATTTTGAACCAGACCTTGGAACTTGGACTGTTGAAAATGAGTTTGGGATAAACGATTTCGCTGGACTCGTCCTTAGGAGGCTCAACCAACGAGAACTCAGTTGGGATGAAAATGTTGCGGTCTGGTAAACGGTACTCTTCATAATCAGAGCCTTTGTAAATATTGTGAAGCGAGTCAATGATTTTGCTATCAATTTTGGTGGGTTGATACTCAGTTCCATACCATTTCTCGGTGAGAACATTGCCATTCGAGAAGTCTCTCTGTGAGATCAATGTTGCACGGAAGTTCTCTGGATTCAAGAAAGAAAGGACGTAGCTGATAGCTTCAGGATCATACTTTCTGATCACGGAGGTACTCAGAAGCTGGTCAGGAGAGATCTGTGCACGTGGTGGAATGACCGGCATCTCCTCCAATGGATGTTGTCCCTTGGTGTTATAATACTCCAACCCGTGGAGAGAGCCAGCCAGCCGACTAGCAGTTTGACTGGCACCACGCTTCTGTTTGAATTTAAAGCTGGTGATGCTCTTGTCGCGTAATTCCTGAAAAATCCATTCCTGTGGACCCTGAACGTTGAGCATTCTGATGTATTTGAACACGTGCTCCAGAACCTCCGTGTGGTGATCGAGACCGTCATTTGTCAGTTCCACGTTGATGATGAAAGATGAATATCCGGCAGAAATTGGTTCATGGCCACAGCTCAAGCCGGTGGCCCATCCCTTCTGCTTGAAGTTGGCCAACAGTGAACCTTCAGACTCGTGGCCAATTAAGTGAGACAAGTACTGAGCAGGTTTCGACTCCCAGTATGGTCTAGTATCCGGGATCGGGAACGACACCTGTAAAGATCTGAGTTCCATGATCGGCTTGGCATGGATCAGGTACTTGTTGTACTCGTATGCTTGGTATGGTGACTTGGTCTCGATAGGAGGCTTGGCGTCCTTTTGGGCAATATTTGAAAACATGTCCACAGTCCATGACGTCATTGTATCGAGCGATTCATTAGAAATAATAACCAGTCTCATAATGTTAGAAGAGTAGTACTTGGCATGGAACTTGAGCAACTCTTCCCGCACGTCGAGTCCCTGTTTGATTGGAAGGTCTCCCAAAGTGGTCTTGTTTCCTGTGGAGAACTTGTGGTAAGGGTGATTTGGGTTTGTGAGGGATTTGTTGAGTTGATGAAGTCTCCATATATCAGCCTGTAAATTCTTCTTATTTTCTGAGTCAACAGCATTGATCTCTCTGTCTTTGCAATTTGGGTCGAACAACGGCGAGATGAAGAACTGAGAGAATCTGTCTAGTGCTCCGTGCATTGCCTCGTTTGCAACCTCGAAATAATAATTTGTGTGTTCTGACGATGTGAAGGCGTTGCTGAACCCGGAGTTTTTGGAGAGGTAGGAGCTGTATTCGTTCTCTGACGGGTACTTCTTGGTTCCCATGAAGAGTAAGTGTTCACAGAAGTGTGCCAGCCCGGGTAATGTCTCTGGATCTTGAAAAGCACCGACGTTCACGTCCAACGCAGCAGCAGACTTGTCTGTGGTAGGATCAGAGATCACCAGTGATACCAGTCCATTTGGCAGCTTGAGCAATCTGTATTGACGATCATCGATATCAGGTTTTTCCAGATTTTGGCTCAAGACTGTAAATTGGGACATTTGACGGAAAGAAGGAATATTTTGGGCACTAACAAAACGTTTTAAAGCCGGGAGTCTTGTGAGCATAAAAAAGAAATAGCGAACTATATACAATTTAACATTTTCAAGGCAGAGAAATTAGCGTAAAAAGTCGGTGGTTATTAGAATCGATGATGTCATATAGAGTCGTCGTCAAAGACCCATTTTGAGTGTAATGGGTTCTTTGGGGCCGATTTGCAGTACTGGTGGTCTCCCTCGGGACGCGATCCGTCTGTGTTGCCACTGAGCATGCTTTGCACGGAGAGAGAAACCGTACGTAGCGAGTTGGCCGGAGACCATCCATCGTAGAGTATATTAAGGCAAATGTGGCCGTTCGAGTAGATGTGTGGATGTATAGGGATCTTGTTGGGCCCGACAAACTGGACCTGTGGCGGTGCAAATGGGTAATCGTCTTCAATGATAAATCTCAAGCGGTAGGTCTCCGGATACAGTGGGTTGTTCCCCACCTTCATATCCACGTACTGGACAGAGATATCGTCCGAAGGAATCAGCTGCAGACTGTCACTAGCCTGGAATTGTTTCAACTCCTTCAAAATTCGATTTGATCCAAATCCCATGGGAGTATCTAAAACAGAATTTGGTCAACTTTTGGAGATCACGTGTGAAATGTCACATTGTGTCTCCTCAATAGAATACAAACTACACAAACCTCTACACACTTCCACGAGATGTTGGTTTGTCGCCGTGTAAAGCAGCTATTTCCTTGGCGTTTGACAGATTATTATTTTGCTACATGGTCTCGACCCTGGAGGTCCCCGCCATTTTTAAATCTCACCACATATAAAAATTGGCTGGGAAGAAGTTGGAAAAATTCGAGATGTTTCCCAACTGTAGTTTGACTAGTGAATTGGAGAGCTCCAAGATGCTACTTGTCAATAGTTCTAGCCAATCGCATCTTCTGCCCCCAATGCATTTTCCCCTGAACCCCTACAAAACCTTGGGCTCCGCTCCCGCAATTTGAAACCCAAGTTACCCGGTCTTCTAAAAATAACTTCCGAATAGAGCACAAATTCTCATCCGGACAATAACAAAAAAAAGTAATATAAATACACAATTCTTCATTCCCTGTTTTTGTAACAACATGAAGTCGTTCATCTTGCCACTCGTTTTGGTGCTTTCGCACATCTCTCCCGCTCTCGCTACTCCTCCAGCATGCTTGTTGGCCTGTGCTAGTGAGGTCGTGAAGGGATCTTCCCAGTGTTCGTCTTTGAATCAGATCGGCTGTGTTTGCAGCAAGGAGTCCTCGGCTTTAGAATCTTGTCTTCAATCCAAGTGTGGTGACAACGAAGAGGCCGCTTTGCAGGCATTTTTCGACGTCTGCAAGGACGTCGACGTCGACGTCAGCTCCAGCGCATCGTCCTCGAGCTCGTCGTCCAGCTCTTCTAAGAGTTCTTCCAGCTCCTCGAGCTCCTCGAGCTCTTCCAGCAGTGCTGCTCCATCCTCTTCCTCGGCAGTTGTTTCCTCCTCTTCCGAGGCCGTTGAATCCAGCTCTTCCGCTGCTGCCAGCTCGACTGCTGAGCCATCTTCCTCGTCCGTGGCCGCAGTGTCCACTGTTGTTTCCTCTTCTGCTGCCCCAGTGACCTCTTCGAGCTCTGAAGAATCTTCCACTTTGGCCACCTCCACCACCTCCTCTTCTATCGCTAACGAGTCTTCTGCCATCGCCATCCAGTCTTCCGCTGGAGCCGTTGCCCTTGCTGCCAACGCAGCTGGTCTCGGACTCGGTCTCTTGGTGGGACTTATTTAGATACCTAGGTTCTAGACCATCATACCCAAATATTATCCTGTACACCTCGAACCAGATTTTTATAATAATAAAAATCGTGTTGTTTATATTTTTGAAGCGCTTCTCCCTTCATGCTAGACACGCTCCCTTTGAAGCAGTACCAGGAGAATTACCAGGCCATTCTGGACAACAATCCGTTGCCGTACGGCAGTCTCCGTGGAAAAGTCCTGAATAGCGATCAATTCTGGCGCGACCACGGAGACTATGAGCCTGTTCTTCGTCAACACGTTCCAGAGAAATACCACAAATACTTTTCCAGTCCACGCAAGACGCCCCGTGCGCTGGACGACTCAATCGAAATAGGCCGCTCGTACAGCCTGAGCCCCGTGAAGAAGCGCGAGCCCTCGTACGGACATAAGGAGTCGGAGAAACTCGTGGACGATCTGTTTGAGGCAGACAGAAAGCAGTATGTTTCGCGCGCAGACGACGACGATCCGAGCAGATCGCTGTTCCAGCAGACATACAAAGCATTGAGCTACGATCGCAGCGCGCAGGGCGAGAAGCTGAACTCACTGGTGAGGAAGATCAGCACCGAGTTCCAGGAGGTGCGGGACGAGAACGGGGTTTTACGCAGAGAGAACAACAACCTGCGGAGCAAGTTGAAACAGGCCAAGGAGGAGAACCAATCGATCACGTCAGCCACCGAGTTTGTGAAGTCCAAGTTCGACAAGTACTATGCTGAGACCTTGAAGCTTAGGGAAGAGCTCGCTCGACTCAAGACGTCTCCACAAGAGGCCGCGCAGCCACCACAGACGCAACAGACAACGTCGCACCAGACACTGGACGAGCAATTGGCCATGAACGAGGAGAGAATGAAACAGCTGGCCTTGTCGACGCAGCAGCAGCTCGAGGCGCTCGAAACCGAGAAAGCTAGCCTGTTGAACCAAAAGGAGTCTATCCACATCAACCCGGAGATGGTGACTGTGATCACGGTTGGCGACGGGGTGATCAAGGTGGAGCAGAAACAGGCGAACGGCGAGAAGCCGAGCCAGGTGCGGATCCAGCACGCAAACGCCCCACCGACTGCCAAGGAGCCACAGGAGCCCAAAGAGCCAGCCAAGGCGTCCTGCCCCGTTTGCTCGCACGAGAAAAAAGTCAACTTCGAGTCCGACGACGGCAGCGACGACAGCGTCCCGCTCGACGACACGATGATCTACAAGAAAACGCACAAGCCGGGCCTGTTCAGTGCGGCCGCCAACAAACATTCCGAGATAAACCCAGACTTATCGTGGTGATTAATTAGCATCCATCTACGTATAATACACTACCTCTTTTTGCCCTTCTTCTTACTCTTCTTCTTGCCAGCGGACTCCTGTGCTTCCTGCGCAGCGGCCACAGGCTGGGCCGGTGCCTCCTCCGGCTTGAACTCGACGTTACTCATCACACTGGAGAACCCGTCCAGATGTATGGTTTTCTTTTCTTGGTTGTCGGTCTTGGTCATTGAACTTCCGCGCGGACCCAAAACGTTGACCAGTCTGTTGAACTCCTTCGACTTGTACGTCTTGAACGTCAGACAGATGCCTGTCTTTGGATTGAACGTCTTGAACTTGATGACGGCTTTTGGCGGTTTAGTGGTCGATTTCGACCCCGATTTCGAATGCGTGTACGTGATAGACACAGTGGTATCGTCGGGACTGGCCTTGAGCAGGTCCAGCGACTTCTGGATGAACCAGTCGCTCTGTTTGATCAGCGTCATGTCGAAATTTTCAGACAGATTTTACCTGGAAAAAAAAGCACCTTACGTAAGAGTCGTTATGTAGGAGACGAGATGTCGTCTTTAGCGATTGGGCAGGTCGACGCCCGAGTTCTTGCTGGTGCCCATGGCAGGGCTGAGCGGATCGGCGATGTGAATACGTTGCTCGTATTCGGTGGGCTCCATGACACTCGTGTGGCTGGGGTCCTCTATCGAGTCAGTCTTCTCGTTCGTTTCCGCCAGGTACTCTGGCGGATCAGAGTCTGGTGTGCCGCCGCGCACTCTGATCTGTTTCTCCGTGGACGGCTTGGGACCAAAGAAGGTCTCCTCGTCCGAGGGGTAGTGCGGCGGGAGCTGTTCACCTTGGTCGAGCAAAATGTCGTTTTTGATCGTTTTTGGCGAGTAGAACGGCGGGGCGCCAATGGCTCCCTCGTTCTGGTTCTCACAGAAGCCGAGTTTCTTCACGTTGGCCTCGATAAACACAAACCCCATCTGGCCAAGGTTAACGGTCACTTTGCACGGTGCGCCTACAGCGCCGATGCACGGATACAGCTCTGTTTTGAAGTTGCGCACGGCCTCCACGATCCGCTTACCGTTGTGCGTGATGTACACGGACCCATTGGATGCTTTGTAGCCGATTCCGACCACGTCTCCCTCGATCAGCTGTGGCAGAATCACCGGCAGATCGGGGTCGTTCAAAAACGGCTTGTTGCTCAGCCTAAGGAAACCGTCTGTTTGCACTGCAACTGAGTACGGACATGTTCCCGGCATCTGAAAGTTCGGGTACGGTTTGGTGCACAATCCAATGGCAACTGTGCATTTATTGTGGTCAAAACTGTACAGCTTTGTCTCGAAGTAGACTGTGTCGTTCTTTCTGTTTCTGATGGGGATAGGCAGGTTCAAGATTGCAGAGCTCTGCGACCGGCCCACAAACGTGATCTCGGTCAGGTCCTCGACAAAATATGGCACCTTCTTGAACTGCGCCTGACGGTAGTTTGGTTTCTTGGGCTGTAACAGGGCTGTGGTTTCAGAAACCTCGTCGAGCTCAGCGTCCTCCAAGTTTTGCACAAGCTCGGACATCTGGTCCTGGTACGTCTCGAAGTAGAAACTGCTGATGCCGCGGTCTCTGATCAGCAAATAAGTGGTGTCTATCTCGCCTGAAGTGTTGAAATGCAATACAGGGGGCGATATTTCGAAAAACTGTCTTGCAAGAATGAACCGAAGTCTGTCGATCTCGCTAAGCGACTTGTAAAGCGCGTCGTTTCTGTAGTTGGAAGGGCTGTACTTCAAAACATCGCATATTTGGTTGGACTCTAGCTCACTGGCGTCATAGAGGGAGTCTCTAAAGAAAAGGTAGTATATGAGCGAGAAAATGGAAACTAGCAGCAGTAAAGTGATGAGCGTGGAAAATATCACCAGATAAGTCAACTCAACTTCATCAAGCCCGGACGACCCGTCCATCTTGAATCTGAATATGAGGAGAATCGGAGTTGCCTGTTTTATGGGGAAAAATAAATGTAAAAGTAGCCGATAATAAGGTGAGCAATTTTACCCGGCGATCATAGATCACATCTAACATTCTTTACATAGGTACCTTACAGAAGCATTTCCAATGGGTTTTCCACAATGGTCTTGAGAGCTCTGATGTAGTCTCCTCCCTTGGCACCGTCCACGGTTCTGTGGTCGAAAGTACCGGTAATATTAATCACGTCATCAAACACAAATCCGTGCGGGCTGGCTTTGTCTGGCACCGCCTTCTTTTCGACAGTACCGATGGCCAGGATGGCGGATTGAGGAGGGTTCAAGATGGAGGTGAACAAGGTGACGGCGTGGTTCATTCCCAGGTTCGAGATGGTGATGGTTCCTCCTTGGAACTCTTCTGGAGAAAGCTTGTTTTCCTTGGCTCTCTTTCCGAGATCCTTCACCTCCTTGGAGATGGTCTCCAAACCCTTGGTGTGAGCATTCTTCACAATTGGGGTGATCAGACCAGCAGGAGTAGCAACGGCAACAGAAACGTCAACGTTCGAAAATTGTCTGATAACTCCCTCGTTCTCAAGATAGTATGCGTTGACCTCTGGCACTCTCTCGCAGGCCTTGGCAATGGCTTTGATAAGCAGATCGTTCACAGACAATCTGTATCTGTCGTTGGCATTGCTGTTCAACGAAGCTCTGAGCTTGAGCAGCTTCGACACAGAGATGCTAGAAGACACAATGTAGTCAGGAGAGGTCTGCTTGGACTCTGTGAGTCTTTTAGAAATGACCTTTCTCATGGTGGTCAATGGGATGTCAGTGTAAGCTGCAGAAGCAGGAGCAGCAGATGGGCTTGCAGCAGGAGCAGCAGCTGCGGCTGGTTTGTAGTTCTCAACGTCCTTGGCAACAATTCTGCCGTTAGGACCGGTACCCTTGACCTCCTTAAGAGAGATACCTTTCTCCAAAGCAATGTTCTTGGCCAATGGAGAGGCGAAGATTCTTCCAGATGGAGCAGAAGATGTGGACTTTGGTTTCGAGGCCTCCTTGGATGATTCCTTGGAGGATTCCTTTGGAGCTTCCTTGGTCTCTTTCGGAGCTTCCTCCTCCTTGGCAGCTGGGGCTGGAGAAGAACTGTCGCCAGCGTCGGCAGCAGTGAAGTTCTCAAAAGCAGCGACATCGCCAGACTCCTCAACGTACACGGCAACAGGCTTACCGACAGGAATGTCTTGGGTTCCGTCCGGAACAAGGATCTTAGCCAAGAACCCCTCCTCTTGGAACTCAAAGTCCATCGAGGCCTTATCGGTCTCGACCTCGGCAATCGCCTCGCCGGGAGACAATGCGTCTCCCACCTTCTTGTGCCACTTGACCAAGCTACCTTGGGTCATGGTTGGAGACAAGGCTGGCATACCGATAACCGTATGTTCAGGAAACTTGGAGGAGTAGAATCTTGTCAAGGCTGCAAATCTAAGCACTGGGCCTCTGGAAACCCGCATAGCAGGCCGTGAAGCCAATCTCAATGTGGCAATGGCAGACATTTTATATAAAATAAACTTAATTGAGCAAGAGCCTTCCCTAAAATCGTACAATCGCCTGCTGTTTTTTTTCCTCGCCGTAAAAAATCGTGGGTTGCGGAGCGATCTTTTCCTTTGATTAAAGGTAGCGACGATCGGCCCAAGGCCAAAGGACGAATTTTTTTTTCATCCATTTTTTCCATTTTGAACAAAACCATGGTCAACGGTCTGAACTTATCTGAAGAGTCCAAGGAGAGATTTTCCAAAGTCCTCGACACCAGCAAGACTATCGCCCATTACGGCTGGATTCCTTTCATCATCTACGTCGGATGGCAAGCCACTTCCAACAGACCAAACTTGGTCAGCTTGCTCTCCCCATTGCCAACTTTCTAAGGGCGCAAATTTCATATAACAATTACGCTACCTGTCTATAGATGTGTATTTAACATGTCACAGATCGTTTTGAATGTCCGCGTGTACGGAAGCCCCACAACGTTGTAATAGTCTCCGTTCACCCCCTGCATCATCAGGGCTCCAAATCCCTGGATACGGAACCCACCAGCAACCTGTAGTCCTTCGCCTGTCTCGGTGTACTGGTGCACAAACGCGTCCGAGACAGATCTTTCCATGAGAATTTCCGTCACCTCGGTGAACACGGTGATTTTGCAGTTATCTGGCTTCCCCTGCGTTGTCTCGTCACTCAGCAACATCACCACACCAGAAAGAACACGCACCGGTTGTTTCGAGTCCCGCATCTTGCAAATAGCACGGAAATTCTCTTCTTTGGTTTTGGGCTTCTCGTAAATGATTCCCTCGTTCTCCACAACCGTGTCGGCAGAAAGCAGGAAAACCTTGTCTGTCTTACCTTCCTTCTTCAATTGGTCCCACACAGCAAGACACTTGCCCTTTGCGGTCTCCCTGACATACTCCTCTACGGTGAAGTCTGATTTTGGCAGGTTCTCTTCAAAATCAGACGGGCAGATCTCGGGATGGAACCCAATCATCTCGAGAATCTCCTTGCGCCGCGGCGAGGTCGAGCACAGATAGAACCTGTAATCGGAGAGTTTCTCGTACACCGGGTGCTCAAATACAGTCATGATTTGATTAGAGTTTATTCTTGCTGATTAGCCAGTGAAAATTATACACACCTCACACCCCGTGACTAGAGAGCAGCGAGATCATAATCGATGTTGTGCTGTTTCAGCTTCTGCTGTCTCTTCTCGTTCTGTTGCTGGTATTTCTTCTGTAGCTTTTCCCATTTAGCGGTCGATTTGGACTTGTCGTTCTTTAATTGCGCAATCTTGTTCCATGGCACTGGCTTGAATTTCGAGTTGGCTCCCTTGAACAGCTCGTCGTGCACCTTTTCGGCAGGAACCACCGAGCATTTCAGCAGGTGGCCAAAGATCAGATAGTTGTTCATCGTCTCGGCGGCAATCTTGGCGACCTCGGCGTGCTCAAACTCAATAAAAGCGTAGTGTTTCGATTTTCCGGTCTTTTTATTTCTCGACACTCTGAGTCTAGTTATGTCTCCGAATTGGTTGAAATACTTCTTGAGCTCTTCCTCGTAGAATCCGTGAGGCAGTCTTCCGACGTAAACAACGCCGTGCTTGGACTTCTTCGAGCTCTTTGCGGAATGTTGGGAGCTCACAGGAGCAGGCTTCGTAACGGTATGCACAGTATTCTTGGTGGTTATTATCTCAGCGTCATCTTGCTCTGGCTCCTCTTCAGCAGACTCAAACCCTTCGAGCTCGTCAGAGTCGTCAGAAGACTCACTTTCGCTAGGAAGCTCGATTTCATCGTTCTCATGCTCGGGTTTACTTTCTTCTGGTTCTGGAACAGGTTGCTTTTCTTCCTCGTTCTTCAAACTTTTACCGATCTTGCTAGATCTAGTTCTAGTGAGGATAGGCGAGCGGGACGAAACCTTCTTGGAAGGCGGAGTAGACACAGCTTTACGGGCCATTATTATTTAGAAAAAAAATCTTACAAAATTTTTTTTTTTGATCTGAATGAAGCTGGTGCAGAGATGTAGAAGCTGGTTATTTGTTGGGTAGTGAACAAACACCAGAGCTGGGATGAGGTAGGCCCATCCTGATACCTTTGAGTTGCTGCAACTAACCAGACATATGCCATCTTTGCGTATAGCCGATTTCTCGGGGATATGTTCACATTCGAAGTAAAATTCCGTCACATATTATTTTTACCTGATTTAGAAACTTATACGAAGACAAGATAAGAAAAAAAACACGACGGTTTTAGATCTTTTTAGACCTTTTTACTTTTTCAATCCGTTGATCATGAGCACAGTGTTTACAGCAGAAGAGGTTGCGGCCCACAACACTAGAGATGACTTGTACATTGTTTACAAAGGAAAAGTGTACGACTGTGGATCATACTTGGATGAACATCCAGGAGGAGAAGAGGTGATTCTGGACTGTGCTGGAACCGACGCCACTGAACCATTTGACGATATCGGACACTCCGAGGATGCTCTCGAGATTCTTGGAGGTCTTGTTGTCGGAGAACTCAAGGGAGGCGCTACTATGAAGCCAGCTGCAGCTGCTAGTTCGTCGTCGTCGTCTGGCTCGTCGTTCCCACTAATTGCTGCTGTTGGTGTTTTGCTCGCAGCAGGTGCATTCTTCCTTCTTAAGAAATAGGTGGCTAGAGCTGTTTGTGGACTAGATTGTGCAGGCAACGTGCTTACAAAGGCTATAGTTTGTTGAACAGATTATAGAGGTAGATTAATTTATTACCGGTTTCCAGAGCGACCGTCCAAAAGATCCACAACTTGTAGCAGGGTGGGTGAGCGTGTCCGACGACAACACGTCTTACTGGGATCTTGAGATCGACCACTTACTAATTAGTTGTCTTTTATTTGTCGAGACCAACGGTTACCCGGACGCGCAGTGGACGTGTTGATAGGTCGCGTAGAATTGCACCTGAGATCACTATGGCAGCACCAGATGGTATCCCAATTGCTGCCAAGGCCACAGGGCGCGTTTTACCGGGTTTATTTGGTGTCGCCAATGCGCTGGCACGGCGATCGGAGCCCTACTAGGAAAGCGCTTTAACTTTGGCAACTTGTCGCGCGCAGGGTCGGTACAGTCGCGTCGGTAGTCCATGTTGAGATGACAGGTGGTACAATAAGACAACAAACAGGACAATACCCCGTGTAGAGGCAGCTAATAGCCAGTAATGAGGGACAGAAAGCAAAACCCAAAACCCTGGTCTGTTTTGCGAGACAGCACGTCCCAAATTCGCTAAACAGCTGCCCCAGTCAGGCTGTCCCAAACATTTTCGCGGGAATTATTTTTGGTTATTACCTTTGACACCACATGATTCTTTCGTTGCTAAGCATTCTAGTTCTTCTGGCCGGGGCGTTTGGTTTAGAGGATCAGCACGAGCTGGAAAACGGTAAGGCGTTCCAGACGTGCGCGTATGTTGCCAATTACGAAAATTCGCGGTTGTTTTTCATTTCGCAACACCTCACCCCCGAGATTACCATCCAATTCCAAGACGTCCCGGAGGCTTCCATCGACACGCTGATCATTGCTGGACAAGATTTGGAGCAAGTGAAGTTGGACCCGCCTCCTGCAATCAAGGTCTGTGACGAAAGCTCAATCAAAAAGGAATTGTGTACTTACCCATCTGCTGAAGAGCTTGATAAACGGATACCACTTAGCGAATTCATAGATGCCGACAAACACAGCTTCCCGCTAGAACATTACAATTTCGTGCCATCTGAGGAAACTGACCGCCAACACGTTTTTGAAGTTAAAGACACCTCTATTTACTGTGTTGTGTTTATCGCCTCAAACATTCCAGAAGACGTTGGCAAGATTAGCGTGGTTGTGGACTGGAAACAGAGCTTCGGTAACCTGCTGGTGTCGGACTACCACTTCCTGTACTGGGACTTTACTCTGTTTTTGCTGTACGCGTCGCTTTTTGGTCTCTTTGTCGCGTATCTTTATCGGAAAGTGCGTCTCGACAAGACCAATGCTGTTACCTCCACTAATGTTTGGCTCAGAAACTTCACCTTGCAGCTCAAGCTGCTGTTCTTTATTGCTGGTACGTCTGTGGCGTTCTTGGAGTCCGTCACTGTTCTGGCTCTTTTGAACAAACACGGCTACGGTTACTATTCGAGCCTCACGGTGGTGTTTTTGGACGTGTTTTCGCTCACGTTCACGGCTATTTTCACGGTTTGGATCGTGTACAACTGTTTGGTCATCTCTTCTGGATTCCTCTTCTTCAGCAACCTCAAGGACGCTAAGAGATACAAGGTGTTCCGCATTGTGTCAGCTGTCCTGCTCCTTCAATTGCTGCTATACTCAATGGAGGAAGCAACCGTGTTTTCCATTCTGGGAGGAAAAGCTTCTTTCCTTGGGAGTCTGATCTTCTTCGAGCTGGTTTTGGTGTACTTTGCATGCTGCTACTACGCGTTCAACACCTATAAGCAGCTGAAAAACCAATCATTGCGGCTCAAACTCGTCACAACATACGTTCTGCTTACCGTCATGAGTCTTGTTGAGTTTGCTATGCGCATCAGAGTCAACTACGACTTCGGCAACAATTTACTGTTAGAAATGGCCACAAACACCACCATCGTCTACACTCTGAACTATGTCATCACGGTGGCTATTGTGCTGGTGTGGAAGGACGTGAGCTTGCAAAACGGTGAGCTTCTACCGAAATAGCCTGGCCGGTGTAGAGGTTTGTACAAAAACATTTTGGAGGATTTTTTTTCGTTCGTAAACCTCGTTTAAAGAGTAAAAAATTGGCTGTTTTTTTTTTGAGTAAACAGTCAATCGTTCAAAAGTTATTGTTATCAGCTTATTCTTTGCAATTCGAGCAAGATGGAGTTCCTGACTAACAATATTCCGGTTGCAAACAGCACTCTATTTACAGACAACTTTAGAAACTTCGACTATGAGGGTTTGAAGACCACTGTTGTTACAGCATGGCAACAGACTTCATGGTGGTTGATTGTCACTGTGGCTACGCTCGCTGTTGTTTTGTACGACCAGGTGATGTACCAAATTTATAAAGGGTCGATTGCAGGTCCTCGCTACAAGGTCTGGCCTGTTATTGGGCCGTTCTTGGAGTCGTTGGATCCAAAGTTCCACGAGTACCAAGATAAATGGGCTTCTGGACCATTGTCGTGCGTTTCTATTTTCCATAAGTTTGTGGTGATTGCCTCTACCAGAGATCTTGCCAGAAAGATTTTCCAGTCGCCAAACTACGTCAAGCCATGTGTTGTTGATGTTGCTATAAAAATCCTGAGACCTTCCAACTGGGTGTTCCTTGACGGTAAGGAACACTCGGATTACAGAAAAGGTTTGAATCCGCTGTTCACGAAAAGTGCACTGGAGTTATACATTCCCGACCAAGAGAAGATTATGGACGAGTACCTCAAAACGTTTGTTGAGATGACCAAAGACGAGCCAAGCGTGTTTTTCCCAGCTTTCAGAGAGCTCATGTGCGCCATTTCTTTGAAAACTTTCTGTGGAGACTACATTTCGCGTGAACAGATTAAGTCGATCGCCGACGATTACTACTTGATCACTGCAGCTCTGGAGCTCGTGAACTTCCCAGTCATCATTCCTTACACAAAAACTTGGTACGGTAAAAGAACCGCAGACATGACCATGAAAATCTTTGAAAGCTGTGCCCAACAGGCCAAGGAACGTATCAACGCCGGCGGAGAACCTTCGTGTGTCATGGATTTCTGGGTTCAGCTTATGAAGCAGGCCAAGGACGGCAAGGGTGAGAAATCTGCCGACTCCAAAATGGTGATTAGAGAGTTCTCCAACAGAGAAATCTCCGAGGCTGTCTTCACTTTCCTATTTGCATCCCAGGACGCCTCTTCTTCTCTGTGCTGCTGGCTGTTCCAGCTTGTTGCTGACAGACCTGACGTGATCAAGAAGATCAGAGAGGAGCAGCTGCGCATCAGAAACGGCGATCCTCACGTTCGTCTGACCGGTGAATTAATTGACCAGATGAAGTACACCAACATGGTCGTCAGAGAGACCCTCAGATATAGACCACCGGTGATCATGGTTCCGCACGTCACCAAGAAGGCATACCCAATCAGCGAAAACTACACTGTGCCAAAGGGAGCCATGGTGATTCCAACCGTGTATCCTGCTCTGCACGACCCTGAAGTCTACGAGAACCCAGACGAGTTCATTCCAGAAAGATGGGTCGAGGGAGCACCAGCATGGGACGCTCCAAAGAATTGGCTTGTGTTTGGAACCGGTGTGCACAGATGTCTTGGACAAACCTACGTCCTCATGACCTTCACCGCCTTGATCGGAAAGGCTGCCATGTTCCTCAACTTTGACCACAAGGTGACCCCGCTCAGCGAGGAAATCAAGGTGTTTGCCACCCTCTTCCCAAAAGATGATCTGATCATGCAGTTCACTCATAGAGACCCAACGGTTGTTGAGTAATCCTGGGAACTATTTATGCCCCCGTTTTGGAACCCTATTCAAATACACCTGTACACCATTATTGATACTGTCTAGCTACCCCTTTACTCTAAATTTCGCCCAAACCCCGATTACCCGGGGTCAGATTCATTTCACGTGACTTTTCGTCAGTAGGGATTTGCACCGCCACCCTAAACATTCAAAGCCCGCCAATAACAGCCTCATATATCATAAGCAGCGGTTTTTGAGTACGGGAACTAGCCACATTGTGGCTTCCACGCGGAGTGAGACTAGCCTTATATCTAAAAACTTTTATTTGCACTAATCGCTATTCTTCAGCACCACTCATGGCTTCTGTCACTCTTCAACAGGCCTTTGCACAGGTTGCAACCGTCTTGGCTCCGGTCTCCGGGTTCAAGGCGTACTCTGTTGATCCATCGCAGACCTCGTCTCAGATCGAGGCTCTTTCTTCTAATGACTGTTTAGAGTTCATTGAGGAATCCGCCGCTACTGTTCTGGGACTCAAGTCTGTTGACCTTATCCAGCAACTTCCAACCTTGTCCAAAACAACACAGAAATTTGTGATTAACTCTCCAATTGTCAATGACGACTACTCTGCTGTTTTGGCATGTAAAGATCTTGGCTTCCCACTTTTGATCTCGTCCAACGCTCAGGAGTCGCTCGACTTCTCTGTGTTGGCCCAGCTGGTTGCCAAGTTCTCCAAGTCCACTGTGATCCACTTCCATCAAGACGAATCTTCCACCGTCAAGCAATACTCCGACTCTAAACTTTTGAGCACGTTTTCCGATTTCCAAGGTGAGGACCTCGAGTCTGCCTTCGCATCCCTGAAAAAGCTCACTGGAACGTTATACTCCGAGTTCGAGCTCGTCAACTCGTCCTGGTTCACCAGAGTCCAAGACTATTTCCTGCTTTTAGGTAACCAGAACGCTCTGGCTCCGTCGCTTCCTTCTGAAGTTGGACTTATCTCTGTTAAGGTGTACAGACCATTCAACTTGAACAAACTCGAGTCTTTGATCGGCTCTTTCAAGGGCACCTTGCAAATTCTCGAACAGAGCTCTCTCCAATTGGACTTCCAGCCTCTTTTCCTGGACGTTCTGGACCTGCTACCAAACCTGTCGTCTGTGGTTTCTTCGCAGCTGCTCAAGATCGACTCCGAAAACGCAGCCAGTGTTGTTGAAGACCTGTTCGCTAACCTTGACCAAGAAACTCCCGCTCAAAACTTGGTCTTTGGTAAGCCTTTCAACTCGCTGTCATCCACCATTTCGCGCTCGGCCGCTCTTAACGAGGACATTTACGTCAAGCTTCTCCGCCAGGCCATTCCTAACTTGTCCATTCTGAACAACATAATCCTTAACCCTTCGCCAGAGTTTGCTTTGGGTAAGTTCCTGTACGAGGACGAGCAGAGAGCCAAACTGATCGGTTTGGTCGAAGACAACCTTGGACAGTTCTCTTCCTCCGACTTGAGCGACAAGTTTGCTTCGTGGCTGATCAAGGCCAAGGACGGCGAAGAGGTTGATGGTTCTGACTTGGTTGAGATTCTTTCCCAGATCGACACTCCTATTGTGAGAGAAGTTCTTGCTTTGAAAGAGTACTTCACCATAAAGTCCAACTGGCTGATTGGTTCCGACAAATGGTGTTTCGACCAAGGACTGTCCACGTTGCACCAGGTTCTGAGCTACAACAAGAGAGTCAAGCTTCTCATTATCGACTCTGACTCGTCTCTGAACAGAAAGCAAGGCAAGAAGAACGCTGGATTGTACGCAATGAACTACGGCAACTCGTACGTCGCATCTGTTGCTCTGTACTCGTCGTACTCCCAGACCTTAACCTCTCTTTTGGAGGCCAACAACTTCAAGCAAGGACCAGCCATTGTGCTCGCATACCTGCCTCACTACGAGGACCATCTCGAGATCCTTAAAGACACCAAGAGCTCGGTTGACACTGGATACTGGCCTTTGTACAGATACAACCCATTCTTGGAGAACGACGACCAGTTCCAGTTGGACTCCTCGTTCATTAGAAACGAACTGAAGGAGTTCTTGGACAGAGAGAACAGACTGACTCTTCTTGCTGCCAGAAGTCCAAAGCTCGAGTTCAACCTTAACTCCTTGAACAACAAGATTGACAAGAAGATCAACGAGAAGTCCAAGCAGGCCTTCAGCAAGATGTTGGAGAACTTGGGCGGAGAGCCATTGACCATCGCCTTTGCTTCCGACGGAGGAAACGCCGAAAACGTTGCCAAGAAGCTTGGAAGAAGAGGTGCCGCTAAGGGTCTCAAGATCAAGCTTTTGGCTATGGACGACCTTTCTCTCGAGGACCTGCAATTGGAGACCAACGTCGCCTTCATTACCTCTACTTCCGGACAGGGAGAGTTTCCAACCAACGGTAAGCAGTTCTGGGAGGCCCTGAAGTCGAGCACTGTGGACCTTGCCAACCTCAAGTTTGGTGTGTTTGGTCTGGGTGACTCCAAGTATTGGCCAAGAAAGGAAGATGCGCACTACTACAACAAGCCGGGTCAGGATCTGTTCAAGAAGCTCTCGCTCTTGGGCGCCATTGCCTTGACCGACTTGGGACTCGGTGACGACCAAGACGCTGACGGATTCAACACCGGCTACAACGCTTGGGAGCCAAAGATCTGGGAATCTCTGGGAGTCTCTGTTGAGAACGCTGACGAGCCACCTCCAATCACCAACGAGGACATGAAGATCAACTCCAATTTCCTCAGAGGAACTATCCAGGAGGGACTGAACGACACGTCCACCGGTGCCATTTCTGCTTCCGACCAGCAAATGACCAAGTTCCACGGTATTTATATGCAAGACGACAGAGACATCAGAGAACAGCGCAAGAAGGAGGGTCTCGAGCCAGCCTACTCATTCATGGCCCGTGTTCGTCTTCCGGGTGGTATTTCCACGCCAGCACAATGGCTCAAGATTGACGAGCTTGCTTCCAAGAACGGAAACGGCACTTTCAAGATCACCACCAGAGCCACCTTCCAGTTGCACGGTATTGTCAAGTTCGACTTGAAAGAGACCATCAAGGAGATTAACGTTGCATTGATGGACACTCTTGCTGCTTGTGGTGACGTTTGTAGAAATGTTATGTGTTCTGCATTGCCAACCAACTCGCACTTGCACTCGCAGTTGGTGGACACTTCCAAGATCATTTCGAGACAGCTGCTTCCAAACACCACCGCCTACCACGAGCTGTGGCTGGACGACTTGAACGTCGAGAGAGGACTGGAGGGAGGTCCAAGAAAGATCAAGGTTGGAGGAGACACCATTGTGGACTCCGAGCCGCTTTATGGACCAACTTACCTGCCTAGAAAGTATAAGATCGTGCTGACTCTGCCACCATACAACGATGTGGATGTGTGGGCCCACGACGTGGGACTCATCGCCATTGTGGAGAACAACAACATCATTGGTTACAACGTTCTTGTTGGTGGAGGTATGGGTACTACTCATAACAACACCAAGACTTATCCAAGAACAGGATCCATGTTTGGATTCTGTCCGGCCGAGGACATCCACATTGTCTGCGAGAAGGTGATGATTGTCCAGAGAGACCATGGAGACAGAAAGAACAGAAAGCACGCAAGATTAAAGTACACCATTGACGACATGGGAGTTGATGTTTACAAGAGCAAGGTTGAGGAGCTGTGGGGCAAGAAGTTCGATGCTCCAAAGCCATTCAAGATCGACTCCAACATCGACTACTTTGGCTGGTGTAAAGACGAGCTGGGATTGAACCACTACACCTGTTTCATCGAGAATGGTAGAATCGAGGACACTGTCGAGAGACCTCACAAGACCGGTTTGAACAAGATCGCTCACTACATGGTCGAGCACGGAATTGGTGAGTTCAGATTGACTGGAAACCAGCACATTTTGCTGTCCAACATTCCTGACGAGCATCTTGCTTCGATCAAGAGTCTATTGAAAGAGCACACTCTGGACAACCTGAACTTCACCAGTTTGAGACTTTCTTCGTCGTCGTGTGTGGCTCTGCCAACATGTGGACTGGCCATGGCTGAGGCCGAGAGATACTTGCCTGTTCTGATTGACAAGCTGGAAGTGGAACTCGAGAACCTCGGACTCAGAAACGACTCGATCGTGATGAGAATGACAGGATGTCCTAACGGATGTGCTCGTCCATGGCTGGCCGAAGTGGCACTGGTTGGTAAGGCTCCGGGAACCTACAACCTGATGCTCGGCGGAGGTTACAAGGGAGAGCGGTTAAACAAGCTGTTCAAGACCAACGTTGATGAGGAACAAATATTTAAGATCCTTGTGCCAATGTTCAGAAGATGGTCATTGGAGAGACAAGAAGGCGAGCACTTCGGAGACTTCGTCATTCGGGCCGGCTACATCAAGCCGACTCTGGAGGGAAAGACTTTCTGGGACGATCTTCCTGAGGATGTTTGAACGTATTCTTTATAGAAAAATGGAAATGCGATTCTTTATGGACTATGCAATTAGACTAATTATACAGCGGATTCTGGTTATTCCAGGTGTTTGAGAATTCGAAGTAGTGTGAGGTGTTGGACAGGAGTTTCGCGTTCGAGTTCCAAGATGTTTTTGATCTTCAAATCCCAGAACTTTCTGAGCACCTTGTTGAGTCTATTTTTCACCTTTGCGTTAATTTCGTCAGCTTGTTTACGGCCTGCTTCACGGAACGCCGCCTCCCGCTGATCGACCTCGCGCTGAAACCGCTGGATCAGGCGCTGTTTGTGTTTGCGCAGTAAACGCGGCCGTTTCGTAGAAGAACCCATGCAATGTTTATATTATTTACTTTATTTATTTCTTTCTTCCTTACACTACCTGCTCAACGCAGTGGCAAAAAAAAACTAAAGCTCCAAATAGCACTCTTGAATCTTGAAGATGGTTTTGGAAGCGTGCATGCTTGTCATTGACAACTCGGAATATATGAGAAATGGCGATTATCTCACGTCGCGGTATCAGGCGCAATTGGACACGGTGGAGCTGATTTTCAGACGCAAGACGAACTCGAATCCAGAAACCACTGTTGGGCTGATGACGATGGCTGGCGAATCGCCCCGTGTGATCAGCAACTTGACTACCGAGTACGGGAAACTGCTGAGCGGACTCCACGAGAGCCGGATCGAAGGCTACAGCAAGCTTGTGGAAGGGATCCAGGTGGCTTGTCTTGCATTGAAAAATAGACAGAACAAAGCGCAAAAACAGCGGGTGGTGGTGTTTGTGGGATCGCCAATCAAGAGTGACGGCGCAGAACTAGACAAGTTGGCCAAGAGACTCAAGAAGAACGGAATTTCGATCGACTTTATCAATTTCGGAGAACAACAGACCAACACGGAACAGCTCGAGAAATTCATATCGATAGCAAACAGCAACGACTCCTCGCATTTGATAACCGTTCCTCCAGGACCTAACCTTTTGTATGAACAGGTGGACAGATCAGCATTGTTTCAGGAAGAGGGCGGCGCCACAGGTGGGCTTGGTATGGGTGACGAGTTTGGGTTTGATGACCCAAACATGGACCCAGAATTGGCTTTGGCCATCAGATTGTCATTGGAGGAAGAGCGTGCAAGACAGGAAAGAGACCAGCCGCCAGCAGAAAGCAATCTGGAGTCGGTGAAGGAGGAGACCAAGGAGGACGATAAAATGGATGAATCCAACTGATTGAAATTTTTTGAGCCGCAGCTAAGGGTGCTTCCAGCGCGTAGAACGAGGATAAAATGCGGTTTAAAGTGGGCTTTTTCCTAGTTCTTAGGATCTAATAATTCACTTTGCTTAACTCTTCGGCCAGTAAGATGCTAGATGCTGGCTATAAACGGCACTCTGTCAACAAATTCGACCAGGCAAGTCCTCGGTAAGTTCCCTGCCCCCCAGATTTATTGGTTTCGACAAACTAATCCTAGTAGACACAATAATGGCAAATCGGATTCTTCTCCTACCAAAGAAATGCAAACCAGCACCGTTCTGACCGGCCAGTATGTTGCTCATCAACAGGCGCCTCAACAGGACTTTTCGTACTTGATCTCCATGCAAAATAAAACTCTCTTTGCCGTTCCTTTGACTAAGGAGACGTTCTCGGAGGCGTACAGCAAGGGCAAGTGGAACCTCTCTGCGGTTCCATGTCCTTCGTGCTACGCAAACACTACCTTGTTGAGACCTCCTGAGGCGTACAACGAGGGTAGAAGACTGAAAGCTGTTGATCTGTACTCGAATCTTCCCCACTGGAACAACACTCAAAGATTCAATGCGCTTCTTTCCAAGACAATGAAGATGTTCGAATGTAACGGTGCCTCGATCAGTTTGATCGACACGCGGTACCAAATCGTCAAGTTCCACCATAACCTCGGGTTCAAAGAGTGCGCCAGGACGATTTCCATTGACGCTCACGCGATCTTGTCTGCGGGGTTCTTTGCTCTTGCCGATGCGTCGCAAGATTGGAGATTCGCAAGCAGTCCGTTGGTCAAAGGACCGCCCGGGGTCAGATATTACGTTGGAGTTCCGCTTTGTACCAACTCCAAAGACGTGATTGGTGTGTTTTCGATATTTGATGCTTTCCCAAGATCCAGGATCGAGGAGAACACTGTGGCGGTGATGCAGCAAATAGCTGGCGAGATCATGGAGTATCTGGACGACAGTCAGGTTGGGGCCGTGAACACGGGCGCTCCAGGACAGCTGTCACCACCGTCGCCAACTTCCACAGAAGACTCTAAGACCATGCTCAAGAAGTACGGCAGAGCCACCAGCAGTGACATGCTTGGGTCGATCTTCGAAAGAGATGGGTCTGGCAGTCGGTACCAGCAACACAGTCATCTAAGATTCAGCAGATACAGCACTCCTTTGGGAGACATGATCGATTTGAACGTCTGGCGTAGTCTTGTGGGATGTTTGAGTGCGATCAGTGCTTCCAAGATGTTGTCCAAGATGTTAATGGATCGACTTGGGTTCAGTTGTGTTTATGTGATGAACATCAGAATCACCGAGCTGTTCAAGATCAATGCGGACCTTTTCCCAAAAGAAAACGAAATTGAGAGCGAATCGTACAAGTTTAAAAACATGTTACAAGGAGTCAGCGACGAGAACATCAACATGAAGCTATTGGGAGGCGACGGACTGCCTGAGAACCTGAACCTTGCCAGCTTCCAGCCAAACTTCCACTACAAGGCGTTCAAATCAGACTTTGGGCTTCTCTACGACTCGAGAGACCCTAAGGCCAAGTACCATTCTGGAGTGTGCATGCCATTCTTCCGCAGAACCGCCAAACTGGTGAGAAGACGCAAGATGAGCAAGAGCCACCGGGTGTCTGCGAAGACACGTGACGAGCTCCTGGAGCTGTACCACAAGTCTGGAGGGTGTCTGATTGCCTGTTTCGGGCTTGACAATAGAGAACTCACTGATAGAGAGATTGGCTACATCTACAGCTGTGCGTCGATTCTGCGCAGACTTTATTTTATGAACTAGTTGACATAGGATAATATACATGTTTTTTTTTCAATAAATGTTGGTAGCCAGATCTCTGAGTTTGATCTTGTTTGGGTTTTTCGAGTCCACCACGATTATATTGTTGATAACAAGGTATCTGATGAGCGGGTCGTCTTTGTTGTCGATTTCAAGCAGTTTGGAGCTGCCAGAGGTCATGATCGAGTTATTTAGCAAGATCTCCAGCAGTTTTAAGAACGTTTGTTTTCTGTCTTCTAGTTCCTGTTCCGAAAACAGGATCTCAAACTCCTTGCGTAGCACGTAGTCCACGATCAATTTCTTGGAGATATTGATCAGTTTCTTGGACCGTTTCTCGAGCCGGGCTTTTTTCTCCTCGTACGGGTCTCTGCACGAATCGTCCACCTGGTGGTCGAGCAGCTGCTGTTTCTTGGCGAGCTCGTCGTGGATGCGGGTCTGGAACTGCGATTTGAGCGCTGCAAACACCGACGCGGTCGATTCCATGTCGTCCTTGCGCGTTTGCAGACTGGAGTTGGCGGACTTGAGCGATTCGAGAGACTTGGCGGTGCCCTCGATGTGCGCGAGCAGGTTCTCCTCGGTCAACGACAGCCCCACCAGGTCGTTTCTTGGCGGGTGGAACGGGATCTTGGTGAGGGTGTCTGTGAGAGCTATCTGTGTGGACTTGAACGAGCTCTCTTGCTCGAGCGACCGGAATTGTTCGAGCTGTTTCTCTGCCGCCTGCAACAGCCGTTTCTTCAACTGGATCTGGTTCTCCAGGCTCGTCTGGTACGCGGTGTCGTACTCGGTGAACGACTCAAGATCAGACATGGCCGGTTGTCTAAATAATAATTTCGCGTCGCGTCGAAAATAATTTTATGGACGCTAGACAGAACGATAAAGAGGTGTCGTTGTATCTGGGGAACCTGGACCCCAAGGTTGACGAGACGCTGTTGTACGAGCTTTTTGTGCAGTTTGCGCCCGTCAAGAGCATCCGGTTGCCAAAGGACAAGGTGCTGCGCAGACACCAGGGGTACGGGTTTGTGGAGTTCTACAACGTCAAGGACTGCGAGTACGTGCTTAACATCTGCACGGGATTGAGTCTATACGAGAAACAGCTGCGGATCAAGAAACTTCTGGGCGGTCAGGGCGACGTCGGGCCAGTTGATGAGGATATTGGCCCGGTGGTCTATGTTGGCAACCTGGACAAGCTGACGGATGCGGAGAGCATTGGAGCCACGTTTTCGAACTTTGGCACGTTCCGCAAGCCGCCACAGGTCGTTTCAGGTGAAACAAGTAGCCATGCGTTCATCTTCTACAGCGATTTTGAGTCGAGCGACGAGGCCATCAAGGAAATGAACGGCAAGATCATCATGAACCGGCCGATCAAGCTGGACTACGCGTACAAGAAGGATTCCAAGGAAAAACACGGCAACCGGACCGAGCGGTTACTGTACGAGAAGGCCCGAGAAAACAATTTCGAGCTGGAGCAAAAGAGATAGAGACGGTGAAAAAAAATGGTTAAATAATTTTCAATGAGCGACATCGATCCAAAGCTGCTGCAACAACTGGACGACTCCTCCAGACAAGAAGTGGCCGAGTTCATCCAGCAGGAGACGTCCAAGATGAAGATCCAGACGTCTGTGACCGGGTTCACCGACAAGTGTTTCAAGAAGTGTGTTCCAACGATCGACAACGGCCAGTTGAGCAGCTACGAAACCAGCTGTATGAACGACTGTTTGAACCGGTTTTTGGACACCAACATCAAGATTGTGGAAATGTAAGTATTATTTCAGTGCAACAGCGTCTTGCTAACAACCAGACTCCAACAACTGAACAAATAGGGCAGGTAGAACGAAACGGTTCTTTTGGTGTATAGTTGATCGACCGAATAGATCTTGTGAATATGAATGGAGTAGAAATGGATGACAAGTTGTTTGGACGTGCTGGGCAATAACGCCCTGTGTCAGGTTTGCCCTTTACGGCAGAAAATAGGTGTGTTCCACCAGGCTCTTTCCGGCCGTATATTCTGCATTTCCGGCCTTGAAAATTAATTGTTTTTATTTACAGCTATGGGTACGTACGCTTTTTACTGTTCTAACTCCAGATAAATCGATCAAGCGCGGTCTCAACGACAGAATCTACGACAAGCGCAAGTCGGCCGCGCTGGAGCTCGAACGCGTCGTGCGCGACTCGCTCAGCACGGGCGACACAGACAAGATTGTTAACATCATTAAGCAGCTGCGCAACGACTACGCCTACGCCGTTCATCAGCCCAACGCCCGGTACGGAGGCCTGATCGGGCTCGCGGCTGTGGCCATCGCGCTCGGCCAGAACGAGGTGCCCAAGTACCTCGAGAGCATCATGCACCCGGTGTTGGCCTGTTTTGGAGACCAGGACTCCATGGTGCGGTATTTCGCGTGCGAGGCCCTCTACAACATCGCCAAGGTTTCCAAGGGAGAGATTCTGGTGTACTTCAACGAGATTTTCGACGTGCTCTGTCGTTTGGTCGCAGACGTAGAAATGAGCGTGAAGAACGCAGCAGATATTCTCGACCGACTCATCAAGGACATTGCCAGCGAAAAGGCAGCCACATACATCTCGATCCTGGCCAAACCCGTTGATCCGCCTCCCGCAAAGGTGGTCGACCAAAAGGGCAAGACGCTACAAGTATACGAGCCACAATTGCCCAAGGCCTTCTCTCTGGCGAAATTCATCCCGTTGCTCAAAGAACGCATGTACGCATCCAATCCGTACACGCGAATGTTTCTGGTCTCGTGGCTGCGACTGCTGGACTCGATCCCGGGTCTCGATCTGATCTCGTACCTGCCCTCGTTCCTGGACGCCTTGCTCAGTTATCTGAGTGCCAACCTGGAAGACGTGCGTGTGGTCACCGAGAACTTCCTCAAACTGTTGCTCCACGAGATTAGGAAACTGTCTGAAATCCAGAAAATGGTGGCCGAAGAACAGCAGGACTCCTCGGTTGAGAAAGACCTGTACATCCCCGGCCAGGACGTGGTGATCGACTACCCCAAGATCATCGACCTGCTCATCGCATCTGTGGACTCGTCCGAGGAGCTGATCCAGCTCGTGGCGATGCAATGGCTCGTGTCGCTGCTGGAGATTGCGCCCGAGTCTTTCATTGTGTTCATGGCCAAACTTCTGTCTGTTTTGCTGGCCACGATCTCGCATTCCAACAGACAGCTGAGCGAAATCGCCGTCACGCTCAATGCCAACCTCATGGACCTTGCCGCCTCCCATCACGCCGACATCAACTACACATTGATTATGAACCAGCTTACGTTGCAGTTTCTGAACGAGAAAGAAAGCACGCGACTGGCTTCGCTGGACTGGCTCATCATGTTGCACGAGAAAAACCCAACAAAGTTCCTGGAACACTCGGACAACACCTTCGTCACGCTGCTCAAGGCGATGAACGACCAGTCGGACAAGGTCATCGACAAGGACCTGGAACTACTGTCTAAGATTTCCAACCAGACAGACGACAAGTACTTCCAGTCGTTCATGGTTGACTTGCTAAACCTGTTCAAACGGGACCGCAAGCTGCTCGATACACGCGCAGATTTCATCATCAGGACCGTCTGCAAGTCTCTGGATGCCGAACGGATCTACAAGTCACTGTCCAACGTTCTTGCCGAAGAAGAAACAAACCTTAATTTCTTATCCATTATGATACAGATTCTCAACAACAATCTCATAATTGCTCCCGAGTTGGCTGATCTGCGTCAGAAACTGATCAGAGGAGAAGATTTTGAGCTGTTCAAGACGCTGTTCAAGTGCTGGTCGCTCAACTCGGCCTCGGTGCTGTGTCTGACTCTATTGACCTCAAACTACAACCTCAGCTACAAGATAGTTCTGGACCTAGCCAACTACGAGGTATCGCTGAACCTGCTCATCCAACTGGACTTGCTGATCCAGTTGCTAGAGTCCCCCGTGTTTGCCAGACTGCGTCTCGACCTACTCAACCCGCAGAAGAACATGTATCTATTCAAGTGTCTTTATGGTTTATTGATGCTGCTTCCGCAGTCCAACTCGTTCCACACGCTCCAAAACCGACTCAACTCGATCACGCCAATTGTGCATCTGCAGTTCGAGAACGTCCACGACGAAAAGCCGTCGCACAACGACACCGAACTGCTGGGGTATTTCGATAGCTCCCAAAAACGGCTAAACCACATGAAAAACAGCCAGTTTTACGAGTTCCATCCGAGCACAAACACAAACTCCAAGATCAAGGACCTTGTCCTGGACATTTCCAACGTCAACATCGACAATAGCTCGTCGACCCTGGCTCCGAAAAAACTCGACTATATCACCAAGTTTTCGGGAAAGCTGAAACACAATAAATAAGTTTCTAACGTCAATTCAACGGGTCTCTGAAATGTGCAAGGTTGTTTTGTTTGCGGATCTGCCGCAGACTCACCTTTTCTCTTCTCGTCTCGATCACCGGCCGAGCCACCGCGGCAAACTCCGCCTTGCGGTCTGCCACCATCAACGTCATGGTCTGTTCTCCCTCGCCAACCTCTCTGTCTCTGCGCGGAAAACTTTGTTTGTAGTATTTGGAGAACGACCGGCTTCCAAGAACTCGTCCGTCCGGTAGCTCAATGCCGCTAGGAAGAATTTTAACTGTGGTCAAATCGTCTTCGTCAAAAGTGTAAAATTTCTCAATAAGCTGCCGTTCCGGCCGCGTCTCGTACGGAATCACGCAATGACCCTTGCTGCGAATGTGCTGCCGTATGCTCTCAGTGTTCTTGCCGACAAATCCACACCGGAGACACTCCTTATGCAAGATCAGCGTGTCTCCAAGATACTGGAGCAGGCCACTCAGATCCGTCAAATACTCTTTTTCCGGGATGAAAAGCCCGTGATAACTCGACATGTGCGCAACGTTAGCCTCTTCGTCATCGTAGACGGCTCCGCAGTAGAAACAGTTTGTCAAAACCACCTCTTCTTCCTCCTCCGTAGAATAGCCGTCGGAATCGTCTGTATCCGAGACCTCTGTAGTGCTGGCGAACTCAAACTCGCTGTCGGCCCGATCAGAAACAAGATCATCCAGCGTGTACTCGGAGTCCACCCCGCTGTTCACCGTGCCAAGAGAAAACTCGCTCACTCTTGACGCAACAGACCCGGCTGGAGATAGGGCGCGTCGATCGGCGCGACGGCCAGCACCAGAGTCTCGTCTTCTTTGTCGTTTTGCGTCCTTTTTCGTCGGCTGACGGCGGCCACTAGTTGTCTTTTTGTGCACATAGAACCCAAACTCGTCCTGGGTGGCATTAAAAGCATCCTGCCGCTGCTGAAGAGCAACTTTCGACTGAAAGATAACAGACTCCACCGGAGTGAGTCCAGCAACCCGCCGTTTCAGATTGTATCTGTGCCAGTCGGTCTTCATGTGGATTCTCTGCACATCGGCCGTGGGCAGCACGATCTGGCACGAGTTGCACGTGTAATTTCCCGGTGTTCTGAAAGCAATGGACATAGCCTGGATTATAGAGAACAATTTTTTGTATTAGGTAATTACATAATCGCTTCTTTGGGCCACACCCGTTTGTACAATGCCATGCCCACGACATCCTGGGCGTTGAGCTTGCCGTCGAACATGGCCTTGAAGTAGCCGTGGGTTCCTAAAGACTCCTTGATCAGACCAGAGCGGCCCATCTTGGTGAACAACGGAATATGCTGGTAGTGTAGCACGTCCTTGGAATTGAAGAACATGTATCTGACGGTGACGACAGACTTGTGAATCTTGAGGATTTCTCCCGTGAGGACCACTCTCTTTGCCAGAATGCGCGTGTAGTCGGTGTTGAGGAAAGTACCTTGGGCGATCGGCTCGGCTCCGGAGGGAGAGTTCTTGAAGAAGATGGCTGGAGAGTTGGTGAAGCTGACAGGAACCACCGCGGTAGCAATCGACAGGTTCTTCTGGTGCAAGAACCGCTGGAACTTGGCCACGTTGTTCGAGTTGTTGGTGGCCTGACTGAACACAGGGTTAATTGGAAGCCGTCTGAATCCGTACTGAACCACCATCGAGTCCTTGGACTTGATCGGCTCCTCGTAGTCTTCCCAGGTCTGCACAGAAAAGTGACACACAGACAATTTGTGCTCGTTTGGAAGCAGCGAGTACACGGCAAGCGGTTTCTGCGAGGGATCCGACACACTTTCCACCACCTGCGACGGAACAACAATGTACAGTCTGCACTTGTCTCCTGGCTTGATCACGGCCTCAGACTTGGCCTGTTTCAGAACCTTGTTCTTGGTGAGCTTGTAGTTTCTCACTCTAAGGTATCTGTTCCAGTTCTCTGGTGTCTTGTCGTCCACCTCGTCGTAGTCCCAGTCGGCAGAGGCAAGCGACTTGAATCCACGGTACCGGGCCAGTCTCTTGGTAGCAGGCTCGTCTGGATGCAGCTCGATTTCGTCTGGGAACTCGAGTTCCTCTCTTTCTCTCTGCTTGAACGCCTCAAGCTGTCTAGACTCCTCTTCCGGCTCCAGGTCCATGTGCGAGGCGTCGTCGTTGTCCATGTCGTCTGACTCCATCTCGGAATCGGCCTCCTCGTTGGACTCGAGTCCGCGCTCCTCAATCAGCTCCTCGAGCTCCTCGTCGTGCATCCATCTCGCCTGGTACTCGGAAATTCCCTTTGGAAGCCGTTTCTCAGTTTCTCCGTCTTCCTCGTCCTCGTCGATCTCCCAGTCGTCCTCGTCGCTGATCATGTCAACCTCCTCCAAAGCTTCTCCTTCTTGCAACGGATCTAGAGACTCGCGCTCAGATCCAGCTCCAAACACCTCGGGCTCCTTTGAAATCCGCTCGATGCGTGAGACTGCAAAATCACCAAGGTCTGGAATATGCACCAATCTGTCGGGATGAAAGCCAATTCCTCTGGCTGTTCCTTCCACCACCAAATGGCCCTCCATCAGCCCCTCGGGCTCCCATGCCACCGTGTCGGCAACCATATACCCTCTGCTGTCGCGCCACGTGATCTGTTTCGGCTTCTTCTGGCAAATGGACCGCAACAGATTCAAAGACTCCATCGGAGTCTCCAATGCAAACAATTTATCGGTCTGGGGAAAGAAATGCTTGAAGAACGAGGTCAGCGACTTCAACACGTCCAGCTGCAAGTTCCGTTTTGGATACGCGCTCACCAAATCAGGCACCACGCCGAAAACCGTCGAAATACCCTGACTTTCCGCAGCTCTGATGATCTGTTCGCCGATCTTTGGATCCACCTCCTCGGTAGCACTCAGGCCAAAAATGACAAAATCAGCCACTTTCACGCTGTCCAGAACATCAATGAGACTGTTCATTTGCGGTATTATTATGTTCAAGCTTGTTTTGAACCGTTGCACCTTCAATTTGGTCACACCAAAACTTTCTTTAATCTGCAACCCTGGCTCGTTCACAGATCCAAGCAACATGTTGGCGATGTCGGTTCCGGAAACGTTACTGGTGAGCGGAATCACAGTGACAATCCGCTCCACATTTCCGTGGTCGAAAACAGACCGCTCCTCAAGTGACTTGGTGATCTTGTTGTGCTTCAATTGATTAGCCAGGTTCTTACGCTCCAGCTTGCTTTGGACCCGCACCGGCTTGTTGTTGGACTTGATCTTCTCGACCTTACCCTTGCTAGCGGCCTTGAGGGCCCGCTTCGAGGCGTGGCCACTCTTAAACCCCTTATTGGCTTTCTTCAGAGTAGCTCTGTGTCCTGCCATAATAATATGTTAGATCCTAAAAATTTGATAAAATATTTGAAAATTTCGAAAATTTTGAGCCGCTGGCCGGAAACGTCTGTGGCGGTGCTGGTTACGGGCAGCTGTTCGCGCAGCAGCCAAGAGCACAGCAAGTGCTAGACGAAATGGTGAGCCTCAGTCTTTGCTCAGAGCTGATTTTACGACCTCGTCTTCCCTCAAGTTCATCCTCTACGCCCCCAAACGAACCCTCCTCTTCTGCCCCCCTTACTTCCCCCAAACCTCACCCATTTCGATCTACTCGGTGCATGGATGTTTGCCTGCCCAAAAAATCGGGCAGGCCAGGCTTTCTGAAAAACTTCCTTTGATCACGTGCTCAAATTCAGGTCTGGCACTCTGACTGTGAAAAATTTTTGGTTACAATTATTTTCTATATATCGATAGTTAACAGGTAAGTTTGCCCAACAGCAACATAGCGACAGTGGAAGATCCTGTTTCAGCGTTAGCATATACGTGACCAGCACATCGTTCCTACCCATTCCAGGTCTTTCAGCTCGTCATTACGACCATTTTTCACCAAGTTCAAAAGCACATTTTTCCACTCATCACCATCAACGTTGATACACTTTGCGCTGAAATTTTAGGTTCTTCCTCCACCGCTTGCAACTCTCCGACATACTAACAGTTAGTCAACATGGCTCACGAAAACGTTTGGTACTCCCACCCAAGAAACTACGGTAAAGGATCGAGACAGTGCAGAGTCTGCTCTTCCCACCAGGGTTTGATTAGAAAATACGGATTGAACATCTGCAGACAATGTTTCAGAGAGAAGGCTCGTGACATTGGATTCAACAAGTTGCGTTAAATCACTGGACTTATAAACAGTGTATAGGTAATGTTAAAGCATAGTATGCCAAAGATTGAAAAGAAGGTGTAGAGATGTAGGAGGGGCCCTGGGATTTTTCTTAAACCCGTGATATATATCATGTCTTCTTACTTTGCTCTGGGAGCCACCGGATTGTGTGGCAATTTCTTCACCAACATTGCTCTTAAGTCATCGAGTGTGTCGCAGGTGTTCACGTTGACTCGGCGTGAGGTTTCTGTCTCTGGCGAGCCTTCTAAGCTGGTTGCCACCTTGGAAAAAGATACAGAGAAATGGCCTTCTATTATCAAGTCTCTGGACATTCCCAACCACTCTACGTACTATTCATCTTTTGGTACCACCAGAAAGGCGGCTGGCAGTGCTGAGGCGTTTGTCAAGATCGACGAAGGCATCAATGTGGATGCTTTCACCGCTGCGAAGGAGTCGGGCAAATTTGACACTGCCGTTTTAGTTTCCAGTACTGGTGCCAATGCAGACTCCCGGTTCCTTTATTTTGCCACCAAGGGCCGCATCGAAGATAAGTTGAAGGCATTGAAGTTCAAGCGGACTATCATTTTGAGACCAGGTCCATTGCTCGGTGAAAGAGCTCAATCCAAAGGTTTTGGAGAAAGCGTTATTAGAAGTCTAGGACCATGGGTTAAAGGAACGCCGCTTGCAGGCGCGTTTGGCCACCCGGTGTTTGCTGAGGAAGTGGCCAAAGTGGCTTTCTTCCTCAGTCAGAAGCCAATCGAGAAGGAAAACGAGGTGATTGTTGTTTCCAGCAGCGAAATCCTCAAGATTGTTGACGAAAACAAATTATGAACTAATCTGCTACCAAAAGATTTTCAATTTTATTTAATTTTTAATTAATCAGAGTGTAATGTCCCGACATCCTCAAATCACTCCATACAAATCATCAGAGGACTTTCAACAACTCAAACAATGGTTCTATAGCCCAGATCCGTCTCTTAGGGAAAGGGCTGTTCAGAAAGTCACCGCATACAGCACCAAAGGTAACCTTCCGCACTCTATGGAGGCTACTATGCTGCTGACAAGTTCCTGTTTGCTGGACGAACGGCTCACTTCTATGCGGTCTGACCTGACGCCCGTGAAGCTGAGCTTCACCATGTCGCTGATCAAGTTCTGTAACGGGCTGTTGGACCCGATCCAGAAGTCCACTTATGCTATCAGTTTAAACCGACTAGCGGAGATTCTGCAGTTACCAACGTACTTTGTGGAAATCCGACACGCTGGAACACATGAGACGCTGCCGTCGCTGGAGATGCTACGATTTGGTGCCCAGAATGCTCTCGAATGGCTTGAAATCAACTACTGGAACGAGGTGCTCCAGAGCACAACAACCACACCCCCAGTAGACGAAACCGAAACCGAAACTACCGGTTTGGCGGAAAGTTTCAAGACTCTGCGCAAGATCAGAAAGGAGGATATCTACAAGGTGTACAAGTTCGGCGACTCCACAGAGACAGGCACAAAGTACTGGAAGTCGATGAAGGTGCTCAAAAACGCAAAACAGGACGTTCTGGTGAAGTTCTTGGTGTTCCAGAACACTTTAATTCTGAAAACAGAGCTCACAGAGAAGAAAGTGAACGGGATCCGGTTTCTGTACAAGCCCATACTGGAGGAGTTGGGCTATGACTTGATTTTGGAGCTGTTCAATGTGCTGCTTTCTGTGGAGTCACAGGAAGAGATTTTCCAAGCCCAGCGGGTCCAATGGCTAGAGTATTTCCTGTCCAACCAGCTCACGTTCAGCCAGAACTCCATCTACTCTAAGTTCCTCAACACGCAATCTGTCGGAGTCATTTTCTCGCTTTTAACGAAGACCCCCGCAGACTACACGCCCAAACTTCTGAAAGTGCTGCTGCAACATCGCCAGCTGCTTGACCAGACGTTTCTTACCAATAAAGTGCTCGAACAGATCGAATTCATTACCTCATTTAATTTACCAGACCTCCCGCTCCAGCCAGAACGCAAAAAGCAGAAGATCGCGCAGATCTATCTTTTCCAGCCCCACGAAACGTGGGAACCAACTCCGTTTGGCCAGCTCTAATACGAGAACTTTGGTTTGAACTCGGAAGACAGCTCCAACAGTCCTTTATGTGAATAGTTCTCGGTCAATCGGCCCAGGATCACAAACTCGTCCACAAACTCGCGGCACTTGGCCGGCCCGTGCTGGTAGTGCACAAACGCAATTAAGTAGAATAGCAGCTTTGCTCTTGTGGACTGCTCCAGCTTGATTATGCGGTCTTCTGCCTCCACTCTATCTAATTTGAAATCGACCTCGAGATCCCGTAGAAATTGGTCTATAAATCGTTTGCGGAAAAGCATCGAGTGCATGTTGCGTGTTTCTTTGGATGGCTGGCTCAGATAGTCGTTCGCGTCGATGCCCGACTTCATGGCCTGCTGGAATAAATATACATGTATTTGTTTTTTCAACAACGCGCGTCCCAGTGTCTCCACGCTCTGAAGATCCATCCGCACGTCGGCTCCCCATTTGTCAGAAAACCGTGTTTTTAACGGGTCGTTCTCAGAGAAATAGCTGGCTCGATATAGTAAGTGATTGTCAAGCATGTACTGTTGGGGTATTATTTGGCGCAAAATGTTGATTCTCGACTCAGCAACTCGCCTGAATGCCATATCAGTTGCAAACTTCGTTTTCAGCGGCAATCTGGGTTGATGTCGTTCCGTCACAAACGACGGAACAAGACTGTTGTAGGCCCTTCGGAACATTGAAAATTTAAGATAATATTTGGGCTGTGCTATAAAAAATTTATCTAACATGGCTCCTAAGGCTTCTTCTACCAAGAAGAGCGGTTCTGACGGGGAATCGCCCAAAGCGAAGCTCCCAAAGCTTCCCACCGAGTTTATTTTGAGGCCTTCGCAAACAGAACTGAAACAGTCGGCCATCGTGTACGTTTCGCCGCAGATATTGTCTATAACGGGCTGGAGCACAGGCAGTTTTGTTAGAATCACCAGGGGACTCACCGAAGTGACGCTGATATTGCAGGGCTGGAAGCCGGAAAACGAGGACAAGTACGACCTGAATGTTATTCTTGTCTCGAACGAGATATTGTCGCTGACAGGCATGTTGCTTGGAGAAAGAGTGGAGCTGAAGAAAGCCGTTTCACAGCCAGCCTATGCAACCGAAATCCACGTTGATTTCGTTAGCCAGGACGAGTCCAAAGTGCAAGCCGATATTGTTGATTTGGGATTAGTTTACGAGAACATTTGCACGGACTCGTTTTTGATTTCGCAGGTGTCGAATCTGGAAACTGTCACCGATTCGCTGAACGAACTGTCACTTTCCTCGAGCGCAAAGCGCAAGCAATTGACGCCGTTCCTTGTTCATCCGAAAACGACGAAATTCGAGTTGCATTCTGTCGAAAAACTGCTGCCCCCACCGGCCCCGTACAGCTACGCCAGCATTGGAGGACTCCAGTCACAGATCGAGTCGCTGAAAAGAACAATCGACGTTCCGTTGCGCCATCCAGAGATCTTCCAGCGGTTTGGAATCGACCCGCCGCGCGGAGTGTTGCTCCACGGAAGCTCAGGAACAGGAAAGAGTCTTCTGCTCAAATGTATTGCTCACGAATCTCAAGGATGCCATATAATCAACATTAGCGGACCGTCCATTGTCTCTAAATATCTCGGCGGAACAGAGGAGAAACTGAGAGACTACTTCAAGGAGGCCATCAAGTACCAACCGGCGATAGTTCTGATCGACGAGATCGACTCTCTGACGCCCAGCAGGAACAACGAGGACGTTTCTGAGGTCGACACCAGAGTCACTGCCACGCTTCTGATGGCCATGGACAGCATTGATGGCGCCGTGATTGTGATTGGGGCCACCAACAGACTCAACTCGATTGACGCGGGTCTGAGACGGCCCGGCAGGTTCGACCAGGAGCTAGAGGTGCCGATTCCTGACGCTGATAGCAGATATGACATTCTCTCAAAACAGTTTATTTCTATGAAGGGCCAGCACGATTTGACTAACGAGCAAATCAGAGCAATTGCATCCGCAACACACGGCTACGTTGGCGCCGATCTAGTTTCTCTTTGCAGAGAGTCTATCTTGAAGTGTATCTCCCGAGGAATCTCGTCGCACGAAAACGACCAGAAAGTTAGCTACCAGGACGTCGAAGAGTCGCGTGCGGAGATCAGACCAAGTGCTATGCGGGAGATCGTGCTGGAGATGCCTAAGGTCAGCTGGGACGACATTGGGGGTCAGGAAGTGTTGAAACGCAAGCTGAAAGAAATGGTACAGCTACCATTGACGGCAGCACAGACTTTTACAAGACTGGGTATTTCTGCTCCTAAAGGACTGCTGTTGTACGGACCACCAGGCTGTTCCAAGACACTTACGGCCAAGGCACTGGCATCGGAGTCGGGTCTGAACTTCCTGGCGATCAAGGGTCCCGAGATTTTCAACAAGTACGTTGGAGAGTCGGAGAAGAAGATCAGAGAGGTGTTCCGCAAGGCCAGGACGTCTGCTCCGTCGATCGTGTTTATCGACGAGATCGACGCACTGGCCACGAACAGAGACAGCGAGGACGCCGGCAACGTGTCGCGACAGGTTCTGAACTCGATGTTGAACGAGATCGACGGTGTGGAAGAGCTCAAGGGCGTCATTATCATTGGTGCTACCAATCGACCAGACTCGATAGATCCGGCACTTTTGCGGCCTGGAAGACTCGACCGTCACGTGTACGTTGCTCCACCGGATAGGCACGCGCGTCGCCAGATCCTGGAGAAAAACACGGCCCAGTTCAACCTGCCAGAGCCAACGCTGTTGCTGGAGAAGCTGAGCGATCTCACCGACGGTTTTTCAGGGTCGGAGACGGTTCTTTTGTGCCAAGAGGCTGGATTAGCCGCCGTGATGGAAGACAAGAACGCCACGCAGGTGCTCGAGCGCCACTTCCTCGCCGCCTTGAACGATATCAGCAAAAACATCACCCCAGAGATGCTCGAATACTATAGAGAGTTTGGCGAGAAATACAGGGCTGTGTAGAGGTAAAAAAGTTAGCATAATTAACAATATGTCTGTGAATATGAACAAGATCGTGACGGTGAGCGTGTTTGCCGCGGCTGGGGTTTACATGGGGATGAAGTTCTTCGAGCCCATCGTGATTGAGCAATTACGTAAGGACGGTAATCTGCGCACAGACATTCCTGTTCCGCAGTACGACGAGAACGGATCGAAATTGGTGGAGCGCGGCGAACAGGTGACGTGGGAGCAGATCCGCAAGGAGGCGGAGGTGCCAAAGGACAGTTCCATCACGAATCCGACCGAAAAGTCAAACTAGCGCCGTTTTCCAGCATGATAGCCAGGATTGGTATATCACCAATATTTTGGGTTGACATAAGCAAAAATTTTTTAATCATGGCAAAGCTAAAGAAGAGATCGAGAAGCGCCAAGTTAGCTGGCCAGAGGAAGCAAAACGTCCCGCAGGACGACAAGGACTTCCAGAAAATTGCGCCGTTGCTCGACAAGCTCAAGTCGGACGCCACGAACGACCGGTCGATGGCTGTTGGAGCCATTAATACTCTCTGCGATACAGACCCTGAAATCCGCAAACTATTCCTGAAAAGCGACCTTATTCGCACGATATTGACCAAGCTCGTGCATGATTCCAGTGATGAGGTGGTGGTGGAGTCGTTTGGCCTTTTGAGAAACCTAATTATCGAGGAAGGGTACGATTTGAGTGTGTTTTTATGGAGATCCGACATATGGACAGTTCTTGAGCATTCTTTCAGCAAGGCCAAGAACTCGCTCGACCACATTAAAGACGAAAAGGTGTCTGGCGAACAGCGCAGGTTATTGTTTGATTTCATTGAAAATATCATCGCATGTCTTGGGTCTCTTTCGCTAGAGATTTCCACCGAAGTTTTCCACTCGGACATTTTCCCTAAGATGGTTGCAAGTGGAATACCCAAGTTTGTCATCACGCTGATCGAGAAGAACCTGTCAAAGAGCCTCACCTTGACCAGTTTGGAGTTCCTGTACGATTTGTCGACGATTTCCACGCCTTTCATCGAGGCCTTTTCGCAGGACGACAGTGTCAAGCAGATCTTTGGCAGTCTGAACGTTTCCAACGACCTTTCCAAGGTGTACCTTCTTGGACTACATTTCCAGACGCTCGAGTTCTCCAACGGTTTGGACGACGACCAGACAGTGCAAATAGCAGACAGTCTGCTGAACATCACCAATAAGCTTGTGGACACTGCTCCGGAAGAAAAAGAGAGTTTAAAGGCCTTTGAGCTCACATTGGACATTTTTGCCACCATAGTGGAGATCAAAAGCGAGACAGAACTACAGAGCACAAAGTTAGCCGCTGTGTTTGAGTCACAAGTTGTGCCGTTTTTGGCCAAAGTGTTCCAGTACGCCAGCGTCAAGGTTCTTGTTTGTCTGACAAACATTCTGTATTTCTACCGTGGAGAAGTTCCCCAATCCTGTTCTGATGTGGTGCAGACGATCAGACCGGCTGTTTTGCAACAGTTGTCCCAGAAATTGGAGGAACGCGATCTGGAAGCCGTCAACCTGTATCTTGGATATGTGGAGGTTTCTGAGGACTTGCAAGCCACCGAGGAGCTTAGACTCGTTGGCGACGCGTTGGTCAAGCTGGCGTTGCAACTGGACAAGATTACTCCAGCCTCTACGGAGCTGACGAACCACGTGATGCGGATCCTCACTGCTCTGGGCAAGACGAGCCAGGACCTGGATTTTGTGACCAACATCACCAAACTAATAGTGGACAAGAACTTTGTGGAGCCGATCAAGTACTACAACTCGACGAGGCTCGGAGAGCTGCGCAAAAAGCACCAGTACCTACTTGAAGACGTGCTGGTTGGGGCCGTGAACTGCATAATAGACCTCTACGACGACGACTATTTCTACAACAAACCACTTTATCACGAGGGGGGTCTGGGCGACGTTCTGAAGAGTCACCTGGCCGACTACAAGAAAATCTACAAGGCTATCGACAAGAACAGCCAGCCACAGCTGAAACAGGTGTCGGAAGAAACTCTCCAGAATTTGGAGAGATTCGTTCGCTACAAGGACGGAGAGCTGTAAGAAACTAAATAGACAACAACATGAAGATATACACTGTATTATTACGCGCGACCGGGCGTCTATTTGTCCGGGTTGGCGTACCGTTTGGTCTGTTCTCTAACTTTTTTCTCGTATGCTAAGCGGTCCTTTGTGAACAAACGCCACGCGGGTTCCTGGGCCGGGGAGTCTGGGTTTGGGGTATTGAGCAGTTCCTGCACACCGAGAAGGATTTGTTTGAGGGAGATGGCCGGCCGCCAGTCCTGTTCCTCGTTCAATATCGACAAACACACCGTTCCTGAAGGATACACGTTTGGGTGGTAGAACCCGGCCGGGAACTTGACCTTTGGTGGCTTGGCAGGGTATTCCTCAGGGAACGCAATCGTGAGCGGGTACGTGGCGTGGTCCCATAGGGTGTTGGACTTCCCAGGGATACCTGCGATCCAGTTGAGCAGATCCAAAGACCCGTCTGAAGCCTTGACTGGCTTTGCGTAAAACCCGAACGGGTGGTCTTTTCTCCAATTTTTCCTAATCGTTAGCAAACAGCCACAAAACTACTTACCGTTCCTGTTGTATGCGCTCGGTTCGCAGATTTCTCTCTGCCATGGTGATTATTTATTTTACAAGCATTAATTTTCCGTTTTGGCTGTGTTAAAAAACTACTTCTGCCAACTTGAAAACTGTTCACGATTAATCTACCTTCGGCTGATTGAACACTCCATGAGCGCGAAACATTACTCGGACGACGACCTGGACGACCTGGACGATCTTCTTGACGACTTCGACGACGAGGTGTTGAGCAGACCGCCCGGCGCGGGTCTCAAGCAGGAACAAGAGCAAGACGAACACAAGCCCGAGGGAGATCAGCTTGACGACAAGGAATTGTTCGACAACCTGCTCAAGGAGATCGGGTCCAAGGATCCAGAGCTGTCCAAGAACCTCAACAGTCTGCTGGGAGACCTGAGCAAACAGACCGAAACAGAAGATACCTCAGAAACCCCAGCCAAGAACAACTTCCAGAGCGTCATCTCAGAGACCATCAACAGACTCAAGGAGAGCGGCGAGCAGGTGGACAAGTCGATCCAGGACGAGGGCAAGGACGACGAGCTGTTGACGAGTCTGCTCAAGTCGCTGGACCTGAACCTGGACCTCAAGGGCCTGGAGGGCCAAAACGGAGGGATCGAGGACGTGGGGGGTTTACTGGAGGAGATGCTGGGAAAACTGTCGTCAAAAGACGTTCTTTACGAGCCATTGAACGACCTGTACGAGAAATTTCCGGCCTGGCTGGCTACCCCGGCAAATCAGCAGGATAAACAGTACCCCACGTACCAGAAGCAATACGCGGTGATCAAACAGATCATCGAGACGTTCAACCTGCCAAACTACGACGACCCCGAAAACAAACAGCTGGTGAGCGAGAAGCTCGAGGAATTACAGGAACTCGGAATGCCTCCAAAAGAGTTGCTGAACGACGACCTGAATTTTCTAAACTTTGGAGGCAATTCAGAGCTCGAGCTCGGCGACAACGACATCCCACAGGACATCAACAAAGAATTGGAGGAAACATGCAAACAAACGTAGTTTTGATACACTTCTAAACCTTTAGAAGTATTTCAAACTATTGCAAGCATCGTTGGAACAAATCAGACATCCAAGGAAGTTAGGGCGGTCACGAATGCACCAGGAGAGATTTTTGGGTTCGTCCCCCCTGTGGACGTGCATCTACCGAGGAAACTGCGAATGTTTATGGTAACTCTTCATCATCTAGCTCCAACGATACTTGCAACAGAATGGTCCGTTGCATCAAATGGTAGAACTTTACAAAGTTAGTAAAACTCGTTCATAAACTGCTGGTCAGAACCGTAAATTACTGGCAAGTAAAAAGCCCCACAAATACCTGTAAAACAGGTAAGAGTAGCGGGAAGGGAAAATGGTCCACTTGCAAAAGTGGGCATATCCAAACCCTAGGGCGTTTCTAAACCCTGTCGTCATCGTCGAATAAGATTGGGAAAGAAGAACTCGTTTTTCATCACAAAGCAGTTAATGATAGTCACTTACCATTTGACACAACTCTTCTACTGAAGAAAGCACAAAATTGTAAGTGAGAGAAAAATTATCTAGAAAATTTGTCTTTATATCAACTAAATTTTTTTTTTTCACTCTCTAAGGTTATGTAACCCTGCATACTATTGTACGTTGGGAGCCGGGTAACGCACTCACTCGATAGAGAGTTTGATCTCTTTGAACCGGTCGTCGATCGCGCGTTGCTCGTTCATGTACTTCAATGTGCGGGCGAAATGCTTGTGTGTTGTTTCCAGGGCCGCCCGATCGGTTGCGGATTCTTTTTGAGCGGTGGTGAAGTTGCTGTCGATCAGCTCTATGAGTCCATTGAGGTACTTGACAGTCACCATTTCGTTCCCGTGGATAAAGTAGTACAGCGACTGGTTGAGGATCTCGATGAACAGCTCCAGCGACGCCCGCGCGTCCAGAATGTTGTCTGCCACGCGCAAAGCTTTTTGCAAGCACTCCAGCACCCGTTTTTCGTCTTTCTTTAAAGAGATGTGCGACAAGCTTGAGTCGTCGATCTCCTTCACGATCCACCATAGATGAGACGCCAGGTACACGGCCCGACACTGGTCAGTCTTCTTGAGCAGCTTCGACCCGTACAGCGTGCACTTGGTGATCAGTTTGTTGAAATTCTCAACGTTGAACTCGATCATTTTGGTGGACTCGATCAGTTTGTTAATAATGATGACCAGGCTCTGGTACTGCGCCCGCGAGTCCACGAGACTCTGCTCGTAGATCAGGAACGACTCGATGAAGAAATCGTACGCCACATCAACAAGCGACACTTCGTCTGCCAGCTGTGCAGTCACCAGGTTCAGATTCAGTCTGAGTATTGGAGCTATGTTGAGTTCACCCATTTCGCCAATCACTCCTGAGACAAACTGGAACAGATGCGAGATCTGCACCCGTTGTTCCTTGGTCTCGACCTTCTTGAGCAGGTTCAGCTTTCTCACAAGTTTCAGAACAATGAAAACAAGCGTCGGATAAGTGTACTTGATTTTGTTCTGGCCCAGACTCAAGTACTTTTTCGACTCGGCAAGCAGCCCAAAGTGTTTGTATGGGTCGATGTTGTAGATGAGATGAAGGAACTTGGCCAGTTTCTCCTGCTGCAAGGTCACCTCCAGCGAGTCCTGTTTTTCGTCTGGAGAGGAGTCGATTCCAAAGATGGCGGAGCTCGAGTGCGATGGCGACGTGAGACCAAGATCCTTTACGGTAGGGTCTTCCTCAGCAGTGACGAGGTTCTTGAGTATTTCCAAAATCTTGCGGACCTCCTCCTCCGTAGTCAATTTCACCTCATTCAGTAACAGACAGTCGATGATGTCCAGACTAGCCGATTTCCTCACTGACGGTTTTTGCAGACCAAGAAACTCCAGATAACTCGAGTCCAGACGGAGAATCGACTTGATGCTGGAATAGCTTGACATCGGAATCAACAACAACGATTTCCATTGTTCTTGCGAAGATGATTCCCCCGTTCCAACCTCCTTGAACTTATCAGCAGCATATTTGTATATACAGTTGACATTGTCAAAGTTTTCGGGATAGTATGCTATCGACAGCTTGCAAATGCCTTCCAGGATCACACAGAAGTCCTCACTAGGCAGATCTGGCTTGAGCTCGTTGATTTTGTTGATGAAGTCGATGAACTTGTCGAAAATGTCCTCCAGGTTGAGAGATTTGAAACTCTCTGTGAAGTCTGTGTCGGACTCACGCTGTTTGAAGTCGATCAGACGGCCGATCAGAGTCATCAGAATCGTCTTGAGACTTACCTGGTCGTTCAAATTCAACGTTGCATTGAAAAAGTCTTCCAGAGTGGCCAGATGGAACTCGTCAGGGAACACCTGGATGATAACGTCCAGTAGATATTCCTGTGCTATCACGTCCCGACACTGGATGATCTGTTCGAGCAAGGTCGGTAATATGTGTTCCTTGTAGTAGGTCTTGTCGATGTTGTCCAGCTGGGACAGACGAACGAGGTTTGAGCCAACGAGGATCTGGAGCTCCTTACGCTCGGCAACGCGCTTCTCTCGCTCGGAGGAGTGACCCTGGTGCTGCAGTCTGACCCAGAGCTTATTCATCTCGACGAAATTGGTGATGATGAACTGAATTGAGTCTGTCAAGTCTCCGATGGACTCGTCCTTGTTCGACTTGAACTCTGTGGGCAGGAGATCCTTGGTCCTTTGGGACAGGTAGTACCGTAGGAAAAGACCTCGGATCGGGTGCTGAACACCGCGACACATCTCCATCATGTCCTTCATGATCTCCTTGACCGGCGAGTCCGGAATTGACATGTACACTGTTCCCACGGTGATCATGAGATACAGTCGTGGGATGATGTTGCCAGCATATTGCACCAGCTCGTACAAATCGGCAAGATGGTCGTTGGGATGGTTTGTTTTCAGGTGCTGAGCCAACACCTCTAGGCCGTCAAACACCATGATGTAGAGTTCGTAGTACTGTTTTGGAGAAAGAACGTTGGTGCGGAGCTCGTTCAAAAACGTAGAGGCATGTTTGAGGGCGTCCATGAACTTGTTCTTGGTGGCCAGACACTTCTTCATGAGTGATATCTGCTGCCGGATGGTCACCAGGGCGTCATCCAGCGCTTTCTGCTGCTCCCGGGCAGACACCGAGAGATTTCTACCAACCATTGGCAAGTGGATAAATAATTAATGTTAGTTATTTTCACTATCGCCGCTATATAAAAAATATAGGCCCCAAGCCTGGTGTCGAGTGTGGCTAATTAAATTTCCAGCCTTATTTTGGAGTGGTTCTGATGGAGTGAGCAGCACAATGGGCGGTTGGGTTCTTGACCGTGTACAACTGGTGGTACTCCTCGGCGTCCCAGAATGTCTTGATTGGCTCGATCACAGTGACGATCTTGTCATTCGGATACCATTTTTTCTGGGCCTCTTGCAAAGACTCGCGGGCGATTTTATCCTGCTCCTGGCTATGGGTGAAGATGGCCGATCTGTATTGGGTTCCAACGTTTGGACCCTGGTAGTTGAGTTGGGTTGGGTCGTGGATCAAAAAGAAAAAGTCCACAAGACTCTTGTACGAAACCTTAGTCGGTTCGTACGAGATCTGCAACGTCTCTGCGTGGTTGGTGGTATTAGTGCAAACGGTTTTGTAATCTGGGTTCTCAAGGTCTCCATTAGCGTAACCAACCTTGGTGTCCAGGATCTTTCCGTTGAACTGCTTGTTATAAATGTGCTCAACGCCCCAGAAACAGCCAGCAGCAACGCTAATCACTTCGCTGGTCGGAGTAGTCTTCAACGTCTTGGAGATGGCAGACATGGTGAAAAATAAAATTGCCTAGCTTTTTTTCCGCCACACTTTTTTTCTATATGAGTTCGGTCTTAACGTACACCGCCTACGCGTTTGAGACGCTGTACTCGACTTTGAACAAAATCGACCCAATCCCGTTCAGCGAATGGAAGTACGCCATCGAGAAAGAACACACCGTCACCAAGGAGAGCTGTCCGCTGTTTGTAACCTGGAACGTTTTGGACGGTACCGATAAGGTGCTGCGGGGATGCATTGGCAATTTCGGTGACCTGACGTTGCCGGAGGGCGTGAAGGACTACGCGTTGGTTGCCGCGTTTGAGGATTCGCGGTTCGACCCCATTTCCGCCGCAGAACTGCCCGACCTGGCCTGCTCCGTTACGCTGCTCAAGAATTTTGAAAAGGCCAAGGACGCCCTCGATTGGGAGCTGGGCAAACACGGGATCCGCATTCTCATCAATGGCCAGCGGTCCGCAACGTTTCTGCCCGAAGTGGCCGTGGAGCAGGGCTGGAACAAGGACCAGACCTTGGACCATCTCGTACGCAAGGCCGGGTACTACGTCACCAACTGGAAACAGGTCCAGATCGAGCTCACCAGATACCAGGGGCTCAAGGAGTCGATTGACTACGAAACGTTTACGAAATTGCGTGGCACGCTTGCAAAGGGGGCCTGAAACACATGCTTTGCAATTTGAGCCGTGCTATTGGGTTTTTAACCTTGCTTTGCGGTGCACGGGTGCGGGGAAATTTTTTTAAAAAAATTTGGGAAAAATTTAAAAATTTTATTTAGGATAAGAAATATACTGGGAAGGATGTCTGACGAGGTAAGTGAGGCGCTTTGAGAGAGCAAAGACGGTAAACTAACATATCCAGGTTATTTGGCAGGTGATCAACCAGCAATTCTGCGCATTCAAGATCAAAACGACCAAAGATCAGAATTTCTGCAGAAACGAATATAATGTGAGTGGACTTTGTAACCGTCAATCATGTCCGCTGGCAAACGCACGATATGCCACCGTGAAGAACGTGGATGGAAAGCTCTATTTATACATGAAGACGGCAGAGAGAGCCCACACGCCAAAGAATTTGTGGGAGAGAATCAAGCTCAGCAAAGACTATAAAAAAGCATTGAAACAGGTGGACGAGCACCTGTTGTACTGGAACAAGTTCATGATACACAAATGTAAGCAAAGACTTACTCGACTTACGCAGGTGGCCATCACCGAGAGACGGTTGGCCCTTAGAGAGGACGAAAGACACTATGTTGGAGTGAAGCACAAGGTGAAAAGAAGAGAGGAAACGAGAGAGCGCAAGGCCTTGGCTGCAGCACGGATCGAAAAGGCTATTGAGAAGGAGTTGCTCGAGAGACTCAAGTCGGGTGCTTATGGTGACCACCCGTTGAACGTGGACTCCAAGATCTGGAAGAAGGTGCTTGGAAAGGTCGAGGAGCGTGAGGAAGAGGAGGAGTCCGACTACGACTCGAACGACGAGGTCGAGTTGGAGTCCGACATGGAGGACGAGTCCGATGTCGGCGAGGTGGAGTACGTCGAGGCCGAGGAGGACGACGACGAGATGGTGGACATGGAAGACCTGCAGAAATGGCTGGAAGATGGCTCGGACGCGTCGTCGAGCGACTCGGAGGACGATGATGAGGACGACCACAAGCCTCAGGAAAGAAGAAAGCGGCCGCGGATCGAAATCGAGTACGAAGAAGAGCCTCTCACTAATATAGCATCATAGATTCCGTTTATCGTGATTACATAATCGATCAAAAGAGCACCAAGTCTTAAAAAAATATCTTAAATTTTGGGTGACGCGTATGGATGAGACCAGTTTGTTTGAGAATCTGCGGTTGCCGTCGGTGCCGTTGCCAGTGAGCAGTGCGACGAACACGTACTGTTCGCCGGTGCCGCGGGCCGTGCTTGCAGCGCCCAATGAGCCCGTCATTCTCGGCGTGGACGAAGCAGGTAGAGGACCTGTGCTTGGGCCCATGGTGTATGGAATCGCGTACTGTTTGAAGGACTATTCGCAGAAACTGAAGACCCAGTACGGGTTTGCGGACTCGAAGACGCTGACCGTGGAAAGAAGAGACCAATTGATGCATTCTATCATCGAACCAAACGGAGATCTGTGTCAGAACGTTGGCTGGATGACCACTACCATGACGGCCAGGGACATATCGAGCGAGATGTTAAAGCCGCGGTCTGTGGGAAACATCAACTTGAACGAACAGGCGCACGACGCGACGATCAAGCTAATCCAACGGGTGATTGATCAAGGTGTCAATTTGAAAGAGGTGTATGTTGATACCGTTGGTGTTCCAGAGGCTTATCAACGGAAGCTGAGCAACAGGTTCCCGGGAATTAGAGTCACGGTGACCAAGAAGGCCGATAGTTTGTTCCCGATCGTGTCCACGGCGTCGATTGTGGCGAAAGTGACCAGAGACTGTAGCTTGTACCACATGGCCAAAGGAGCGAACTGGGGGTCTGGATACCCATCTGATCCACGTACAGTCAAGTGGCTGAACTCGAACGTCGACCCAATCTTCGGCTGGGACTCCACGGTGCGTTTTTCGTGGCAGACTGCGCGCGACTCGCTGGTCAGAAACGGTGCGGTTCCCATGGTCTGGGAGGACGAGCTTCCGCCCAACGACACGTTTGGGAACGTTGCGAACTTGATGAGCAAGTCAGGAACAACAGGAAAGTCGTACTTTGTGTCCCCGGTCAGTTCGAAGGACTAGTTCATGAGACGTTGTTTATAGCTGTTTTCTGTGTACTCACGCCGTTATCCAGAAACGATCGGATTTTGTCGAACACCACGTAGAGCTGTTTGGATTTCTCGTTGATTTCAATTAGCTGGAGGTACTTGGCGTGCATCTGCTGTTTCTTGTCCAGGAACTGATCGCTGTAGGAGATTTGGTTTTCGAGCTGTGTTTTGTTCGTTTGAACGTAATGGTCAGCCAGAACGGTGAGGATCCTCAACAGGTCCTGCTCTGATTCGTCAATTGTGTTGCGTAAGTGTTCGTTGTATGTCTGTCTATCTTTTAACAAGTGGGCAAGTTTTTTGTTTTCCAGGTCCAGCTGGGTAATACGGTCTTTTTTGGACGATTGCGACGTCGAGGCCGGCTCAGAACTGCCCAGAGTCGGATACTTGAACAGACTGGGGTCCTGTTCAAGCTTGGAGCCCTGGTAATCGGCATTGATGGCACAAGACAACTGATCCGACTGGTGCCATATATCGTTTTTGAGTCTGCAGTTTTCATTCAGAACTGCGGCCAAATCGTCCACCAGACGATACAACGTGGTGTAGTTGTCTTTCTGAACCAGATCGATCTCCTGCGCGTACAAAGGCGGGTGTTTGGAATCGTCCTGTTGCATACTGGAAAAAGGTTATAAATAATCCAAAAATAAGTTAATTCGCACTACGTAGTATTGGTATCTGGGGACAATTAGCGACCAAAATATTTTCTCTCCAACGGTCTGGTGATGTTGTAAGCAATGAAGGCAAAAGCGAAACTGAGCTCGAATCCAATGTCTCCACCAAAAAGACCGATTTTCTTGGCAACGACACCCACGTACCAGGTTTGATCCATACCAATCACGACACCAGCCACACCGCAGCAGAAAGCGAAAGTTCCGGCGTAACCTGGGTTCAACAGCTTCTTCTGGGTGTACAGGTCGATGTTGTAACCGCTGAAACCCTTGAGGTAGAAGAAGTGCTCGGAGAAAGAGATGGCGTCGTAGATTGCGAGGTAGTATCCGATCAAGTTCATGAAGTTTTCCATGACAGACTCAAAGTGGTAGAAAGCTGGGATACTGATGGCCAGACACAAACAGTTACCAACAACGGACCAGAACACTCTTGGGACCTTGGCCAACGGAGACCAGAAAGACTGGGCACACAAGGCGATGGAGTACATGTTTGGAATGTTGGAGCAGATGGTGGACAAGGAGAGCAGCACACACAAGAACTCACCGAATCTGTGGAGAGAGTCTTGAGCAAGAATGGCGTAGACCAATCCTCCGACAGAGTACTCGGAGTAGAGCTCGGCGTACTTGGCGTTGGTCTTGATACCGGTGACGGCAGCAGCACCCAAGACCTCGGCGAAGATCAATGGGAAGCACAGACCAAGGAGAATGGCAAGGAACAGTTTGGTTGGGCTGGTGGTTGGCTTCATGTAGGAAGTGTAGTCAGCGGCATAGGTGGTCCAGCCTGCTGCGAATCCGAAGACAGTACCTCCGAACGAAAGAACACCACCAGCAAAAGTCTTACCGGAACCCCATTGAGTGACTCCCGAGCCGTCTTCGTTAGGAACACCAGACATGAAAACGCCGTCGATGGACAATCTAGCGATGATGGCGATGAAAACAACCATGTTTGGAACCCAGGACCATTTCTCGTAAGCGTGGATGAAATGGTAGCCAAAGAAGGTGACACCGATGGTAACCAGAACCAGAATCAAACAGCCGGCCCATGGAGGACAAGCGTGGTTGTTGACGATGTTGATAAGCTGGGCAGAGGACATGATGTTCACGGCACCCCAACCAACACAGGCAACACAGTTAATGGCAGCAAAGACACGCATAGCAAGGTCTCCAACAAGGAACCGGGACAAAATCATCTGTCGAAGACCAAACTTAGCACCGTGGATGGAGTAGAAGGCAATAGGAGAGCATCCCAACACGTTGAAGAAGATGATCACCAAAACAGAGGTACCAAAGTCGAGGTCGAAAACACTGTAAGAAAGAGCACCCAGCGAAAAGGTGGCAATCACAAGGTTGGCAGACAGCCACATGGAAGCACAGGCCCACAGAGAGTCGTGGGTCTTTTCCTCAATAGGAACTCTTTCGATGCCTCGAGTTTCACCGTGGAACATGCTGATCAAGTTGGCATAGAAGCCAGAGTCGGCCTTTTCGAGCTCGGCAGTTTCCTGCACAAATGGCTCTTCGGTAAGAGAATCGTCAGACTTCTTTTCTAGCTCTTTGGACATTTCGATCGATGAGAAGACAGTCAAGAAAAGATGGTATCTTATAAAGAAAAATTTGGCATCACTTTAGAGTTGGCATAATAGTCAGCCGCGGGCCGATCAAATTTTTCCAGCCGCTCTTGAGTGAAAACGGCACCTTCCCATTGAAAATTTTTGCGGCCAACGCCTTATCAGCAGCCAAAGATGCAGCTTGGAAAAATAAAGGGTCCCGCGGTAAGCCTCGGGAGGAAATTCCCGATTAAGCTTGACGTTAATTTGGTGGCAGTTTTCACGACGAGCTGGACTGTGTCGTGACGCATCGGTCCATCCGCTAAACGAGTGGATTGACTGGCCAGAGGTGGAAGGGCGATCTCCACTGAGAAATGTTCTATTTTCTGTAATCAAACAACATTTCTGCAGTTCTGATACCAATCCAGTTAATTACGGCAGAATACGAACCCAATAAGACGATAATCCCAATCTCGTAGTTTCCTGCTCCAATTGGACTGATTGCTGGTGCGCGGAACAATTGGTTCGTCGCCGAGACGTTCATTGTTACCGCCCCGTGCAGCATTCTCCGGTCCGGTTGATGTGTTGACTGGGATGCAATCGATCTTTATCGCGGCCTCGGGCGTATACACCACGGCGAGACCGGCCACAGCTGAGCCGCCTCGGAACTGGGCGGTGTCTATCTGGGGGAGGGCCCAGAGCAGGCAAGGATGGATTGGAGCAAAAACGTTTTCCGGTTTCCGGTTTCCGGCTCAAAAGTACTTCTCTGCCACCACCGGTCGCTCCTTAGGTAATGCTTAGCCGGAAACAAATTAATAAATAATCCTTCTTTATTTAGTCTCCATGTCTCTCAAGCAAAGCATAGACAAGGCCACCTCGTCGGAGCTCACAGAGGACAACCTCGCGCTGTTGCTGGACGTCGTGGATATTGTCAAGAGCGACGCAGACACAAACATCGAGGAGTCGGTCGAGATTATCAAGACCAAGCTCGAATCAAACAATGCCAACGTTATTCTGCGAAGTGTTTCTTTGCTGGACTTCTTGGCAGAGAATTGCGGCGCCATGATGCGTGCGCAGATTGGCAAGCGCTCGTTTGTCAACAACTACCTTGTCAAGCTGGTTAACGACCCGAAAATGCACAACTCTATTAAATACGCCATCATTAAGGAAATCTACAAGTTAAGCAAGAGTTTCAAAGGTGACGAGTCGTTGCGCGCGATGGAGCTCAGTTTTGCCGAGCTGAAGACAAAGTACTTATACTTATGCCAGCAAGCGGTTTCTGAGGTGGACGGAACGGCCCGTCCAGCGGAAGGCGGCGACGAGGACGAGGAGCTAAAGAAAGCCATTGAGATGTCGCTCAAGGAAACAGGTCCGCCATTCCGGCCGTCACTGGACGTTCCAACGCCTGTTCAACAGCCGGTGGAACAGCCGCAACCTGAGGTGGCTGCTCCGGTCATCGAACAAGCCACAGCCCCGGAGAAAGTGCGGGCATTGTACGATCTGGTTTCGAACGACGACGACACATTATCGTTCAAGAAGGACGACATCATCGTTGTTGTGGAGAACGTGAACGAGGACTGGATCAGAGGCTGTCTGAGAGGCAATTTGGGCATTGTGCCCGTGAACTATGTGGAAAAGATTCCGCCAACGACAGACCAGCAACTGGCCGAGCTGACGGGACTGCTCGACAACTCTCTCAACGTGGAAGTGCTTCTTTCGAAACTGATCGATCTCCGAACCAGATTGGCATCGCAGCCAGTCTCAAGCCAGGAATTCGAGAGCATTTTAATAAGAGACGAGATTCCAGGCAAACTCGACCAGTTGACCCAGATCAGAGGAACCATGAAGCAGATCCTGGACTTGTACAAGCTCAAAGTGCTGGAGTTGCAAAGCATGCAGGAAAACATCGACACCAGCGTCGATATTTACGAACAACTGCTCAGAGACACGAAAAGCGGCCAGCCGCTTCCGCCAGTGAACAACACCACCACGTTTGGGTTCAACCCGCAGCAGAGCCAGTATCAGGTCCAGAGCCCGCCGTTCCAGAGATACTGACTCCGTATTGGCGCGCAAGCTGTTCTGCAGACACCAGATTGGAAACTTTGAACTGTTTCAGATCGGCCAGTTGGTCTGTTTGCGAGAGAAAGATTGCCCCTAGTCGATCCACCACTGCTGAACTATCGCTAAGAACAACAGTTTTCTGTTCCGCAAGCATCTTCAACTTGTATAGGATGAGAACAATGATCGAGACCCTGTATTCGCCAAAATCAGCCAAAGACGGCTCTGGAGTGGTGAGGATTTCCGAGTAAACCAGGGACAATTGGTCCCAAAGCCCGTGCACCACCACTGTGGCTGCTGTGGTATACTGTAGTTTCGTCAACAGCCGGAACAAACACTGGAAGGAGAACTGTGCCACCCCTGTGTACTTCATTGTGGAGAAGATTTCCAGCTGGGCGATGGATAGTCTTGGCAGTTTGACCGGATTGTCTGGATTAAACAGCAGATCGACAATCTCAACAGGACCGGCGCCTAATTTGGCGTTTATTGCGTCTGACACCAGCTGCAACAGCGAATCGTGCTGCAATTGGAGGATCATGTCCTTTCACAAATATTTACCAATAATTGTATATATTTACTCCCCAGACCGGATCTTGTTTTTTTCATAAACATACGCCATAACAGACTGGCTTTACAGATCTTGCTAGTATGTCGTTTGAAGCCTACGAAGACGCCACCGGGCTGCGATACGCATGGAACGTGCTGCCGCAGAATAAGGTGGACGCCAAGAACTACGTCGTGCCGTTCTCGTGCCTGTACCAGCCCTTAAGACCAACAGACACTCCCTTGTTGTTGGAAGGACCCCCAACAGTTTGTCGCGCGTGCAAGGCCATCCTCAACCCGTACTGCCAGCCAGATCTCAATACGCGAACCTGGTCGTGTCCGATTTGCAAGACCCGCAACCAGTTCCACCCCCAGCTGGTGGAAATGCCTTTCCAGACCCGTCCCGAGGCTGAAAACATCGAGTACATCTTGCCGCCGCCGGCGACCCAGCAGCCGTACGTGTTTGTGTTCGTGGTGGATCTTTGTTTGGACGTCGAGGGACTCGAATCCCTGAAAGAGAACCTCATTGTGGCCATGAACCTGATTCCTCCCGATGCACTGGTTGGATTCATCACGTTCGGCAAAAACGTCAACGTTCACGAGATCGGCCACCAGGACTCGAACTCCAGCTTCTGTTTCAACGGAGCAAAGAGCTACACGCCAGACCAGGTGGAAAAAATCCTCGGCGTGCTCTCCGGCGACCTCAAAGCCAGCAGAAAACCAACCCCTAATGCGCTGGAGATGCCCCTGAACCCTGCAAATAGATTCATCCAGCAGCTGGCCATGTGTGAGTTCCAGCTTACCACCCTGATCGACTCGCTCACTGCAGACTCGTTCCCGGTGGAAAAATACCATAGAAACCAACGTGCAACCGGAGCGGCCCTCAACGTCGCGGTCAACTTGCTCTCGTCGACCTTCTCAAAGACCGGAGCGCGTGTCATGCTGTTCACCGGCGGCCCTGCAACATACGGCCCGGGTAGCATCGTCGACACCCCGTTGAAGAATCCAATCAGATCTCATAGCGATCTGCAAAAGGATGCTACCATGCTCAAGAACTTTAGAAAAGCCCGCAAATTCTACGACGACCTCGCCAGCACGGCTTCTCTTGCCGGACACACCGTCGACATTTTTGTGGGCTCGTACGACCAGATAGGTTTGGCCGAAATGGAAGGCTTGGTCCACAACACAGGAGGAACGGTTATCCAGAGTGACGGATTTTCCACTGCGATTTTCAAGCAGTCCTTGCAACGTCTGTTCAACAGGTCGGCCTCGGGAACGCTCGAGTTTGGGCTCAACGCCACGCTCGAGGTCAAAACCACAAACAACCTCAAGATCAACGGGATTGTTGGTCACGTGACCTCGCTGAAGCGCAAGACAGCCGCTGTTTCAGACACAGAGATCGGCATTGGCGCCACGGACTCGTGGAAATTGGACGGGGTTTCCGTGCACTCGACGTACGGCGTGTACTTTGAGCCGGTGGTGGAAACGGGCAGCACTTTTGCGGTGATCCAGTTCATCACCAGCTACCAGCACTCGGACGGCAGCAGGAGACTACATGTGACCACCAGTCAGCGACCATGTGTCCAGCAGGGCCAGAATGCAATCGACTACTTTGACCAGGAGGCTGCTGCGGTTTTGGTGGCTCGCCAGGCTCTGTACAAAGTTCTCAAGGACAACTCCACGGACGCGATCCGGTGGGTCGACAAAGTTCTGGTTGATTTGTGTTCCAAATTCGGTAGCTATAAAGTGAACGACCCGAACTCGCTTGTTCTGTCGCCGAGTCTGAACCTGTTCCCGCAGTTCATGTATCATCTGAGACGCTCGAACTTCATCCAAATCTTCAATTCGTCGCCGGACGAGACCGCGTTCTACAGACATTGTTTCCTTACGGAGGAGTGTATGAACTCGCTGATCATGATCCAGCCAACGTTGACGTCATTCGAGATCGAGGCCGAACCGGAGCCGGTGCTGTTGGACTCGCTGTCGATCAAACCGAATCGGATCCTGCTGTTGGACACGTTCTTCCATCTGTTGATTTACCACGGGTCTCAAATAGCAGACTGGAGAAGACACGGGTACCAGGACCTGCCGGATTACGAGTACTTCAAAGAGTTCTTAAACCTGCCCCGGGTGGAGGCTGCGGACATTCTGGTGGACCGATTCCCGTTGCCACGGTTCATTGACACCGAGGAAGGCGGGTCACAAGCTCGGTTCCTCATGTCCAAGTTAAACCCTACAACGTCGTACAAAAACAACGACGAACTACAGATTTTGGGCGGGGGTCAAGCAGAAACCGGCGCAGTGATCCTCACGGACGACGTGAGTCTGCAAACGTTCATGCAACACGTCAATACGGCCGTGGTGAAGCCGTCATAAATACAAAATTCAGCAAGCTGCAACTTTGTAGAAGATGAATCAAAAATTATGAGACCCACACTCCTCCATATGGAGAAGCTGACAGGTCTGCCAGCTGCGGGTATGTGCAAAGCATACTGGACAGACCCGATCACAAGGACTTGATGATCTCCCGTGATCTCCCAAGGTAAGTATGAGAAAATATTTTTGCGGGAGCACTGGCTTTTATAGTGTTTGGACAGCCATTTCAAGGCCGGGTAACTCTGCTCCCCTATGTTTTTCTCGTCATTTCTTCTTTGAACAAAAATAAACCTGTCTTGTTATGCCTTCGTTCAGAGAAGATAGTTTTCTGATCGTGCAGCCGGGCTCGCAGAACACGCTCGTGCGGTTTGGCATTGAGGACACTCTCAGCCCGCCAGCGTACTCGATTCCCACCAAAGTTTACCGGAATGCTTCCGATCCGTCGCTGTACACCATCAACGGCCAGGACGAGTCTTTGGCTGTTTATCCGATAGTGGCGGGCGACATTGTTGATGTGAACGGTTTGAACTTCTTGTTGAAATGTATTGTGCGGTCAATTTTGAAAAACCATCCTGTTTTGCTGCTAAATAGCATCGCGTTCACGTTGGTGCAAACGTCCAACAGATGGTCGAGCGACGCCATTGAGAACATCACCAAGTACGTTTTTGAGAGTTTGCAGTTTGGAGCGTTTTCTGTTGTTCCTGCGTCGCTGAGCTCGATGTTTGCGTACGGGTCGCTGGCCAACGCGTGTGTTGTTGACATTGGCTTCGAGAAAACAGAGGTGACTCCGATATTGGACTACCAGGTGTACATACCGGGGATCAAGATCATCGACAAGGGCGGCAACACGATCAACACGAAGCTGGCCAAGAGTCTGCCGTCGCTGTCGAGCGAGCAGGTGGAGTTTCTGAAACGGTCGTCGATTTTCGAGGTGTTGAGCGAGGAGGACGCTAGCAAGTCGTTCTTTGGGTCGGAGCAGCTTGTGGAGAAGAAAGAGGATGACGAAGGTGTGCTGGACGTGGCTGCGATCGTGACGAGCGAGAAGTCCACACGAGAGATTCTGGCCGAGAAGGAGCGCGAGAAACGCAAACAGGGCAAGGCTGCGGCAGAGTCGAAGCCCAACAGCGAGCTGGAAACCAACACGTTTGTGGACGCGTCCGGGACTGCGATTGCGATCGGCAAAGAACGGTTCCAAGGGTGCACGGAGCTGATTGCGAGCGTGGCCACGGCGATCCACCGCACGCTGGGCAAGATCACAGACCTGAAAAGAGCACAGGAATGCTACGACAACATCATTCTTGTTGGACAGACTACGAAAATCCACGGGTTTAAAGAGGCCTTGATGGTTTACATGTACACTAATTTTGTGGTGGGACAAGGAGCGGTGCAGGGCGGAGCGTTCCGTCCAGACACAACGAACCTGATCCAGGACCTGAACCTGATCCAGGTGCCCAAACACGTCAAGTTCCTCAACAGACCGGACTATTTTTCCGAGTGGAAAAAAGCCGGGTTTGAAGACTGCTCGTTTTTGGGTGCCCAGATTCTGGCCAAGCAGGTTTTCGGATCGCACTCCGTGGGAGGCTCGTTTGCCCGTGAAGAGTACCTGGAAAAGGGTCCAATCGGCATATGGCATAACAGGTTGTAGTATACATACAATAATAGAGCTCAGTCTCCGCGCAATCTTCTGGCCAGGTGAATATCCTTTTGCATTATCGTGACTCGTTTCGCATGCAACGCACACAGGTTGGTGTCCTCGAAAAGATGCACCAGGTACGCCTCGACGGCCTCTTGCAACGCCAGCACTGCCACCGACTGCCATCTATACGTGCTTGATCCAAACTCGTCCTGGACAATCTCGCGAACCAGTCTGGAGAAGGGGAGTTTGCGTATGAGCAGCTCGGTGGACTTCTGGAACCGTCTGATCTCGCGCAATGCCACGGTGCCGGGCTTGAACCGCTTTTTCTGTGTCTTGAGGTCGATCGGGTCGCCAGGCTGGTTTCTCACCAGCCCGGACGTGACGCTGGCTGTGCTCTTCACCTTGGGGGTTTCTGTGCCTCGCTTCGGGGTCACCTTCTTGCTGCTGGCGGGCGAGTTCTTGAACGCCGTGCTCCCGCCTTTGGGCGTTTTCGGGGTCGTCGTGCCCACCTTCTGCTTATTTAGTCTGGCCATGGGAACAATGTTGCAAACTTTATCAGGACAATTTTTTGTTCCTTCACCTACCTTCCCCCTTTGGAATAATTAGCTGCAGTGGCTGGTTTTGCGAAACTGGTCGACGCGTCGATCGACGCATGGTACTCCTAAATATCAATCTGTTTTCAACTACATAATACAATTAAATGCACGGAAGTGAACCGGTTCATTTCGCAGCAACATCGGAGCCCTGAGAAAAGTTCGAGAACGCATCTGCGGCCGGCGTCTCCTCAACAGGGGCCTCCTTTTTCGGCGTTGGCTTTGGAGCCTCCTTCACCTTTTTCTTTGGCTTTGGTGGCTCCGTGGCCAGGAATTTGATGAACCGTTTACCAAGACCCTCCTTCTTTTCCTGCTTGGTCTCCTCTGGCTTGACGGCCTTGCCGGCAGCCTTGGTGCGGGCATTGGCAGCAGAGCTGGCGCCCTTGGCTGGTGCAACGTCGTCGGACTGGGTAAGAGCCCTATTCTGAGCAGCAGTCACCTCGTTGTCGGTGACCACAGAGGCCATTGGCGGCTTCTCGTTGGTGGCCACGGACGCAAGCGGGTCCTCGCCAGGTCCGAAGTTTCCTGAGGCCTTGATCTCCTCCCATGTCTTTTTAGGAACGGAAACATATGGCTCGGCAGTGGTCTTTTCTCCAGACTCCTGCTCGCTCTTGGCCTCCGGCTTGGCCTGCGACTTGGCAGCCACGTCAGCCACCTTCTTGGCCTCGGCCTCCTCGTCGTAGCCGTAGTCAACAGGCTCCTTTTCTGGCTCCTCCACCTCAACGGCAGGGGGCTCTGTGATGGAGGAGTCGTCCAGCTCGAACGGAGAATGGTCAATGGTCTCCTCGTCCGAAATGTCGCTGTCGATCTCCTTCTGCAGGTGCTCAGGCAAGCTGGCGTTGATCTCCTTCTGCTCCTTCTTGACAGACGTCTTGATCTCCTTGAGCTCGGCAATCAGCTCCTTTCTGTGCGACTCGAGCTCCTCCTTAGTGTCAGAAAGCTTCGACCGGTTGGCCACAAACTCGTCGTACTCGCGCTGCTTCTGCTCGTAGTCCAGCTCCGCCTGCTCGTGCACAAGATCGCTCTCGGCAGCAAGCCTCTCGGAGTCGGTCGTGGCAGCAGCCAGAGCAGCCTCGGCAGCAGCGATCTTCTCGCCAATCCGCTCCAGCTTCGACAAAGTTGACTCCAGCTTGGCAGAACCAACCTCGTGACGGGTCTTGTGCTCCGCGTGGAAAGCGTCTGCCTCCTCACGCTTGGCCTTTAGTTCGTTCCAAAGAGTGGTCTCCTGATCGGCCTCAGCAACAAGAGGAGCAACTTCCTTATCCTTCTCGGCCTGGATCTCGTCGATCTCGGCCTGTCTGACAGCGTCCTTTTCAGCCTTGACCTTCTTGAGCTCGGCCAACTTCTCCTCTCTCTCGGTGTCGACCTCGTGCTTAGCCTCCTCCTCGGCGGCGATCTGGTCCTTGAAAGCCTGCTTCTTGGCCTCCAACGCAGCCTCCTTCTCGGCCTTCATGGCAGCCTGTTCCTCCTTCAACTTGTCCTTGTCGGCCTGAAGCTTCTGGCGACGAGCAACCTTCTCGGCCTCGCGCTTCTGCTTGGCCTCAATCTTGGCCTGCTTCTGCGCAGCAAAGAACTCGGCTTGTTTCTGCTTGCGCTCCTCCTTCTGCTGCTTGGCAGCCTGGTTGAAAGCCTTTTGCTGCTCCACTTTGGCGTCCAAGTCGGACAAAATAGGCTGCACGACAGAAGAAGCCATCTGGTTGATCTGGCTGATGTCCAATAACAAGCCTCCGCCAACGTCGATCTTGCCAACCGTCTCGGACTTGCGTTTCGCAAAGTTCGCCTGTGCAATCTGCACAGCCTTGATGTTCCACTCCTTGTTGCCAAACAGATTGTCCTGCACAGCCTTGTTGTCGATGCGGTCGAGCGTCGAGTTGGCGTTGCTGATGGCCTTGATAAGCACCTTGTTGTCGATCAGACTGTTTCTGGCGAGGGTGGCGCGCTCTGCGGCGGCATAGTCCGTCTTCGGGTCGAAGTTCTGCGAGGCAAGGGCCCCCACCGACGCAAACTTGGCATTGTCCTGGCTGTCGCTCGCGGTGGGGAGGCCGTACAGACCCTCACGGCTTGGGTTGAGTCTCGAGGTCATGCTCTTGAGAGCCGACTTCTGTGCCGACGAGGTGATCTTCGAGATGTCCACGGCACCGTTGGCCTCGGCGTGGGCGTTGGCCGTGGCCAGCCCGGAACGCGCGTCCAAAACCTGCGGGTTCACACGCGAGTCGAGTGTCTTGGTGGCCGAGTCGGTGGCTTTATTCAGAATCCGCGCAATGTTGATCACTTTCGAGGCCTCGTACGCTCCCCCGCTGCCGGTGGCACCGGCCTGCAGGTTGCTGATGGTGGCCCGGCCAGACCGCACGTCGTCAAAGTCGTACAGCTCCTGCAACGCAGACTTGGCCGGGGCGTTCGAAGGCTTCTTCAGCACCGACGCAGCCGCGTCCTGCGACTCCACAAACTCGGACGACTCCACGTCCTCCTCGTAGAACGGATACTTCTGCGACTTGGCACTAATGGCTGCGTACTCGGCTTCTGGTGCGAAATTGTTTCTCTTCCAAGCACTAGGGGCAGAATCGGTCTTAGCAATCAGGGCAGCCGTGGCAGCCTCCGTGGAAAGCTCTCTCTTGTATGGATGGATGGAGAGGTCGCTGGAAGAGGCCAACAATGCCGCAGTGTCGGAGGCAGAAGGGTCAACACCCAGGTTGACCTTTGCTGGGTTGTTGTAGATTCCGTACTTCAACTTTGCCTTGTAGATGGCCTCCTCGCTCAAAGGTCTACCATTGGTCTGATAAACACTCTGACGAGTGGACTTACTGGTGATTGAAGGGGCACTGTCCTGATACGACAGCATTGAAGAAAGGTTATCGGGGAGAGATGAAATTTGCCTGGTTGCTCTTTTAGAGGAGTGTGGCGGTGCAGAGATCTATACAAGGAACGGGTGAGGATTAAGGGATGGGGGAGAGCGGGTTACTGGCAACAAGGTAGTGGCAATTGCGTTTCCGATAGGGGAAACAAGACAAGTTCCCCACTGGACTTGCAGACGGTGGATGGTTATGCCCTTGTGCTGGGTGCTTGTTCAAAGAAGCATGTGGCGTAGTTCAAAAATTCGCTGTGATTACCTCTTTAGGAAAAGTGGTTTGCATCTTTTGGGAAAGTACAACAAGACCAAACACAAAAGAGCCCGTCCTTGGGAATGAGGCCGGGTAACTACAAGTGTGTGTGGTGGTTTGAATTTTTTTTTTCCCACTCAGCGCGGGCCACACCGATAATGTGTCACGTACTGCGCCACCACGCCGCAAACAACAATTATGCGGGTAGCTTAGATCGATAAGGAAGTTATATAAAAGCATGGCAAATATCCGACCCTCGTGCTAAAACACTCGCTCTTGTTGTTTTCATGGACTAATCGTTCCGTACAATTTTTCGCATCATCCAATTTCTTCTAAGAGCGCAGCGTATGGACCCTACAGACACTCCTGCTCCTTTGATGGAGTTTGTATCCAGCTTTGACTATTCTGAATTGCAATTGATTGATCAGAAGAAAGACACCCTTGTGTCGGAATTAAAAGAAGTCGGATTCGATGCTGGTGATTTCTTGCACGAGATTCAGTACGACGATCAGTACGACGATCTTTACTACTCAGATGCAGAGTGTGACGTGGACGTGGATTTCGAGGGCTCTCGATTCTCAAACACTCCTGAAACATCACAACAAAGATTTGGGTTGGAGGAGGACGACGATCTGCCTGAGCTCACTATCGACCCTGCCAAGGTGGATCTAAGCGGCACAAAACCCAAGGCTTCGTTCCCAATGGCGTACGTTTACCAGTCGGTCTATTCAGAGACCGTGCCATCGTCTCCGCTGGGCCTTGGCCAGTTCGACACGTCGTATTCCGCATTTCCGGACGTGTTTGTTATGGAGTCCACGCCGGAAACACCAATGTCGTACCACGCGACTTCGAGCTCTGAATCCCTCCACGGGTCACCATCGCTGGACGCTTCGCCTGTGGAGCTCGAGTCAGGGCCCCTTGATCTAGATGACGACCCAAAACACAAGAGGAAAAAGTCCAAGATCACGCTCCGCATTCCAGGAAAATCGCCGCACCGTGCTTCTATGCCTCTGGGAGGCAAGCTGGTGTGCGAGATGGAGGACTGCGGGAAACAGTTCAAAAACAGGGCTTTGCTCTCCAGACACATCAACTGTGTCCATTTGCATCTCGAAAGATATGTTTGCAAGTTCTGTTCGCGCAAGTTCACACGGTCCGACCACATGAAGATCCATGTGGGCAGAATGCACCAGGGTAAAGCTGGTGAGGGCCGCAAGAAGAACATGAACAGATCCCGCAAGAAAAGATAAACTTGGCATCGCAACCATTATGCCCGCACATTTTGCATCCAATTCCATTGCTACCACCGCACTCATCATTTTGCTCCACCACATTCTTTGCTATCCGTGCACCTGCGGGCAACGTATAATTTCAATCTAATATTTAGCATTCGAGCTTGACTTGTTCGGGCAACCCGAAAACAGTTTGATATATTACTGATTATCGTAAGTTAATGCTAGTTCCTGCAACTTCTTTTCCAAAGAGTGTTGCAGGTGGTACGTGAAGTAGAGCGGTTCGTCGTTTGGGAACCCGAACGGCGACTTCTCGCTCAGCCAGAACTCAGAGTTCGTGGTGTCCCCACCGGTCAGGTGGAGGAACGTTTCCCAGTCGGTGTATGTGTACTTGAAGTCCGGCTTTGTGTTTGCCAGGAACGATGCCTTGCGCAGCTGCGTGACGATCTGTTGCAGTTCGCCAATGTGGGTGAGGACGGGGTCTTTTTTCTTTCTGAACCGCGTGCGGATCACCGAGTCGCCGTCCGTGTCTTTTTCCTGGATGGTGTTATAGAACGTTTGCAGGAACTGCTGGTCGTCGAAGCCCGGGTCGATTTTCTTGAGCATCTGGGCCACTTTGTGTGGCTGGTAATGGAACCGCACGGGTTTCCCCTCGTCCGGGTAGTTGTACAGGTCGCGGGCCATCTGTATGGTGCGGATATATTCCTGGGTGTTGAAGAAATCGACCGTGTTGAGCTTTTTGGACTGCGAAAACGCCTGCAACACGTCCATCATCGGGTGGGACCCGTCGAACGCGGGGTCTGGATCGCGGCGGTGGACGCTGAAGTTCTGAATCGTGCTGAGAGAGCCGAAGATGAAGTCGCTGATGTTCATCACGAGGATCGTCATGATGGGGATCGCGGCGATCGACCACACGCAGAAAAAAGTGCGCCCCCCACTGGTGGCGGGGGACGGCACGCCGTATCCGATCGTGACGAAACACAGGAACGAGAAGTAGCAGCTCAGGTGGTACGGCCAGCCTTCGTACACGGTGAACAGCAGCGAGCCCAGCAGCCAGAACACCAGCCACGACACAACGATGGTCATTGTGCTGAACAGCTTCTCGTAGCTCAAAGCTCTGCGGTTGACGTGCTTCATGCGGTTGAAGCTGTCCTCGGGCGACAGGTCGGCGGGCAGGTTTTGCAGCTCGATGTTGCGGAAGAACTGGACCCTGTGCCAATAGAAAGTGGACTCTGACGAGAACATGACAAGCTCGCGGATGGTGGAGATGATCAGACCGAACGTGACCAGTCCGACAATACACCAGAGCAGCGTGAGGGCCTGGGCCGCGCTCGTGGAGGGGACAAAGTCGCCGAGCCCGATGGTGAGAATGGTGACTATGGCAAAGTACAGGGCCTCGCCGTACGAGACGTGGAGCAGAGCAGTGAACATGCCGGCCCCCCACATGAGCCACACAACAAAGAACATGGACTGCAGCATGAGCGTGTTCTGCACCCCGTCGATGTTGAACGCGGGCGTGTACTGGTGGAGGAGCACGCCGAGCTGGTTCAGGGAGAGCAACACAAAGTTGGCAAAGTGCAGCACCACGGTGTACACGGCGAACCAGAACCCGTACGAGTAGGTGAACTGGTTATAGTGCTGCTCGGTTATGAACCGGACGTGGTATATAACCACCAGCACGAGCAGCATGAGGCTGGCCACGAGCCAGCCCGCGATCGAGATCAGCTGGGCCTTGTTGTACGCGAGTTTGCGCCGGAAGTTGAGCAGCAGACTGATGTTGGCGGCGAGCCCGCACGCCATGGAGATCGAGTTCACCGTGTAACACCAAACCTCGTCTGCCCCCGCTGGTTTCCCGGTTATACGGTCCTGTTTCCAGTTGCAAATAACGGCAGCCACAGACAGCAGGTTCGAGAGCGGGCCAATACACCCGCAAATGAGCGGGAAGTACGACGAACAGATGAACCAGAGTATGAACTGCGGGTCGCCGGGCTGCACGCGGAGGTTGTTGACGTTCCAGTCTGTATTGTTGAGCAGAGAGTCGTAGTAGTTCTGCATCTTGGTGGAGGTGCGTTCGAGGATGGGGGTTTCGATCTCGGATAACCCGTCATAACTCGAGTCCATGGACTGCTCGACGATCTCGTCCACAAGCTGTTCCTCGGGCAGCTCGTTGTCCGGAGGCACTGTCAAGGCCGGCCCTCGCTGGCCAGACCTGCTGTGCGAGGTGTGCGACATTCCGAACAAATTTCGGACTTGAACAAGGGCTGTGGGTCTGGTTTCCCCTGTGAACGTGCAAAGGGTTATCACCAGTATAACTCTGTAAAACCCCACGGCTTGGCAAAACACCCCTAATTAATTTCTCGTTAATTTTAAATATTTTAGCAATTGGACACTATTCTGCAGAAAGCGTCTCCAGCTCTATGTAATGGCGCGTGGTTTCCAGAAACTGCAGCTCCTCGTTGATGAACCCGCAGTAGTCCTGCGACGACACCCCGGCCAGCCGCAGGTAGTTGAGGTCGATCGCCTCGTCGCAAAAGTGTTTCTTCACCAGCTGCCATTGGCGTAGCTCAAAGTCGAAGTCCAGCCCGGACTGGTCTCTGTACATGCGCACTCGTTCTTTGCGGCCGTTTTTCGTCACAAACAACCGGTCCTCTTTGCGCAACCCCACCGGGTCCAGTTTCGGGAAGTTGGAGTGCACAAAAAGCGGCCGACTGTTACCTTTATGGAACCACTGGTTGAACGTTTTCGTCTTGTCGTACAGCTCGTCTCCGTGCCACCAGTTGTACAACCGGCCGGTGAACGAACCCTGGCGCTGTTTGTGCAGGTCTACTTGCTCTGCGAGCCATTCCTCGTACTCGCCGACCAATTTGTAGTCGGTTACAGGATCGTACTGGATCATTCCGACTCCAGTGTAGACCGGTTTCGGGTAGTAATGCCAGTACCCGATCACGTCGACCTGTTTCTTCATCTGGTAAACCGGCAGGTTGTAGAACTGCGCCGCGGCCAGAAACGTCTCCTTGTCCCCTTCGCCCGTTCCTCCCTGAGAAAAGAGCGGATAGAAGTTCTGCGGGCCGTAGAAGTTGTAGTAGAGCGCCAGAAACAGCGCTTGAATGTGTGTTTTTTTGTTCACAACGATCTGGCCCGACTCGCTGGACGGGTCGGGCATCGTGCCGTCGCGGTCGTGCAATGGAATGTCTGTTTGGGGGTCGTGGGAGCCATGGGCGTAGTATTCGCTTGGAGTCACGTCGTCGGCGTTGTTGCGCACCTGTTTGTCGCCAATGGCCTTGTCGACAATCTTGTAGTACGCGGGGTGCGTGACACGGCGCCAGAAGTCCGGCCACATCACCATCCCGTGCGACACGTACGGCTCAGAGCCAAAGATCTCGTCCGGGTTTGCAACAGGCACGTTGTCCGAGTCCAGAAACATCACCTCCTCGAACGACGACACCAGCAGCGCCAGCGCCTTGTACTGAAACCCGCGGATGCTGTACTTGTGCTTGGTGAGTTCGGGAATGGTCTCTGTGAGCAGAATGCACTTGGCGTTCAATTTTGGTAGCACGTCTTCGCACAGCGACTTTTCGTACTCGGATTCGGTTGGGATGATCATCTCAACGGGCAGCTCGGACCCCGTCGCACGCAGGTTCTCGATGGCCAGCAGCGAAAGCCACGAGAACTTGCTTCCTCCAATAAGAACCACGCCTCTTCCTTGGAACACTCCTTCCGGGTACGTTTTCGGGAACTCCCTGGTAACTGCTCCGTGGCTCTCGGTCAGATCGGCCACCATGGCCAACGGCACCTGAAGACACTTGGAAAGATAATCCTCGCTCAAAACCGGGTACTGCGGCCCCGTGTCGTGCATGGCGATATTTACCACGCCGTTCGACCCGTAAATCTTGGGGAATACGATATCTGACAAACTGCCCTGCATTGCGACCGCCGAGCCCGTGTCGAACGCTGTTCGCGGGCGATTGGCCATGATGTGCGCCCACGCGGACATGAAGAAGTTCTGGAACTTGAGATTGCGCCGGATCTCCTGCTCTGATTTGGCCAGCTTGACGTACCGGCCAGACCTGTCCTCGTTGGCGTGGATCAAATCGGCCAGACTCTTCTCGTACTCGCGCAATTCGTCGTAGAATCCGGAATTTGCCAGCGAGCCGCGAAGACGCGCCAGAACGTCCTTGTCGGAGCTCTGCGAAATCAGCTGCTGTTCGTAAAAGCTGAGGCTCCTGCCCGTCCGATGTGGCCAGCACAGAAGCGTTACCAGCACAAAAACCACACCAACAACAAGCTTGACGGCTGTTCGCCGTCGTATTCGCCGAACATACACGCCCATTGATGGCTTTCACTAAATGCACAACTGGCTAGTTGTTTGAAATATAGTGTAATTTTTCCTTGGGACCACTCCTCGCACCGCCTTTTTCCCCCATCTCCGCCAAGTTGCAAAACGCGGCTTGGGCAGAAAAAAACAACATTATTTCATTATCTTTATTCCATGAGCGACGACCAACCTCGCAGACGTAGACAGTCCTCGGTCGGCAAAATGAACCTCGGAGACACCTCTGTGCCGGCACTACAGACGATGCACTCCAACAAGGATATGAGATCCACGGCCAAGTTGCACAAACAACAACTCAACAAAAACACAGACTCCAGCGATGATTTGGCTATTCTGGACAAAATATGGATTTCCGTCAAGATACTCAGCTACAGACACACCTGGCTGCCGTTCTTGGTCCTGTTGCTGATTGTCCAATCAGCGTACTGGTTTTCCAACAACTTCACCCCGTCCAATCCCCTGCATATGTTTGTCACCATGTCTCACCAGGTTCCAGGAACCAATCCGCCATTGTACGAGAAGGGATTGAAGGACTTTGCCTTTGTTGGGTACATGATGATTTTCTTCACTTTCTACAGAGAGTTCCTCATGCAGATCGTGCTCAGACCGATTGCCCGTTATTTTGGCCTGAAAAAAGAGTCCAAGATTAGACGGTTTACCGAACAAACTTACTCCATTTGCTACTACGGAGTGAGCGGACCGTTTGGTTTGTATGTGATGAAACAGACCCCAATGTGGTACTTCAATACCGCAGCTTTCTACGAGAACTATCCCCATCTGGCCAACGAGTTCTGGTTCAAGTTCTACTATCTTTCGCAGGCCGCTTTTTGGGCCCAGCAATCTGTGGTCTTGATGTTGCAACTGGAAAAGCCACGGAAGGACTTCAAGGAGCTGGTGTTCCATCACATCGTCACCATGCTACTGATCTTCCTGTCCTACAGATTCAATTTCACCTGGATGGGAATTGCAGTCTACATCACGATGGACATATCTGACTTTTTCTTGTCCCTGTCCAAGTCGCTCAACTACCTGGACTCTCCGTATATCGGACCGTTCTTCTTCATGTTCGTGGGCACCTGGATCTACCTCAGACACTGGCTCAACATCCGGATTTTGTGGTCTGTTCTTACAGAATTCCGCACCGTTGGTCCGTACACCTTGAATTTCGCTACACAGCAATACAAATGCTGGATTTCCCAGCCGATCGTGTTTGTGCTGATCTTCGCTCTGCAACTGGTCAACCTCTACTGGCTGTTCCTGATTCTCAGAATCGCGTACCGGTACGTTTTCCTTAACGTTGCCGAAGACGAACGTTCCGAATCCGAGTCCGAGTCCGAAGACGACAAGAAAAATGACTAAGTGACCTTCAGTGATTGCATTCCTCACCTAATATTATATACAAGGCAATCGATCTACCCCAAGACTTTCTAATTGGCCATGTTGGCCGCCTCAAAGTCGATCTGAGAAACTGGAGTCGTACTGTCTGCTCCATGCTGTTTTTTATATCTCAACACCAAGTCCATTCTTCTTTGGTATCCGCGCTCGGCTGCTTTTGCCAGCACTCCGCAAATCAAATTCGTAGCTCTGATGCTGTCGTCGTTGGCAGGAATAGCGTATGTCACCAGGTCTGGGTCGCAATTGGTGTCCACGATACCGATACTAGGGATCCGGGACTGTGCTGCCTCTCCCAGGGCTGTTTTGCTGTCCAGCGCACTCAGAGTGACCACCAGGTCCGGCTTCAACGTTGATCTCTCTTCGAAGTCTGTCAGGTCCCGGCCCGTTGGGACGTCGCTCATGTCCACCTCGATACGCGGCTTGGCGTTCCGCAAACTGTTGGTGATCGTTCCCGGAACCCACTTGCTGGCCACGTACATCCCGTTGCACCGGCCCGCAGCAGCACGCACCGCCCGTAGCTGGCCCTCTTTCAACCCCAGAAACAGAACGGTACCTCCGTTCTCAACCACACCTTCCACCACCTTGGCCGCACGCCGCAGATGGGTCAACGTCTGCTCCAGATCGATGATGTGCAGGTCGTCGTATATTCCGTAAATGTAGGGCTGTGTCTTGTGCTGCCAGAGCTGGGTGTAGTGGCCGAGATGTGCTCCTGCTGCGAGCAGTTTCTGGACGGTGATCTGGTTCGCCGAAGGAGGCCGGCTGATCAGCTCGTGGGGCCTGTAAACGGCCTGCACATCGGCCCCCAGCCCGCCCAGGATCTTGTCGTGGTACCGCTGGCGCACCACCAGCTCTGACTCCGAGTACGGCTCGGCCTGTCCTGTTGGAATCAGATTAGGGTAGTCTGCGATCATCGATTTCGACGCAGAAAACGACTCCTGCTCGCCTCTGTTGACGAACGCCTTGAACAGACGCTTGAACTTGCGCATGGCCAAATCGTCTCTGTTGAGTGTTGGCATTGGGGTCGAGTTCAAGAGCTCTTCGAACTCGTCTTTGGACAGGTTTTTCAGCTCGTCCAGAACGTTGGAAACGGGCTCTGTTTTCGCGGCAACAGGTTCCTCCGTGGCCACAGACTCCGTCACAGCAGCAGCCTTGACTGCCGTGTTGAGTCGAACCGCCGACGAGGCCATAAAACGTCTAATGTACAGACTCATGTTGTTGGTGGATTGAAAAAATATGGAAAAAAATATCCACCCGTAAACCACCCGTTCCCAAGGTACATCCATACACCGGCCGTATTTTTTTCCATCCGCATGTTTTTAGCGTTGGAACGGACAAGCTCGAGGTGTTTGCGGGCCCTTTGTCGAGGATATGCGTCCAGACCGGACGTGACAGTGGAGTCTGATTTTGCGTTTCGCAAGACGCAAATTTTCCGGCTCCCAATTGCCCAGCAGGACCAGTTGTACTATCCGTTGTACGACCGTTTGGTAACTGGTGAGGATAAAGTTGTGCGAGTTGGCGAGTTTGTGGAGAAGTACCGGCCGTTTTTCGAGAAGAATCCAGATCTCAAGATCGTCAAGGACTCACAGTACGTTTTGAACGGCAAGATCGCCAGTATACGCCGCGCTGGAAAGGGTAGCATGTTCATTGATCTGGTCCAGGACAGACAGAAAGTGCAGATAGTGGCCAACTACAAGATGATGGGACTTTCGAACGAGGAGTTTGCCGCATTGCACAGCAACCTGCGACCAGGAGACCACATCTCGTCTACAGGGTATGCGGGGACGACGAAAACCGGGGAGCTATCATTGAAAGCGAGCGAGAAACTTCGATTGGCGTCCCCATCATTGCATCCGATCCCGCCCATTTTCAAGGACCCGGGAAAAGTGTACAGTCACCGGGTGATTGATTATCTTGCGAACCAGAGGTCACGCGACGTGATGATTGTGAAATCGCGGCTGATTTCGCTTTTGCGCAGGTTTCTGGAGAACAGGGGGTTTATGGAGTTTTCGACGCCTATTCTGGGGTCTGGCAACTCTGGCGCCAACGCCACCCCGTTCGTCACCACCAGCGTCCATATCAAGGACAACCGCGACAAACCTGTGCCGTTAAGCCTGAGGGTGGCTCCGGAGCTCTGGCTGAAGAAACTGGTCATCTCCGGGTTCGACAAAGTGTTTGAGATCGGACCCTCTTTCCGAAACGAGGGTGTCGACTCGACGCACAACCCAGAGTTCCTGAGCTGCGAGTTCTACACCACTTTCACCAATTTGGATCAGATGATGCGTCTGACAGAGGACCTGTTTAAAATTTTCGCTTCCGAGCTAAAGAGCCATGACATTTGCCGAGATCGATGCAGCTGGTTGCAGGAGAAGCTGGACGCAAACGGCGGCTGTTTTAAGAAAATTGACTTTTTGGGCCAACTGCCTATCGAGACCGGTCTGCCGCTGCCGGAGTTTTCCAGCGAGGCTCTGGTGGCCTATTTCCGCGACCTCAATTTGGAGGTTCCCCGGGTGCAATCGCCGCAGAACCTGCTGGACGAGCTGGCAGCAGTGTATCTGGAGCCATTGTGCCAGGATTGTCCAACGTTCCTGTACAATCTGCCAGAGGTTCTGTCTCCTTTGGCGAAATCTGCTACCAAACAGAACTATGCAGTCTCCAACAGATTCGAGCTGTACATCAATGGCACCGAAGTGATCAATGCATATGAGGAAGAAAACAATCCGTTCAAACAGACAGAAAAGTTCGAGCTACAGATGCAGGCGAAAACCGAGCATCAGGACATGGAGTCGATCGTGCCCGACTCTGCGTATGTGGACGCTATGGAGTGGGGGTTGCCTCCCACTTGCGGGTGGGGGATGGGCATCGAGCGCATGGTGATGTTCTTCACCAACAGCGACCGGATCGACCAGGTGTTGCCCTTTGGAAAGCTGCCAGACGTGCTCAAGCAGTAGATTTCTGCATCACGTAAGCTTCGGTGGTTGCCGAACTTGACGGCGAAAAGCGTACGGCAATGTGTGATACGGCAGATCCCGAATTGGAAGTTGGATAATTTTTCAGACAATAATTACGAAATCGGTGAATAGAGCCTTCGCGCATATCAAACCAATACGCTTTCGTAAGCTGCACAAGGAGCCCCCCGACTTTTTTTCCAATTGACCGCCTGACCTGCCATACCGCAAGTTTTTCACCTTTTTTTTCCCTGATAACGCACCTCTTGCAGCGTTTTTTAGATTGGTTATCAGGAATCTTCCGCATACAGGATAAATTATTTATATATATAAGGAACAAGCTCGAACCGTTGAGGTATTCTCTAACGATGTCTTTGGTGGCTACTACCGCACGCAGAGTGATCCACAAATGGACAACCAAAGATGGTCTCTTGGGAGACTACGACTACGCCTATCTCTTCACGCCAAGGCTGCCCTTCATGAAGACGTCTGAAAAGATACAACCATTTTTTGGTCTAGACGACGATATTCCCGTCGTTCTCGGGTTCTTGCTCGGACTCCAGCACGCCTTATCCATGCTTGCTGGTCTGGCATCGCCTCCGATCCTAATTGGTACCTATGCCAATTTGTCTGATGATCAGCAACAGTACTTGGTTTCCTGCTCCCTTATCATTTCCGGTATCCTTTCTGCAGTTCAAATTACTCGATTCAAGATTCCGTTCACGCCTTATTACATCGGAACGGGTTTGGTTTCTGTTGTGGGTACCTCGTTTGCTACTATCAGCATTGTGTCCAAGGCGTTCCCAATGATGTACAAGAGTGGTGTGTGTCCTGTTGCCGACGACGGCACGCAGCTCCCCTGCCCTGACGGCTACGGTGCCGTTCTTGGATCTGCTGCCGTGTGTGGTTTGCTCGAAATTCTGCTCTCCTTCATTCCGCCAGCCATTTTGCAAAGAGTGTTTCCGGCCATCGTTACCGGTCCTGTCGTTTTACTGATCGGTGTTTCGCTAGTTTCGTCCGGTTTCGAAGATTTCGTTGGTGGCTCCAGCTGTGTAGACACTGCCAACTCGTGTGCCAAAGGTTACAACTGGGGATCCGCCCAATTCATCGGTCTCGGTTTCCTTGTCTACGTCGCCATCATTATCTGTGAAAAATGGGGTTCTCCTATCATGAAGTCCTGTGCTGTCATTGTTGGACTGCTTGTCGGCTGCATTGTCGCTGCTGCTTGTGGCTACTTCTCGCACGACAACATCGACGCTGCTCCAGCCGTCACCTTCATGTGGGTCCACACCTTCAAACTCTCCGTTTATGGTCCCGTTGTGCTGCCGTTTTTGGCGTGCTACATCGTGCTGATGATGGAAGCAATCGGAGATATCACCGCCACCTGTGATGTGTCCAGAACAGACATCGAGGGTCCGCTGTACGAGTCCAGAGTCCAGGGAGGTGTGCTTGCCGACGGTTTCAATGGTATCATCGCCGCTTTGATGACCATGACCCCAATGTCCACCTTTGCCCAGAACAACGGTGTCATCTCCATCACCAAGTGCGCATCCAGAACCGTTGGATACTGGTGCTGCTTCTTCTTGATTGTCATGGGAGTGTTTTCGAAGTTCGCCGCTGCATTGGTTGCCATCCCAAGCGCCGTGCTCGGAGGAATGACCACCTTCCTGTTCACCTCTGTTGCTGTTTCCGGTCTCAAGATTATCTCCACCACTCCTTTCACAAGAAGAGACAGATTCATCTTGACCTGCTCGCTCATGTTCGGTTTCGGCGCCACGCTTGTTGGTGACTGGTTCGACAACGTCTTCACCTACTCCGGTGACAACAAATCGCTTTCTGGATTCTTCAACGCCATCGTCCTGGTGATGGAAACCGGCTTTGCCGTGACCGGTTTCCTTGGTGTCTTCCTCAACCTGTTCATTCCGCAGGAACCAGACACCACCGACCTGGCCTCCGAGCTCATCGAGGAGCACGTCATCAGCAACGACGACTACGTCCGCGAATCGCAAGGATCCTCTTCCGAGAAAAAGCTGGCTAAATAAGTGCCAAAAAATGCTAATTCTATACGACTTTAATACTAAGGCATTCCTTCGTTATGTCTCCGCACCCGCTCAAAGTATTCGCGCTTCTCGCGCCCTTTCTTGACAGCATTGCGGTGTTTCCGGCTGTTCACGTGCAACCGATACTGCTCTCCCAGAAACAGTTTCGGGTTCCCGTCGCTATCCACACATGTTTCGCAGTAGTAGTGCTTCCATTTCGTCTCGTCGTTGTACTCGAACGTCTCCTTCGGTTTCAGCTCGTCCTGCAGCGACTTGGGTACCGCCTCGTAGTTGGCCAAAGTGGATCCTGCCAGAAACTCGTTGCAAATAGAAATGCCCCGTTGTGCAACCGTTTGCTCCCACGAGTCCAAATCGGTCGCATCCAGGGTGATGATTCGCCCGCCGTTCATCCAGCCGTGCTCCTCCTCGACCGCCAGCTCTCGCGACAGAGTGTTGGCGATCCACCGCACCTGTTTGCGCGCATACCGTCGGGTGGCTCTTTTCATCGTCTCGACACACGACTCCAGACTCTCGCTCGAGTCCAGACACGGAACAAGCTCCTTGTACCCGATCACCTGCCAGACGCCACGGTCCAGCTCCATCTTCGGATCCATCTGCTGGTAAAACTCGTTCATCTGGCGCACCTCGTCCAGAGCTCCGTGTTGGATCATCTTGTCCACACGCGAGTCCAGCCGGGTGTCCAGAACAGCCGTTTTCGCATACAGCCAAAAAAACAGCGTGTTGTATCGCAGCGTCGACGCCGTCTGCTGCCGCTGCTGGCCGTACAGCTCGGACGTTTTGGTTTTCGTGGAGAAATAGATCTCCAGGGCACGCCGCACACGACGTCGGTCGTTTGGGTGGAACTTCTGTGCAACCTTCGGGTCTTTTTGCATGAGCGTCTCGAAAACCTTGTCAGCAGGCCCGTCCAGGATCGCCTGCTCCTCTTCAGACAATTTGGCGGCCTGGGTACCGTCCAGAGTCCGGTTCAGAAATAGCAGGCTCTGCAAATAGTAATGGGTGCCTCCAACAAGAATGGCCGTCTTCCCGCGCGAATGGATGTCCTCAATAGCTTCCATGGCCTCCTGCTTGAACCGGTGGATGTAGTACTCCGCGTCCCAGGCCACATGGTCCATCACATGGTGAGGCACTCCGTAGCGTTCGTTAACAGGATGTTTATTGGTGATCTGGTCCAAGCCGCGGTACATCTGCATGGAATCGGCGTTGATAATCTCACCGTCAATTGCACGCGCAAGCTCGACGGCAAACTGCGACTTGCCCACGCCGGTGGTGCCTATAACAGAAATCACTCGACGGCCCATAGTACATAGCATTTTTTTCGAGCGTGGTTACATAATCAGCACACATTTAAATTTTTTTCACCGGTAAAACTCGTCAAGGATGAACAGACTGGGCACAGGAACACTGTTTCAGCGACTCTTCAGCACGTCGCGCTCTGCTTGCGCACCAAAACCCAAGAAATCGGCCGAACAGGTCCGGAACCTCCAAAGAAAGGCCGACAAGAAAGAAGCCAAGATCGCCAGAAATGCCAGACGTCCAGCGCAGGACAATCCTTTGTACATGCCTGTGCCGCTTGCGCTGCGGTATCTACGTGCCGCCGAGGTCGGCCGTCCCACCAACGAGGCTGTGATCACGATCCAGACGCGGGTCGTCTCCAAGAAGGGTGTCACTCCGATTCAGGGCAACATCCGTCTGACACGGCCGATCACCGACTCCCAGATCCTCGTTTTTGCATCGGACCCGGCCATGCAGGAAGCCGCCCGGGCTTCTGGCGCCAAAGTAGCCGGCGGAAAGGATCTTGTCGAGAAGATTGCTTCGGGCGAGCTCGACCTGTCTGTGTTTGACCGTGCCGTGAGCACTCCAGAGATGGTTCCGTCTTTGAGAGCCATTGCCAGAAAACTGGGTCCGAAAGGATTAATGCCTACCCCGAAAAGAGGCACTGTCGTAGAAGACGTGTCGTCATACATCACCAACAACCTTGCTCTGCAGCCGTTCAGACAAAAGAACAACTGCGTGGCTCTCACCATTGCCAGATGCGACTTTTCCGACGAAGAGGTGGTTGGAAACGTGCTTTCCGTCTCCGACGCCGTCAGACAGGCCATAGTCGACGCCAAGAGCAAAAACCCCATCATTGTCGGCCAGACTGTGCTCTCCACCACCCATGGACCGGGCATTGTGATAGACTTCTGAGCTTCTGTATATATTGGCGTCGGTCGGCGCGTCGAATTTATAATTAAAGCCTAAAAAATAACAAGACATTAACGAAAAATAAACCCTACAATATAACGTTTGCCAATGGGATTGATTGCGGGCAACGAGGTGTTGACCAGACGGCGAATTTTGCTCTCGATCCTGGCGATCTGCGCGTTTGTTGGACTGCCGCTGTGGTACGCCACCACGACGGTCCAGCGTGCGGAATTGCCCGTCGCTGAGATATACGGTCTCTCGTCCGAACTGGTTTCCTCTTCTAGGTTTGAGATCCCTGTTTATGTTCAGATGCCCGTGACCACCACGGGGGCCCTTCAGGAAGCTCAGCAGCAGATCGACGATATGTTGAAAGCCAGAAACTTGCCGGTTTCCTGGCGAATCGTGCTCGAGGCCGGATCGGGCACCGAAAGCGACTACAAAGTGCACCTGTTCCTGGACCAGGACGCTGACAAAGTTTATGTCTCGCCGTTTGAGGACAGAACCATTAAGTTGTACGTCTCGCCGACGGTCATAAAACACAACAAAGTTGCCGAACTAATAGCAAGAACGTTGGTGGAAGACGTGTTTGGCGACGAAATCACCATGTTTGAGCGGCTCCACCAACCGGAGGCGGTTGTCAAGATGCCGTATTCTCCCGATTACCATGTGACACTATCGCTGTTGCAAGGAGGCGTTCAGCCAATTGGATGGGACATCGAGTCGTCTGCTCTACTTTTGAAGAACTATTTGAGCTCTTTGGCTCCGTACGCCAACTTCACGTTTGATTCCCAGGTCGAGCATTACGAGAAACTCTCGGAGAACATCGCGTTGCAGTACGACGAGGACAAAAAGCAGTACTTGCTCAAAGAATCAGACACGTCCACGTTCATCGATTACTCGGAATGGGGGCTGGACCAGAATACCCAGAAAGTGCCTGTGGTGAACTTTCTGGCGTACGTGCCGGCCCCGGACCAGCGTCCGATCCAAATTGAAAACTCAGTGTCAAACTCGTTTATTGTTCCGCAGTGGGGCGGAGTCGCTATTGTTAACACTGAAAAACAATTTTTGGAGTACGGCGATCTGCTCCCGGTGATGGAAATTTTCGCGTCGCAGCTGTTTCAGCTGGTGGGGGCCCCGGGCAACCCGAAGTCGCCGACGATCCGCACAGACATCCTCACGCGGTTCCAGTCGGTGGCCAACACACGCAAGTCGATCGACAACCTGATTTCGCTGTGCAAGCTGTGCGAGCAGCTGCCAAATATCAGTGTTCCTGACAGCACGCGCGAGCAGGTGGAGCAGGCGCTAAAACGGGTGAGGGAAGCGGCTGACGCTGTGGTGAGTCGCCGCTGGAGCTTGGCAAACGCTTTGGCGGCAAAAGCGTACGTGCTGTCTGACAAGGCTTTCTTTCAAAAAGACATGGTGCAGCAGATGTATTTCCCTGAGGAGCACAAGATGGCCGTTTATACGCCATTGTTGGGTCCGTTCGCCACGATCATGGTGTTGGGGGTGCTGCGCATGTTAAAAGAGGCACGGGAGTCAAGCGTTTCGGAGAAAAATGCTGCCCCTGAAACGGCGCACAGCGTGCTTTGAAACTGAGCCGCACAGGTTTGAAAGGGATCACATTAAAATAGAAGTGCTGAAAAAAAATTTGGTAAGCAACTCGAGCACATAGAATAATTAGGCAAAGAATAGTTTATTTTCTTTATCCAAATGATGATAAAGAGCGTTCGCCAGCGATTGCGGCTGAACTCTGTTTGGGTTGTCCGGCTGTTTGTTGCGTTTGCTGCGCTGCTGGCACTGGGCAACCTGTACTATCTCAAGCGGGCCGAGTACAGTAGACCCGTTATCCAGGAAGAGACGTACAGGGTGATCAATTTGGCTACCGAAAAAGTGCCAAAGGAAAACGCCACGATCATGAGTCTTTGTCGTAACGAGGACCTGGGCGGCATTGTGCGGTCGATCCAGAACCTGGAGGACCGGTTCAATCGCAACTTCCATTATGACTGGGTGTTTCTCAACAATGAACCGTTTTCTGACGAGTTTAAAGACAAAGTTTCCAAGATGGTTTCTGGAGAGGCCAAATTCGGACTGATCCCAGCAGAACACTGGTCGTACCCGGACTTCATCGACCAGGACAAGGCCAGAGAGGAGCGGAACAAGATGGCCGACATGGGCATTATCTACGCAGACTCTGAGAGTTATCGCCACATGTGTCGATATAACTCTGGATTCTTCTACCGACACCCGCTCTTGCAGAAGTACAGGTATTACTGGCGAGTGGAGCCGGACGTGGATTTCTACTGCGACGTTGATTACGACCCATTTTCTGTGCTCAGGCAGCACAACAAGGTGTACGGGTTCACGATTTCGATCTACGAGTTCCACGCCACGATCCCGACCCTGTGGGACTCTGTCAAAGAATTCCTGGGCAAGAACCCGGGAGCACAGCACAAAAACTCGCTCGTGGACTTCATCTCGGACGACCACGGCAACTCGTACAACCTGTGCCATTTCTGGTCGAATTTCGAGGTTGCTGACATGGATTTTTGGCGGTCTAAGGTGTACGATGATTTCTTCAAGCACCTGGACGCCACAGGCGGGTTCTTCTACGAACGCTGGGGAGACGCTCCGGTGCACTCGATCGCCGCAGCACTGTTCCTGGATCGCGACCAGATCCACTTCTTTGACAGAATCGGATACAACCACGGGGTGTACTCGATGTGTCCCGTGGACGACAACGTCTGGGTCAACAGCAAGTGCAGCTGCGACAAGAACTCCGATTTCACGTTCCGCGGTTATTCGTGTGGCCAACGCTATTATAAAGTTACGAACCGTGAGAAGCCTTCCAACTGGAAACAGTATGCAGATCTATAGTTTGATGCCAAGAATAACTCCCCAGCCGCATGCACACGTTCCTCTATTTTGATGACGTAATCCTCCTTAGAAATATTTGAGTTGTTTTGTCGGGGGCTTAAAAAAGAACAGAATCAGAGTTTTTCCCAAACAACGCTTAGTTCACGAGTTCAGGAACACAGATACTGGCAACGAGCCTTGGATTTTATTGATTTTGGCCCGTACACGAACTAGCTGCGTGCAAAAGCCACTGGAATATATAAGTTTGTTGCTTGAGAAAAGTTATTCAACACTTGATATGCTGCGTGTCCCACGACTTCGTTTTCTAGCCTTGGCGTTGGTTCTTGTTGTGTTTGGTATGATCTTCGGAACGGTCGATCAGACACAACGGTTCCAGAGTTCCTTGGTGGACATCCAGAAACACATGTCTACGTACAACGGCAGTTTTGTTCCGTCGTTTGGACGGCAGGAGGTGATCGAGGAGCCTGCTGGCCACGAGGAGAGCCGGGATCCACCGGCACAGGAGCATGATCAGCCGGCCGAGCCCCACGGCTCTACCGAGTCGAACGACGACGACGACGACGGCGACCAACTCGTTAGCAACGCTGCTGTTGAGGCCCAGCAACAACACGCCGACGAGATGACCCAGCAGATCAAAACTCCACCGAGCGAGCCGATCCAGGAGATCCCAAAGAACCCGCTGGTGGGTACCCCGCTGGACAACGCACACAAGCGCAACCCAGACAAGGCCCCTCTGCCTTCCGGATACCATGGATCCATGACCCACCAGTACAAACCGTACGAGCAGATCCGGATCGTCAAGGACAAGTACGGCAACGCGGCCAAGCAGAACGCCACGATGCTTACACTGGTGCGGAACGAGGAACTGTTTGATATGTTGCAGTCGATCCAGCAGCTCGAAAGCCGGTTCAACAGAAACTACCAATACGACTGGGTTTTCCTCAACGACAAGCCGTTCACCGAGGATTTCATCAAACAGACCTCTGCCATGGTCTCCGGCACAGCCAGATACGGTATCATTCCGTACGAGCACTGGTCTTATCCAGATTATGTTGACGCACAAAAGGCCAAAGAGGTGAGAGAATCTCGCCATTTTTCCAATGTTGCATACGGGTCGAGCGAGAGCTACCGCCACATGTGCCGGTTCAACTCTCGGTTCTTCTATAAGCACCCGATCCTGGACGATTACCAGTTCTACTGGCGTGTGGAGCCGTCGATTGAGTATGGATGCGACATCATGGAAGATCCGTTCAAGTACATGATTGACAATAAGGTGAACTACGGGTTCACGCTCACGCTGACCGAGTTCCCCAAGACAATTCCAACACTTTGGGAGACCAGCATGCAGTACTTTGAGCAGCCAGAGGTGAAGGAGCAGCTGCCTCCGGTGGAGGAGAGTTTGCTGTCGTTTATTTCCGACAACGGCGGGCTGAGCTACAATCTGTGCCACTTCTGGTCGAATTTCGAGATCGCCAACCTGGACTTTTACCGGTCCCCGGTTTACGAGGCATACGTTGACCATCTGGACCGCGCGGGCGGCTTCTTCTACGAGAGATGGGGAGACGCGCCGGTCCACACGATTGCCGTGGCCAAGATGATGCGCGCCAGCGAGATTCACCTGTTCACGGACATCTCGTACAAGCACACGGTTGCAGGTTCGTGTCCGCTGGACGACGCGTTCCGGCAAAAGGCCCGGTGCACGTGCGACCCGGGCACGGACTGGGCGATCACGTCTGGCTCGAGCTGCAACATCAAGTTCCTGGAGGTGTCCCACCAGCCTGCGATGGCGGACTTTGAAAAGTACCGGGACATCGTGGCTGAGCGGGCTGCGGCTCAGCAACAGCAGAAGAAGGAGGATCTGGAGCGCAAAAGGGAGGCAGCCCGTCAGCGGGCCGAGGAGAGAAGACAACGTGCTGAGGAGAGACGGCTGAAGAAACAAAAGGAGAAGGAAGAACGCGAGAAGGCCAAAAGCGCATCGGCAGCGGGGCAATCTTAGATAGAGGCATTGAATATACCAGCCGAAATAGACATCTGTACACCAGACAATAGGGACGGAAACGAGTTGTCATGTGACCGCACCCGGTTTCTTGCGCTTACGTCACCAGAGGCCAGGTCCGCTCCTTTAAACTAAGCAGGGTAAGCCCCGATCCGTCAAAAAATGTGCTTGGCACAGAAGCTCATAAAATTTCCTGTTTTTCGCGTTAGTGTTCTGTACAGTTTGTTCTTATTACCCTCCTTAGAGCAGATATTTTCTTCTACTTGTTAACACCATGGCACGTACAAATGCTCGATTGATCCGGTTTGGGATCTTTGCCCTGGTGCTTGTTTTCTGCGGCTACATTCTGACAAAGGGCTCGTCGAACTCGTACAACCTGTCCAAGAGTACCACTGTGAGTCCTGAGGCGCAATCCAGCGCAGAGACCACTGCACCGGCAGCTCCCGAGAAGAAGGAGACCACCAAGGTGTTCTCGAACAGCGGCAGCAAGGAGAAGGCCACGTTTGTTTCGCTAGCCAGAAACCAAGACCTTTGGGAACTGGTTGGTTCGATCAGACAGATCGAGGATCGGTTCAACTCCAAATTCCACTACGACTGGGTGTTTTTGAACGACGGCGAGTTCAGTGAGGAGTTCAAGAAGGTCACTTCGGAGGTTTGTTCTGGTACCACGAAGTATGGCCAGATTCCAAAAGAGCAATGGAGCTTCCCATCTTGGATTGACACAGAAAAGGCCGCCCAGGTTCGTGAGGAAATGAAGAAAAACAAAATCATCTACGGCGACTCCATCTCATATAGACACATGTGCCGTTACGAGTCTGGATTCTTCTTCAGACACCCTCTTCTGGAAGAATACGAGTACTACTGGAGAGTGGAGCCAGGAATTAAGATCTACTGTGATGTCGACTACGACGTGTTCAAGTTCATGAAGGACAACAAGAAGTCGTATGGCTGGACCATCTCGTTGCCAGAATATAAAGAAACCATTCCTACTTTGTGGAAAACCACCAAGGACTTTTTGAAAGAAAACTCCCAATACGTTGCCGACAAAAACCTGATGGACTGGATCTCCGACGACGACGGAGGAAGCTACAACGGATGCCACTTCTGGTCCAACTTCGAGGTCGGCTCGCTCGAGTTCTGGAGATCCGATGCGTACATGAAATACTTTGAGTTCCTCGACAAGGCGGGCGGGTTCTTCTACGAAAGATGGGGAGACGCGCCAATCCACTCGATCGCAGTCGCTCTTTTCATGCCAAGAGAAGAGGTTCACTTCTTCGACGACATTGGCTACTTCCACAATCCTTTCCACAACTGTCCTATCGACGAGGCCGTGAGAGAAAAGAACAAGTGCATGTGCGCACCAAAGGACGACTTCTCGTTCCACTCGTACAGCTGCACGTCCAAGTTCTACGACATCATGGGCCTCCAGAAACCAACAGGTTGGGAGAAGTACGTTCAATAAGCTCTCTAGTTTTGATTATGTAAGCCACCCCAATATTGTTGTTCCCAAATAAATATTACTGGGCCATTTTTTTACACAAAACCTGACAAGACATTTACCTTGCTTAAGTATAATGACCGAACTCGCTATAGAAGAGCCTTTGGAGTTCGACAAGGTCTTACAGGCTGTGCGTGACGGCGCGCAGGACTGTTTGGAGACCAGAGACTTCATTTCCTACGCCACAATCCTAGATATATACCTGGCCGACCCATCGTCTTTCAAAGAGGACGAGAAGGACATTTTGTTGGAGGAGTTGTCTAAGGTCCTCCACAATGACCACGAGCTAGTGTATGAGATTGGTTGGGACTTGCCGGCAATGTTGTTGAGATTTTTCGAAGGCCCTTTATCCAACGGATTTAGACTTGTCGATGTGAAGGGAGTCGTGTTCATGATGCAGATTTTCGAGGCATTGGCCACTTTCGGCAACCCGAAAGAGCTGTTGTTGTCGACGTGCGAGCTGATTAGCGAGATGAAAGTCGAAGAGGATGTCGAGCGGGCCAAGAAGTTCAAAGAGAATTCTCAGACCACCACCTACAGCCGCAGAAGGCCCGAAAGCATATTTCTGATCAAAGTGCATCTTGTTTTGGAGCTTGTGAACACGTGTTTGAGGCGCAATGTGACGGTGCATCCGTCTAAGTTCCTGGGTATGGTTGTTTCTGCCCTAATTAACTTCTCCAAGAGCTCGACCGAGAACATGACCCATTTATCGGTGATCCGCAGATTCTACACATTGGTTAGAGACTACATACCGCCAAACATCCCGGAGTCCAGCGATATCCCGCTGGAGGACCTGGAACGCCTTGTTGACGAGGAAAACTACCTGCAACGCAAGCTGTTGCTGCTGGTGTTCTCTGTGATGGTGGAAACGTCTACGAAAGGCCTTGGTCCGCTGTTTCTGGCCAATTCGTTTGCCCAGATGAGCTGTTCAGCGTCGCTGGAGGCCGGTGACAAGTTTGAGTTTATTGAGCGGTTTGTCAGTCTGGCAATGTCGCTGGACCTGGAATTGGACAACATGTTCGACGCCGAGGTGGCACACGCAGGGAAAGTGTTTGAAGGCAGAAACATAACCGACACAGAGCAGATCTTCAAACTCGCCGTGGATAACTACAATTCTTCCGAGTTCCGTCAGAAAACCCCGCAGGAGATCCCGTTCTCGCCAACAGCCGTTACCATTTTGTACGCGTACAGTCGCCTGGTGCAGGGACACAAGTACACCAAGCCGCTTCCGAACTTCTTGTCGCTCGTCAAGCTGCAGCTGTGTGTTTTGATTCCGTACGTGATTGACGGCCAGCTGCTGAACGACTCTGCCATCGTCAGCCTGGTGTTGCTGACCATGAAATCGCTTGAGCGGGGCATCGACAAGTACACAGAAACAGACAAGCTGCTGATTTTTGCGTACCTGCAAAACCTGGCATCGCTGTGTCTTGAGTCGGAGGACTCGAACCTCCGTCGGTTCCTGTACTCGTTGACCACAAAGGTGTTTGTGAGTCTGCAAGAGCAAGACTCCTACGAGTACATTGTGGACTCTCTGGAACACTGTTCTGCAGAGTCGTACCGGATCTGTATGATTGGAATTCTCAAGGACCTGATGCTGCGCAATAGACAGGGCGCGCTCGAGGACGAGCTGGAGAAACTACAGGTGTCGGCGCCGGCTCTGCCGCCACGCCAGCTCACATACATCCAGTTCACGCCTGCGCGCGAACAGCGGGTGCTAGAGCTGCTGGACAAGGCCGTCGCGGAGACGTTTGCCGAGGACGTGGACCCCGTGGTGTGCAACAGTCTGCTGGCGTACATGAACCTAATTTTGTCCATCAAGAAGTTCGACGCGAAACAGGTCCACAGACGCGTCGCTACAATCCAAAGACGCATCTCCAAGCTCGACAAGTCGCACCAGCAAATCGTCGACCTTATTCAGTTCAGCATCGACAAGGCGTCCGAATTTTATAAAGAATAAACGCGGGGCTGTTAGTTAGTACCACTGCTCAGATAAGTGATGAATGTTGGAAACAGATGTTCTCTTCATGTGCTTCAGAGTGAGCTGAGAAAAGGTATCATCATAACAGAAGTACTTACTTGGATATAACTAAAGAATAACTTAATTTTTCACCAATTTTTTTTTATATAACCAATTTTATTACTCCGGGTAATGGCACAGGTGACCCAGGAAGAGTTCTCGTGGCTGTTGGGGCGAGAAAAGTCCGCATACGAGCTGCTGGGCGTTGAGGCCGCTGTGGACGGCACCTCGTTGCGTCGCGCGTACCGCAGACGGGCCCTTGTGCTTCATCCGGACAAAAACCAGTCCCCCTCTGCAGAGGACGAGTTCCGCGAGATACTGGTGAGCTACCGCGTGCTGGGCGACCCAGCGTGGCGCGCGCAGTACGACGAGCATCTCGCGCGCGAATTGGAGCGCCGTGCACACGCCACGGCCCAAACACAGCGTCAACAGTCGTTAAAGGAACAGCTACTTAGCGACGAGTCTAAATACAAACAACACCTGTACACCGCCAAGTCTCGGCAGAGCAGAGTGGAGGCACTCAAGCAGCACACGGAGCAGCTGCGGCTCGAGAAGGTGCGCCGGCTGGGCGCGCAGGCGGCCGGGATGTCGCAGGACAGAACCAACCGGGCCGTGTTCCCGTGCAAATTAAAAGTGCGGTGGAGAAACAAGCCGCAGATGGGCGACTTGATGTCGGTGGAGGTGGTGGCCCAGCTGATGGGGGTGTTTGGGCCCGTGGAGCACGTGGAGATGGGAGGTGGGGGCGAGGCTCTGGTGACGTTTGTGACGTGGACAGCCGCCGTTCTGGCAGCGATTCACAACTACGCAGAGCCGTGCGACTTATGGGACGCCATGGGACTGAGTCGCGTGGCCGGTCTGCTGAAAAGCGCGCGTCTTGTTGGGTTCGACGATCACGTGAACGAAGACCACCTGAACATGGACGAACTGGTTGGACTGAAAATGTACCGTCTGCACAAACACCGCACACCTGTCTAGTCGCTGTCGATGACGATTGTTTCTGGCGACCGCGCCTTGTCCTTGACGGCAGGGAACGTTTTGTTCTTGTCCTTCCGTTTCTTGCTGTTGCGCAGGGACTGGCCCTGGCCCTCGAAGTGCGGCTTATTTTCCTGAGGCCGTTTTTCCTCGAACTCGTCCTTATACACCTTGACGGGGAATCCAAAGAATAAATACCCGTCCGGCAGCTCGAGCTTGCGGATCGGGCCGCTCAGATCGATGTCCGCTGTATTTATAGCCGGCTCCTGCTCGTGAGCCACTTTTTTGCCCGACAGTTTGACTCCATCGCCCTGGAACTTCTGTTGGCCTCTGTTAGCCTGTCTAATCATCTCTCCATAATTGATCTGCTGAGCCATTGAGCCTGTTCCTTTCAGCGACGGCTGCGACAAGGCCTTTGTTTTCTTCTGTTTGGCCTGTTCTTCCTGTAATGCCTTGTAGTCTGGCTCGACGTAGCCAACTGGCGGAGCAAAGTCTGTTTCGAGATCGGTCTCAATCACACAGATCCCGCGGCTGGAACTTTCTGGCTTGGCCTCCAGGATCTTGATCTTGTAGATCTGGTCGTTGTAGTTGACCTCAATTATGTCGTCCACGGTGAGTGTCGTGAACTTTCGTAAAGCGTTCTCCAAAACGGCTTTTGGGTCGCTGATATCGAGAAAGTCCACACTTTGCGGTTCCAGCTTGACAAACGATCCTTGCGGCAGGTCTGCTGTTTTGATATTCACAAGCGAGCCGGGCTCCACCTGAATAGTGTCGAGCATCCATTGTGGCAAATAGCACCGGCCTTCCTCAGCGGTGAACTCGAGCACTCCGCTATGCGTGGACTTGCCCGAGCCCTCAGAACTGATGTGGAACAGCATCGGGTACCGGATGTTGAGCATTGTGAGCTTGTGGAGCGCCGATTGCGGGAGAAAGATTTTGCCCCCGTAATTGGCATCGTCTTTGCGGGTCAAATCAGACATCATTGCGATGGGGTAACACCGGAAATAGTCGTCGAATCCTTGCACGAGCGGAAACGAGGGCTCGCCAAAGCCAAGTCCAAAACCGGAAAACTGCGTTAGAGTCGACAAAGGCACACTTACCATTTGCAAGATGTAGAAATAAAGATTAGCTAGTAAAAAAAAATTATAGCTGTTTACCTTTTGTTTATACTTTCATGGAGGAGGACGAAGATTACCTGTTGGACGACACTTACGCGCTGCGCGACTTGATTGACGAGGACAGCGACGAGGACGACGGTGCGATCTTGTTTTCGGACGACGACATAATCCCCGAGGACGACGACCCTGACGACGAGGACTTCGAGGAGGAGCCAGACAATTTCGGGTTCAGCGAGGAGGAGTTGGACGAGGAGGACATCGACGAGGACTTTGAGTTCCGCAATGCGTTGCGGGAGGCGCGCAATTTCCGACCCAAGCCCCAGAAGGGCGCCAAGAAGACCAAGGGCCTGGCTGCCATGCGTCGCAAGATCCGCAGAGAGGAGCTGTCTCCGGAGGTGAAATTGTTGCTGTCGCAGGCGAACGAGGCTTTTGTGCGGAATGACCTGCCTGTGGCGCAGAACTTGTATTTGGAGGTGGTCAAGCTCGACAAGAACAATTTCAGTGCGTACAAGACCCTGGGAGAAATATACAGACTGCAGGGCAATTACAACAAGTGTTCGAACTTTTGGCTGTTGGCGGCCCATCTGCACTCGTGGGACTACGAATTTTGGCGGACGTTGGCCGAATTGTCTGTGGAATTGGAGCACACGCGACAGGCTGTTTATTGCTACTCTAAAGCCATTTCCGCAAGCAACGGCAAGGACCTGGACTCGATTTTCTCCCGGGCATGTTTGTACCGCGAGCGCGGCCAGTACAAGCGTGCGAGCGACGGGTTGTTGAAGCTCAGGGCACTAATGCCGCAGGAACCAAAGATATGCAGAGAATTAGCCAAAATCTACGTGGACGAAAACAGAGTCAACGACGCAATCAACATGTACACGCGGATTTTGGAAGACAACATGAAACACAGACGCGGAGAAAAGACGGAGCTCAAGACCATCACCTTTGACTGGTCAGAACTCAACATCCTGCTGGAGTTGTACGGTAAGAAAGCTGCGTGGACGCTGGCGATCAAAGCATTGAAGACCGTTTCGCGATGGATCCAGTTCCGCGAGTCGCAGACGTTCTGGGACGACCAGACCACGGTTGACTCCGAGTTCGACGACCGACGGTTCGAGAACCCGCGGTTCCAGGCCCTCAGACCAGAGGAAAAGGCAAAAGAATACACGCTTCCAATTGACATTCGTGTGCAACTGGGCCTGTTTCGTTTAAACTCCAAAAACACTAACGAGGCACTACGTCATTTCGAGTACGTTTTGGCCGAGAACATCCAGGAAACGGCCGACCTGTTCCTGAGAATAGGAACCGAGCTCGAGACGTTTGGACTGTACCACGAGGCGTTGCGGTACTTCTATCCTGTTTCGAACGTTTACGAGAACAACCCAGCAGAGCTGATTTTAAGCATTGCCAAGTGTCTGCGCGAGACAGAAGACTTTGAGAACGCCAGAGACGCGTACAAGCGGCTGTTGGAGCATGACCCGGACAACGTCGAGATCAAGGTCGCTCTCGCGGAGGTGTACTTTTATCTGGACGATATTCAGAGCATGAGCCTGTTGTACCAGGAAGCTCGTGAACAACGGAGCGAGGAGCGGGCCAGTGCGCGGAAAAACCTGCTCCAGGATACCGAGGATGTCAGTGAGGACGAGGAGATGAGCGATGACCCGGCCACAAAAGACCCGGACCAAATGGCCCTGATTGCAGAGTACCCGTCCTCGCGTAAGGCGAAACGCAAAAAGTTCACGCCTCTTGCGCCCGAGGTGCTGCACAAGAAGGAACTCAAGTCCACCACGCGGATCAACGAGCAGTATGCGCGCGCAAACCGGCTGCTTGAACGGCTCGAGGACGACTCTGACTCGCTGGGAGTCGACCGCAGCTCGATTGCGTCGATGTGGATCGACATTGTTTCCGAGCTGATCGAGGTGTTTTCCACTTACAGATGCTTCTTTTCCTCGGACAAGGCCAAGAAGTTCAACACAAGCCTGCGGCGACGCACAGAGAAGCTGAGCATCGACCAGAAGCTGTCGCGGCTGCCGTATTTGCAGGACGAGATGATTCTCTCGAAAGAAATGGACTCGGGTCGCATTCCGATCCCAAGCGAGAAGTTCAAGGGCATTGCGTTCACCAACTGGTTCGATCTGTTTATGAAGTACTCGTTGATGATCTCCGAGTACGAGTCGAACGTTGAGGACGCATTGTCCGTACAGGAGATTGCGCGACACATCAACGTGTTCAAGAAGAAAGAGCTCACTATCACTTTGGGCGGGCTCTCTGTTGGGTTCATCACCAACGACGTTTCTGTGATTATGAACCATTTGCGGATCCTGATGAACGACTATCAGTTTTCCATTCCTGCGTTGAAGACGTTTCTTGCCGCTTGCAAGCCAACAGAGCTGTTTTATCATCCATACGTGGACGCTCCGAACCAGAAGTACATTCTCCGACAGATCAAGACCCACGACTCTTTGAAGGAAGGACGCGACATTTCAGGCATGGCGGCCATCACAAACACGAATGTGGACACCACCAAGTTCCACCCGCTGCTAAACTACGTGTACTCGACGTTTTTGTACGTGAACAAGTCGTACACGGCCGCGTTGACATACAGCTTCAAGATCTACAGAGACTACTGCAACGACCCGTCGCTGGTGTTTCTGATGGCTCTATCGAACCTGCACCGGTCGATGCAGCGGCAGACGATCAACAAGAACTTCCAGATCATCCAGGGCCTGACTTTCATGCTGGAGTACGCAGAGCTGCGCCGGTCGCAGGGCGGTTATGACATGGAGATCAACTATAACCTGGGCAGGACGTTCAATCTGTTGGGACTCAACACGCTGGCGTTGCAGTTCTACGAGAAGGTGCTGGAGCTCGACGACGACGAGCCGTACGACCTCAAATACGAGGCCGCGTATAACAGTTATCTGATCTACAGCTACGACGGCAACTTTGAGCTGGCCGAGCAAGTTATGGAGAAATATTTATGTGTATAGTAGCAAAAAAATAATATTTGTTATATTTTCTTTCTTGTTCACGATGGACTCGATTAGTTCGGCATTGCACTCGTATGTCCGCGAGTATGACGTTGCGAAGCTGGCGAGGGACTTGAGGAGGAACACCGTCACGCCTGGCGTGGCCAATGTGCAGTACCAGGCGGCTGATTACCTGCAACAGCTGGAGTGTTGTAACCTGCTCTGGGTGATCAAGGGGCTGTTGAGCGAGCTTTCGGGCAGCACAGGCGAGGATATTGTCTTTGACAGTGCGGTGAGCAACTATAGAAAGGCAAGTTTGAAGATAAAGGAGCTGGAGACCCTTGTTGGCGGCGAGACAGCAATAACCACAGAGATCAAACAGCGAATAAAGGAGTATCAGGAGGATATCACGGGGGAGATGAAAACTCGGCTGGGGAAGTATCTTTCCTTGGGCCCGGACAAATTTGAATACAGCAACAAGGTGAACGATATGACGTTTGCGGAGTATCTAAGGTGGAGTTATGAGTTCTGTCAGCAGAGCGAGCAGGAGTTTCTCCAGTATTTCGGGCTAGCCAAGCGGTTTGGCGCGGAGTTGGGGCCGAAGCTGGGTTGTTCGGTGGACTTGAAGTACGACGGCGAGCAGATTGTGCTGACGTTTGGCGAAGAAGTGCCGTTTTCGAAAGGATTGTCTGGAATCGAGAATATCATTAATTTCTTCAACCTGTTCATGGACCACAACAGAGGCACAGAAAAGTATCATTTGGGGTCGATAAAGCTGGCTGTTGCGAAAGTGTTGCTTGGGTATTTGAAAAAAGAGATGTTTGGCTCGCAGAACGTGTACTCGCTGATTCTGGGCAAGTACGGCGCGGACGAGAGCCGCAGCGTGGGCCAGCTGGAGGTGATTTCGGCACTGTTAGGCCAGGACGGGTGGACACGCGACGGGATCTGTGACTTGGAGTTCTGGCTGGACAATCTGGTGAATCACTGGGTGGAGACGCTGGTGGACCAGCAAATCGACAAGATCAAGGATCTGGCCACGAGCGGCGGGCTGGAGAAGCTCGAGCTGGAGGAGTTTATCGAGAAGACGCCGGAGAGTGTGGGGATTGTGGAGAAGCCCCTAGAGCCGGCAGACGACGAGTGGAACAGTGAGTGGAACGAGGACTGGGACGAGGGTCCGGAGCCGCCGGTCAAGGAGGAGGAGGAGGACGACGACGACGACTGGGACGCATGGAACGAGGACTGGAAGGATGAAAAGAACGATCTGGGCGTCAAGTCCATTGTTTCCACGAGCAAGTCGTCCAGCACGGTGCAGGTGGTGAAGTATTCTGGCGTTTGTGGCTGGATGGAGGATCTGGTTGCAACGTACTACCAGAACTATCTGGAGCTGCGTTCGAAAGCACAAAGCCATTCTTTTGAGGATGTTGAGGATGTCTTCAAAGCCAGCATCAAAAAACTGGTGGTTTGCTTCTATATGGTGGCCAGCAAGTCGTACACGAACTGGGTGTCTTTCTACACGGACTACTCGAAAATTGTGGACAACGTGATTGCAAAGTACGGCGTCAGGATGGACACGTGTGTGGACCTGCGCAACAAAGTCCAGCTGCGGCGCACACAGGAGTATCTGGAAAGTCTGTTCACGGTTATCCATCCGCACGAGGCGGTGCTTTTCCACGACAACGGGTTCGACAACCGGCTGCACAAGCGACATGCCACGGAGCTGGTTGCACAGCTGGGCGACGAGTTTGGCCGCATCAACAAAGAGCTTGTTGCCGGGCTCGCGGTGAACAGTCTGGTGGTGCAGGAGGTTTCTGGGTCGGTTGCGACGCAGATCTGCGGTTATGTGAGTTCGATGATCATTTCGCGCGATAACATTGCGTCGGACGAGTCGCAGGTCCTTTCTGAGCTGGTGGCCGGGCTGCTCAAGATAGTACACGTTCCGGAGTTGGGCGACATCCACAAACTCAAGAACTACCAGAAACTGGAGCAGGTGAAGCTTCTACTGGACTCTGGTCTGCGGGACATTCTGGACAGTTTCTACGACGCACGGTACTTTGAGTTGGCGACGGACGAGCTTGTCGGGCTGGTGCGCAGCTTGTTTGTGGACAGTCCGCTGCGACGGAGCGTGATCGACGAGATCGAAGAGCTACGTGCTAGCTAAAGCGGGATTCAGATAAATAAGAGCATATACCGTATAATACGTTCACCATTCGAGCTCGCCCAGAGATTCTGGGTTGGAGCCTTTGCACTCGATCTTGGAGCACAGTTCTTCAAGTTCCTGGGCCTCTGGGGAGTTTGGCTTGCCGCCGATTCTGGCCGGGTTGATTTCGTGGCCTGCTGCCTGTTCCAAGTCGAAATGTGCCTTGACCATGTTTTTGACAATTCCCTGGTAATGGAGCACTCCGCGCTCCTTGAGCGGGTGGAGATAGCCTGTGGAATAGATGCCCTGGTTGAGGTTCTTCTGGGTCTGCACGCACAAGTTGAAGTCCTCGAGCTCGACTTGCTGCAAGAAATCAACAAACTCCTTCTTCTTATCATCGGCCAAGCCCTTCTTGGTGTAGATGTCGTACTGGAGGATGGTTCTGGACGGGGTGATTGGCAGGACTCTGATGGAGTAGAAAGCCGGCGAATAGCAGTTCACGCCGTTGGTTGGGAACAGATAGCACCACAGACCGTTGAAAGATCCTCCAGGGTTCTCTTTGGTCTTTTTAGGCTGCGCCGGGGTCTTCTTCTTGCCGAACCCAAACCACGACGACTCCGTGTCCGGGTCAGCTTCCTCGGGAGTCTCCTCGATCTGCTCGTCCACGATCCGCGCATAGTGTCTGCAATAGTTGCCCTTTGGAACCACCTTATAGGTCTCCATTTTGAACGCAACACTCAAGCCAGGGTGTGCAGTTGGACAATGGTAGCACTCCTGGTAGCCGTCCATGAGCGTTTTCCAGTTGAACTGGCCGTCCAGCTCGTACGACATGTGGTACTCATAGTCGTCGAAGTCGTACTCGTTCATTTCTTCCTCGAGTCCGGCAAAGAACTCCTCGAACGGAGTGAAGTTCTCGGTGTTGTCAAAGTTGATAAACACGAGGCCCTGTTTGGTGGTGTGGGTTTTGATCTCAAACAGCGAGTTGGCCTTTGGATCGAACCCTTCCACCTCGTTGAAGTGCGGAGCCTTGGTCAACATGCCGTCTGTGTTGTACGACCAGCCGTGGTATTTGCAACCAAGGACGATCGACGAGCCTTTTTCTTTTCTCACAACAGGATAAGCTCTGTGTCTGCAAACGTTGTGGAACGCCTTGATCTGGCCGGCCTTGGTCTTGATCAGGAAAAAGTTCCACCCAAGGAAAGAGTACGAGAAGTAGTCGCCGGCCTTTTTGAAGCGCTGTTGGTGGGTCACAAACAGCCACGACTTGGCAAAGATGGCTTTTTTCTCATAATCAAGCACTTTCTGGGACGTCCACCAGGAGGCAGGCAGAGTGTGCTCGCCAGGAAGAAGTTTCTCGGCAGCAGTGTCTTCAGGAGGAGGAGCAGGCTTGGCAACAGCAGCACACATTGGATGATGGCAATAGTGTATGCTAAACAGGTCTCTTTTATAGAGCAACGGAAAATGCATCCGCATCGGGAACTAAAATGATAAGAAAACAGGCTGCCGGTTTCGGAAATTTTTCCACCTGATAACACGGAATTTGTCTGTCAACTAATACTATTTCCGGCAACAAGATTCTGTTTATCTATAACTCGTCTTTATACTTGCTACTGTGCGGGATCACTACCTTGTACTCGATAAACAAGTCTCCGTACTCGTCAACGCCCCCGTAAACAGGCATCCCGCGGCCTTTCACTCTCTCCACCTCGTTGGGCGCAACAACCTGTCCTGGAGCCCGCTTCAGCACCACCGTGTTGTCGTAGTTGTCCAGGAACGGGATCGCGCGCTCCCACCCACCGTTCAGCGCCTCCTTCAGCGTCAGCACCTCTGTGCGGTACAGGTGCTTACCGACCCGTCGGTACCCCAAATTACCCGTCTTGCTCTCGGAAATCTTGACCCGCAAATCGCCAGCGTCCCATTCCGGCGACTTCTCAGACTCCCCTGCATATATCTCCACATGGTTCCGAGGCATTCCTGGTTGTAGATGGAAGTTGTATTTCCGGTCGCCGCGAACCACTTTTTGCCCGTGACATTTTTTGCAATGGTGGGTGATCTGGTTGCCCGAGCCTTGACACTGCGGACACACGCTCTCGTACCGCTGGAACATGCCAGGCCCGATCTGGCGCTTCACCACCACCCGTCCGCGGCCGCTGCACTGCGAACACGTGTGCGTCTTGCCGTCGCGAGACCCACTGCCCGAACACTTGTCACAAATATCCTGCATCTGGAGTGAAAAATCGGTATTTAGCCCGTTGAAAAACTCCTTCAACGTGAACTCCAGCTCTGTCGAGCTGTCTGCGCCACGCGGACGCCCCCGTCGCTGCTGCCCGCCGCCAAAAAAGTTGGCAAACATGTCAAACGGATCGTGCTGCTGCTGCTGCTGCTGCTGCCCGCCCTGCTTGACACCCTCGTGCCCGTACCGGTCGTACACCGCGCGCTGCTCGTCGTCAGTCAGCACCGCGTACGCCTCGCCGATCTCAATGAACCGCGCCTGGGCCGTCTCGTCGCCCGGGTTCTTGTCCGGGTGGTACTTCTTTGTCAGCTCGCGGTACGCCTGCTTGATTTCCCTGTCGGAGGCATCTCGCGCAACGCCCAGCACCTCGTAGTAGTCGCGCTCGGCAGCCACCGCCACCAGCACGACACACAAAAGCCATAGAACCGTCAATACCCGCATCGGCCAAGTGCGATTACACGTCAGTAGTGGAAATTTTTTATACATGGTAATTTCTAGTATTAAAGTCGCCGGGCTGTGCAAACAATTAGGCGCACAAGTTATAACTATTTGCTCCAACCACCCGTCAGATGCGGTCGATGCCACCGCCCCGGTACTCAAGGTACCGCACCGCCAAAAGAATCTGGCGCTCGATCATCAACCTACTATCCACAGGCTATGTGTCTGATTCGTCGGCGTTTGTCAATCTGCGTCACAACACCACCAAGCCCAACCACCGCACCAAGATCCGCAAGTCGAGATGGTCGCGCAAACCAACGCCACGCGCCAAGCTGTCGAACCGGGTCTCGAACCGCGTGATCCACGAGCTCACGAGCGAGGAGAACGGCGGCGAGATCATCAGCAACATGTGGTCGTGGAGCTCGCTGTGGCTGTCGCTCTTTTCGTTCTGGAAGTCGCCGTCTGTCGGCTCGGCCACCAGACCATCGCGCTCTGGCGTCGGCAACTTCAACGTCAACGTGTCCATCTAGACATTGAACTTCAGCCAGTCCCAGTCACCAGCAAACGTCTCGCCCATCTGCGTGGTGTCCTCTTTGTAACTGTCCATCCGGATCGGCTGCGGAGCCACCTGCACTGATGCGTTGTGGTCTCCCAGGTCCAAGCTTGACCGCTTGCGTTTTTGTTGCTCGTTCATCTTTGCGCTCGAGGCGGTGTTGTTCAGCGGCCGGATCACTCCGTGCAGCTTGAAGAACAGCCCGCACGCGTTGCACAGCAGCCGGTTGTCGGACGTCTTCCGCCACAGCGGAGTCGTCGACGTGAAACAGTTCTCGCAAATCGGCTGCTGCGAGTACTTGCCCGTGGACGGAGCAGAAACTGGGGTCGTTTTGGAACTTGCTGTCGTGAGGGTTGGTGACGTTTTGTCGTAGGCCGGTCTGTCGCGACGGTCCAGCGACACCTCCAAAGTATTGATATAATTAGTGAGACTGTAATCGGATGCTCTTTTCTCTTCACGTTTCGAACTAGCCATGTCTTTCTCCTGGTGGCCATGTTTGGTGATATCCATCATGTCTGGCAGGGTGTCGTCAAACTTGAGGAAACTGTCCACGTTGAAGTCCTCCGTCGGCTTCTGCAGATGGCTCTGATGCGAATACGAGGCCGATTGGTACTGTTGCGGCTGGTTGTGTAGGAAATTGTATGGCTGGCCATTGACGGTGGAGAAAACAGAGTTTGTGTTTGACGACAATGAATGACTGGTGCCGGGAGAAAGGTAATCACTCGAGTCCATGCGCTCTTTTGGATCGATGGTGATTGGATTTGTCAAGCCGAAGATCGAGTCATGGTCCATCGACGAGATCGACGACCGGAACGGCTCAGCATGCACAGGAGGTTCTGGGTTCATGCCGTACTCCTCTTTCGAAATCCGTCTGATGTGCTCGATGTAATCGAATTCCGGGTTCTCTGGCGTCTCGCTGAAGGAGGTTTCGGAAAGATGAGGCTTTGTTAAAGAAAGGTTGTTGCTCGATTGCGAAAGGGACTGTTTGTGCGAATATTTCGTAGGCTTTGTAATCCTATTGGATGAGTCACTGTTTCTGCGCCTCTTGACACTTTCGATACTGTTGAGTCTCCAGGACAAGTTGAGAATGCGCTTGTTGTTTGGCAAAAGGGTGTTCTTGTTATTGAACATCTTCCATATTTGCAGAGAGGTGCTGGATTGCTCGGCAAACTCTCTCTCTATTTCTCTCTTGAGGAGCTTTATGTGGGATTCCGACTTCTGAGCCGGAACGTTTCCTGCAAACATGACTGAGGAGCGGAGAGATGAAAGACTTGGTAACGTCTTTTCGCCTTGGTTTGTGTCTTGTGAATCAGTAACGGATGGTCGCCTACTTAGGAATTTGAGGCTTTTATATAGGGGACTGCCTTATTTGTCATTTGCATTTGCCGGAACACACATTTTGCTACCGATGTGCATAATTGCCTGCTCGCAGGATTTGTGTTTTATTGTTCCGGGTCAACTGATTGTGTTACTTTTTCTATTGTTATGTAAAATACATTCACACGGCCGATTGTTCACACAATCTATGACATTGTCGTAGCGAACAACAGATAAGGTAGTCTGGAATCCAAGTGTCAGACCAAAATTCGCACTCCCTTTGTTCTCATTGGCCTATTTGCAGAATTTCGCCTTCGTCTTATCGGCTTCCCCCCTCTCTTCGGTTGACCCTTCCAATCGATACACGGTAATAATTAAATAAATATTACCGCCCCAGGCCCAGCCTTCGGATCATCCTCGAGCCGTGTTTCTTTTTTTTTCTGGCCGTTGACTCACTCCAAAACTCGCCGAATCAGGTCGTAGCTCATCCATTGCACAGCCATTGAGGGACAGATCTTCCACATGTTGGCCCCCCACCCTTTGTAGAGCCCCACGTATCCCTCGCGTTGCACAATTTGCACTAATGCGTCCGGGGTAGACTTGTACTGGAACCCCATTTCTCCGCCCCCGAGCGTGGCCACCTGAAACCGTCGTCTTAGTACGTCCATTGGGTAGATCAGGGTCTGTCCCACGCCGCCGCTGATGGCCCCCAGCACGAGCGCCGTGGAAGGGTTGTTACGAGCCCGCTCAGGGACCAAATCTTTCAGCTTCCCGTATATTGTAAAGTTCAGAGCCGTGTACGGGGCCACCCCCAGCGATGTCGGAATCAGCCCGCGGTATAACGCTTTTATCCCACCCTCTGTTCTGTAGATGTTGAGCATGCTAGCCCACATGCCTGGCGGTGCTTCCTTGGATGTGCGATGTTTGAGGTTCTGGAGCGCAGCCGTTTGCACAGAAAGTCGCGTTTTGACCAGGTCCATCGGGTACGTGGCCAGCACAGACATGAAGCCAGCGACAGTGCCCGCGAAAAGCCGACGCGGAATCGACCACGAACCGTCGCTGTCAGCAAGAGCAGACTTTAAAGCTTGGAAAACAGAGTACTGGACAGCCGAGTACGGCACCACACGCACACAGTTGATCCCGTTCCCACGGTACAGTCCCTTGTAGCCTTCCTCCTGCCAAATTTGGTGTATCGAGCGCAGAGTTCCATGTCTATACGAGTTTGTTGACCCTTGGACCTGCTGCAACACCTTGACGCGTTCCATTGGCGACACCGTAGTTCGCGACAGGGCGCCTGCTATACCTCCGCACACCAGCGACAGTGCTGGTTCTGGGACTGACGGCCAGAATGTGCTGTCTTTCATGCCCGAGATGGAAATATCGAACGTGAAAATTTAGATCTTATATTTTCGTGGGGTGGAGAAAAACGGTAGCGGTTTCGAGCGGGATGCGGGACCCGTCCGCACACGCCAGTGCATTGTGCTGGGGTTAGCACAACATGGCATGGTCTACAACGTCTACAACGTCTACAACGGCTTCAAACGTGACTCGTTGAATATATAGGCGTAGATATTTCTGTGTGGAAGTGTGGCTCCGGCACCAGAGCGGGACCAGCTTTAAGTCCAGACCAAACTTTGGGCAATTGCCAGGACACCTCCCCACACACACGTTTAAGCGCTCACAATGGTTCCACTGTTGACCTTTTTGCCGGTCTTGGAGATGGCCTGCAACACGGTGTCATAGTCGAGGTCGCTGGTGACGTCGACGGTTTGTTTCTCGAGCGAGATGTCCACGTTCTGGACGCCGGGGAGTTTGGTCAGCACTCTGTTGACGGCATTGGAGCAGCCTGAACAGGCCATGGTGACGTTGAAATGGTAATGTTTCGGAGACATTGGGAATAATTAAGTGCAGGTATTTTTCTGGAATATATATGTGGGAGGAATCGGGGCAAATATTGCTCATTAGTAATATTCGGAGTGCAGGCAATTTGACAGGCGAAAACGACGCATTGGTGCGCTTGTAGTTGTTTGCATGCAAACAGAACCATGAATAGGGCGCCCAATTTCGTTCACCCCCACCAATCGCTCTGACACATCCCGTGTTAACACAGCCGAGCCGCCTGGAACCTGGAATTTGCCAAGGTTCCGATATCGTGCCGAAACAGAAGTTTTTCCTCCGCCACCTACGTCAAAAGAAACCGTTCCAGGCCCACTACAGGCCCCTTACCTTCACCCAGCCCATGTAGCCCCCGGCCCCTATTGTGTGCCAGCTTAGCCCGGCCGACGCGAGTGTTGAAAAAAAAAATTGCGCCGATCGCCCTGTCTTGCTCCGCGCACACCCCTGCCTCACCAGCATATTCTGCTTGTGTACCAAGATCCCTCCTTCGCCGAAAATTCTTTTCAACCCAAAACATTGCTTAGTCTGTACAATTTTCACCCGCGTCCGATCCCAACAAGACGTCTGCTCCCCTTCCAGTTCCACGTTCTTTGTTGATACTGGCCACTCCCCCGACCAAAACTACTTGTCATGACCTCTCGCTACAACGTGTTGTCTGTTGGGTCCCATCCCAACCTAGCCTTTTACAACTGGCGATTGTTCAGTTCCAAGACCTGCGACCTCACGGTTGTGAGTCCCACCACAAAGGCCAATAACACGTTCCATTGGACCAGTCTCCAGTTTGGCAATTCCAGGTACTCCTTGTCCACCGTTTATGATTCGTTAGACGCCTATCTGGCACAAACAGAGGCCAACGGAACCAAACTGGCCAAGATCGACTACATTTTTGTCTCGGCCGTGTCGTTGCAAGACCTCGCGTCCATCTTTGGGAAATTGGTCAACGTGATTGCCTCCCAACTTGCCGTCAATAACGTGCCTACTATAATTGTCGAATCCACAAACTTTGTCAACCTGGAACCATTCGTCAAGCTATCCATGCAGCTCGACGTCGAGCTCCCAGTCTTGTCCATAATGTCCGACTACGATATCCGTCTTGTTGGCGATAATAATTACGAGGTGTACAAGAGCAAAAAGGAAAGCGATCTTTTGTACGTGGGCCGCAGCGGCACTCAGGACACATACTCGAAAACAGACATCCGTCTCATCAACGAGATCTCCGACCTGTTTGAGAGCGCCGGAATCGACGTGTACAAGCTCAGCACCCCACTCGAGTTCCTTTCGTACCAATGGAAATTCGCGTTGCCAAAAATAGCCATTGAACCACTCTCGATTTTGTTTGAAAAACCGTTCCCAGACCAGCTCCAGGAACAGATCCTGGCCAAGCCATTGATCTCGGGGCTGATCTCAGAGATCATCTCCGTCATCAAAACCATGGGATGCAAGCTGTTCAAGAGCTACGACAGCGAGTCTTCCCTGCTCCAAAGAATAGGACAATTGTACCCGGTGACAAAACTCAGCCCGGACTACTCAGAAGCCCCAAAATTGTTTTATGACTTCTACAACCAAAACGAAATTCATCTCGACCTGCTTCTGTTGCAGCCGATCCTCATTGCTGATGATTTCCATATCAAAACTCCGTACCTCGAGTTTTTGTATGCCATGATGACCCAATTCTCTAACAGCAACATATCCACTTTGGACAACGAGACTTCCATCTTCTGGCTACGCAGAAACGCAGACAACATCAGAAACCTCAAGCTGCAAAGAGACGAGATCTCCGTCAAGAACGATCTCAAGGAAAAGGAGATTGCCGAGTCCAAACTGAGACTTGCTCAGCCAATTGTCCAACCACCAATCATCCCTGCCACCATCCAGCCGTCTCCCCCAGCTTCCCAGCAATCCCAGCCATCACAGGCAGACAGGGGGGCCTTCAACTTCGAGAATAAGGAGTATCTTCAACCTCATGACCAAAGAGCCTACGACAGAGCGTACCAGAACAACTCGGACCCTGCTCTTTCCAACGGCTCGGCCGGTATGAACGGTTCCAGCGCTAGTGGTGGCGACCAGAACATTGAGAGCGACTTGGAGGAGCTTTCCCAAATGGCACACGCCTATGTCATTGCTGACCAGCCGCCAGCAGCACAAAACTCCGCTGCCGGTTACCAGCCAAAACCTATCCCTAGTATTTATTCTCAACAGCGTGAGACCCAGCAACTGCCACCAGCGGCACAGCCGTACTACCAGCAGCCAGCTCCGCAGACTCAACAGGCCCAGCAGGCTCAGCAGTACCAGCAATACCAGCAACAGCAACAGGCTGCTCAACAGGCTCAGTACCAGCAGCAATATCAACAATACCAACAACAGCCGTTCTCTGTGCAACCTGCCCAGCCTGCTCAACCTGTTCCGCCTGCTGCTCCAGGTCCAGAATACTACAACGGATCATCGTCTCCGACCTATGTTCCGCAACAGGGACTACCACAAGGTCTTCCTTCGCAGGGTCTTCCGAACCAGCAACAGATCTTCCCTCCTAAAATGCAAGGTCAGCAGTTCCAGGGTAGAAGACAGTCTGTTCCTCTGTCGTACACCCAGGACAACCTGTCCATGTTCTCGGGAATGAATGGTCATCAAGGAAACTACGACAATGGCGATTTCCAGAGCCACATGTCTCGCCAGGCAAGCAGACAGTTCAAGCCAACGTCTAGAAAGAACCGCAAGTCCACCACGATGATTAACGGACCCATTCTTGGTAACGATACCCGTGGAATGCCTTCCAGACACTCCATGATGCCATCGTACCAGTCTGGAAACGGCTCCTCCAATACCATTCCAACCCAACAGTATACACACAGACAAAGCTCCTCGGGGACTTTGAACACCATGCCAAGAAGAAGCCAGACTTCCAATGGACTAGGAATCAACGGGGCCCAGAAACCTCCAAAGCCTCAACAACAGGTGGTTCCTCCTGTCCAGCCACAGTCGACCGGAGGTGTTCCGCCGCAGGCCCAGCAGTACCCTGCTGCTCCCGTGGCGTCTGCTCCCGTTGCCTCGTTCTCCAGACAGCCTACCCAAACAGGACTGTCTGGCGAAATAGCTTCAGGATCAGGCTCTGGATCGAACTCTAGCTTGCTGGCCTCGCAGCAGGACAGCAATTTGCGTCCCGTTCCAAAGGCCACTCCGGCTCCAAATACCCCAGCATACACTCCTCCTTCATCCGAGCCAAAAGAGGCCGAGAAGAAGAAGAAGAAGCGCGGCTTCTTTGGCAGAAAGAAGTAAACCTTTATGTATTACATAATCCATCTTTTTCTCATCCTTATTAATTTTAATTAAACAAGGAAATCTTTAAAATATGATGATCGCTGTACAAGGGCGTCGATTTCGATTAAGCGCCTGGTTTCCCGCCGGTGTGCGGTGGGTATCCGCCAAGTCGGCTTCCAAGCTGGCACAGGAGCCAATGGGGTACGCCTATTTCTCCAAGGCGTTTGCTAAAGAGATCAATTTGTTTCGAGCCTACTGTGAGAAGGACAAGACGGGCAATCTGGAAACATTCAAGCGTTTGACTCGGTACAAACAGAAGGCTGCCAATAAGGAGCGACTTTCGCTATTTGTGGCCACGTTAAAGCGCAACACCGATCTTTACCAGCACCTGGTGTCCAAGATCACAAGCATCCCGGAGATCAAGGAGGAGAAACAGCCAGAGGTCCAATCTGCGGAACCGTTCACTATCGGCTCGTTACTGACTCAGCAGGAACATGAATCCACGGCAAAAGCTCCAAAACCAGCAACAACCAAGAAATCCACAGAAACGTTCAAGGATCTTTTGGGATCGATCAATAAAATCCAGAAAGTCAACCAGTTGCATCGCGATCTTCCCAAAATGACAAACTTCACGCCGATGCCCACTATCAGGTCGTTTGAGATTGAAGCGGTGGCTAACGATACCTCCCCAGAAGACTTGGAGTCGTTTCTCCAAGAGGCCAAGCATAGAAACGACGTTTCGCAGGACCAGCTGTTCAAGAGCGAGTTGAATTACGAATGGATGAAGCAGCAGTTTTCCAAAGAGCCACGCACTCTGGAGACAGGAAATTTCTTCACTCCCGTGCTTCTGCCCAACACGTTTGTTCCGAGCAGCTTGTTCTCCAACCAAAAGTCCACCATCGATCTGTTTCCATCGATGGTTTCTAGAAAACAGGCACCAAAGGGATACGACTACGTTGTTCTTCATGAGGATGGGTCTCTCCAGCACATGAACCGGTACAACCCGGAAACGACAGGGAAACGCAACGTTTCCAAGTTGATGGCCCAACTGCGGTCGCCTGATGCATACATTAAACATATAAACAAGCTGATCAGCCAGCATTGGCAGCTATTTGACGGAGACTCGAACAAACTAGTTTTTTACAGAAAGAAAACCTTCCGGTTCCTCAAATGGGCCAGAAACATGTTGGCTGTGATTGGGTTTGGGTTTGTCTCCATCTTCGGCCTGAGCTATTTCGTCGACTCTGACGAGCTCCAACTGCTTAAAGAAACAAAGGACCAACTACAGGCGCTAAAGTCTGCGCCAGTTTCGTCATAAACTTTTCGGATGCATCGATTAAAGCTTACAAATCTGACTTCTTCACCGTCTTGAACGTCAAAGCGGTCAAACTTCCTCTGTCGCCGTTCCAATTGCGCAACAGCTCCACGGTGGTCTTGTTCTGCAGATCTGGAATACTCCATCCCGTCTCGTACATGTGCGACTCCTTTGCCTTGCGCTGCTCAAGGAGATCTTGGCGTTTGGTAGCGGGTCTTCCTGGTCTGCGCTCTGCGCGGAGCTGTTCCAGTTCGTCGTCGTCTCTTGCGATAAATGTTTGAATGAAAGCGTGGATCTCGGAGGGCTCAAACGTTGGCTTGCCGCTCCACTCCTCGTTGTCGCAGATCACCTGCTGGAAGTACGTCACGATCTGGAGCTCCTCAGACTTCCTGTCCTGGTGGATGGCCTTCTTCTTGGCCAGTTTCTCGTCTCTGAGAGTAGCACGTGACACCAGTCTGGCCTTGCGACCCTTTGGATGGAGCAGCTTAGACGGTTTGAGCTTGCGTGTGACGCTGGTGAGACTTTTCGCCATGGTGCTGTGTGCTTAATCCAGAGAGGAAAAAAAAATATATTTTCCTGGGGTGCACAGCCAGCCTTGTTTCTTCTTTGGCCGGGTAACCCCGTTTCCCGGTGGTGGATTTTAAAAATTTGCAGGAGCTGGAAACTTGTCCAAACAAACGAACATGGTTAGAAAGTACACAGAGGAGGAATTGTTCAGCTACCAATCTCAGGGCGTTCTGCCTGAGGGCATCGACCTGACGTCGTTTGTGCAGCTTGTGGACGAGGTTCGCGAGGCTCTGAGAGACAGCGACGAGCAGGGCCCAAGAAGAAGATCGTTCACCGGGTACAAGAAGAGACAACCTAAGGAGTTGAAGCAGACAGATGACGATGGCTGGACCTCATTTGTGACTCCAAAGCCAAAGAAGACTGTTGTCGAGGACAAGCCGGAGCTCAAGCAGCACACGCTAAAGTTGAAGACCACATCCAACAAGATTTCGTCGGGCAAGGGCAGCACCGACTCGCGTGACACCATTGCGATCACGCAGGTGTCCAAGTTCAATGCGTTTGATGCTTTGAATGATGAGGACGAGGCTGTTGAGTCTGACGAGGAATAGTAATATAGGATTAATGTACGTTATGAACCAGGTAGTCTATGTAGCCAGTAGTTTGTGGTCGACCTGGTCGATCTGCTCGGTCTGGGCGTCGTTGTACTCGATGTCCGAGTCGTCGCTCAGGTCGAGGTCGGTGATGCAGTAGGCTAGGCCGCTTTTTTTCTGGCTCGAGTTGGTAGCTGCGAGTTTTGACAGGCTATCTTTGGTGGACGGGCCGGTGCTGTTACCCGAGACGATCGACCGCAAGTCTCTGAGATGGGTCGAGTTCGAGTGCACGCGCGACGAGGCAATGGACCGCGCCGTGGAGTAATTAAGCAGCGACACGTTGTTGATGGACCCGTTTGCAGACCGGGGCGACGATTCGAACGGCAGCACGATCGACGACGACGAGTGGTTCAGCAGCGAGTCGGTCGCCGTGGTGGAGTGGCCCAGGAAGATCTTGGGCGAGCTTCTGATCACCACGGGCGGTTTTCCCGGGCTCGACTCCTCGTAGCCGGCCGCGCTGAGCCATGTTTTCAGTTCCTGGTCTGTCGAGAGCAGGTCGATCGTCTCGCGCGAGGAGAGACCGTAGTCCTTTTCGGTGGATGCGGACGCATCTGCACTGGTTTGCTGGCCGAAGGGCTCGTACCACAGACCGGCCGCTTGGAGAGCCGCGATCTTACCCGAGGCCACGGTGGCCAGCTCTTTCAAGCTGTAAGTTTGGGCTATCTGTTGCAAAACCAGCCAGTTAAGCGAAAACTTGTAGTCCTCGGGCGACGCAAACCACCGGCTCGTGTAGCTGACGTAGGTGACCACGAAGTTGACCCGCATGGTGTCCACCATCTGGGCCAGCAGCTTGGCGATCGCGACGTTCAAACTGGCCGTTTCGTTGCTCGAGACGGTTTCTATCAGGCTGAAAAGCAAAAGAGTCGACTGCTCGGTCTTGTTGGTGATGCAGCTCTCGTGGTTCGGCTTGGAAAACAGCTTCCGGTCTGCCTCCAACGAGTAGAACGACTCCACCAACTGGAACCACTTCTCCTGAACCAAGGCCTTGTCCTGCGGACTCACAAACGATGCAACGTTTTTGAAGTCCAACGTATAGTACAGGTAATTGAAGATGTTGACGCGGTACGGAGCGCGCTTGTAGTCGATGAGACTGTCGCCGTGGGTGCTCTGGAAGATGCCTTCCACGTCGGAGATGATGAGGTCGGAGAACTCGACAAACTCGGACGACCTGGTGAACAAATCTGTGGAATTGACCGATTGGTAGTAGATGCTCAGCACCTCCTGGATCATGTCGTTGATCTGGTCGTTGTAGTAGATATGGGTGCCGAGACTGCGGACGATCTCGATGTATCCGTTGTTGAGCGACGAGGCGTCTTTGGCGAACACCGACTCTTTCTGGAAACGCACCACGTCGCTCAGAATCTCCTTGACTGGTAATCCCACCATGTTGACGTCCTCGGACGATAACAGGTTGGAAATCAAATATGCTATGGTTTCTCTGGACTCCGGGTCTTTGCTGGCGTTGAGCTCGAGGATGAACATCGACACGATTCGGTATCTAAGGTCGATGTGTGTTTTCTTGGCACACGCCTCGATAAGTCTGTTGAACCAGCTGATCTCGACAGAGTGAGTCACCACGTACTTGACCAACGCCTTGGTGGTAAGATCGACCTGTTTCTTTGCGTTTGTGTCGAAAAACAGCTTGAGAGAGTAGATGGCCAGCTGCTCGATCGAGGCGTTCTGCGCGTGCACGTCGGGTCCCGTGAGAGTTTTGATCAGGGTGAGCGAATTGTCGTTTTTATCTGCCTTGTCAAGAATCAGGAAAATGGACTTCTCTATCAGTTTGGCGTTACCGAAATTGCTGATGTTGGGGTCGAGATACTTGGAAACCGAGTGGGTGGCCTCGAGCGACACTTTGGACCAATTGGCGTCGCTGGTGTTTGCTCCCAGATTCAGATACGTCGAGGCGAGGTTGAGGAAGTGTCTGAGCAACTCCGAGCTGCTGGACAAGATCTGTTTCTGGTTTTGCTGGATCTTATCGCAGAAATGTGCAAAGATGGTCAATCCGAGCTGTGTGGACGACAACTCCTTCAGTTGCACCACCAACGTTAAAATGTCTATGATATAGCTGGACAAGATCCCCAAATCGTCGGAACATTTGGTGATCAATTCCTGCAAAATGAACAGAGTCACCTTGATATGGCCGATCCGGCTGTGCGAGACGTCCAGCTTGGTCTTTTTCAGCAAAAAGTTCCCCACCTTCTCGAGCTTTGTCCGTCTTGTTGAAGCATAGTACAACAGGTAACTAAGCTCCGCGTTGTTGGGTTTCGTCTCGTTCAATGACAGCTTCTTGGACGGGTAACACTGGAGAATCAGCCGCTGGTGCTTGGGCCGGAAGTTGGGAAGAAGCGGCATGCCTGTATATGACGAAAATGAGTGTGTTAAAAAAAGCCAGGAAACCTTTTTGCTTTAGTGACCCGGGGCCCGTGCTGGCAGAGCCCTTTAGAAAAATTCAACTTTACAAAAATAATTGCAATTTATTTCTTGTTATGGCCCCCATCTACGTCAAGGGGGGTGTGTGGACCAATGTGGAGGATGCAATCTTGAAGGCTGCCATTTCCAAGTACGGGCTCAACCAGTGGGCCCGTGTGAGCTCGTTGTTGGAGAAGAAGACTGCCAAACAGTGCAAGATGCGATGGCAGGAGTGGCTGGACCCCCGGATCCGCAAGATCGAGTGGACCGTGGAGGAGGACCGCAAGCTGTTGGAGCTTGCGCGGTTGCGGCCAAACCAGTGGAACAGTGTCAGTATGTTGATGAACCGGACCGCGAACCAGTGCATCGAACGGTACCAGCAGCTTTTGGACGACAATCTGGACGATTCCGATCTGAAACTCACGGGCAACATGAAGGAGGCGGCGCAGGGCGTGAACAGCTTGAACCTGAACCCGGAGTCGAAGCCTGCTCGGCCGGATTTGGAGGAAATGGACGACGACGAGCGCGAGATGTGGAGCGAGGCCCGTGCGAGACTGGCCAACACAAAGGGCAAGAAGGCGAAGCGGAAGGCGCGTGAACGGATGGTTGCCGAGAGCAGGCGTGTGGCATTGATCCAGAAACGCAGAGAGCTCAAGCAGGCGGGAATCAACTCGCGGTTCAGAACAAAGAAGAAGTTTGCTACGCAGATGGACTACAACAGCGACGTTGCGTTTGCACGAGTTCCGGAGGAGGGTCGGTTCGACACTCACGACGAAGACGTCCAGAACCACCAAGCACGGCTGGAGTTTGACAGCAAGGCAGAGCGCAACCAGCTGCCTAACCAGGAGTTTGAGAAGCAGGAGAGAAAGCGCAGACGGCAGGAACAGGAGCAAGCCACGACGTTTGAGGGCGCTGCGCAAACGTACGACGACGAGCTCGAGTTCAAGAAACGGCGGATGCAATTGAGTGCGCCCGACGGCGCAGACGATCTGGCAGATGTGGATCTGGACGGAGAGATCAAGTCTGCTGCCAAGGACCTACACCGATCGACGCACGAACGGTCTGTTCTTTTCACGAAGGGGGCGGAAAACGAGTCTGAGGACGACGAGGACTCGTTGCCGCGGGTGTCATTGCGTTCGAAGCTTGCTAATCTGCCCGCGCCGCTCAATGATTTCGAGATTGACGAGAGTGAGGCCGAGGAAGGGGTAGCCGACCTGCATGAAGGGCCCCGGATCGACGCGTCGGTGCGGCCGCGGGTGGCCGTTTTGGGAGGACGCGAGCAAGTTGCCTGTCGGGGACTTCCTGTTCCGGACAAGGCTGGGGAAATTGTGGGACTGGCCACGGGCCGTTCAGGGGTCGCGAAGCTTGTTTTGGAGGAGCTTGCGCGGGTGATTAGTGGCGATGTGGGCGAGATAGACAACGAGGATAGTGTTCAGGCTGCGATTGAGGCCGAATTGGAGCATATGGACTACAATGTCTACAAACAAGCGGTGGAGACGCCGGCGGCGATCGACGTGGACGAGCAGATCAGCCAGATAGGCGCCGAGCTCGACCAAATAAGCAAGAAGACCCACGGACTTGAGAAGAAGTTCGCCGTGTTCACAAACGGATACGTGCGGAACCAGGCCGGTTTGCTGGGCGCAATTGGCACCAAGGCGGCCGAATTGACCGACCTGGACCGCGAGGTGTACGTGTACAACGAGATCCAGGTGTTGGAAAACCAGGCCATAAATACAAGGTCCCAGGTTCTCCAGGAAAACCTCGGCCGACTTACTGAGGCGGTCGACAATGCAGAAAAGCGGCTTTTGTAACTAAATAAAACGGTTTTCCGAATTTAGCGCATAGAAAATTCCGCTACCCGCAAATCTTTTCGCGAAAAATTTCCACTCGGCACAGCGAGTGGCACCCGAAGGCATCTCCCCATTCGGGAGAACCGAAAACTGTTTTAAAAGAGCATTTTCCGCTCTAAATATTAAAAAGGGCAACTTTTCATCTTGATCATCTAATTTCCTCCCACCATGGCTATTGAGTCTGTATCGATTCCTGGCGGCCACGACACACACGCCTCGTGTATGTTGTGCTCGACGCCTTCTTTGCAGTCGGTTTTATCCATGAAACAGGCCACTAGTTTTAGATCCCACAGAATCCCAGAATCGTTTGAATCGTTTAGTTCCAACAGCACCTCCAGCTCGCAGGACGATTCGCTGGTGGAGTACTCGCCCGACGAGTGGAACTCCGACTCGGATGTGGAGTTCGACTCTCACAGCTTCTGTTCGATGCAGTCGTCGTACTTGCGCAAACCCACCATCGACCATCCGCTGGAACAACAAACCCCATGGACACAGCAGCAGGCCCCAATACCCACGTCGCATCGGCCTGCCGGCTCCAAGCCGTCAAGAACCACCAAATTGTTGCAAGCGGTGAAAAACATAAATATTCTGCCAACCAACCCAGGCGCTTTCCTGTTCAATGAGAGAATGACCGACGATATCCTTCCTCCGCGCAAGCCGCAGGAGACCGTCGCCATCCCGCTACAGACGTTCAACGTGGAATCGCGCTCGACAAAGCCGCAGAAGTCGACCGTCTCCGTTGCTCCCGTGAGAGCCCGTGAGCCTCGCATCAACTCGAACTTCCTCAGAGTGTACGCACTGGACTACACGTCGAAGAAAAACAGCAGACTCGGTCTGTCGGACTACGAGATCGACCTGTACTACCAGGAGTTCTACGAGTCCGGACTGGACTCGTTTGACGAGTTTTTGGACGACGCTGGCTACGAGCTCACTCCGGCGCTGCGCACACAGCTCAAACTGGGCGTTCTGTCGCGCGACAAGCTCTGGAACAACGTCATTTTGCCGCCAAGAAGCGACTCGGCCCAGCACACCCGCGAAAAGTACTTCCTCTGCGACGCCCGTGCCAACCCCAGAGTGCGCACCTCGGGCAAGTTTGTGCCCTGGCTCAACCTGCAGAACTTCAACAACAACAACAACAAGTGTGTGCGTCCGTACGGCCACATCTCCAACCAGACGCAGTTCACCGTCAACGGATGGTGCAACGAGCGCTGGATCGCTCAAACTCGCTAATGCATTACGTAATTCTATTTAATTTTCTTCCCAGTTCCACCGTTTTATTGGGAAAAATATACAATTAATTATTTTTAAGGCTTTTTGTATTGTTTTTTTAACAAGACAATGTCCAGAATTCTTCGCCGCTGCCATTCAACGCTCGGGTTCGTTTTTGACATAGACGGTGTCCTTTTGAAGGGCCAGAACGCCATTCCGCAGGCCAGGGAAACATTGACGACGCTGCAGACTAAAAAGGTCCCGTTCATATTGTTGACAAATGGCGGAGGAGTGTTGGAGTCTGCACGGTGCGATTTCATTTCGCAGAAGCTGCAATTGGCCCAGCCGTTGCTGACGAGACAGCTGGTGCAGTCGCACACGCCACTGCGGACGCTGTCCAGCAAACACCGCCGCGTGCTTGTTGTTGGTGGGCCGGGAGACCGTGCCAGGGGTGTTGCTCAGGAGTATGGGTTCCAGGAGGTGTTAAGACCTATTGACCTGATCAAGGCGAACCCAAGTATCTGGCCGTTCCACAAGTATACGACCCACGAGGTTGACGAGTGGGGGTTGGACCCCGAGCTGAGTCGGGTAGCTGTTGGCGGGACAAACGAGCCGATCGACTCGATTCTCGTGTTCAACGACCCGAGAGACATGGGGTCGGACATCCAGATCGTCTTGGACCTGCTGAACTCGGAAAACGGTCTGCTGGGCACCCGCAGAACGAAATCAACGTCTGTTCCGGCTGTGCCCATCATATTCTCCAACAACGATCTTCTGTGGGCCACCGACTTCAAGCTGCCGCGGTTTGGCCAGGGAGCGTTCAAAATCATGGTTCAGGCGTTATACCAGCAAACAAACAACGGCAGTCCCTTGCAATCGCTGACTCTGGGCAAGCCGTATAAAGTGTGCTACGACTATGCCCATCATGTTCTGATAGACTACCGCAACAGTCTCCTCAGTGGGGACTTCAATAGACCACCGTACATGCCGCAACTGAACAGCAGTCCGGCCAAAACCCCGTTCGACAAGGTGTTCATGGTTGGAGACAACCCGGAGTCGGACATCCTGGGCGGCAACAACTACCACTGGGACACCATTCTGGTGCGGACCGGAGTGTACAAGGACGGGGACTTTGAGCAGGACTCGAAACTGGCAAGACCAACGTTCGGAACGTTCGATAACGTCAGGGACGGTGTTTTTGCAGCACTAGAAAAATACGCATGATATCAAATACATTACTCATCTAATTAGGCGGACATGGTCTATATGGTCAGACCTTGGATGCGACAGTCTGTTCGCTCTGGAGCTTCAGAGCGTTTCTCTCGTAACTCTTCTCTTTGCAAGTTTGGAGACCTTTACAGTTGTGACTTTCTAATAATCTGTGTTTGGAGCAGAACTTGCCCTGGCAGAAGGAGCAGTCCCCGACCATGCGCAGCGGAGCGGAATGGCAGGTTTCGAACGAACACTTGTTGGACTTCTTGCTGGACTTTCTTCTCACCTTTGTCTTTGGCTGCTCAACCACAGTGGACTCATCGTCTGTCAGAGCCGATGACGACTCATCGGTACATGTCAAGTAAACAGTGGAGTTTGTTTCCTGGCCGATACCGTACGAATCCAGAGTCTTGGAGAGCTCCATTTTCTTACCAGAATACCAAACCTTGACGTTTGATTTGCTGACGGCAGAATCTGGGGGGAGGGCCACCACGGCCGCGACCTTGAGATCGTCCACGGTGGAGTTGTCCGGGACGGTGACCTGGAACGACTGGTCGTTGGATGATTTGACGGTAACCTTCATTTAAACAGTATCTAACTAAAAGATGCTATAGCATAAGTTCCAACTATTTTGCCACCCTTTCTTTTTTATAAACATAGCCACTAGGGTGGCGCACCGTTTTCCCAATCAGGCACCTGCAACTGCGATAAGAACCTGACTCATCGACTGTGCCGGTGCACGGGTGCGCTGACGTAAGCCGAGAGTTTGCGCAAAGGTTTCTGTTTTCTGAAAATTTTACCAACAATTACACTTGGTATGTCGGGATTCCAGAAAACTGAGGAGAAGAAAGAGTCGTTCACGTCGACGCCAACGTTCAACATTCTGTTCAACGCAGGATTGTTTATTGTGAGTATTTTGGGCGTTTAGCGACTAACCGTTAGGCCAGTGTTGCCGTGATCCAGTCGCCGTTGATGGACATGTTGGTTCCGCAATTCCAGTAAGACTGGTGTGGATGGATATATTTGCAGATAGATGTTTATAGTGAACCAGTTATGAGACACGAGTGTAGTTGGGGGATTTGGGGGAGTGGATGTAAATTTAATGTCCTAGGAACGTCAGGGTCCATGGATGCTACGGTTAGTATGGCAACGGAGCAACGGTGGGACTCAGATGGACCGCCATTGTCTACATTGAGCTGCCGGCACTTGCCAGGACAGTCTGTTCGGTGTATACTGTTAGTACATTAGGCACAATGTGCACTCTTTTGTATAGACTATCGTACAAACGCTCATCTGGAGGTGAACACAACGTACAGAGCGTGCAACATACCTGGGAACCAAGCAAACAGGCACAAAATGATGTTGATAAACAGCTGCGCTCCAACACCGCACTCCAAAAACACTGCAAGAGGAGGAAGCAACAGGGCTGCGGTTAGCACGAGAAAACACAAACGGACTTACCTAAAATGATGGCGACGATCTTAGAGGAATCCATTTTCGAAATTGCGGTAAAAGGTTAAACAGGTTGTAGCAAACAAGTGGATTAGCAAGATGTTTAAATACGGCAATGTTTTTTATTAATAAAGCAGAACATTTCTATAGTGCGGAAACCAATAGAAAAAAAACGGAAACTACGGAGATTCAGGACCGGATACTTTTTTTATCAGGCTGTCAATTTTTCCTTGCCCAGAGCTCCGATCATTCCTGTGATTGCCGTGCTGACGTTTGTTCCGTGTGTTTCGTGGTAGCCTTCTTCGATGCGGTATTTCTGGCCCGGTTGCAATTGGCACAGCACCTCGCACGAGTACCCGGTAACCAGCAGTCCTGGTGGCCGGCTCTCCACAGCCTTGAGCACCTCGATCAGGTCGCCGAGTCTTGTGCGGATGATCCGCTGGTCCGGACACGAGGCCCGCTCAACGACACACACGGGCAGCTCGTGCGGCCACTCGCGCTCGTACAACAGCGGCAGGATGTCCACCATCTTGCCCAGAGACATCAGGAACACCACGGTTCTGTTGGCCTGGAACGGTGGCAGATCCGGCATCTTGCCCTTCTTGCCCGTGCCCGTGCACACCAGCACCTGGTCCGCCACGTCTCTGTGCGTGGTGGGCACCGTGGCCACCACCGGAGCCACCAGCGCAGACGTGAGTCCTGGCATCACCACCGGTTTATAGCCGTGCTTGGCAAAAAACCCGTACTCCTCGCCGCCGCGGCCAAAAATGTAAGGGTCTCCTTGCTTCAGGCGCACAATCTGTTTGCCCTGTTGCAGGTTCTGTAGTCCAATGTTGAGCAGCTCCTGCTGAGCGTTCTCGGCATTGCCAGGGAATTTGCGCGCAATGAACACCTCTGTCTTTTTCGGAATAATGTCCAAGATCTGCTGCGGAACAAGCTTGTCTGCCAGCACCAAATCGGCGTTGTAGATCTCGTGCAGTGCCCCCACGGTCAGCATCGAGAGCGAGCCCGGACCAGACCCGATCAGCGAGATCCGGCCGTGTTTGGCCCCGTCCCGGGACGAAACCACAGGACTGTTGGAGTATGCGTCTGTCAGGTCGGAAACAGAAATGTCGGCCAATTTCGACAACGGGTAGTACTCGATGATCTGCGAGAGCCATCTGGGCCGCTTCACGTCCTTGATGTCGTCCAGAATGTCCTCGTCCTCGCTGTCTCGGAACTGGATGCTGCGTTTCAATTGGCCAATGTTGTAGATGATCTGGTCCAAGTTCTCGGGCAGTTTTTGCACAATTTCTCTTTTGATTCTGTTGGCCAGCTTGCAGCTCTGGTGAGTCGTGGTGACGCCCATTTGGAAGTCTCCCTTCTTGTACGTCGACAGCATCGAGAAAGTCGACAACTCAGACGAGTTGGTGGTGTTGATGGGAATCCGCAGTCGCTTACACCGCTCATATAACTGGGTCTTGATTGGCCCGTCGCTGCGCATCGTCACAAACACCCGGTCAACAACGTTGTCCACGTCGCACCGACCAAACGTCTCCAGATCGCCGAGCTCGACCTCCTTCTGAACAATCTCCAACTCCTGCTGGTTGAAGAGCGCACTGTTCATGGCCTGCACAGCCAGGTTCTTGTTGATGAGGATCGGTTTGGCGCCGGAGTCGATGATGTTGCTGATGCGGTTGATCACCACACGCGACAGGTTCTCGGCGTCGTCGATGATCAGATGGTGTTCGCCCGAACACTCGTGTGCACAGAGGAACTTCATTAGGTGAATGACTTGGATGGGGATTGAATTTTTTTTATATATTTATTTGCACGGGTCACGTGAGCAGCTACTATCAGCGGAGAATACATGGACGGGGATTGAAATGCACAAATTAGGGTCCGCTTGCGGAGGATAACGTGGGGGGGGATTACTGTTGGGGGTATTACTGGGCGTTTAGGATGGTTTATAGTTGGCGTTTAGTTCGAAATGTCAGAAAAACGTCAACTGTTCTGGAGACATGTAGCTTTGGAATTTTATTAAAGGTGAAAAATTATTTTTCAGTAGATTATGGGACCAAAAAGACCGCAGGGGTTTGGCAAGAAGGCCAAAGCCAAGAAACAGAAAGTAGACGAGGTTGTTGAGGAGGTGCCTGTGACGAACGAGCTGACGGTCGAGTTGCCGGCCGAGGTGGACTCGAACGATCCGGTGACACAGCTGGAAGGATTATGGTTGACCTGGCTCAAGTCGGACAAAGATAACGAGTTGATCCTCAACGGGATAGTGCACGAGTGCGACCGGTTATTGCGTAATTGCAAGCAGAACGGCGGAAACGAGGACATTGAGCTTGGGGCGTCGTTCTATGCGATTTATGGTCTTTCTCTTGCTGGACTCGCGCAGTTCAACACGGAAGAGAGCGAGACGGGCGTGAAGGAGTACTTTGAGAACGCTATTGAACGGATCGAGAACGGCATGGACAAGTTCCCCGGCGAAGAAGGTCTGATTCTTGCCAAGAGTCAGATCATTCTGGATCGGATTCCTTTGGAGTACATTTCGCAGATGGACCAGGACTCACATAGCAAGGATTTTCCTGACGTTGGCGAGCTGCTCGAGGAGGCCACGAGGCTGCTTGAGGTTGGAATCAAGAACGCAGAGACAAAGGAGAACTACGCTATTTTCAACGGGAGCACGATATTGAGTGTTTTGGACTCATTTGACGATCTGCTGGATATCATTGCAAATTTCGGACGCGATTACAACGAGGGGCTCGACAGCGATGCCGAGGAGTCTGATGAGGAGGACAATGATGGCCAGAACGAACTTTCTACTACACATCCTCTTTTCAAAGTGCAGAACAACGACCAGTATCAAATGAACTTGCGGGACACAATTGCCAAGAGTCTGGAGCTGGCCCGGAAAAATGAACAGCCGGACGAGTCTGTGCAGCGGCGGTACCGCAAGAAGCTCGGAGAGTTGCTTTTGCTGGAGGCAGAAGAGCCGATTTCGATCTACACAGCCTTGGAATTTGGGTCCGATGAGGAGGAGAGTGGGGTTGGCGAGGAGCAGGCCAAAAAGAGCAAGAAGGCCCAGAAGAAGGCGCAGAAGCTGGTGGGACAGGCGATCGAGCACCTGACGGCGGCGTGGGACGAGGAGGAGCCGCAATCGTGGGTGGATCTGGCGGAGGCAGAGATCTCGATGGGGAACCTGTTTGCGGAGGAGGGTGAGCAGGAAAAGTGGTATGGACTTGCGGAGAAGAAGCTGGTGCGGGCAAACAACGCATCGCACGGCAAATACGAGGAGGTGCTGTCGAACCTGAGAGGAACTAAATAAGTGTAGAAGCATGTAAGTGAAGCATATGGAACGGAACCAAAATGCAGCAGGTCTGGGAATTTAGCCGATCCGGCAAGTCAAACAGGGCCTTGAAACGCAGAATGGAGCATCATTTCAGCTTGCCACAGCCATACAAACAAGATTTTCGGGAAAAGCAACGCGGTGGTGTTTACGTCCTGCCCGATAAGGAAAGTGTAAATATTTTTTCGTCAAGAATTAACATACCGTATGCAGTAACAGGAGAATATGGAAATGGATGTTCATGGTCCACAAACAATAAATGAAACATTCGAATGCGGAACACCCATCCTAAAACCTCTGTTTAATCTGTTTTAGGGCAGCAAAAGTAGGCAAGGTGAATCTATTGTTTCTGATTAAATTTGGATCAAGAAAAATAAAAACTTGGTTAAAAGGCGCTTTGTTTAATTCCAATACGATACATCGGTTTTTAATGCTCTGTGACCGTTTCTTCCTTCGCTTTTAAATAATTTGTTGTGTTAAGTATCATGAACGTTGATATGGAGATCGATTCTCCCTATAACAATCAATCAGATACCAGTTCTGGTGTTGAATTGCAGGATTCTCCCCTTGTTAATGTGCAGACTAAAACCCGGCCGTTGCGGCCTGTTTCCCATAAACGAACCAATTCTTTGAAAAGACCCCTCACCATGTCTCCCAAAGTCGACTCTCCAACCTGTTCAGGCCTCGCCGCCGATTTTTGCACAAACTTCCATGTGAACGTCGGCAACTTTGCCAACCCAAAGAAGATTCTATTGCCCAGCATGATGTGCGAGGAGAACAAGGAAAACGCTAAGAAGGTCATGTTCCGCAAGGGAAAACGAGTCCCTGCGTTCAAGTCCGACTCTCTTGCCTCCTCCTTTTACCATCACAGATCCAACTCGTCCTCTTCCTTGCTGGCCTCGTCCCAGTCTTCATCGCTCCACAACAGATCCAGGTCCCTTCTGGACACCTCTGCACCGCTCCAAATCCCCCCACCCACGCAGGTGTCGCCCGAAACACAGTCCATCATCAACAACTCACGCCTGAAAAAGAGCTTCTCGTTGATCAATCCGCAGCACCACAGCCTCGAATTTTCCGAGTCCTCCTCCAGCAGCGACAACGACGAGTCCGACCGCGACGACGAATCCGGTCACCTGCACGAGGTTGGCTCGCCATTGCAGCAAAAGAACAGGTCGCACAGTCGGTCGCGGTTGCAACTAAACAGCGACATCAAAAACAAGCTCCAGCGGGCTACCTCGCTTATCCAACCCCCACAGGCGCCCCCGCCACCAAAACCCAAACTGTTCAAGCTTTCCACCACAGACTTTGGATCAGAGCCCGGCGCACTGTCTGCTGGAGCCAACCAGCTCACCAGCAACATCAACAGTCTGAATTTTGGAGGCAGCTCCGTGCTTGACAGCAGCCAAATCGACAAGCTGCACCTGGACGGGCCTGCCGAGGACTTTGGGTGCGGGAACTCGGTGTTGGCCAAAAGTCCCGTCGAGACGTTCTTTGTGGATGACAGTCCGTTGCCGCGTATCAACGTTGACCAGTTCCACGAGATTTTGGTCAACTTCAAGGACAAAACTGCTGAAAAAACAAACCGGTACCTGGACTACTTTGACGAATTGATGGTGATCGACTGTCGGTTCGAGTATGAGTTCAAAGGGGGCCATATTGACTGTGCGTTGAACGTTTCTTCCAAGCGCGAATTGGAGGACCTGCTGTTGAACCAGTCGGTAATTAAAAAGACTCCAATGGAGTACACGGCCGAGCACCGCAAGCTGATGATTTTCCACTGCGAGTTCTCGTCGCACAGAGGCCCCCTGATGGCCAACCTGCTGCGCACATGGGACAGATACCTTAATAAGGAGTACTACCCGCACCTGTACTACCCCGACATTGTGATTCTGGAAGGAGGGTACCAGAAGTTTTACCAAAGATTCAATGGAGTGCATTGTTATCCGCTCAATTACATAGAAATGCACGATCCACAGTTCAAGGACGAGTGCGAGGACGGTTTGTACAAGCTGCGCCGGGACTCGAAGATGAGTCTGAACCGCAAGACGTCGTTCCACGGAAGCTCTGCGTCGCTGTCGCTGCGCAAGAGCTACACGTCCACGTCTGTGCTGAGTTTTGCAGAGTCGTCCAAGAGCACGAGCATTTTCAGTTTCAGCGAGTCGACCACAGACCTAACGGCCACCGCCGGCGACGGCGAGCTTGGCGGGTTTGGTGGCGCGGTGGATCTGGACGACTTATGCGACGAGTCGCCCATTTTGAAGAAAACCACTATGCTGAAGCCCTCGCCTGTTCGGCAGCCGCAACTACCGGAGTTCAAGAAACCGGCCAGTCCTCAGAAACTGTTCAAGCTCCCCCAGCTACCTAACAGAAAGACCCTGCATTTCCGCTCGAAAACAATGAGCTCGCTCTCCACAACCCCCCCACATTTCCCCCATTTCACAGACCTCACCAAACGGTTTGAGAAACACGTCGACACGCCTATAACCAAGAAATAGACATTGCATCTGAACTCAGTTCTCCTTGTAGCTGTTGCGTAGCAGGGCCTCGCGACACTCGCGGCCGCCGTGCGGGATGGGCCCGAACCTGTCCAACGGCCAGATCAGGTATTTGGCTTTTCCGATAATTAATCCGGTACTAATTGGCCCGTACGTGTTGGAATCTATCGAGTGGATGTTATCTCCCTCCACCCAAACGTGGTTGACCGGCACGAGCACTTTGGACCGCGTTTCCGGGTACCGCGGCACCACCAGGTCGCCTTGTTTGGCCTTGATGCGCTTTGTGTACACTTTCTCCGGGTCGATTGGCGAGCGCAGGAACACCACGTCGTCCACTTGTAAATTATGGATATTGGTAACCCCCCACTTCCATAATAGCACATGGTTCCTAGTGTGGGGGGATTCTGGCGGATTGAAAGTCGGTTTCATCGACATACCCTCGATCTTTCCCACCGACGCCACGCGCTCCGATACCACCCACGCCACGGGCACCCACGACAGAAACACCAGGCACACGCGAAGCGAGTACTTGGCCAGCGGCATGTGTTGTTTGAACGACGACATTAGTGCACGGATCCACAGTTGGCCACACTCCCGACACCAAACTATATTTTTTTTTTTTCAAGCCAGCTCTGAAAAATCTTATCTCATTACTAATATGCCTTCCGTTGCAAACGACGAGTTTGAGGTAAGCGCTAAACTTTTACGGCGTCTAAGCTAACATCCAGGCTGTGTATGCTGTGCCATTGCACTGCGATTCGTGTGTTGAGTCTGTTTCCGGCGCGCTGAAGCCGTTGCATGGAATTTCGAACCTGAACGTGGATCTTGCCTCCCAGAAAGTCACCGTTAAGGGCTCTGCTCCGCCGTCCAAGGTGATTGAGGCGATCCAGGGCATCGGCAAGGACGCGATTATCCGGGGCACGGGCCAACCAAACTCCGCCGCGGTGTCTATTTTGGAGTCCTTTGATGAGGCCGATAAACAGATGCCGGTCAAGGGCCTTGCCCGCATGGTGGCCGTGGGCCCGAACGAGATGTACGTGGACCTGACTTTGAGCGGGGTGAAGAAGGGCACGTACTACCCAAGCATCCGTGAGAACGGGAACATCTGGAAGGGAGCGCTGACGACGGGCAAGTCGATCTTCGACTTGCCGCCAATTGAGGCCACCGAGGCCGACGGCAACGGGTACAAGTGCCAGGAGTTCGTCAAGGTGCCATTGGGGATCACCGGGCTGATCGGCCGGTCGCTGGTGGTGTCGCACGAACCGAAAAACGTGTTTCTGGAAAGTCTGTGCGGGGTGATTGCCCGGAGCGCAGGCGCGTGGGAAAACGACAAGTACGTGTGCTCTTGCACGGGCAAGACCATTTGGCAAGAGAGGGTGGACGCCTTGGGTCGCGGAATCTCCAACTAATGAGGTGAACGTTGTATAGCTGTTATAAATGATCATGTGATTACTAAACGTAGATTACACAACAACATTGCCGTCGATGAGATCTTCTTCTGTGATTTCGTCCACTTCCTCCAGTTCGTCTGTGTCTTTGATTGATTTCTGTTTGGATGACTTGCCCGTGCTGGCTTTGGCCGACTCGAGCTCGCTGAGCACGGACTCGTAGTCGGCGCTGTAATCGTCGTCCAACGGCCGTTTCGAGCTGCCCTTCTTCACCACGGTGGGGTCCTTGACCAGTTTCAGGTCCGGCACGTCCAGCTCGTACGTTTTGTCCCGCTCCTTTTCGGGCAGACATTGCAGTATAACGAGTGAGAAAAGACCGAACAGAAGGAGGTACCCGAGCAGTTTGCGCTGCGGCGTGGTGAAGTAGTTGCGGGCGATCTTGTCGGCCCCGTGGCGCTTGGGCTTCATCGCGTACGGCCGCGGAAGATCGTACTTGTTGGCATACCCCTGCATGTTATTAAAGTGAGTACTTATTTTTCCAGGGTTATGAACACTTTACATGCCCAAATAACTTTTTTTTTTTCTAATCCTCCACTGGGAGAAAATTCTCTTTCACCGTTTTACTCTTTACAATCATGGGTTACTGTTACCAGTTATGAACCCCAATCTTTAAGGTTATGGATCGGGCTTCGTGACACGCTCTGAATGATGAATTTCTTGAAATGGGAATCTCTCTGACCTCGTTAAAACTCATGGAGAAAACACTTTATATTTCGTTTCTGACCAGAGCTCTCATGTCCAGTCCAGCCTTTCTTCCCCCCACCTAATCGTCTTTTTTGCCCGACACTGGCGACCCGGAACCGCTTTGCTGGTCCGCCTTTTGCTGGTACGCCGTGTGCAGGCCCTTGATCTGCTTTTTGAGGTTCTCCACGTCCAGCTCCTTCTTCTTGAGCTCCTGCTTCAGCTCCTCAAACTCGACCGTAGTAGTGCCCGTCTTCTCGTCCGAAGCCTTGCCCGCGTCAATAAGCAGCATCTTGTTCTTCACCAGGCTCTTGAGCAACCGGATGTTGAAACACACAGCCAGCCCCAGAAACAGCGTGGCCCCGGTCAAGTACATGTTGCGCTGCGCGTAGAACTTGCGCACACGCACCTCACTCCAGCTGGCCCCGGCAAACATTGGCGGAACAGGAGGCAAATTGGCCCCCGATCCAGCACCCCCTGTGTAGAACTCCTTGGGGATGTATGGCATTGCGGTCCGCGAGGCGTCAATGAACATCATTGCCAGAACGCTGGCCCCGAAAACGAGCCCCACCCGCACCTGCTGGTTCTGCAGCAGCCGGTATGCTGCGTTCACCGCAGCGTCCTGGACCTTGTGGGGCAGCGGGCTGACCAGGACGGCCATCAGTGCCATTTCAAACACCAACAGCCCGAAAATAAGATTCATCTGTAACGACATTGTGATATGTGCTCAATATAGTTGCCCGACAAGATCAGTCCAGCGCAAACTAAATGTATTCTTTTGCAAATTTCAAGCCTACTCCAGAGCAAAGTTAGCTATCTGGAATCGTGGGACAAAACACCCGTACACGGGGTCAGGTTTCCGGTTGGGGGCATGGCGGATTCACAGCGGGATAAGGGTTGACCACGTTGTGGAACTTGCGTGTGTCACCACACAAGCTTGCAGGACCAAGCCTTGGCAGCTAATTGATAAAGTGTCGATACCCGTTTCGTAAAAGAATGTCACAATGCTCACCTACACAGACTTAACACAATTAATTTATATTAGTAAACTATGGTTAAAACGAACTCTGGCAGGCACAAAGCGAAACCGAATGTTCCCATGGGACACCATGCCAGACTATCGGAGAACGATATTAAGAAAAAAAACAAACAACTTTTTTCTGTTGTGGGGGAAAAGGAAACGCAGCATCGAGCTGCTCAGCAGGCAGTGGCAGCACAGTAGCTCGTTGGATTGTAGAATTCCTGGGCCTGGCTCTGCTGCTGTCTCTGAGTCAGCGGTTGTTGTGATGAGACGCCGTAGCAAACACCGGTCGTCATCATAGGTGGAACCATTTGTTGTTGGTGGTAGCTCAATGGATAGTACCGTTGTGCGGCGGCAACAGACATGCCAGTGTGTTTATATGTTGATCTGGCTGTGTGTTGCGGCTGGAAAGAAAAGTAATCGCTGTTAACAGCCATTGGCGGATTCACCAACGAGTTGTTGTATTGCAGCTGATATGGATTTTCGAAAACCTGTTGCTGAACAGATTGCTGATAATCATTGTAGTAGGGCGACGAGTTCAGAGTACTACTCGCTGGAGAGTACTGAGAGGTCGCTGAGAATAGAGAGCTGGACGGGGATCTGTACTCGTACGGAGTACCATTCTGGAAACCGGATGGAGTGTCCATCGAAGGGGACATGAACGGGTCGTTGTACGGCGAGTGAACAGGCTTAGTCTTAAACTTGTCGCACCACGTCTTCCAACATTCCTCGATACACGAATACCCGTCTTCGTAGTGGAGTCTCCACTTGATCGAGCACAGCCAGTCGCGCTCGAGCTTGTTGATGAGCTCGAGCGACAAACCGGTGGCGTCAGACCAAGACTTGTTTCTGAACGTGTTGTCGTCATTGAACTTATTGGCCAAAACCAACGAAATTGTAAGATTCTCGAAAGCTTCGGAATCAACACTTATTGGAGTCTCTTCGCTCTCCATCTTCTCCGAGAGATAGAGGAGAGCAAGGACAATGGTGGATCTCGGCAGTCTTGTTGCGGAAAGGACAGACTTCACAGTGCTGTGGAAAGACGTGGAAGGGCTGTCTGTTCTTTTCAATAGGCCAAAACACAACCAGCAAACAAACTTAACCATTTGGTCGAGGTCGTAGTCGAGCACCGACGACACACCTCCAGTTGGGGCAGAGCTGGACTGCTCCTGCACAGGAGGAGGTGCCGCCTGGTACTGTTGTTGCGACGGATAAAACTCAGCCTGTGGAACATAGTAACCAGCCATGTTGTAGCCTCCAGAATAGGACATGGAGTGCTGGTGGTGGTACTGTTGTTGCGGAACAGAGGAGTTCAGCACATATGGCTGAGAGTGAGGCTGGTAGGAAACATGGCGCTGATGATATTGAGGAAGAACCCCCGCAAAGGACGGTTGAGGATAATTTTTTCCCGATGCAAACATCTTGATAGGAAATAGTAAGACGATGACTTAATTAAAAGGTCGTCTTAGCAAGTGGACAACTCAAACAAGCGATCTAGAGATCAAATATAAGTCCAAGGTTGAGAGTAACTTAATATCTCAAAAACCTATTCTGTATTTGATCTTCCCTTGTGTAGGATACCCTGGTTTTTTTGGTGATCTGTTGGTTGTTGACGCTGGATGAACAAAAAGAGCAATGAAGAACTGGTGTTCGATAAATGACTCTTTTGCGGTCTTCAACTGGGAAAATGATCACTTAAAAAGGTTTGGGTTTGTAGGACGAATACAAGTCAACCTTTTTGCCCACTAATTTTTTTCGCTTGGTGACTCGTTACCTTTTATATGAAGAAAAACTTTTTCCTGCCACCCGCATGCATGCGTTGTCCGCAGAAAAAAAACGAGGGCGCAATTTTTTTTTTTCATGGCGCAACAGTCAACCAGAAAACCTGGCGGCTACGGCTGCTACACACCCGTTTACCGCCGAAAATAGTTTGATGGCGACAGAAAACAAATAATTAAACATGATTGGTTTATTTCGGTATTGTAACTACTCGTCGCCGAATTCCGGCCCCGCGGTAGCGAGCAATCGGCGGTGCGATTTTTTTTCTTGCTTGTAATTGCAGCTACTTGTCTCATCCTTACACCAGATATTTCATTAATTATCCCTATAGAAAACCCATTAACCACCGAAACCGTACAAAGTTCTACCTTGTCTCTTCAAAGCGTAGACAACGTCCAAAGAAGTGACGGTCTTTCTCTTAGCGTGCTCGGTATAAGTAACAGCGTCTCTGATAACGTTCTCCAAGAAGGACTTGAGCACTGCTCTCACTTCTTCGTAAATCAAAGCGGAGATTCTCTTGACACCACCTCTTCTGGCGAGTCTTCTGATAGCTGGCTTAGTGATACCTTGGATGTTATCTCTAAGAATCTTTCTGTGTCTCTTGGCACCGCCTTTTCCTAGACCTTTTCCACCTTTTCCTCTACCGGACATTTTTCAATATGATATTTGTTGTATTTGCCACTAGAAGGATGGGGGATTATTTATATACACTTTGCCGGCAAAGGCGAAAACCCGGCTGGGCTAAAAGTTGGCCAATCATTTTGCGCAATTGAGCTGGCCCCAAATTTCCTCAGCCGATGTGTAAAATTTAAACTAATAATTCGCTGCATGTTGCAAATCGGAATGTGATTATACCGTTTCCACACCAAAAAGTATACGCCAGCTCGCTCGCGCGAAAAAAAATTATAAGTCCCCAGATTACGCACCTCGGTGAGTAAAATGCGGTCTGCCCTGACCGCGTAAAAATATGTCCGGAGCCATGGCACACAGTTTCTTATAAATACAAGTCCATTCGCACTTGGTCATCTCATTAGTTTTTTAACGCATTTAATTTAAAATGGCCAGAACTAAGCAAACCGCAAGAAAGTCCACTGGTGGAAAAGCTCCAAGAAAGCAACTCGCTTCCAAGGCCGCCAGAAAGTCCGCCCCAGCTACCGGTGGTGTCAAGAAGCCTCACAGATATAAGCCAGGTACTGTTGCCCTCAGAGAAATCAGAAGATTCCAAAAATCTACCGAATTGCTCATCAGAAAATTGCCTTTCCAAAGATTGGTGAGAGAAATTGCTCAGGACTTCAAGACCGACTTGAGATTCCAGTCCTCCGCTATCGGTGCTTTGCAGGAGTCCGTTGAGGCTTACCTCGTCTCCTTGTTTGAGGACACCAACTTGTGTGCCATCCACGCCAAGAGAGTCACCATCCAAAAGAAAGATATCCAACTCGCTAGAAGACTCAGAGGCGAGAGATCCTAAGCTTATTTTATTGGGTTATACTGCGCGAGGTTTATGTGTAACATACTGATTGGGTTTATACGTTTTTTAATGATATCTTCGGGTTGAACGTTTAATGTTTGTTTTCTGTAATTTCCTGTTCTACACCTAAAACCAAATGACAAGTAGCCATCTTTTTTTGAAAAACAAAACATTCAAGTAATTTATAAATCATTATGGATCCTTATAGCGACAGCGGCGAGCTTTACCAGCTTAGACAGCAGTTTTTTGCTGCCCAGTACGGCGAATTAGCAAAGACCAACCTGGAGGACCTGATTTTCTCCAATGACGAGAACAAATACAGAGCAATCCAGCTTCAAATAAGATCTCTGTTGGCTTTGGGCAAGTTTGACGCTGCGAAGGCCGAGATTGCCAAGGTGAGCGCAGAGGCTCCTTTTGACGAGGAGTTCAAGGCCCTGGAGGCGTACACCGGGTTTTTGGAAGGCGGCAAGACCAAATCTGAGTCGTTTGAGGCGATCATTTCGGCCAACGCTGAGAACGAACTTGTGAACCTTCTTGGTGGGCTTTATTACGTGTCTTTAGACGAGTTGGACACTGCTATTTCTCTGCTGTCCTCTTCTGAAGGGTTCGAGAACATTTCATTGCTGGTTTACGTTCACCTATTGTTGAACAAAACCAAGGACGCCGCCAAGATTCTGTCTAATTTCAGCCAAATATCCCAGGACAACCAGGTGTTCACGTTATCCCAGTCCTGGTACGACCTGATTGGCTACGAGGAGCCGCTGAAATCCGCTTATTATTTCTACGACGAGTTTTCGTCCAACGAAAACACGGTGAGTGTGAAGAACTTGCTGTGTTTGTTCATTTCGAACCTGAAACTGCTGCATTTCCCAGAGTCACAGGACATTCTGAACAAGATCGAGGAACAGGGCGATGAAGGTGTTGCTCAATGGAAGGCCGATCTGCTGATCAACAGAATCTCGTTTGAGATTTTGCAAGGAAACGACTATACAGAGCTGGTTTCTGAGCTTAAGAAGCTCGATCCATCTTCGAGCTACTTGGCCGATCTCAAGGAGAAGGACCAGCTTTTCGATTCTATTGTGGAGAAGTATACTGTTTAGATAGAAGTGTTGAACAAATGCATTACTTAACTACTGATGAGACTCTCTTTCCAGCTCCTCATCTGGGATCTCCTCCAGTGTGATTTTTCTAGGTTTTTTCACCGTTTCGGACGCCTTGACCTTTGGGATCTTGATCTCGAGCATTCCCCGCTGGAACTTGGCGCTGATGGCTTCTTCTTTAACGTCAGGGAACGACGGCAGTTTGATGACTCTTTCGAACGAGCCAAACCGTTGTTCAGAAACACGCACAATGTTCGAGTTGTTGACCGTCGCATCGTCCGAAAGGTACTTGTTGGTGACCTCTCCCTTGACAACGAGTTCCGACGAGGTTGGATGGAACTCGATGTCCACAAACTCTTTGGACACTCCTGGCAGAGCCAAAGCCACGATGTAGTTTTCCGGGAAGTCATAAACGTTGACTGCCGGTGAGAACGGAAGACTCGTTTTCGTCTGTGGGGCAGATATCTGCAACGGGTCGATTTTTGGCTCCTTCTGTTTCGTGTGCAGGTTCAACGAGGCCGAGTTGCGCCGGTTCAGTTTGGTCTTTGGCTTCGCTTCCTTGAGAATTTGCCCGATTGGGTCTGCTGGTGGTTTTGGGGTGTGCTCGGGCTCAGACTTGGCCGCTGGTTCTGCTGGTTCTGCTGGCCGAGTCACAATGGCTGGGAATTCCTGCGCAACCGGTTTGGCTTGCTTTCTAGCAAAGTACGGTCCAAACAGGTCCTCGAGTCTATATTGGGTCTCACCGTCATCAGCAGGCTCCTCTTCCTCGTCCTCGTACTCCTGGTACTGTTCATAAGGATTGAACTGCGGAACCTGGGGGTAGCCATAGGACCTTGGTCTTGCTCCGTAAAAGTACTGTGGTTGCACACGGTACGCAGACCGTCTGGACTGTGGTCTATAAACCTGCTCGTTGATGATGTCTCTAAGGTACTGCTGAAGAATCTGGTCCATGATGATATTTAGAACTGGTATGTCAAAATTGGATAACCACCTGATTTAATATAGTTGATCTGGAAATTACGGGTTATTCCAGAATATGCTAGATAAAAAGGCGGGCTCGCTATAATTTTTTTTTGCCCCTGACATTTCTTATCGTTGCGAAAATATGAGTGATTTGGCCAACTCGAAGGGACCGATGCCTTTCTCGCTGATCAAGCAGCTGGTGACAAACGGCGAGATCGACAAGCTTGTGAGATCGGAAGAGGTTATGAAGGAATACACCGCCCATAAGGAAAAGTTCAAGAAACAAGGCGCAGACATGATCACTTTTATTCTGTCTAGAGAGCTCAAATGGGTGCCTCAGGACGTGCCTCTGAACACGCCGTCAGAACAGCTGATTGAGGCGTTTGTCAAGCCGGCCGATTCGCGGATGTTTGCCAACGAGGCAGACATAACCATCGTGCAGAACACGTTTCCCTACTATGTGGAGCCCGGCGTACAACATCTGTGTGTGTGGGTCAAGTTCCCGATGCCGCCAGACCCGCAGTCCGACAAAGGCGATATCTCGCCGAAGGACAAACAGCTGGTGGAAAAATACATCACAAACACGTTCTGCAACTGGCTCGGGATCCCGAGATCTGATCTTGTCTGGTTCAAAAACTGGACAAGTCTACAATCGGTGAGGTCAATTCCACACATCCATGTCATTATCAAAGACATGGACCAGGATTCGCTCGATAAAGTCCTCAGAACAGGAGGCAAGGCCTTGAACTATGGAACGGAAGACTGCAAGTTATAAAGCCCCTAATAGAAGGGATTCTCTTCCATTTTCAAGCTCTTTTTGCGCAATAGATCAATAGTGTCCCCTTGGCGGATCACAAAGTTGGCCTGATGTTGGATCACGTACATTCCAAAACAGCTGTGGTACGGGTTGGTTTCATCGACGCGTCGATACTTGGCCATGGTTTTCGAAACCGTCGCTTTCTTATCGGGGACTCCAACAGCAAGATCGATATTGGGAATGGTGCAACGGATGCACTTGAGCGCGCCCGTGAAGCTCATGCGTCCTGTTTTCGACACCAGGTCGAACTTATGATAGAAATCCTCCTCAAACGGTCTTTCGATATCACATATAACAAGATTCGGTCTGAACGACTCCATTTTCACGTAGTCTACTTTTTCCCCCGCGCTCTGCTTCACGTACTGGAAGCTTTCCTGCGAGCACATGAGCATTGGATAGTAGTCATGGAACAGAGTCTTGCGGTCGACGTTGGACGGAGCTCCCACTTTGCATGCCTTTCCGGCCGGCGAATAGATAAGGACAGTATCTGGTAGCAGGTTCATGCTTTTGATGAAATCTTCACTCAACACCTTATCAAGAACATAGCCTTGCAATCCAGACTTCCACAGCTGAACTTTCTTCATTTCCGAGCCCAGAGAGCTGTTTTCGCGCACATAGTCGTCGCTGACGTTCATTGGAAGATAAAATGTGGATTGTTCGTTGGTGACGATATTATCATAGACGAACTTGAACCGGTCGCCGTCGATAGAGGCGTCCACGGTGGTTAGTTTCGGCGCAAACCGAAGCAACTGGGGCTTGTAGCTGTTGTTTTCCTTGTCATACGAACACAACACGTACTGTCTGTCGTGTTTGAGGCCGTAATTATCAGCTGTCCATTCGGTCACCTTGATACCTTTGGAAACAGCCTTGACTGGATAGATGATCAGATAGTCCACCTTACCGCCATAAACACCGTGCAGGTCCTTGTGAAGGAGTGTATTTTTCAGTCTGACTAATCCAGAGACCGGAATCTGGTACAGGTTGTACAGGCTTCTGATAAGAGTTCTGGCACGGGTTTTTCTGTAGGATTCGATGTAGGTCTGAATAGGCACAGTGTAGCTGTTGACCGAGACCGCCAGGGCCACCAAAATCAAAACCAAAGACGAAGCTAGCTGAACAAGTTGCATTTTGTAAATTGCTAACTCCTTGGCGCATCCCCTTGCCTGATAAGACGAAAATCCCCAGAGAGCCAGAACGGACTGCGTTACATAAGCACAAATATTTTTTATACATTTTTTTTGTTTTTGTTTATGGGATTCATAGTACCGGGGACTATCCTGAAGCTGGACGTGGAGTCGTCGTCGCGACGCCACAAGCGTGGGCTCAAGCGTGTGTTTGTGCCCCAGAAAAGTTTCAAAGAGTTCAATACGCGATATAAGCGCCAGAATGTGACCCAATTGATCCAGCATATAGAGCAAACCGATTCCCGCACCCGTTTGGCCACCACGCACAAAGCCCACACACTCACCGATCTGCCCACGGAGATTCTTCTGGGAATCTTTGTTGAGTCAGAAAACCTTGACAGTCTCGCGGCCACTTGCAAACTGTTCAGCCACCTGGTTGATCACAGCTACAACCATTTGGCCCAGGAAATTGTGCAACGCAAGTACCTGAAAGTGGTGCGAACGAAACCGCGCGAGTTTGCGTTCATAAAACGACGCGTCAGCAACGACATGGACCACGACCACGACGCCAACGCTCTGCGCACCGAGATCGAGAGGCTCAAGTACCAGCTCACTATTTCGCCAACCGTCTACACCTCCGCGCACCAGATCCGCATTCTGGACGAGCGTGTATTCGCCAACAAGTACCTGACATGTTCGATTTTTCGGTCGCTTTCGCCCGATCTGGTGCTTCCCACAACGACAACCGCCGCGATCCCGACAAAAATCGAGAAGCTACGCAACGACGGCGAAAAAAACCTAAAGACTAAAATCATTGAACTCCACAAAGATACGCCAATCAAGTTCCCTTATTTGGACGGCGACAATTTCACAGCCATAGACTACATTCACGGCAGATACCAAGACAAGCTGCTGGTGATCCGCGAGCTAATTCTACGAGACACGTCGTTTGTGTCTCCAATCTATCAGATCCTAAATCTTGTGATTCATTTAAATAGGGCCTACAGACGAGCCGGGCAGGGAGAACCAATCATCGGTACCCGGTTATACGAGCGGTTGATCGAGACAAACCGTCCGGCCAAAGACGGAGACTCCGATACTCCCCGAATTTCTGACCCTAACGTGATAATCAGCTGCTTGAAGTTCAACGAGCAGCAACTGCTGAAACTGGTGATGGCCGAGAGCGATTTGGAAAAACTGGCCTCTGATCTGCAGCTGTGGAGTTTCATCATGGAATCGAAGAGTTATGCGTACTTCCACCAGCTCGAGAAGCTGGGACTCAAGCCGACGCCTGTGGTGATGAAGAATTTCAACTAGTAGTTGAACTGCTGGGAAGGTTGTTCGTGCATCGGGCTGGCGACGACGGAGTTTCCAGTGTAATCGTTGAACCAGGCGTGCTGCAAGGCCTGGCGTGCGCTGAGTCTAAGTTCTGGTCTCATTTGGAGCAGGCCTTGCAGCAGGTTGAGAGCGAGACTGTCCATGTTGGGGATCAAGGCGTGCAGGTCCTGTGGGATGAACGAGTTGAAATTTGACCGGTAGTTCGGGTAATTGGTGACTCCTGGCCACGATCTTTCGTTTGGAGTGCCCATTATCCGGAAGATCTTGAACAATTGGTCTTCGTTCGACGAGCCGGGGAAAAGAGGCTTGCCCGTGTACATTTCGGCCATGATGCAGCCTGCGGACCACATGTCGATGGACGTGGAGTAGCTTCGCGAGCCGAGCAGCACGTCCGGCGCACGGTACCACAGAGTGACCACCTCGTTGGAGAACGTGTTGACCGGAATACCATACGCTCTAGCAAGTCCAAAATCCCCGAGCTTGAGCTCGCCTTTGCTGCTGATGAGCAAATTCTGCGGCTTGAGGTCTCTGTGCAGCACTCTGTTGTCGTGACAGAACATGATTCCTCTGAGCAACTGGAACATGAACGACTTGACCACATGGGGCTCCAAAGCACCGCTCTTGTTGTACCCGTTCGAGTCCATGTATCTTTTCAGGTCCTTGTCCAGATACTCAAACACAAGCGTCAGCTTGTTCTCTGTATGTATGACGTCGTACAACGTGATGATGTTCTCGTGTCTGAGCTCCTTCATAATGGAGATTTCTCTAATGGCTGTAGAAGGCGTTCCTTCCTCGCTGTCGAGGTTGATTTCCTTCAACGCGACAAACGTGCCCAGAGCGCGGTTCCTGCCTTTGAAAACAGTGGCGTACGTGCCTTCGCCGAGTTTTTCCAGTTGCTGAAATTGAGAGGCCGAGGCGGACATGGTAAGAGCACAAATTATCTTGACACCTTGTAAATGTATCTAAAAAAAAATTAGTCTGCACACTCGAGTCGATCGACGAAATTTTTCATCTTGCATTTCAACCACCTCCATGTCGGCCAGAGCCCCGTCCCCCCGCCGCAACACCGAGGAAACGCTCAAACCGCGCGAGATCCCCAACATCCGCGACAAGCCGTCTGTGCTGGGCCCGCAGTGGTGTGGGATTTTCGAGACCGACGTCGAGTTCGAAAGCGTCCATTTTATCCAGGCCATGACTAACCTGCTTCGCAACCCAAACATCAACTCCACCGTCATTTTGCGCGCCGACGTGCTCAAAGAGTACACCTACACCTACCCGGACGGGTCTGACGAGCCGTTCTTGGAAAAGTACATCGCCGAAGACACCCAGGACATTTCCAGTGGAGACCCATCAGAACCGGTCCTCACTCGCAACATCGACGACACAGAGATCAAACAGGTCCCGTTGCCCGACAAGTACCGGCCCAGGATTGAAATGGTACGCCGTATGATCCCCAGGAACCCGTCCAAGGACTACGTGATCAACCAGACCTGTTTGATGATGGAGGACGGCCACGACGACGTGCTCATCATCTACACGCCGCACATCAAAAACCCGGCAGAGATCCCGTTCTACTTGCCGCCGGTGCGGTCGATCGCGCTGCTCTACTCGAAATCAAAGCTCTCGATCCACTACCTGCCCTTTGGCACCGTCCAGGAGCTGAAGCAGATGAGTCCGATCGAACGGCCGGTGAGAATCGCGTACCGGCTCATGAGCACCGCGCAGCGCCACTCGGACGGCGTGCGCAACGGGTACGAGAAGCGCGTCAACCACGATCTCGTCGTGTCGAAAGTCGCGTTCCAGGACCGCTACATCCTGCTCAAGCAGAAGTATGCTCGCACGCTCGTGGAGGACTGGCGAGAAAACACCGACCCGCGTAAACACGTGTTCGAGGACATCGCCATTGCCGCGTTCCTGATCGAGTTCTGGAACAAGATCTACCCGGACAAGGAGCTGTTTGAGTTCCGCGACCTGGGCTGCGGCAACGGGCTGCTGGTGTACCTGCTTTCCATGGAAGGGTACAACGGGATTGGGATTGACGCGAGAGCACGCAAGTCCTGGGAAATGTACCCACCAGAGGTGCAGAAGAAGCTCAAGGAGCAGGTGATCATCCCGAGCGTGCTGCTCAGACCGCACCCGGCCGTCCGCACACACTTTTTCTCGGATAACGGCCGTGTTTTCAAAGTGCCAGCTCCCAAAGACGCCCTGCCCGACGTGAAGCTCGCAGACAAACAGCAGCTCGTGGAGCTGTTCACGGCCGCCGATATCCTGGCCTCGCCGCAGGTCAACGCCGCAGAGTTCCCGAAAAACACCTTCATCATCGGCAACCATTCTGACGAGCTCACCACGTGGATCCCGTTGCTGGGGTACCCGTTCATGGTGATCCCGTGCTGCTCGCACAACCTCAACGGCGACAAGGTGCGGTACGCGGCCAAGAAGCTGCCCGCCTCCCCCAACTCCCCGACCTCGTACACGTCCGACTCGCGGTATGCCACCCTGGTGGACCACGTCGAGTACATTGCAACCATGTTTGGATGGCACGTCGAGCGCGAGATGCTCCGCATCCCGTCCACCAGAAACGCCGCGCTCATCGGGTACACACCCAACAACTTCCTGCCCAAGTCCATCTACGAGATCATCGCCATGGAGGGCGGTGCCGACCGCTGGGTCGAAAACACCATGGCGCTGATGAAACGGCCTCCAAGAAACCATTAATAGTACACTTATAAACGATCTACTCTATTTCTTTCCCTGCTTGCGCTTTCTCTTGAACCCGATCAGACGCTTCACGTCGTTCGATAGCCCGCTCTTGGTCTCTGTTTCTGTCTTTTGGCGCTTCAGGGGCTCTCTCTTGTCATTGGCTCTGTCGGGGCGGGCTCTTTTCCTGTCCGGCTTCTCGTCGCGCTTGTTGCCGCGCGCCTTGCTCAAGATGATCTGATCATGCCGCCGTTTCATCACCTTGGCGTTCTCAATTGCAAACTCTACAATCAACCGCCGTTTCGTGATGGTCCCCTCACTTTCTGCCACCTTTTTCTGCTCCTCGTCCAATCCAACAAGAATATCTTCGCGACTCACCTCGTGCGCGTTCAGCCACCGCAGCGCCATCAACGCACTCTTGTGGTCCCGGTACTCCAGGAAACCGTATCCTCTGGACCGGCCCATGGCTCCAGACCCTTTCACCTCGGTGATGATCTTGGCCTGTTTCACCACACCTGTCTGTTTCTTGGACTTCTTCTCCTCCTCCTTCACGCCAAGCTTCTCCTGGAGATACTCCTTGTGTCGCTGCGACCTGGCAATCTCCTCCTTGTTCAACGCGTGTCGCTTGCCTTCCTTAACTTCGGTTGCAAACTGCACAATGGCTTTACGACCCAAAGCTTTAAGGGCCTTCTCGTTCATCGCACGCGGCAGGTTCCGGATTGCCAGTCTAGTCAGCGACAGGTGTAGCGTCGGGTTCTTGTTCAGCTGCTGCACACGCAGGTTGTACGACTTTTCACGCACGTCCAGGTCGGTCTTGCTGATCAGGGTAGCCAGCCTCGATCCGGACGTGATACGGCCCTCATTCAGCAAGAACAGGTTCCGCTTGTCCTTCTCGTTGGGCACACGGCCCAGCAGCTCCTGGCGCGCAGCCGAGTTCCGCTCGGCCATCTTGGCAGCAGAGCCTCGGTCAACGGTAGCACTGATCTGTAAAACACGACCCTCGTACACATACAGCGGCGAGACGTCGTCGGGAATCAGCATCGAGTTCGGGTTCACCTCTGGAGCGTTCAGCAGACAGTCCTCGTAGTCCTCGGCGCGCTTGAACGCCACAAACGCCGAGCCCTTGGCCATCTGCGTGTTCTTGTCCATCACGGGAAGAGCGTAGCGGACGGGCCCGAACTTGGAAAAGTGCTCTTCGAGCGAGTCCTGCGTCGCATCGTACGGGATGTTGCGCACAAAGATCGAGAAGTTGTCCTGTCTGTTGGGCCGCGGTCTGTCGAAGTTGGGGTCCGGGGTGTTTTCTGCCTCGCTGCCGTCGTCATTTGCTGCTTCCTCCTCCTCGTCTTCACTATTGTCTTCGTGCGCTGACTGCTCTTCGTCCTCAGACTCCTCTCCCCCACTCTCGGCCTCAGACTGCTCCTCCTCACTCTCACTCTCACTCTCACTCTCCTGCTCCCGCTGGAAGTCCTCCCACTTGCTCTTGTCGATCGCAAAGTCAACAGCCACCTCTCTGCCCTGGATCTTGAGCCCGGCAGACTCCTGCACAGCCTTTGCTGCTGCAGAGTGGCGCATCATCGTCACAAACCCAAACCCGGTCATTCTGCCCCCCTTCTTGCGAGGGATGTGCGCCTCCTTCACCTTGCCGTACTTCAGAAACTCCTTCACCAGGTCGTTCGGCTCCCGCACAGACCACGGCAGGTTTCTCACAATCAGCTTGGCGCTCTTCTTCATCGCCACCTCCTGCGACTTGGCCCGTGGCTCCACCGTCTCCTTTGCAGCCTTGTCCTTTCTCACTCTGCGCTTTGCAATAGAAACCTTGAGCAGTCTGTCCTTGAACTTGTTTTTCTTCGAGTCCTTCAAGGCATTCAGTGCGTCCTCGTCGGTAACAAACGAAACAAACCCAAATCCACGGCTCTTTCCCTCGCTGTCGTTCACAATCACAGAGTGTCGCACCGGAGCGAACTGCGAAAAGAAGTCGTTTAACTCCTCGTTCGTTCCACTTGGCGCCACGTTCTGCACAAACAGCGTTCTTCTGTCTAATCCATCCTCACTGGACGTTGATCCAGGCCGTTCAGACATCCTCAAACTGTTTAGGACCGTTCCTGCAAAATCTATCTAGATCGATAATTTTTTGGAAATTTTTCTTGAAATTTTTTTAGCCTCATATTTACCCGTGCAGACCAAAAATATCTCTATCGCGTTTTGTTTACCATGAAACAAACAGGCATCTTGTCCAACAGTTATATTCCGCCGTTGGCGCCCCAACTCGTTGCCAAAGAGCTCGCAAAGCTCAACCAGGACTCCCTGTTCAATCTGGTGGACCTGTGGCTCAAGATGGCCGCCACACAGCCTAAACCCACCAAAGATCAACGGGCCCAGGGAGTCACCCAGAAAGAGCTGCTGCTGTATTGCACAGAAACCTTGACCAGACTCAGAGACCAAAAGGCGCCAAAAAGAAAACTAATCGACAGATTGTTGGTCGATTACTACCCTAACGGACTCAATGCTCTCCAACTGGCCCAGATCGATATCCAGATGATGGTGGACAAACCAGCAAATTATAGCTGGGTATCGTCCACCGCAAAGGTCGTTGCCGACGAGTCAACTGTGCTCGACGACTTTGTGTTCTCATTGGACTCCCAACTGTTCCTCGACCGACTCATCACCAACCTGTCCAACCTCTATCTCACCCACATCTACATCTCAAGACACCCAAGCTTCCCGCTCATTCTTATCCGGATCCAGATGTACGAGTACGTCCACTTCAAGAAGTCGCGCTCTACAGACCCAAACATCGCAGACAAAAACCAGCCAGACATCCTCTCGCGCACACCGTACTACCTGGCCATCCCCATGAGCTCGCCCAACCTGATCCACTCCGCCTCGAACGAGGACGATCTTGTGTCGAAGATCATCCTGCAGTCCGTCGAGATGACGCTGTCCTCGCCGTTCCGCCAGATCCAGCTCCACGCCAACCCAGACCCCCCAGTGCGCACTTTGGAGGCCATCCACGTTTTAAAAGGTGTGTCGCGGTTCGGCCAGTCTCTCGCCAGCTGGACGCCCTATGCCGACGGCACGGTCGATATCAACCCTCTGGGACTCGAAGCAGACCACCTTGCCCTCAATCCGTCGCGGCTGGCCGCAACAACCGATAAGAAACAGCTGGTGGCCAGTCTTAAGTTTAAAGGATCTACAGCCCCAATCAAGTCAGAAACGCTTTTCGAGTCCAACAGACAGCCGTTGAAAACACGCAAGCTCAACAACGAATCCACAGAGTCCAGCTACGCCTCCCTGGTGCCCGTGCAGTTCGGCGAGTTCATAATAGAAGACACCACCACAGGCTCCGCAGATCCTACTAATATCAAGTTGCGGTTACTGGGCAACGATATATTTGCCGGCATGCACGAGCTCGCAGTTACAGATATCGTCGACCCGGAGAAAGTCCCTGGCTGGCTCACCGGGTCTGAAAACTCCACGGTCGGCCGTGTGAAGAACGGCAATCTGTCCTAGCTCATCGCCGACCGGTGAGTCGCTCTATATAGTCGTCTGCCAAATGAATATGGACGGTGTTCTCGGTGAGTCCCTTGATCAACGAGATCGTCTCAACGTCCTTGCGCTTGTACGCTTCTTCAATCGCGCTCTTGTAGTCGTCGCAGTTGATGTAGCACTGCACTTTCGTCTTGTACGGCATGCTGTTGCAGTGACTTAGATAAATGGACGCGTGCCGTTTGTCGCCAACTTTCAGTGACTCCAGATAGAAAGGCTCGTACCCGATCGGCGACTGCTTTTGCACTGCAAAGTCGTACAGCTCTCTGCGTTTGTCTGGGATCTGTGCGTAGGTCTTGAGTACTTTGTAGTAGAACTGTTTGTCGGATATCTTCAAGTCCTTCTGCACCTTGGTAGCACGTTTCAAGTCCACTCTAATGATGGCCTCTAGTAGCTCAAACGACGAGGATGCCTCGATACCCAGTTCCTGTTCGAGCTTGGCCTTTAAGTCCACGTTCTTTGCTTCCTCTTTGAGCCATTTGGACTCGGAGCTAGTGAATTTGGATCTAGCAAGAGTCTGCGACGCCTTGTTGAGCAACTGGCGCTCTTTCTGCTTGTCTGTCGCGGTATCCAGTTTGTTCAGCTCAACCAAACTCAATCCGATGATCGAGTCCTCTTTGTAGTAGTAATCTCCCAGAAGCTGGAGATCTTTCGACGCAAGCAGTGTCAAAAACACCCCAGACACGCTGGCTTTGCGGTTGAGCATTTTGAGAAAGTCGGCGCGAGTCACCTTGTTCATCAGACTCACCAAAACGTACACTATTGAGTCCAGATCCATGCTCTCGTCGGCTTTGTTCAATGCAGAAGCGTCCTGTCCCATTTGGAGAAGCAACGGAATGGCCTTGGTCACGTCAGTTTCCAGACTCAATAGTTTGGTAGCCAGATCGGACCGCCCTTCAACATAAGCGACCTGCGAGATCTGAGCATACGAAACAAACTTGCCTTTGAGATGCTTCAGGATGTCCGCTAGCATGTCTTCGTTGTTCAGCTCTGAAAGTCGTATTTTCTCACATGCCCAATTGATGTAGATGTTGTCCTTTGGCAGATCCATAAAGTCTGCTATTTTCAAACACAGATAGTGCTGTTTGCGCAGAAGCAGCAGGTCGATCAGTCTGTCAAGGCCGAGTTCAGTGAACTGGATGTATGTGAGGAAAATGCCAACCTCTGGCTGGCGGATAATGTTGAGGATCCGCAGGTTGTCGCATGTCTCGACAAACTCGTCGGCGTTGTACATTTCAAGGGTGGTTTTCCCGAACGAAGCGGCCCTTAGCAATTTCTTCTGCCAATAAGAGTCGAATTCTTCGGCGGCCGCACGGATGCAATGGTCTACCGCGTCCGACAGCTCTGTGCTGATGATTTCCAAATTTTCGTTGGCTTTGGGCGACTGGTGGTCGATCTGGTCAATGGCGTCGAGTAGAATGGCACTTGGAGACGTGGACCCAATGCGGAACGTTTCTGCGGTGTAGTTGCTCACACGGGAGACAAACTGGAGATGGTCCTGGTCGAGATAGAGCAAACCGTCTAGTTCTGGCCGCAGTCGCGTGAACGAGTCGAGATAGAAAGTGATCGACTCGTCGGACGGGCCAATCAGTAGCATCTCATCGGCATAGCACACAATAACGGCGTCGTTGCCACACCACTCAACCTGTAACGGGTTCCCACGCGGACATTTGAACGTGTTGAGCACATTGGCCATGTCACTTGTGAGAATAAGTACTGTTTCCGAGTCTGCTCCATACAAAGCAACGAAGTCTCCATTAGGTGCAGCTGAAACAAACCTGAACGGCCCATACTTGAGCACCTCTGAGTTCTGAACAGACTCGCCGTTCACTATGAGTGCATCTTTCGTCGAAACAATCACTTTCAACTCAGAATTAAACACTGCTGGTACAACGTTCCATCCCACGTTGTTCTCCTCCACGTTGAACAGATCTATCACTGTGTGGTCATGGTACACAATGTGTTTGAAACCAGCCAAAGTTTGCGCCACAAACCCATTTTTCATGAAACTAACCTCAATCACATCGGAACCTATCTCGTACTCCTCAAAATCCCCATTATAGTCGGTGTAGACACGGTACTTGCCGTGACGCAACACCACGATGAGCTGGAAATCCTGTGTCCAGCCAAGATATGCTACCTCGCCAAGCTTGGCGGGCCACGCAATCGTCATCACACTCGCCCCCGACCCGGTGTAAACCTCTATCGAGCCCTCCAGGTCGAGACTATACACGGCAATTGCGGCCCCATACGGCGCAATGGCCACGAGCGAGTGCTCTACATTAACGTCTTGCCACTCCAGGTCGAACAGCAGCCGGCTGCGGTAAAAAACGTCCTGCAAACGCTCCCAACCCAAACTAGGAGTAGTCATTAATTAAACAAGAAGAAAATAAATTATTCCATTTTTATTTATTCATGTCCGAAGAGGTGTCGCCGTACGTGACGCTAATTTCCAACGACGGGTTCCAATTTCTCATTTCCAAGGACGCCGCGCTGGTCAGTGGAACGTTGAAGGGAATGCTCAACACGTCGTTCCAGGAGTCGTCCACCAACACCATCAAACTGCACGAGCTGGACGGGGTGTTGCTGGAGAAGGTGATCGAGTACCTGTATTATAACCTCAAGTACAAAGAGTCAGTGGACGTGCCAGAGTTCGACATTCCGACCGAGATGGCGCTCGAGCTGCTCGTGGCCGCGGATTTCTTGGACGTTTGAACGCAGCTTCTAGGACTGTCTGTTAAATTGCGAGTACAGCGACGGGTCGTATGCGGACGGCGTGCTGTAAAAGTCCGTGGACGCGTTGGGCTTTGATGGGAGTGGGGGTGCCCCACCAGAAGAGCTCGAAAATGACCCGCCAGGACTGTTGCTGTACTGGCTGTACTGGCTGTACTGTCTCGGTGGAGGAGCTTGGGTTTGCAGATTGAACCGCTCAAACTGCTGTCTCAACAGATCCTGGTCGCGTTGCGGGCCATTCAGCTCAATGTGACTCACTAGCTTGTCCGCCTCGTTGCTCCGTTCTCCAACAAATTTCTCCAACGCAAACCGCAGGTTCGAGCTGAACGTTAGCAACCGTTCGTAGAACGACTGGCCCTCCACCACACCGCCTTTATAGGTCTTCCATTGCTCATAAGAGCCCAATAGACGCGAATTCACAGCCTTAGTAGTGCTATTGCGCTTCTCGCGCTTGCGTAGCTTGCTTTTCAGCGTCGCGTCGTCCAGCACGGTGTTCATTGCCTGTTTCAGCTCGTTGATCAGCGGAACCTGTTTGTCCACTGTCAGGGCAATCCGTTCCTGATACGGCCTGAACTTGGCCAGCTCTTCCTCGAAGATCGGGTCCATATCTTGCTGGTCGCGGTTCACCAACAGAACTTTGGAAATGTCGTCGCCGTGGCCCTTGGTCTTGAGATCCTCGTACGTGTTGCTCCGCTCTTTTTGCAGATACCGCAGCTCCTGCAGCTTTGTGTCCACCTTGGCGAGCTTTTGTCTCGCACCAGCAACATCGCCCTCTTGGTCGTCCATATCCAACAAAGACACCTGTGCTGGAGGCTCCTTCTTGTACAAAGACAGCAGAGCCTGACTGGACGGGCCTTTGCTCAACAGATCCACGTCGTCCTTGATTCCGCTGTAGATCTCACCAATCTTCTTATCTGTGGCCTGTGCGTCCAACAACGATTTCTTTCCCCGGGCCAGATCCTGCTGGAAACTGATCAGCTGCGTTGGATACTGTTCCTGGGTAAACGCACTGCCGTATTTGGCTTTCAACGAGGCATATTTTTGGTTCTCCTGTGAAATCAGCCGATCACACAGGTCTAAGTTCGATTGCACTTGCGACCGCAAGGTGGCTGTTTTGGACAGATCCACGTTCGTGCCGAACACAGCACTGGCCGCTTGCAACACCTGCGGGTCGATCGAGTCGTTGTCCAGCTGGTCGTCAGTCTCTTGCTCGGCCTCATCCAGCAGCGATCGCAGGTCAGAAAGCGATTTAGGCAGCTGCAGAAACTCCAGCGTCGAGCTGAACTCGAGATCCGCAAGCTCGCACTTCTCGCTCTCTGCCCGCAGAACCTTGGCCACCTCCTCAGAGTACATGCTCGAGAGCTCGTGCACTTTCAAAGGGACAATTTTCTCAAAAGCGTCTCTGCCCACGATCTCGGTGATTTTCTGGTCCGCAATGGTGATCGGCTTGGCACTCTCCATCGGTTTTATCTCCGCCAAAGCGGCCGCGCTCGGCACCATATCGTGGTAGATGAAATCGTTATCCTTCTCTAACAGCTCGAGCTCCTCCTTGATCAGCGAAATCTGCGTCTTCACTTTTTCTTGGAACCCAGGGTTGTGTCGGTAGCTGTACTTTTGGTGTTTTTTAATCAGTTCTTCTGCCTGCTTCACATAAGCGATTGCCTGGCCGTACTTGCCCGAAGCTTTCAAAAGCAGGGCATTTTGGTAGTTGGCAATCGACAGATAGTAAAGTTCCTTGATTTTCGTGTACTGACCCCAGCTGTACTGGATAGACTTGAGACTCTCGATCTGCTCCGAGGAGGTTCCATACATCTTCCCTGTAGCCTTGGCCAGCCGCGAAACAAGAGACGGTTTGGGCTCGTCGTTGGTCTCAATGTACCGCAACAGAAACGCCTCCTGCGCCTGTGCAAGCATCAATTTCGAAAGACTCTCCACGCACTGAACACTAAGGTCTTCAGAAGGCGCATGCAGAAAGCTTTCCTGGATGAACTTGAAAACACCGCTTGATTTCTGGAACCACTCGTAGCTCACCTTGAGGTCGTCGCTATGTGCGGCAACGTGGGACATGATGGCAGCCAAATTGAACAGCACACTTGCCTTCTCAAAAGCGATAGAGTGTTGTTTGTTGGACAACGAGGTGATAAAGGCATCGTACCAGCAAAACTCGATGCCCAATGTATCCAGCGCAATTCGCAGCTCCAATAATTCCAATTGTCCATAGTACTTGTAGTACAGGTCTCGTCCAATGGGGTCCTGGTCACAATGAACAATGTCTATTCTAAGCTTGTTAAAAGCGGCGATCTCGTGCTCGAACTCGGCCGTGCTGCCGTACAATCGCTCGATGTACTTTTTCAACGGCTCAATCCAGTCCACCTCCTTGGTCTTCTTCACGGGAACAGAAATAAATTTGGACATTTGGTCGCCTGAAGGATATTTGATTAAATTATTTGTTGCGGGAGGAAACCTTTTAAATTAATTTCTGTACCCACCACCAGCGATGTCTTCTTCTTTTAAATCGTTATCAGAGGAAATTGACAAGCTTTCGGGCAACCGGTCGTTGGAGAACATTGTGACGGACTCGGATTCGCTGTTGGCAGGCTTGGAAACGCTCAAACACAACATTGAGAACGATAACGATGATCTCACCAGCACAAAGGCCCAGGTCAAATCGTGGACCGACAAGACTTTGAAGAACGAAAAGTCGATAAACAAGGCAATCAAGAGCTACAGTGCCAAGATCGAGAAACTGGCGTCGTTCAAATTGGCCAACGTCTACTCGTATCAGTCAATAGAGGTGAAGGATAACCCTCGCAATCGCAAGCTGCTGGATCGGGCCATAGTGATGGATCTTTTGCGAAACGGACATTTCGATATTGTCGAGCGCATAGAGTCCGAAAGAGACATTCCAATTCCGCCAGAACTGATTGCAAAATTCAAAGAACTCGATGATATACTGGTGAGTCTTAGAGAGCACGACGATCTGCGGCCCGCAATCGAATGGGCCAGTCGAAATTCGGACAAGCTCAAAGCGATCCGGTCGGACCTGGAATTCGACCTTCACAAGTTGCAGTTCATCAAACTGTACAGAAACTCCAAGAAAAGCGAGCCTTTCGAGGCATACAAGTACGCTAAGGACAACTTCCCGAATTTCGGAGCAACGCATCTCGACACCATCTCCAAGCTCTTGTTCTCGATCATGTACTCGTCCGCTGCGTCTGGACACGGGTTTGAGAGCTACCTCACGGACTTGAACCTGTCGAACGACTCGTTTTACAACCAGATCTGCCAGAACTACTGCTCCCTGATAGGACTTTCGGCCAACTCGCCTCTCTACAGCACGCTACTCACAAGCTACATTGCGCTCCCGAACTTTATCAAATATCACAAGATTTCGAAGTTGTCGAACAACCTAAACTGGACATCTACCAACGAGATTCCGTTCGAAATCAACCTTCCTGCCTCGTTGCAGTTCCACTCCATCTTCATCTGTCCAGTCTCGAAAGAGGAAACGACCCCCGAAAATCCGCCAATGGTGCTGCCGTGCCACCATATCATCTCCAAAGAAAGTTTGCTCAAGCTCAGCCGCAACAGCGTGGCCAACTTCAAGTGCCCATACTGTCCCGGCACAAGCACCATTACCCAGGCTGTGCAAGCAAAATTTATTAATCTGTAAGAAAAAAAAGGATTAGCTGGAAGTCAGATGGTGTCCAGAAGAACGCGCAAGAAGCGGAGAACAGAAGATTTTTCGAGCTCGTCCGAATCGGACAGCGAGAGCTCGTCGAATGAGGACACTTTAAGACATAAGAGCGTGTCGGTCAAAGAAGAGGACGACAGTAGTGAACTTGCTCACGACTCAGAGCCAGACCCTGGGCCAGACTCTGGGCCAGACTCAGATGTGGACCGTCCACAAACGGAGACTAGGGAGACTAGGGAGACTAGGCAGACCAGGCCTACGGCAGCCAGTTCGGTGCCGGACGGAGTTCAGGAGGCGCTGAACCAACTGAACACCACTCTTCCCAACATCTCCAAACAGGTGAACATGACTTTACGCTCGGCATTGACGTCAGCCACTGCAACGATCGGCGCAGCGCGCAATCAGCTTGACAGCCAGTATCTGAACCAGGCGGTGAACACGTACTCGGGAGACTTAGATGTTTTACGTCAAGGTCGCAACACGTTGGACGAATCGCTCAAGACGATTGCAAACGTGCTAAAGGCCACCTCAAACCTGTTTGACGATGAGACTCTCAGGTCGATGGTGAACCGACAACCCTGAGAGTTGGCGAACCTAGCTACTGTGTCGGGTCGGTGTTCTGAAAAGGGTCATAATTCTATCTTGGCAGTGGCGCAGTATGGCTGTGCTGCCTTTATGTCTCCTCTCGATAACTACGTAATTAAAAATTGCTTTTAAAGTGTTTTAAATTCTATTGAGCCGAGGGAGCTAAATACACAGAATTGGCAACAGAACATAAATTTGCCCTCTTTTAAGTATTTGTGCCTTTACTGCAACACTTAGGAAAACCTGTTGAAAACAACTTTATTACCCATCGGTTCTTCCAATATAAAACTGTCTTGTTCCAGTGTGCTGTATTTATAGAATACCAGAGGAGTCATGAAACTTTTGCCGTTAGCCTTGCTACTTTTGCCCGTGAACGCTAATGTGGGCACCCAGTTTGTCAAATTAGAGGCCGCCATTTCACGTGGTGACACTTTCAAGGATTCTGTCCGCGGGGCGAAACCCTACATGTTGGAAAAAAGGGCCGATGACGGCTCGGTCACTATGGAATTGAAGAACACCCAGAGCTTCTACGAGGTCGAGCTCGGCATGGGCTCGGATAACCAGACAGTCGGTGTGCTGTTAGATACCGGTTCGTCGGACTTGTGGGTGATGAACTCCAACAATTCCTACTGTTCCTCTAACTCAAACAAAAAAAGAGGGCTTGCTTTGGAAAAGAGAGGCAGAAGTCTACAGGACTTGAGAAACCTCAATGTTTCGCCAGGAAAGGCCGTTCAAAGGGCAGACACCACCGAGACCAGAACTGAGTTCTTTGGTGGCAACGAGGCCACCTCGAGTGTCGCTGCTGAAGCCACCCTCGACTGTTCCAAGTACGGAACCTTCGACCCTGACTCGTCCAACTCGTTCCACAAGAACGGAACAGACTTTGCCATCACGTACGCAGACAAGACGTTCGCCAACGGCGTGTGGGGCTACGACGATATCTCCTTCGGCGGAGTCACCGTGGAGGACTTCTCGTTTGCCGTCGCCGACGACACAGACTCGGAAATGGGTGTTTTCGGAATCGGTTTCAGAGAATTGGAAACCACCTACTCGTCCAACACCTCGGAAACGCCCTACATCTACCAGAACCTGCCGTTCAAGCTCGTTGACCAAGGCCTCACCAACAAGGCTGCCTACTCGGTGTATCTGAACTCCTCGGACGCCAGCACCGGTACCGTTCTGTTCGGAGCCGTTGACCACAGCAAATATACCGGAACTTTGGGCTTGGTGCCTATCATCAACACTGCTGCGTCGGCCGGCTACAAAAACCCTATCCAACTCGAAATCACACTGAGCGCCATCACCGCCAGCGACGGAAGCGGATCCCAAGCTTCTGTGGGCGTGGGTGCTGCTGCTGCATTATTTGATACCGGAACCACTTTGACCTATGCTCCGTCCGACATCATTGAGCAAATCGCTGAGCTGTTCCAGCTACAGTACAGCTCTTCTGCCGGAGCCTACGTCACCAAGTGTTCGTCGGTGGAGGACTATACACTAAACTTCGACTTCCAAGGCCAGGTGATCGAGGCACCATTGAGCTCGTTCCTGGTGTCGTTGCAAACAAACTCGGGGTCCACTTCCTCCTACTGTGCGCTGGGAATTTTCTCCTCTGGCGACAGCTCGTTCACTCTGGGAGACTCTTTCCTCCAGAACGTGTACTTTGTTGCCGACCTGGAAGACTACCAGCTGGCCGTTGCTCCCGTCAACCTGAGTGCTTCGTCTGAGGATCTGGAGGCCATCACGAGCGGCATTCCGTCTGCCTCGTCTGTGTCTGCGTACTCGTCGACGTGGGGCGTGTCTGCCTCTGCCCTTGACGTGGACGCATCCACGTCGCTGGCGTCTATCACAAGCGTGGCGTCGACCAAAGCGGCTGCCTCAACGGTGGTCTCCGACGGAAGCATCTCTGTGTCGAGTTCTACGTCTAGTTCGAGCTCGAGCTCCTCCGGAAGCGGGTCCAAGGCCGAGGCCGGCACCATCAGCAAGAGCGTCGGCGCAATTGTGTTTGCGCTTGTGGTGGCCACCGTGGTTATTGGCTAAGTTGCAAAAATATAAAGAGCTGTTTGTTACTAGCACAGCCGTAAAATTATCTTTCTCGCGAACGCGTCCGCAGTACGACACATTTTCGTTTAGCGTCGTATACGTTTCGTTTTGTCCGTAACAGAAAAATTATAAATACGTTTGGACGCTGCCTATCATTTTCAACAGAATGACCAGCCAAATTAAGCTTGCTCCAAAGGAGTATGAGAAGGACAAGAGTTTTGCCGAGGCACTGCACGGTAAGGATGCCACCAACGCCAGCGGAATGAAGGCCTGGGTGAAGAAAAACAAGAACGCTCAGGAAGTGGCCATGGAGGGCTACTTCAAGCACTGGGACGGTAAGACCGACGAGGACACAGAAAAGTCCAGACTGGAGGACTACTCTGCGCTCACCAAGCACTACTACAACCTGGTGACCGACTTTTACGAGTATGGTTGGGGCTCGTCGTTCCACTTTTCCAGATACTACAAAGGTGAGGCCTTTAGACAGGCCGTGGCCAGACACGAACATTACCTTGCTCTGAAGATGGGACTCAGCGAAAACATGAAGGTGCTGGATGTCGGATGCGGTGTTGGAGGCCCTGCCAGAGAGATCACTCGGTTCACCGACTGTGAGATTGTTGGTCTGAACAACAACGACTACCAGATCGAGAGAGCCAACTACTACGCCAAGCAGCTCAAGTTGGACCACAAGCTCTCGTTTGTGAAGGGCGACTTCATGCAGATGGACTTTGAACCAAACAGTTTCGACGCTGTGTACGCGATCGAGGCCACTGTGCATGCTCCTGTTCTCGAAGGAGTGTACGGCGAGATCTACAAGGTGTTGAAGCCCGGCGGAGTGTTTGGTGCGTACGAGTGGGTCATGACCGACGAGTACGACGAGACCAACGAGGAACACCGCAAGATCGCTTACGGTATCGAGGTTGGTGACGGTATTCCTAAAATGTACCCGAGAAAAGTTGCCGAGCAGGCTTTGAAAAACGTTGGGTTCGAGATCGAGTACGCCAGAGACATGGCGGACGCTGGCGACGAGATCCCATGGTACTACCCGTTGAGCGGCGACTTCAAGTACGTTCAGTCGTTGGGCGACCTGTTCACGGTGTTCAGAACGTCGTATTTCGGCAGAACCATCACCACTGCAAGTGTTGGCCTGATGGAGAAGCTGGGTCTGGCTCCAAAGGGCTCGGTCAAGGTGACTGCCGCTCTGGAGGACGCTGCCGTGTACCTCGTGGAAGGCGGTAAGAAGAAGCTGTTCACCCCAATGATGCTGTACGTTGTCAGAAAACCATTAGATGCCAAATAGATAATTTAGTGACTAACTTGAGAAATATATCATCTTACGAATGTTATTATGAATCTATAAGGAAAACAAGGCCCCATGCACAGCCGGCCGCAAACGAGCCAATGGCCACCATCTGGAACCCTTCCGATACTCTGACCCAATGTGAAGTGTCGTCGCCCATCGAAACTATGGTCTTGAAGTAGCCGAACCAGAACAGGGTGAAGATCATCACCACGACCGATATTATCAAGCCTGTGCGAACAATGTCTGTGAAAAAGTACGGAATCAGCGGGATAAAGCCTCCAAAGAAGTATCCAGACCCAATTGTCAACGCGCTCACCAATTGACGTCCGTCTGGAGGCTCGTCCAAACCCCTGCCGAATTTAATAACAAAATCAATCATAGCCTTCGGGTCTGCCTCCAGGTCCCGCACAAACGACTTGGTGGTCTCCTCAGAGGCACCCATGTCAATCATCACGTCGCTGACCTCCTCAGCAAGACACTCCGGGTTCTCAAAGAATTCCTGTTTTTCCTTTCTCACCTGCGATTTGTAGTATTCCGATTCCGAGCGCGCAGCCAGGTACCCTCCAAGTCCCATGGAGATCGCTCCGGAAACCAGTTCGGCCATACCTCCGGTAATGACGAGCTTGGAGTCACCCAAGGACGAGAGACCCGCAGTCAGGGCAAACGGCACGGTTAATCCGTCACTGAGCCCGATGATCAAATCGCTCATCACACGCGGGTCGGTTTTGCCCAGTAGCCAGCCAAACGGCAGACCATTATCGTTGTCGGAGGAAAATGTTTGTGTTTTAGTGGGCGTGGACGGTTGCGCCTCTGGGTCTCTGTCGGAGAGCGCTCCGTAGTTGTCTGTTGTGCTGGACATCAGAGGACTGCTTGCCTCGGACGGCTTGTTTTTGTTGAAAAACGACACAATCGCGCTTTTGATGGCAACAATGGTCATTTTATAGTCTGGGCGTTATTTTGTTTTTGATTTGAACCAAACAGCGGTGTCCTAACACTTTTAATTAGAATCGATCACCTTCCGATGTTAACGGCGCGCAAGTAAAATGCAGGTTTCAGGTCCTGAAGATCTGTAGTTACGGCTTGTTCCACGATTGCTGTTCAGATGACTGTTCCAGTACACGCTGAACGAAAATACGCTGGACTTTTGGAGCTTATATGTGCAGTTGAGTTCCCAAAGTAGAAGCGTTCAAGTGGGAACAAAAACTATGTGATCTGCAATGGATAGACGAGTGCTTAGCTATGAAGAGGGATCAAGTTAAATAAAAAACTCACAAATTTTTGTAGCCCTTTAAAATAACCTTTGATGGTCGTGCGCGATTGGGAAAAAATTGGTTAGCCGTTGTTGCAGAAGTGCGCGTGTGTCAAAATCCAGCAAATCAGCGGCCGATAAATTGTCATCAGCGGGGATTACCTAATAGCGAGGCCATATTCTAGTCGTTTGAAAGTGACCTCGAACGCGCGCGCGATATGTCATCACCGAGCCCCGAAATGTTGCAGGAATTTGCGTTACGGGAAATCCGGGGCACGGCGTGCGCTTTGCCTGTTCCTGGCGGTGTCCAGTTTTGACTGCCAGCCGTGAACCATCACCGACGCGATCGACCTCAGTGAATTGCAGCTTTGCGGTCGATCGACGCACAGCCCTGAAACCAGTTTGGTCGATCGACCGCATAAACTAGCCGAGAGATCAAAACATTTTCTTCACCTTGAATCGGCCTTTGTTATGAACTTCCTGCTGTTTCTGACCCTGCTCGCCTTCACGGCGTGCCAGGCCGCCGCAAAGACCCACGAGTTCTACTTCAAGACCCAGTGGACCACTGCAAACCCAGACGGCGTCTTCGAGCGCAAGATCATCTCGTTCAACGGATCTTGGCCATTGCCCACTCTGGAAGTCAACAGGGGCGACCGTGTCAAGCTCCACCTGATCAACGGGCTCGACGTCTCCACGTCGTTGCACTTCCATGGCCTGTTCCAGCAGGACTCCCCCCACATGGACGGTCCTGTTGCCGTTACCCAATGTCCGATACCTCCTGGCGAAACGTTTGTGTACGATTTTGTCGTCGACCAGGCCGGCACATACTGGTACCACAGTCATAGTGGATCGCAGTATAGCGATGGCCTTCGAGGTTTGTTCATTGTGCGGGATAAAAAAGCAGAATCTAATTATTCTTTTGATGAGCAAATTACGCTCTCTTTAAGTGATTGGTACCACGACTCGAGCGATGTCCTAATAAACAAACAATTGTCGCTGTACAACCCGACAGGTGCCGAGCCGATCCCACAGAATTCCCTGTTCAACGACACAAAAAACGTCACCTGGACCGTTGAGCCGGAAACCACGTACTTGTTGAGAATAGCCAATGTGGGTATCATGACGTCGCAGTTTTTGTTCTTTGAGGACCACGACGTGCAGATTGTCGAGGTGGACGGTGTTTTCGTGGAACCAGCTACAGCTTCGATGCTTTATCTCGCCGTCGGACAGAGAATGTCGGTGCTTTTAACCACCAAATCTTCCGCCAAGAGAAACTTTGCTATCGTGCACGCTTTGGACACAGCCATGCTCGACGTTGTGCCGGACGATCTACAAATCGTGTCCGTGAATCAACTGGCATACAACACAGCGCTTCCTCCGGCTAAATTGAAAGAAGAATGGCTCGATATCGACAGCTACGAGCCGTTTGACGACTTCCAGTTGCGGCCGTTCGACAAGATGCCGTTGTTGCCGGACCCAGACCACCAAATCGAGGTCGTGTTGCACATGGAGAATCTCGGCGACGGTGTGAACTACGCGTTCTTCAACAACCACACGTACGTGGCTCCAAAAGTGCCTACTCTGCTCACTGCTCTGACGGCTCCGCAAGAGCTTGCGGTCAACTCAAAGATCTATGGATCTAACACGAATTCGTTTGTGCTTAGCTACGGCGAGGTTGTGGAGCTGGTCGTCAACAACGAGGATGACAACAAACACCCCTTCCATCTGCACGGCCACGACTTCCAGGTGATTGTCAGATCGGACGAGTACGACGACCCGCACCATTTCGACCCAGATTCTCAGACAGAGTACCCAGAGGTGCCTGTCAGAAGGGACACCATGATGGTGAACGGTAATGGAAACATGGTGCTGCGGTTCCAGGCTACTAACCCGGGTGTCTGGTTCTTCCACTGCCATTTGGACTTCCATCTGGAACAAGGTCTTGCGTTGACATTGATCGAAGCACCGGTCGAGTTGCAAGAGAAGTACGAAACGCTGGAGTTGCCCGAAGACTTCTTGCACATTTGCGATGCCTCGCATGTTCCAACCAAGGGTAATGCTGCTGCGAATAAAAAAGACTGGCTTGATTTGCACGGCGAAAACGTCCAGCCAGACCCGTTGCCCGAAGGATTCACCGCCAAGGGCTACTTTGCGTTTGCCGCATGCACCCTGGTCGCCCTGTACGGTCTGTGGTCGATCTACGCGTTTGGAATGGCCGACCTCAAGAGTTCGGCTGACCCAATCGCCGACCAGCGCAAGTTTGTGAATAACCTCCGGGCAAAGCTCGAGTCCGAAAGAACCTATCTCGCGGGCTACTCGCCAAAGTACGCCAAGAAGGAGAAAGAGCTGTCGGTTATGATCGACGAGCTGGAGGAGATTGACAAACACATCAGAGAATTGTGAGCGGTGCGAGGTGGAGCCTGCATAGGCTATCGAGGTTACAAAACTTGAGCCGGGCCTCGAATGAGTTAGTTCTGGATTAACATGTCTGTTGAGGTTGACGGAGACATCATACGGCTCGCACACGGGCCAGCGACGGCTGCGGTGAGTAAGCTGGGTGCGACGTTAATATCTTTCGCCGTGGACGGGAACGAGCATCTTTATGTTTCCGACGCGGCGAATGTGGCCACGACGAGCGAGCGGCCCGTCAGGGGCGGGATGCCTGTTGTTTTCCCTGCGTTTGGCAAATCGTATCTGGAGAGTTTGAAAGGAGTGCAACAGCACGGGTTTGCCCGAAACGTGGGATGGGAGTTTGTGATAGCTGAGGTATTGGACAACTTCACGGTGGCACGGTTCAAGCTCACGCATAACACCTGCGGAACCCACAAGGCGTACCGCGAATGGAGCGCGTTCTACGGCCGGCCAATTGAGTTTGAGCTGAGCACGGTGTTCGAGCTGCACCCGCAGGCAGTCGTGGTGAAGACAGAGCTGTGCAACCTGAACATCCCGCAGCTCGAGTTCCAGTTCCTGTATCACACGTACTTCCGTGTGCCCAGCGTGGACGATATGTACATCACGGGATTGCAAGGCAACAAGTATCTGGACCGTTTAGCGGTGAAATATCACGTGGACACGGACCCAATGACCAAAATCGGGGAACAGACCGACAGGCTGTACCGTCTACAGTCTGCACAGCCTGTGGACATTCTATCAGGCAACTACAACGTGCGGTTGACGGCCTCGCCAAACCTACAGGACCTGGTTGTCTGGAACCCGTGGCAGCAGGGAGCTGCGGCAATTGGCGACATGGAGCCGAAAACAAGCTACCGACACTTCTGCTGCGTTGAGTTCGGCGCTGTGGACGGTGTTCGGCTGCCGTTGGGCCAAAAATGGGTCTGTCAGCATACGATCCGTGTTCTTTAAGTTGATACGAGTTAATGAAAAAATCATAGCTTCTATTACATTATTTCTCCTCTTGGTCCTCGTCGTCGGAGCTGCTGGCCTCGTTGATGGAGTCCGGGTCGAACGACGGGAATTGACCGCCATTCTGGGCGGCCAATTTGGCAAAGTCGATCGGATCGTCGCCAAACGAGTTCAGATCGCCCAGAGACTTGTTGAGGTCGTCGTCCTGTAGTTCGTCCTGCTCGTCCTCATCCGCCCACTTGTCAAAGTCGGTCTTGATGAAATGGTACTTGAGCTTAAGTTTGGTGAGTCTTGGCCAGTACTCCTGGCCGAGCGTCTTTTTGTACAGCACGAAAAACACGTGAGACCCGGTGATCTCGTACTTGGACCGCTTGTCGTCGACCTCTTCGTAGAACTCAAGATCCAGCTTGTACTTCTGGCCGCCGGAGACGGCCTCAAACTTCAGGCTGGTGGGGGTGAGCTCGATCTGAGGCTTTTCGGGATCCGTGATGTTGATGGTGAGGTACAAGAGGTTCTTGTCTGCATCGGTGGAGCTGGAGCGTTGCGCCCAAAGAACTGGCGGTTAGTGGGGGGAATTAGGGAAAGAACATACCTTCTGGAGGAATTGCTGTCATGGAAGGTGGAAAAAGTGGCGGGGGAACTACCGAATTGTAAAAGATTCTGTCAATCTCGACAAGTCGTTTTCTAGAAAAGTCAATATTAATTATATTTGCCCCCGAAGAAACCCGTGCACGCGGAAGCCCGCAAGCTATGTACACGCTATTTAGCGCCTCCCACGGAGCATGCTTCGAGGGTAGATCTTTCTGCGGGGCTGTGTGTTTGGGGGTGGGGTGGCCGATGGGGCGGTGGAAAACACGGACGAGGGGTCGACGTTGGACGCGCTGGGCGCACCCGTGAAGTCAAAGTTTGGGGTAGCCGACCGCGACGGGTTGAACCCGCTGAACCCAGTGGGGGTTTGGGCTGCCGGCTGGCCCTGGAAGTTGAAGATCTTGTTGCCCTGCTGCGGTGTGTTGTTGCCGAACACAGACTGTCCCGCCGCAGGGTTGGTCAGCGAGCCACCAGAGAAACCAAACCCTCCAGACCCAGACGAGCCAGAGGTGGGGGCCCCACCCTGCGGTTTACCAAACGCAAACCCGTTGTTCGAGCCAAACGAGAACGCCGGAGCAGGCGCAGCAGCCGCGGCTGTGTCTTTGCCCGCAGTGCTACCCCCAAAGGTGAACTGGTTGGCCGGCTTTGAGGCCTCTCCAAACGAGAATCCAGACGCAGACGAGGATGGAGTTGAGGCGGGTGCGCCAAACGCAGAGTTCGTCGAGGCCCCAAACGCTGGTGCCGCTGCAGGCTCTGCAGGCTTGGAGCCAAACGAAAACTCGGGCTTGGCCGCGCCAAAACTGAACGGTTTGGTCTCTGCGGGTTTCTGGTCCTGTTTGGGAGCTGAGCCAAAACTAAACGGTTTTGTTTCTGCCGGTTTGGCGTCGTTTCCGGCCGCTCCAAAACTAAACGGCTTGGCCTCTGGCTCTTTGGCAGGAGCAGAAGACCCAGATGCAAATGGTGCTGATTTGGCCGAGTCGTTGGACTTTGGAGGCTCCACCGTGGTGGACGGCTCGGACGAGGTTGGCGGCGTCTCGGATTTGGTTGACTGGCCAAAAGAAAAGGCAGCAGCAGGCTCTGCCTTCTCCTCTGGCTTGGCCCCGAACGTGAACGAGCTCGACCCGAACCCGTTTGCAGGCTTCGCAGCCTCGGCCGGTCTGCCCAGAGAGCTGGAGAAAGTGAACTTTGGGGTCTCTGTTTTCGGTTCCTCTGCTGGTTTGGCTCCGAACGAAAACATGGACTCTTGCGGCTTGGATGGCTCTGCTGGTTCAGCCGGTTCAGCCGGCTTGTTTCCAAAGGAAAACGAAGGAGCAGGTGCTGCAACAGAAGCCGCGGCCGGCTCTTTCTTTGGCTCTTCAGGCTTGGCCCCAAACGAGAAGCTCGACTTAGGCTGTGCAGGAGCAGACGAAAACGAAAACGAAGGTTTTGGGGTCTCTTCAGACTTGTCGCCAAACGTGAACTTCTTTCTCTTTGGCTCCGTCTCCTCGTCCTTTTGATTACCATTGGCCAACGACAGTTTTGGGGGCTCTGGGGTGGACAACGAGAACTTTGGTGGCTCGGCGGTGCTACCAAACGAGAATTTTGGAGCCTCGGTGGTGCTGCCAAACGCAAACTTTGGAGCCTCTTTCTTTTCCTCTGTCGGCTTGTCCACTGGCTTGGTTTCTGTGTCCTTCTTGTCTGTGAATGTAAATGCTGGTGTAGGTTTAACTGGAGCAGACTCCAGCGGCTTTTCGACCTTTTTCTCGGCCACAAACTTTGGTTTAGCTGCCGTGTCGAAAGAAGAACCCAGTCCCGAAGATGCAAACGGCTGGCTGTCTGTTTTGGAGCTAAACTTGATTTTTTCCGTCAATGGCTTGGTATCTATCTTTTTTTCCGGTTGAGGCTCTGGCTCTTCGTCGTCATAATCTAAAACTGCCTTGAAAATGCCGTTTTGGTTCAATCTCTCTTTTGGAATGTTCCCCGGCACAAGTTTGAGTGCAGTCTGGGCAGACGGCTGAGGAAGTTGCTCGATGGTCTCCACCGACGTGTCAATGTATTTTGGGTTCGCAGACAGGTTCGAGGACGTGTGCACGAGGTTCCTGGTGTGGTCGCGAAGATACGTCATTCTGGACTTGCGGTATCTGTCGGTTTGCATCCGTTTCTTCAAAACCACCAGCTGGGCACGCTCTATAGGGTCGATGGAGAAAGATGGGGCCGGTTTTTTGATCTGCTTCGAGGGAAGCACCGACGACGTGGAGATCTTGCGTTTGGAAGGAACAGAGGCAGACGAAACGCGTGACGGCACCGTCAATGTAGACTCGTCGGCCAAGTTCGTGGACTCTGCCTTGTGAGTATCGTCTTCGTCTTTGAGTTTCGAGTACAACACGCTGTTTTCGCGCTTGATCGACTCGTAGTACTCCTTTAGCTGGCGAGCAGTCACTGGAGACGACTGCGAACGGAACGAGTCGGTGTTCAAGCTGGTGTTGGGTCTGGATTTGGCTATAAGAGACGTATCATTGGTCAAGTCGGTATCGTTGCGGTGGAATATGCTGAAGATGCTGTCGGTGAGTTTCTTGATCTTGGAAGGTCTCGAGGACGGGCTCTGTGAGTGGGAGAACACTCTTTTCAGTGAGGAGTCCATTGGAAGGCTCAAAACGGGGTTCACAAACACAAAATTACAAGTGCAATATAAACGCGTGTGAAAGAAAACTGGGCGGCTAATTCAAAGAAGCCTTTTTGCGAATTTCCAGCAAACCGTTCACTAACGTTTGAGTCTTGTAAAATATTAATTTTGTTGATAGTCAATTTATTAGTAGAAAATGGCCGGGTAAATTGTATCTTTTTTACTCTTTCTGTCAGGATGACAGCGTCCTTAGTTTCCGAGATTATTCAACAAATACGGGAAGATCCAGACAGTGCTCTGGCCACTATTGAACGGGAGCTCGCTATTGCCCAGTATAGAGGCAAAGATTGCTCTGAGGATGAGGCTTGGCAGACGATACTCAACGAAACCCTGGATGATCTTGTTCTGGAACCCATCCGATTTGACTGGTTCCCCGAAACACGGCCTGTGGACCAGCAACTGTACTGTGCCAAGAAGACGGCCCAATTGAAGATCTTGCGGTACGTGCTGAACCGTCGGTCCGCAGTCTACAACACAGTACAGGTTCTCCAAGTGGTTTCCGTTTACGGAGGCAACCGATACCCGTGGTCATGTTGCGAAAGCGTGCGTATTTTGAAAGACATTTTGGAGTTGGTGAATCCATCTAAGGAGGATATCTTCAAACTGATGGAAATCCTAGTCCCGATGCTCAAAGAGTTTAGCAAAAGTAACCTGCCATCTTCAAAAATGTCCCCGACCGCACACAAAAAGGGGATTCTATTGTCTGAACTGTTCAAAACCGAAACGCCGCTCGTGAGAACACCATTCATTGATTTCAAAGATGAGGTCAGAACCAAATACATGGGCAAAATCGGAACCTTGTCGTTCATCGTCAATAGATTAGACTCGGCCGATCTCGATAACTGGTGGCATTTTATCCTACCGTTTCTGCTACATTTCTTGGAAGACCACGACATGTTTGTGAAATGCGCCGCCATCGACGTGCTGAGATCCATATTGCATACCCCGTCCGAGAAACCCAGCATTGTGATTCGCAGCGGCGTGGCCCCCATGCTCATGGACGCCATGGTGCCTTGTCTACTGGCTCTCCCATCGCTCACACCGGCCAAGAAGTCGGTGCTGATCCTCCCAGAGTCCTATGCGGCCTACATCGAGCTGCTCAAGCTCGCCAACCCGGACGAAGAACAGTTCCGCATTAAACTCGCTGCCCTGCTTACAGACTACGTTCTACCAGCACTCTCTAAAGCGTCCGAGTTCCCAGAAATCTCCAACATCTTGCTCGTGCTTGTCTCGAACGTCATACTGCCCTACCTCGACACGTTCGTGCCCATCGTCGCCAAACCAGTCATCTACACCATCCTCAACCTGCTCCAAAACCCGTACACCGCCTTCTCCCTCGACACAGTTTCGAAATCTCTCCAGGTGCTGGAAATCGTGAAGCAGAATTCGAAAAGCGTGCATGCGTGCCGGTACGACGTTCTTGGCAGTTTGCTGAAACTTCTGCAGCGTATGGTCAAGTACAACATGCAGGCTTCCGGGCCCACGCGGCTGGAAGTGCAGAGGTTCATCCATTCCCTGAACCTTCCCGACTCGGAGCGTGCCAAAATACGCAGTTACTTTCTGGGCCGGGTAACTCCTGTTATTTGATTGTGGGTGGGGTGGAATATTATGTCAAAAACAAGACGATTTATAATTCAGATGCCCAAGTTCTTGACGCAGACGCGCGAGGCGTTGCGCGAGAAGTACCAGGAGATCAACAGGCTCGAGAAGACGCGGCTGCTGGATGCCTACCGCAACCCGGGCCAATCGCAGTGGAGTTACAAGACCGCGGTCCAGGAGCGGAACCGAGATCAGAACCGGTACACGGATGTTGTTCCCTTTGACAAGAACCGGGTCAAGTTACAAGGTGGCGGAGCAGACTACATCAATGCGTCGTGGATCCAGCTGAGCGTGGGCGACCAGCCAGCCAAATACATCTCTACCCAGGGTCCAACAGCAAGGTCGTGGGAGTATTTCTGGCAGATGTGCAACGAACAATGCACGCGGCAGGTTGTGATTGTGATGCTGACGCCTATCTTCGAAGCGGGTCGTGAGAAGTGCCACAAATATTGGGCCGAGGCAGACTTTTCGGTCGGCCGAGATTTGGAGCTCGAGTTTTTGGGTCAAGAAAGCCACGACGGGTTTAGCCTCACACGGTGGATAATGGAGGATCGCATACGGCAGGTGCGCAAGCCTGTCTACCATTACCATTACCACGACTGGGCGGACTTCAGTGCGCCCGAGCAACTGTCGCCGATGCTGGAGCTGAGCGAGCATGTGCATGCGGAGCAAGGTACGGACCCTGTGATTGTGCACTGTTCTGCAGGAGTCGGGAGGTCCGGGACCTTCATCGCTGTTGATTATTTTTTGCAGCACTGCACAAGCAGTTTGGCGGACGAGACAGACAACTTGGACCGCAGCGACCTGATCACACCAGAAAACAACAACCAGGTGCGAGACCCTGTTTACGAGATTGTATTGCAATTGCGCAGCCAACGAGTGCTAATGGTGCAACGGTTCGAGCAATTTGTGTTCATTTACGATTGCATCCGGAAATATTACATTGACCGATTTTTGAGCCGGAAATAGAGTGATTGGAAAAGCGAGGAAAACGAATTATATTATTGTAGACATGTAGCGGATTGGGGCCCAGCACCGCCGCGACAGGCTCGCAGAGCAGTACAAAACACAGCTACACCGTGGTGCTGTTGGACTTCATTTCCCGTAGCAGCTGGATCTTGCGTCTTCTGGCGTTGATGAACCAGTTGGACAGCTGCTGGTTGCTGAGACCGGTCTTGGTCACCAGCTCCTGTTTCTCCTTCGAGTTCGGGTATGGGTGTTCCAGGTTATCGTTCAACCAGTTGAGCAGGATAACCGTTGTCTTTTTGGGCAGGTTGGATCTCTTCTTCTTGAAGTTTTTCGCGTAATACTCAGAGTCGGAATTTGGCGACGAGGGACTCATTTCCTCGGAATCAGACTTGGAAACCAGTTGCGGGCTGGACTGTTCTATTGGCGAGAGTTTTGGGAAAGAGAGTTGCGGGTGGGAGCGCTGGGTGACCAGTGGGGCAGGCAGTTGGTATTCGATGCCGGCGGAATACGAGCTGGATCTGGAGGAAAGCGGAGAATAAGGGTACTGGTGCACCGGGCTGGGTAGAATTGGGATGGCGGGGTGCTCGTGGGATGGTGGGGGGAATCTGTTCATCGAGTCCAGAATGGACGAGTCCAGAATGCGCTTGATAGAGGGCAATTGTACGCGGGGTGGAGGTAACTGGTCCGACATGGCGCTGTATGGAGAAGATGGAGGCGTCAGTCTTGGAGGAGCACCGTACTGCTTGTTAATCAAACTCGAAACTTCCATTTTGTAGTTTTGGAGAAAATGCTGCTGGGGGCCCATTGCGTTAATATATGTCTGAAATATGGAAGCACTCTTGGCATAACAATAAGCGTCGGCAAATGCGTGAAGATCAAAACCAAAACGGCCTTCCAGTCTTGCAAAGTCTATCAAAACCAGAAAAAGAAAATCCCAAGACGCATGACGAGGTGTGCGGCTATTGTGGCCCCAACGTGAAAGTGAACACCACATCTTTTATTCGACAGTGCGCTGTGCCGCGTGGTGGCGGCAAGATATTTCAGCAAATCCTACAGAATCCGCCTGAGTCACAACATAGAGTGTCTCGTACGAGAACAGCAACCATTCCAAAACCATGTGCGATATATTCAATTACCGCCTGGGCGGAGTTTTGTTCGCGCATCTCGACAGCCCGCCTGCCACCTTGGAATTGATGACCAATCACGACCTACTGACACATATTTCAGTCGCTATTGTTTTAGGGCCTATTCAGGAAGTTGCGCAAATGTAATCGCGATCCTTTATTTTACCAGCAGTTTTTTTTCCCGGTTATTATTGCCCGACCCTTGACCCCCCAGTTGCACAGACCGCCTTATGGTGGCCACACTTGCCCTTCAGAGCAATTTCCCTTGTGTTCGCAGGCCAATTGTATGCATCAGACCTTTTGGCCTATTCATGCTTGCTCTGGTATGCCGAATTGGCATATGGGCGCCTTGTCAAACTTGACTTGATACGCGAAGTGCACCCCAATCCCGCCGGCCCATCCGACGGATCGGGAGTACCGACGGACAATTATTCATCGAACAAATTCGTACCTCGAGACGACATGTGTAAACCCTAACAATAGCCGCGATGCGATATTTCTTATTGCAATTATATGCGCTCCCTCCTGGGGCGTGAATTTCATTTCGCCGGCGGGCTTGCCCGCGGATTGAAAGCTCGGCCGAGATTTACTGTCATTGCAGATTGCGTATGCAGCCCAAGATCAACCGTTTGACAGGTCGCTATAGAATGTAGTAATAGCAAATCCTGAAACCGGCATGAAGGATGGGTTGACATTTACAAATCAGGGTTGAGGCGATCAAGCATGCAGCTGGTAACTTAATCATGTCTTGTTGCCAATAGCTGTTTATGTGATTCCAGAATGCTGTCTGATCGGCAATCGGTGATTTCTTCTAAGCTTCTCCTTAGTCGTGCATACACGTCATATTTATTTTGCCGCTTTTGACATTTCATCAGCAACATCACAGATTTGTGGTCACCGTGACGGTCTTTGCGTTCACCAGCAACACGGGCGGCAACCCGTCGCACCATGTGTCCAGGTTCGTGATGTATTCGAGACACCCTGCCTCGTTTTTGTGGAGGCCGATTTCGGGCGTTGGGAGCGTGGAAAAAAGGAGTTCCGTGTTGCCCGACGTTGCGGCCATGAGCTCGTTCAGGATCAAGTACTGTGCGGTGTTGCTCAATTCGTTAAACGAAAACGTGGGGTTATCGTAGGACGTGGCGGGCAGCGTGGGGGAGACGCTTTCTGCCGACTCGACGGTGGTGTTGTCGTCTGTTTCGTTTTGCACAAACATAATAGACGGCTCGTTACCCTGCGCGTTGTCCAGCACCTGGGAGTTCGGCATTGTATCTGCTGAGAACGCCGGTGTCTTTTGCCGCAAGATGGACGAGGTAGAGTGGATGTTTTTCAACAATGGTCGGCGCAGGTGGTGTGCCGAAGACTGGTACACATTGTGTACTGGCTTGTGGCTGTGGTAGCTGTCTTGGCGCGAGACAGACGACGTGGACGAGCCGATCGACTCCGTGTCCGACACAGAGTACTCCTCCTCGTCCGAGGAGGGGTCTGTCAGCGTCTTCTTGGGGTCCGTGTTGGAGATTCGGTTCGAAACCATCGAAAACGCAATTCCATTCTTGCGCATGTAGCTGCCGGAATACCGACGTTGTGCGCTGGTATGAAATTTGCGAACTATTTTGGAATTCACCTGTATGGTGGGGGTCAATTTGCTGGTAACCCCGTCAGAGGTGCGCATTTCCAGCACCGACTGCCACCACTCGTCCTTTTCGAGTATCGTATGAATCCGGTCTGTTTGGAGGCCTGTTTTTTCTCCCTTGGCGATGTAGTTGTAAGTTTTGTACTTGCCCGAACCTAGGCACAACACCACGGGCTGGGCGTTGATTCTGAGGATCTCCAGCAGCGACGACAGTCGATGGCGCTCTTCAGAAACGTCTCTTTCGTGCTCCACGAAAACCACAACCCGCAGCTTGTGCGTGTGCTTCCAACATGGAACAGTATGCAGAATTGCTCCCAGTTGCAAAATCAGCGTGTAGGTGTCAAAGTTGTTGGTGAGAATGCTCTTGCCCGACTTGTTGGTCACCTGTGTGGACATCTGGATCGGGTAAAGGTCGATGCACCGCTGTTCCGACTCGTCAAGCCTGCTCTCGTTCTCGCTTGGAATGTGCAACCGGGGGAACCCCTTGGCCACGGCCAGGTTGCTGTCCAGCAGAGACAGATCTTCCAGTGCCCGCACCCAGCTGCACAGGTCGACGTGCGACTCCTGGTTGCACGCGTCCGTTGGCAGCCCGTTGATATTAATGTTGACCTGTTTGCTGAATTCGGGCGTCTTGGACTCGAATTTCATGTTTCTGGACAGCTTTTTATAATTGGACAGGTCGTAGAAGCCAAGAATCGTGATATTGGGCTTCATTCCACCGAGCCCAGACCCGAGAAACACGTTGCTAACCCCCCACGCGAACGTTGGCGCGATTGCGATCTGCACAAACGCCTTGATCTTGGACATGTCGCGCAACTTGACCCACGCGGCCCGGTGTCTTCGCAGATCTGCCAGTCTGTCCTGGAAGCTCTCGGCCACAATCACGTGCCCGAGAACGTAAAGACCGCCTTTCTTGAGATGGTTGCAGAAGTTGATCAGTTTCCAGCTGGTGCGCGGATTGTCCACCAGCAATAGGATCTGCGGCCGCCAATACTTGACGTTGTCCTGGCGCAGTTTCAAGAGGTACTTGCGCACCTGGTGGTAGATCAGCGACTGCGACACGTCCCCCCACTGTTTTGGTGGGGAAATGTAGTGGATGAACAGGACCAGCGACATGAGCATCACGATGATGAAGGTGGCCGAAATTCCGTCCACTATGAACATGGCTGCTCCAGACGCGATGGTGCCCATCAGCGCGGTGCTGGTGCCAAAATACTTGAAGCTGGGACGGAAATTGGGCGCCGACCCGAGTTTCAGCAGGAAACACGCAACGTTGGTGACGATGAATGTCATGAGGAATGCCATGGTGATCAGCGTGGCGATCTGGTTGATGTCTGCAAACAGGAACAATTGGCACAGAAACCATGTGAACAGGATACCGTAGACGGGGTCGTCTCCTCCACGGCCAAATATTCCGAGACCGGGCAGGATCTCGTCGATTGCAATGGCCTGGAGCAGTTTCGCGGCCCCCACTATACCCACAATCACGGAAAACACAGACGTGGACACTTCTCCGACAATAATCAGTACAGGTGAAAGGTTAACTGTCTGCAAAACCTGGACGTCTTTATAAAGCAGATCTCTGGTGATGGAGAACCCCATGGACAGGATCACCATGAGATAACAAACGAAGGTGATTAGCAAACCGCTGAGCGTTCCCAAAGGAATGGACTTGGACGGGTTCTGCAGGTCTCCGCTCATGGACGCTCCGGCAAAAATCCCGGCAGTTGCAGGGAAGAAGATGCCAAATATGTTTCTAAAGTTCTCGACAGAGTCCAGCTGGGACCCTGCCGCGCCCTTGGTGAAGTTGGGGAGCAGATTCTCGTGAAAAGTGGACCAGGAAATTCCCGAATAATATGCGTCGTTTTCGTCAGAGTAAAACGGAGCAACCACCAAAGACGAAAGCGGAACGGACAATGTGGAGATTATGAGCAGGAAACACAGCAGCGATCCAGCTTTGGAGACCGTCTGCGACCCAATTAGCGAGATCACCGTGCAAACAGCCAGGAAACAGGTGGAGTACAGAAACTGGTACCAGTAGCCGATAGGCAGCAGTTTCCAGACGACACCCGATTCGGAGTTGAAATTGTACAGAAGCGGTTCTATCAGACCGGCCACGTTCAACGCTGCGTTCAGCGCCTGGCCGATGTAGAAAATGATACCGATGGCGCCTCCAAACTCAACTCCCAGGCTTCTGCTTATCATGAAGTAGGCACCTCCTCCCTTGACGGTTCCGTTCGTTGCGATAGCGCTGACAGACAGCGTGGTGAGCAGGTCGATTCCGTAGCTCATCACCAGCAGCAACAGCGTGCCCAAGATCCCCATCTGGCCCAGGACAAAGCCAAACCGCAGGAACATCAAGATTGACAGCACGTTCAAGATGGTTGGCAGCGTGACCCCGTTGAGCGTGTTGAGCTTAGCAGGGCGCGTATCTGTCTTTATGTCGGAAATCGACCCATAGTCAGGATGGCGGGTACGGAAACTGGACATATGGAGCAAATCAGTGCATGGAGATAAACAGTGCAGATTAAAGGGAAAAAAACAGAGAAATTTTGTTTGATTTATTTTGTTACCGGATTGTTATGTCGCAAGACGCTGTAAGTAGCCCACGGCTAGCGGGCCAGGAATTAACCAGTGCAGAGGAGAAACGCCGGGCGCGTCTTTCGAAGCTAGCGGCCTGGAAGAAGAAGAAGGAGGCCGTGACGGCTAAACAGCCCGTCAAGTTTGCCGCAAGGGCAAGACCGGTGCCCAAGAAGGCTGCGAAACTGGTGCGCAGGAACTTGCTGGACGCAGAAACAGAGATGAGTGCTCCGGTGGAGGATGAGATTCACCACGAGGTTGATCTCGACAAGTTCTACGAGTCCCTCAGTACAGACAAGCCAAAGGAACAGGGAACCATCTTTGAAAGCGACGAGGAGTTGGGGTCCGAGTCTGACGATGTTGATCAAGTCGACCCGGAGAAATTGCTTCAGGCAATTAACGAGAAGAATAAGAAAACCGTCCCCGAACACCCGCCCAGCCGGTCGCCGTTCGCCAAAAGCCTCTATGTTGAAAACAGTGCTATTTCCGAGCTCTCCAACGAGGAGGTCGACCTGCTTCGACTCAAAGACGCAATTAGTGTGCGTGGAAAGACAGTTCGTCGTCCCATTGTCGCATGGAACCAGCTGGGACTGCCCTCGTCACTAGTTTCTGTTCTGGAGACGTTGGATTTTGCTGCCCCCACGCCTATCCAGTGTGAGTCACTGCCAAACATCATGAGCGGCCGCGACCTGATCGGTATTGCGAAAACCGGGTCGGGGAAAACTCTCTCGTTTCTGCTCCCGCTGTTCAGACACTTGCTGGCCAACCCTGCCTCGTCTTCCGTGCGCGCGCTCGTCATGACCCCCACCAGAGAGCTGGCTATGCAGATTTTCAAAGAATGCCAGCTGTTTTTGCGAACGCTCAACCTGAAAGGTTGCTGTTGCTACGGCGGCCAGTCCATCAGCCACCAGATCGCCGAAATCAAGAAAGGGTGCGACCTTGTTGTGGCCACGCCGGGCCGGCTGATCGACCTGCTCTGCGCCAACGGCGGCCGTGTTCTGCGGCTGAGTCACGTGACGTACCTGGTGCTGGACGAGGCGGACCGGATGTTCGACATGGGCTTTGAGCCGCAGGTAATGAAGATCCTGAAGGTGACACGGCCGGACAGACAGACCGTTCTGTTTTCGGCAACGTTCCCGCCTCGCATGGAGGCTTTGGCCAGGCGGTGTTTGAGCGAGCCCGTCGAAATCCTTGTTGGGGCCAAGAACCTTGTGAACGACCGCATCGAGCAGCGGTTCAATGTTCTGGAGGACGATGCCAAGTTCCCCAAGCTGCTGGAGATCCTGGCCAAGTTCAAGCTTGTTGATCAGGGCAAAGTTTTGATTTTTGTTGATCGGCAAGACGGGTGTGATCTTCTGGCCAACCAGCTGATTTCACAAGGGTATCCTGCCCTGTCTCTTCACGGAGGAAAAGAGCAGATTGACAGGGACGGGATCATCACCGATTTCAAGAACAACATCATTGACATTCTTGTTGCCACGTCTGTTGCTTCCAGAGGTTTGGACGTGAAGGATTTGAATCTTATTGTCAACTACGACCCGCCCAGCCACATGGAGGACTACGTTCATCGAGTGGGCCGTACGGGACGTGCTGGCAACTCCGGCACAAGTGTCACGTTTTTGAACAGGCACCAGGAGCGCAGTGCGAGCGATATTGTGAAGATATTGGAGCTTTCGGAGGCTGCTGTTCCCGAGGAGCTGCAGAAGATGGCCACGCGGTTCCGCGAGCGGCTTCGCAAGGGCGAGGTCAAGTACGGATCCGGGTTTGGGGGCAGGGGACTAGAGAAGCTCGAGGAGATTAGAGAGCAAAAAAGACGGCTCGACAACGGTTTGTACGACGAGGACGAGCCGCAGGAGCCAGGAAACGAGGACGAGACGGCAGAGGTGTCGTCCGACAAGTTGGGCAACTTCCAGGTGGAGTTTGGGTCGACCAAGCGCGGCGCAGACTCGGCAATCTACCACGCCAGGCTGAACATCAACGATCTTCCGCAGAGCACGCGTTGGCACGTTTCCAACAAGGACAACATCAACAAGGTGGTGGAGAGCACGAGCACGGCGATCACCACAAAGGGCCGGTACTACGGCCCGGGCAAGGAGCCGGGACCTTCAGACGACCCGAAACTGTACCTGTTGATCGAAGGCGACAACGAGGTGGGTGTGCGGCAGGCTGTGGAGATGCTGCGGCGTGGTCTGGTTGAAGGTCTCAAGGGCAGTCTTGAGGAGAGAAAACGCAAGTTTTCGATTGTCTAGATAGCTTTATACACCGACTTTTTCGAACGCGAACGCAAGATAGAACGAGCACGCGTCTCTGTCCTCGCCGCTGACGCCATAGGAGCCGTCTTCGCGCCGCAGCGACTCCACCACAGGCGTGGGCAGTTTGCGGAAGTAGTTGGGGATCTCTTTGTTGAAGAGCTCAAAAAAGTTCTTTTTAAACCGCAGCTCCATGTTGTAAGACTCGCACAGCGCGCGGAATGTCTCGAACGGCACGACATACTCGGGCACGTTGTCCACGGCATCCACAAGGAAGTAGTTGTACACGTTTCCGAACGGGCTGGCGAACTTGGCGTCTTTGGGAGGTTCTGCTGGGAACTCGACCGAGTAGATCGAGTTTCCCCATTTGCGCTCGCCCGGAGCGAGCTTGTTGATCTTCCAGCGGATGAAATCCGAGGACGGGATTGTGCCCACGAACATCCCGCCCGGTTTCAACGACCGCGAGACGTTTTCCAACATGTTTCTCACTGTCTGTTCGGAATCAAAAGCATAATGCATGCAAAATTGCATCGACACAGTGTCGAACTCGAGATTGACCTCGTCGCGGAAATCAGCCAGGATCTTGGGCACGGGCGTGTTGAAGGCGTCTCCCGTGGCAAACACCGCGTGGAAGTGGTACCGCGACCGCTTGTATCTGTTTATAGCTTCCTTGACAGACAAATCAGACAAGTCGACCCCCACGTACGACCGGGTCTGCACCGCCTCCCATTTGGCCATGTCGCCGCCCTTTCCGCACCCGAGCTCCAGCACGTTGCCGTGCGGCCGCGCGTACTTGTGGATAAGGATGTACTTAATGCAGTTATTAAACGAGCGCAGCTTGTAGATTTTGGACTCTGTCCGTTTGGTTTTGCGCGCATGGTGCGTCTGCTGGTTGTACTTTTGTCTAATGATATCGTCCTTCTGGTCCTGGTTGAGTCCCACCAGGTTATCTGCGATTGGTGCGGGCGACGAGGACACTGGTCTTGACTGCGGGGGTGTTTCCTCGTCGCGACGGTGCGACGATCTGAACTTCTTGATCCGTCGTTTCCGCACAAGCGGCTCCACAGGCACCAGGTCGGGCTGTTTCGACTCGTCGTCCCGTTTGCGTTTCGGTGCAACGTCTATCGGCTCGTCTCCCATAATAAAAAAAAACAAAGATAATTTTTATTTGTTTCCCCCCAATATGTCTTCTCGCAGAACAAGACGACAGGCCGAGCCCCACAAGGACTACGGCGACTACGACGAGAACCATTTCGACGACGACGACTCGCTCGAGGAGGTCACGCGGTGCATTTGCGGGAAAGACGAGCTCATCATCCCAGACAACGCAGGCACAGAGTTTGACGACGTGGACACAGGGTTCTTTATCCAGTGCGAGTCGTGCTCTGTGTGGCAGCACGGGTACTGCGTGGGCATCATCGACGAGGACACTGCTCCGGAGAAGTACTGGTGCGAGAGCTGTCGCCCGGAACACCACGACCTGTTTACAGACAAATATGGGTTCCGCAGAAGCAGATACAACCCGTACCAGGAAATCAAACGCAACAAGCGGCGTTTGCAGGAGCGCGCGGCCGCAGAGTCGCCGGCTCCTGTGGCTTCTGCGCCAGTGAGCGTCGAGTCCGGCTCGGGAACGCCGCCTACCTCGGTCGCCACCACGCCCCCTCGTATGGAGGTGAAGCGGGAAAAGAGTGCCGAGGAAAGCGAGAAACGCAAACGTGCCCGCGGGACGTTGAACTCGCGCGATGCAGAGTACGAGCAGATGCTCAAACGGGCCCTCGAGGAGTCCGCCAAGGAAAGCGGCGTCCAGCCTGACGAGGTCAACCTGTCCTCGTCCAACGAGTCTGCCTCCAGAGAGACCAGGTCCAGAAAGAAGGTGAAAGACGAGCCTTCCCAGGACGAAGAGGCCTCGCCCACAAACACTAGTCAACCACAAAAACTCACTCCGCCAACCTCGGCCTCGTCGTCCACGTCCGCATCCACAAAGAAATCAAAGAAAAAGAAAGAGGAGCCCCAAGACAAGAAGAAACAGCCAAAGATCGAATTGGCCGAGGATAAGCCGTTCAAGGCTAACCTTCCTAGTCAGCGCATCAGCATGAACGAGATGAAACGACGGGTCTTCTCCATCATGGAATTTGTCTCCAACATCCAAACAGAACTTACAAATGAGGAAGACTTCAAACACAGCCTGCTCAATTACACCAGCGAAGATTCCACAGAAGAGACACTCAGGTTGCAAAAAGTCCTCATCGATTGCTACAACGAGTCCGTGACCCAGCTGGACTCGCTCACAGAAAAGCTCAACGTTTGGGAAAAAGCGTATAGCTGACTCTTGATATTCTCTATTTCAACCCTATAAACGTGTCCGAGTCCAGGATACTGGTTCCTCCGATCACCAGCTTGACGTTCTTGTTCGTCTTGTTGAGTTCTGCCACCAGACGGGCCTCTTCATAGGTCACACCGCCAACAATGAAGATGACGAGCTCCTGATCTGGGATTTTGTCGTTCCCCGTGTACGACTCCAGCCCATTGGGCTTGACCAAGGTATAGTTCTTGGGATTCAGCTTGTTGCGGAACAGCTTCATCAGCACCTGTTTCAGTCTCGGGCTGTGCTGCATGTATACGTTGCTGTCGCTGTTGTCGGCGAAGCTGATCCCGTTGATCACGTTGCCCATGGCGGAGTTGGACACTTTTTCAAAAATGGAGTCGTCGTCGTCCTTGAGACGCTGTGCCACGCCGCTGTTCTTCAACAGTGTCTTTACGAGCTCCAGTTTGTGGGCAGGGAACCCTGTCTGTTGCAACTGTCTTGTGAGTCTGGACAGCTGGCTCGATGCGTGAGCTTCGTATCTCAAGGCGTAGAGCGCGAGAAGCTTGAGCTTTGTGTTTTCGTCGAGCGGCGGCAGCGGCTGGCCGTTTTGGAGCTTTCTATCGAACAGCAGGTCTTCCAGCTCGGCCAAGTCTGCGCTGGAGTTGTCGTTTGTGGCCAGCGACTGTTCGAGTTCGCCCACCTCCCAGAGTCTGAGCTGGTTGATTTTCTTGTCAATCTCGGTGGAGAGGAGCATGTGCTTGGACAGGTTGATGGATGTTTTCTTGAACTCTGGGTAGTTTTCCAAGAAGAACTTCATGTCCTTGATGGAGCTGATGTTGGAGCTGGTTTTCGTTTTCGCTTTGTATGTTTCAATGAACTTCTTCAGACTTTCCGACAGATCGCCAAAGTTGAGATACATGGATTCTTTGTAGAACTGGTCTGTTTGCTCGTTGACCACCAATTCTTTAAGCTCTTCAGACACATTGGCCATCTGGGACATGTCGACGGTGTTGTTGCGGATTCCCAGCAGCTCGTGGATCATGGACTGGTACGTCCAGGGGAACAGCAGCGGGGTGATGGGGTCGTTTTTACGGTCTAGCACCAACAGCGAAGGGGGCAGGTCTCTTGCTGGCAGCTGGCCAAAGAGCATCTGATTGGAGTTGATTTCGAAGTTGATTGCGTTTGCGAGCTTGGCGCACATCTTGGAGTTGGACTCGTACCGGATGACGGGCTTGTATTTGAGCGAGAGCAGCACGGACATGAGGCTTTGCAACGACTGGTCAAAGGCGGGCTGGTTCCACGAGTCATGGACCAAGGGGCTGTGTGGGGCGAGTTTCTGCGGCATTGTGAACAACGAGCTGTTGACCACGAGATAGTCCTGGAACACTTCGACGACTTTGGAGATCATCTCCAGGTCGTCCGACTCTGCGAGTCTTTCCAAGTGCGAACGGGACACCGTATTGGAGAAATAGACGGTGTAATTTTTGTAGTTTGGGTTGGCTATTTCCTTGGCCAGGTCGCCGATGGTGGCTGAGCTGGGCTGCACAAAGCAGATACACGCCAGGTTGCGCAGATTGTCTCTTTGGAAGTTGTCGAGCTTGTCGATTAGAAACACGTCTTTCTTGAGCAGCTCGGATTGCGTGGTCACCATTGAGATGACCGACGAGGTGACGGAGTCCAGCAGGAGCACCTTGATGTCCTCGCCGGCGGCCGGGTCGGGCTCTGATTCGAGGATGCGGTCCAAATAATGCTGTGCGACGGCGTAGAGGTCCATAACAAGAGAAAGTGGAGGGAAATTAAAAGTTTAATATTTAATTTTTGTCATGTCGGTGGGTCTTCCTCGGGGCAAGTCTTCAGTGTCGTTGAAAGACGAGCCGCGCAAGAAACCGGTCAAGAAGTTCACTGCGGGCAAGCTGGCGAGGAATTCGTCGTACGGGGCGCACTTGAACAAGCTCACGCGGATCAAGAGCAACGACTCGGGGGGGAGCTCTTTGGCAGAGGCGGAACGACCCAACTTCTCGCGGTCCAAGTCCAGCGCAGACATGCTCAAGAACAAGAACCACAACAAGTCGGTGATGTATCTGCTGGGCGGTGAGCGCACCAAGTCGATGACCAATCTCAAGGTGGTGACATCCAAGCCGGGGAAACATCGCTGGTTGCTGGGCACCAGAGAGGACTCGCCCAAGTCGCCCAAGTCGGCCAGGTCGGTCAACTCGTCCGAGGAGGAGGAGGTCGACTCGTTCGACGCCGAAGACGTGCGCGAGACAACGCCTCTTTACGACAGCCATTTCATTCTGTCGCAGTCGACCGGCCAGGCAAAACCGATCTTTGATGCTCCGCGACAGGCCACCGAGAACTCCACGCCCACGCTGTCCGAGCAGCGGTCGGGCTCGGCCTCCAGCTTGCGGTCGGTGTCGCAGCCCAGCGTTGCCGAGTCGCTCTCAAGCTCGGTGCCGGCCAAGTCCACCGTCGAGACAAGAACTCAGCAGAAGCTCTGGCTGCAGCGCGAGAACGTCAACTCGCTCGTCGACATGGCCGACTCCAACAACGCGTTCGTGTCGAACGTGACGCGGCTCGAGTTCGAGCAGCTCTCGCGCGAGTTCCTCACCATCCGCAGATACAACAACCCGATCGTCGGGTCGCTCGCGCGAGTCAACCAGAAGTCGCTTGCCGTGAAAAAGGTCAGAGACCAGCAGCCGCAGCCAGAAAAGTTCCCGGGCAACCTTGCCGAGTACGGGGCCATGGTGGAGGAGCTGTGGAAGAAGAACTGCACAGACTTCCAGCAGGACCGCAAGGTCAATTTCGAGCCCCAGGAGCCGAAAAGAGCTCCCGTGCCCAAACCCCAGCCCGTGCGCCAGTACGGCCATCCGCCGCCAACCACCCGCGCCCAACAGCAAATGAAACGCTCCTCTTTGAACATAGTCAACCTACAAAATTAGGCCCATTGTCATTTATCCTAATTAGACGGCACTTTGAACCGCAAATACTGGCCTTCTAGATAGATTCTCTGGAGAGCGTCGTCCAGCTCGCCGGCCGCTTTCAGCTCCAGCCATTTGCGGTACAGCCGCAGTGCCGAGTACGCGTCCTCGATCGAGTCGTGGTTGCCCGTCTGCACCCTGTCGTTGAACACCTGGTAGATCAGGAACTTGAGTCCCAGCTTGCGCTTTTCCCGCTTCAAATAGAACAACTCTGCCGTGTCGCGCACCTGCTGCGGCGGCACCTGGATGTTGATTGTGCGAAAGTCGCCGCCCAACGAGTGGCCGACAAACACACACCCCAGGTTCAACAGCAGCCAGATCTTGCGGTACGCCGTCTGCAGCGTCACCAGCGTCTTGTCGGACTTGTCTGGCGTCAGGTCGCCCGGCTCGATCCCCGAGAACGACGTGATATAGTCGTCGATCTTGGACTCATCCGTCAGTATGTAGTCGTCGATAAAGCACACCCCTTCTTTTGGTCCCTCTCCGCGAATAATGGACACCCGTGCCAGAGAGACCCGTTTCGGTCTCACCAGCACTTTCGACCCGTTCGAACGGAAATTGTACTCCTCGGGAGCCATCTGAACAAACTCCGCGTCGATCGCCACCAGGGTGCCTGGTTTTGGAGCCTCAGCTCTGGTCAGAAGCTCGTACTCGATCTTCTTTCCTTCTCTGGTTCCCTGTGCAAAGTGGTCTCTGTAGAGAATTGAGTCGTCTATCACCGACTTCCACCCGTCGTAATCGAACCCGGTCCCGTCCTGTTGTCTGTAAACCACGGTGACCGGCCGTTTCCACCAGTAAGTCAGGTTCAATGCCTCCTCCGTAGAGATCTTGGTCACCAAAAAGTCGTTCAGCAACAGCCACTCGCCAGACGGCAACTTCACCAGCGTCACCAGATGGTTGGTGCTGTCTCTGGACGTGATCTGTGCGACAAACCCGACCAGCTCGTACTTGGCCAGCCCGCTGCCGGCGATCGCGTTCGGACGCACCACCGGCCGTCCCGTGTGCGAAGGAGCAGAGTAGAACTCCGGGACCAGCCAGTCGTCAAACCCACGCACCTCGTTCATCTGCTCGTTTGTCAGGTCAACGTTCAACATCAGCACGTTTGGCAACTGCTCGATGCTCAGCACCGCCTCGATTGCGTGCACGCGGTCGCATTGCTGGCAGAAGATGTTGTGTTGCAACGTCTTGTTCATGGATGCTTCCAGGTAGTTCAGAATGGTGACCCCGGAAACAGCAGGGCTCGGAACAACGTTCAGGTCGAGCGAGTACACCGTCGTGGAGCTCTTGTGCTCAAACGAGCAGTAAGGAGACCGCAGCAAAGTGTGTGCTGGAATCCCACAGATACCGTCCACGTGAACAGAGGTTTCCTGGTGGTACAATGCCAGCTCGTCCTTGGCCAGACACTCGGCCAAAAACTTGGAAAACAGGTGTGCGAGCTTGCGCTGGCCGCGATCGTTGCGGGTCTTGCCGTCCGGGTTCAGCAGCCCCAGCTCGCGCGCCTGGGGAAGAGAACTGAACAGTTTCTGGAAGTTGGCAGCCACCACGTTTCGTCCGTTGGCCTTCACGAGCATGTCCAGCAAGTACCCCAGTTCCGCAAGCACACAATCGTCGTACCGGACATCTTCCGCAAGAGTGCGCACCACAAAGTTGAAAATCGGCGGCGTGAACCGGTACAGCTGGATCATTGCGTTTGTGTACGCGTTGTCAACGTGCGTTTCGAGACCAGCGTACTGCGTGTTGTTGTAGAAAGTAAAGTCGAAATCGTCCACTCCAAACTTGCTGTACAGAATGTCTGTCTTTTTGAACGCGTTCGGCACCTCGCCGTCCTTTGGCACATACTCAAAGGCATTGGACATCATCTCCTGCTTCAACCGAACGCTCTCCTCGTTTTCCTCGTAGTCGTCCTCTCTTTCACTTAAAAACTTGGGGAACTTGGTGTCTGCGTGCTTCTTAGTCTTCAATGGCCGCTGTTTCACGTGCAGGTTGCGCGGCCCAAATTTGTCCTTGTTGTACGGCGCCATAGTGAACCCGTCAATCGTCTTCGAGTCGCGAAGAATCTCCGGGTCGATCTGCGGAGGCAGCTTGCCAACCTCGAATTTCAAATCGGACGGCCAGGCAGACAGGAGCATCGACTCGTACCGAGGAAGCTTGATCAGGTTGTACGGAGCGTCAGTGTCGAAAGACAAGTGGTTTTCCGGCGGAATGGTCTCCACGTCCAGCGTGGGTCTGAGCGGTTCCTGGCTGAGCACTGCGAAATTCGGAGGTCTCATCATCTGGTCGGACCACAAATGGAGTGTCTGCATAGCATCCACAAAGGCAAAACACTCTCCCGTGGCCGAGATGTCGGATATCGTAAGAAACGACGAGATGTCCGCCTGGTACAGATGGAGTTTGGCCGGGTCGCAGATGTCGATGAAATTGATCTGGCCCATGCTGGACACGATAACTGCAACGTTGGGTGCTTTCGGGTGGAGATGTGCCTGCAACGCACCGGCAGGGAATGCGGCTGGAATGCCCTGTGTCATTTTCTTGAGGTCAAACACGTTCACAAATGGATCCAGAACGTATTGGTCCTGTCTTAAAGAGTAGCCGGACGTGAGCAGAACGTTGTCTCTTAAGGCTATGGAGGAGAGTGCGGCTGAATGCGCATAAAACGTCTTAACCACTTGCGATGTCTTTGAGTCCATGATATCAACGGTTCCGTCCACTCTTCCCAGCACCACATATTGCAGATTGGAAGACATGTACTGGATAGGATGGTTGTATTCAAGAGTTGACGATAACACGCCCTTTGTAAGGTCGATTTTCACCAGATTCGAGTTCGTGCCCACGAGCAACTCGGTCTGCGTGTTGGATGTGTATGCCATGGCGAAAAACTGCGTTTCAGGCGGAGACTTGACCGTGTATTGAGAAAGTCCTTGTCTGGAGCCAAACCGGATACCGTCAGCTGCCAAGGAGACAATTCCTTTCTTGTGGTTGAGAATTTGGAGAACAGGTCCGTTGTGCGCTCTTGACGAGCTATACAGTCCGAGCTTGACCCCCTCGTACGAATAGATGTACCCATCCGAGTCTCCAAGCCAAACCAGCTCATGGGAGTCGTCGAACGTCAATGCGGTGACTATCTTGTTCCCGTGGTCGTTGTACACGAAAGGCCGACTTTTCGGGACTCGAAGTCCTGTGATAAAGGAAACCTGGCGGTTAATAATTCTCAAAAATGCAAACACTCACCTCTTGCCAACCCTCCATGGTAAATTTAAAGGTAAATAATAGTTTACACCTCAAGCCGAATTTTTTTATCCACTTTTTTTTATTCATCTCGACAAAAGCATGTTTTCAAGACTGGCTCTGGGAATAAAAGGAGTGCGTCCGTTGTTCGGAAGCTTCTCGTCGTTCATGAGATCTTACAAAGTGCGCACGTCTGTGAAAAAGTTCTGTTCCGAATGCTACATTACCCGTCGAAAGGGACGGCTTTATGTTCTTTGCAAGGCCAACCCAAAGCACAAACAAAGACAATGAGCCAACACAGTTAGTCGACTGTTTTGTCGAGCGCCGTTTATTCTTACCTGTTTATACGATATGCAATTGATTTGATTACATTATTCTGACACCTGGAACACCTCCACACCGGCTCCGCCAACAACAACAACGTTGTCTGCCACAGCAACACAACCCGTGTCTGCGACGGTGGTGTACTTTTCGTGCACAAGCTCGAGCGTCGCGAGAGTCCAGACCCGCACGATCTGGTCCACGGACGTGGTCACCACGCGGTCGGCTCCCAAAAGAGCCACATCGGTGATTGTAGACGAGGCTGCGTCGGCAAAGAACGTGCTGGTGAGCTGCTCGGACCGCAGGTCCAGGTTGGACACCGCAAGACCGTTGTCGTCGCCGCCCGTGACCACCACGGCCTTCCCGTCAGTGACGGCCAGATCGAACGACTTGATCGACGACTGGTGGATCTGCTGGTTGATGAGCAGCTGGTTCAGTTTCTGCACGGTTCCGACCGCGTGTGTTGGCTCGTTCACCAGAGAAAGACCCGACTCGCTAGTCCTGAACCATTCGTCCAGCTCGGCAACTTTGTATACGGCCAAATGGCCGTTGGTGGCTCCTATCACCATGTAGATCTGGTCCAGCACCACAAGCCGAATGTTGAGCAGACAACAACTGGCGTAGGTGTGTTCCACTAGCAGTACAAAAGTGTTGGCCCCGTAGCTGTAGTACCACAGCCGGATGGTGGAGTCCGAGTAGACGGTGGCAACCACAAACCCGGCCACTGTGTCGTTCACTGTCACCTGCACGGTGTCAAAGTCCATCACTCTGGTTTCCGGGTTGGAGCTGCGCGGCTTGATCGTGCGGTGAAGGTTCAAGTACTGGTTTTCGTGGATCTTCCACAGGAACACCTCCTCGCGCGCCGAGGAACTCAGGAAGAACTCGCTGTTAACGAAATGAACAGACTGCAACCCGGACCCGTGCTGTCTCTCGCACCAGAGCGGGTCGATCGACCCGTCGGTATTCAGCACCGACAGTCTGACGGTTGTGTCTTCGGACCCGGTCACGAGCAGTAGGCCGTTGGAAATGGCACAGGTGGCCATCGACCGCACCTCGCGTCCATGCAGTCCTGTGGAGTACACCTCGGGAGCCACTTTTTGCCCCGTTTGCCGGTAATGAATGCTGGAGCTGCGGGTGTAGAAGAACCGGAACCCAAATTGTCCTGTTTGGAACGACCACTGTCTGTGCGGGCCGCCACACAGTTCTCTAAACAGTTCGTACTGTTTGGTCTCGTTCCAAACGAAGAAAGTGTCGGATTTGAACCCGTAAAGAATCAGATCACCGTTGTGGAAGTAGCCACCTTCCAGGAACCCGCGCTGGATGCGGTTTGTCTGCAGCATTGTTAGTCCGTTGGAGCAGTCCACGATCGCGTACTCTCTGTCTTTCATGACCACCAGCACCTTCAATGCGGAACCGTCAATAATCTTGACACTGGAGACAGTGTCACCTTTTAAGAAGTTTGGCCATAAAGTGTGCTTGTCACCGTCAAAAACGGCCAATGTAGCAAACCGCGACCCAACAACGACTCTGTTGAAATGGGTGTCCACGTCAAATGCGCTGATACTGAACTTTTGATCTGGTTTGGACAGTCTGGTCTCCTGAACCAGGTTCATGGCTGTGTCGAGCTCAAGCAGAATAAGCGGCTCGCGACGAACGCTCTCGGCAAGCACAAATAGGCGGCCGTCCTTTTCGCACGTGAGCACGTTGTTAATCACTGAATTTGGCTCGAAGTTCAGCTTGAGCTCTCTCTTTTCTGCTCCGTGAAGAACCAGCAGCTCTCCGTTCTTGCTGGCAACCACGGTCGCCCCGTTCGAGAACCCGCACACGAGCGAGAACCGCGCAAACCGCGCGTCCTCCAGAACAAGCTCCCACGAGTTGTTCTTCAGTGCAAGCACCTTTCCGTAGCTGGAAACGGCCACCAAACTACTGCCCGAGTCGTGGTACTCCTTGATGAACTCGTCACGAGCAAACGGGACGCCTATCTCGACCTCAATTTCGGCCAGCGACCACGTCTGGAACTCAGCCCCATGGCGGCTCGACTCCTGCAAATCGCTCGTCGTGATGGCCCCGTCTGCTCCTCCACTGAATCCTAGTCTCAGTTTCTCGCTCACAGCTCCACTCCACACGTTTCTTCCCGTATGAGTCTCATACACCTCCAACGGTTCCAGCTCCGACCGGTCAGCCTCAAACCGCCACTTGCGACACGTGCAGTCCTCGGACCCGCTGAAGATCTGGAACTTGTCCTGTTCCAGCGCAAAAATCTCAAGCCACCAAATTCTAGAAATATGGCCCCACCCCGTGGCTGCCACCTCGCCCGTTTCCAGACTCCACACCTTGATGGACCGGTCGTCCGAGCAACTCACCAACCATTTCCCATCGGCGCTCGTAGTGATGTTGAAGATCGACCCCTGGTGGCCGTGCAAACGACGAACCACTTGCCGTGTCTCGTAGTCCCAAATAAGAATACCGTCCATCACCGTTCCCGAACAAACAAGAACTCTGTCCTTGGAAACATGCAAACTGCCCGAGTAAAGAATGCTCTTTTCGCCGCAATCGCGTGTGTCCACCAGTTTGCGGCCAGAAACGTCAATGCAACACACAACGTTGTGTGCATGCAAACAGTACAATCTGCTACCGTCGTTGGAAAACTGCGCTTCTTTAATCCAGTCGCCAACCATGTAGCATGGCAGCGGCCCTGACAGATCGCTGTACCGGAAAACACTCAAAGAACGGCCACCCCACACACAAATCGTGGCAGTACTCAGCACGTCTCCGAAAACACGAATGCCATGGATCTTGTTGCGGTCAAACACCTGACAACGGGCCAGTTTCGCGCCAGATTCGATCTCATAAACCTCCAAACTCGGACCCTGCCCACAAAACAAGTACCGCTCGGCGAAAACCGCCAACGCACACACAGGTCCCACGTGATTCAAAGACTGCATGCTGACCGGTTTTCCTTTAAATTTTTTTAAACACCTGCACAGCCAGAAAACAAATAAAGTGAGTTGAAATAATTTTTCAGATTTTCCAAGCTACACCTCGCACCAGTCTCGTCGGCGGATCGTTTTACCCTTTTGGGAACACGGTTCTTATCAGTACACCATCCTCCGGTTGGCAATCTGTCAATTTTGGTTGGATCTGAAAACAAATCGCCAATATGGCTCTTTCTATGGACTTCGCCGGGGACAAGAGCAAGCGGTCCAAGTCCAGAAGCGGGTGTCTTACCTGCAAGAAGAAGCGGCTCAAGTGTGGGGAGGAGAAACCAGCGTGCTTGAACTGTGTCCGCAAAAAGATTGTTTGTGGAGGGTATCAGACCCATTTCAAGTGGAAGGGCTTCAACCAGACGTCTCCGCCCGAGCCTGCTCCGAAATCTCGCCAGCCGTCGGTCAGCGTACCAAAGGACCGGCAGAAGTCGCCCCAGAAGACCGTTGTTCAGCCAGCTACCAAGCCGGAGAGTGCCGAGAAAGTCCCGTCGTCTGTTATCCAGAAGGCCCTGGAGGCGGCCACATTGTCTGTGACGGGCAAGTCGGCGCAGGAGGTGGCCATTGCGAACGCCCTGATGGCCAGCGGACGCAATCCGGACCTGGCCTCGTCGATTGCTTCCACGCTTACTGGAATAGCCGCTAAAACACCACCTTCCGTTCACGGCGACCACAGTCCCGGCTCCCCGCTGATCAAACGCGAGGAGTCCTCTGTCGAGATGGGTCTTGACGATGAATCCAAGACCACCGTCATGTCCTCGTACGGGACAACGTCAAACTCCGGCATCAGTCCGCTCAACATCCCCAGTCCCGACCTGAGCGAGTCCATTTCGTCGCCGCTGAACCTGTTTAAGGACCATTCGATGAAAAACCCGCACGCGTTTGCCCCAGGCAACATTCTGTACGAAATTCTCAACAGCTCCACCACGCCAGACGGGAAACTCGACTCGCCGCGTCTTATTTCGCAGCTCGAAAAAAATCCGTCCGCCATGGAACAGTACCAGATGCTTGTGGCCAGCCCCAACTACAGCTCGTTCTTCAAGTCCGCAATGTCGCCGCTTATTCCGGTCTCTCCCTTCCCGAGCACAGACATCCACGACTCCGCTACGCCGTCGGCCCCCTCGCCAGCATTTTCCAGCATCATCAATGCATTTGCCAGTTTCGAGCATTCCAACGTCGCCACCCCCGACAGTTACGAGATCGTGCATCAGGACTCTGTGATGGCCCCGCACCATCTCCTGCGCGACAAGGAGTCTCCCAAGTCCGCGGCTGTGTCTCCGTCGGAGTTTTCCATCCTCAGCTCCATTCCAAAAGTGATCGAGCTTAATGACCAGTCGTCCAAGATTCTGAACGCGTACGAAAGATACACCAGTGCGATCATGTCCATCAAGAATGGGCCGTCCGAAAACCCGTGGCGAACGCTGTTTCTCCCGCTCACACAGCAGTATCCCGTCGTGTGCAACGCGGTCAGCGCCATGGCGTGCTTCCACCTGGCGCGCGGCGACTCGCAGCTCCGCTCGCAGGGCATGAAACACATGAAGAGCGCCATCGTCGACCTTGTCCATGGACTCAGCGACAAAACGCTTCCGCCCGACGTTGCGCTCGCCTCGTGTCTGGCCCTCGCCATGGGCGAGGCATGGGACCGTCACGTGACCACGGGTATTGGGCATCTGCGCGGAGCAAGAACCATGATTCTGCAGATAATGAACAACCTGCAAGGGGGGCAGAAAGCGTTGGTGCAGATCGAGGACGGCCGCGCGTCGAGCCGGTCAAGCTCGTTCTCTAGCGCAGGCACTCCTGCTAGCTCGGGAGCAGATCGCAAGGTTTCCAGTAACCTGCAATTTCTGTTCAACACGTGGATGTACTTTGACGTGCTGGCACGCATGACCACAGACCCGGACGAGGAGGAGGCAAAGCTCTCTCACATCCGCGCGGACGAGGCAGACGATGAGAAACCACGCAAAAAGCGCAAGGTCAACGACTTCGACACCATCATGGACAAGTTCCAGGAGTCGAAGGTGAACTCGTCGCAAGACATCGACCCGTTGCTTGGAGTGATGCAGAAACTGTTCCCAATCATTGGAAATGTAGCCGGGTTAATCCACCAGGTTCGCAGAGAGTCCAAGAACACGCTTAGTATCATCACACAGGCTGTGAATTTGAAACGGGAGCTGGAGAACTGGAAGCCACCCACATTGCGCAGTTTCCAGGTTGAGGACCCACTGTTTGACCTGCCGTCGACGCTGGCCACTGCCGAGGCATACAGATACTCGACACTGTTATACTTGCACCAGGCTGTTCCCGAGATCCCGTCCAAGTCGTCTCACAACCTGGCCGAGAAAGTGCTGATGCTACTTGCGTCGATCCCAGATTCGTCGCGTACATGTGTGACACACATCTACCCGCTGTTGGTGGCCTCATGCGAGGCGTTGCCGGGAGAAGAGCGGGAATGGGTGAAAGAGAAATGGAAGCTACTTGGGTCTAAGATGTGGCTGGGAAGTATCGACCGGTCGCTCGAGGTGGTCAAAGAAGTGTGGTCGCGGAAAGATATCATGCGGCGCAAAAGAGAACAGGAACGCGGCAAGGAAAACGCAAACCATGAAGAAGAAGATGATTCATTCGCCTATCTAAGTAAAAAGATCAACGAGGCGGTCAACGGAGACGACGACATCGACGAGGAAGACAGTCGGATCAAGAGCTGGACCCATTGGACCACTGTCATGAAAGAGTGGGGGTGGGAGGTGTTGCTGGCCTGATGTGTATAATAACTAGTCATCCTGAAACTTGCACTTGTCGTAGAACGACTCCCAAAGCTCGATCAGTTCTTTCTGGGACTCGATTAGTCCTTCCCAGTAGATTTCGACCGTGCTTTTGAAGTCCTCCACTTTCTCAAACTCAAACTTGTCCAACTCGCGTTTCAAATTCTTGTTGAACTCCAGCTTGAACTCCTCCTGTTTGGTGATGGTATTCTCCATGCTGGACAGCTCTTCCTCGTATCGCTTGATTTTTTCCAGCTGGTTGTGGTTTTTCGTCTTGAACTTGATCAGGTTCTTCTGTTTCTTGGAGTGCTGGCTCTGCAAGCTGACAAGACTGTTGCACAGCTTGAACCGCATCTCGAAACAGTTTCTGATCGACCCGATCGTGCGGATGTACTCGTCGATCGTCGTGCCCAGAGTGAGGATCTGCTGCATGTTGGTGCGCTCCAGAAGCTCCTTGACCTTGGTCTGCAGCTCCTCGTAGTTCGAAAACAGCTCGCTCAGCTCGCCGTTCACCTCCAGGTCAGTCAGCTGCTGCACAATGATGATCAGCTCGTTCATCGAGATGATAACGTCCTCGCGCTTCTCGAGAATGAAGTCCAGTGTCTTGGACAGTGCACGCAACTGCTGGTCGAACGCCTCCACGTAGGCCTGCTTGTCGAGAATGAACTGGTCGTTCTCGATGTATTTTGGAGTGTTGAGACCAATCAGCGAGCTCAAAAAGCCACCGTTGGCTCCTGGACTGGCCGAATTGATGAGCGACGAGGCAGAAAAGTCGCTCGCAGTCTCCTCTCCTTGCAGAATCGACTGGTCATCGCCTGTAGTCCCGTGGTAGTACAAAAACTCGCGTTCTTTGGCCTCGGTTGCAAACCGGTCGCTTTGCAGGAAAATGATAAAGTCGTAGTCTTTTTGCAAAACAGGCACCTTGGAGATCTTGATGAGCATCTTCTCCAGCGCAAGACGTCTGTTCTCGATGAATTTTTCGTCAAACCGGCCGTACGCCTGTTTTTCTGGCGGAGGAGGAATGATATATCCGGGATGGTTGTTCATAAGCTGGTTGTACAGCCACAAAAAGTCTTTGTATCGTCTGGTCACCGTGCTGACCTCCTCTTTGAGCAGGCTCGACTTGGATTTCGTCGTGATGGAGTACACTATATGGGCATTTGTGAGTTCTCCGACTTTGATTGGGTCGCCAACTATGATCTCAAAGTGGTCTGCTGGCTCTGTTTGTTCTGGAGCCTTTAGCGTTGGCTTTATGGGGCTCTGTGCTTTCTGGATATCGAACAATGGCTTGTCCACGGCTGCTATGAGCGACTCTTTCCGTGATTCGGCCACCTGTGCCTGTTCTTCCTGTGGTTTCTGCGATAGGGGGTCCAACGGGTTGCTTGCCTCTGTGGTGGTTTTGCGGCCTCTGCGCGGTCTGAACAGTCTAGTTTTCTTGTTTGGGGACGTGACGCCGTCCAGACGATGCGGGTCGTCCGAGGCTTGTCTAGGCGGAGATATTGGGGCATTGAAGTCGAGCACCGAGTCCAGCGGCCCGTCGTTGCCCGCGGTGAACAGCCGCTCGTTCTCGTCGGGCGTTTCCTCCAGCAAAGACTGCGTCAGCGGCGGGTTTTCGTGGTCGGTGGCCACGAGCGACGAAAGCAGCTGTTTGTTTCTCTGTTTGGCGTGCTCGACCAATTCGGCCTGGTGGGCCTGTTCTGCGGCGCTTTCGACCGACTCCTGGGGCTGTTCAGTCTCCTCTGTCTGCTCAGCCTCCTCGGGTGCCGGGTTCTGCAGATGGATCGACCGCATCGTGTCACTGAGCTCGTTGTAAATATTGGGACCCGAGTGGAAATCGACCTCGTCCAAGGCAGGCGCGCCGAAATCGGTCGCATACGGGTTATCGTCCGTGTTGAGCAGCACACTCACGCCCTGATTGGCTCTGGGCGACGGCTCGTCGCCCCAGACGTTCTCTTCCTGATCAAATTGGTTCATAAATCAAATAAAAACAGGTTTGCCACTTTTGGAGTGAGGTGTAGCCTGGCATTATATTTGTTAAGCATGTTTGACCACACACCGTTTTTCCACAAGTGTGTGAGCATTTACCAGCAGGAGCTGAAATTGGCCGCGCGGCCCGCCGAAAAGACTTCGGGCGCCAGTCGGCACCGTCTGGGCGGCGGCAACACGTTTTTGCAGGACTCTGTCAAGCTCAACACGATGATCTCGCAGCTGGGATCGTTTATTAGTGAAATACAAACAGACTACCTGTTGAGCCACTCCAAAAAGCTTTCTGAGTCCGACAAGGACCAGATCGACACAAACTTCAAGCTGCAGCTGGGCGTGCTCAACAAGAAGCTCGAGGGCCTCAGGGCGTACGGAGAGCTGCTGGACAAACAGCTCACGAGCTCCAGCAGTGTTGAGGAGCTGGGGAAAAACCTGCTCACCATGGGCGAGTACGGCCAGAACAGCACCATCGCCAACAACACAGTCATTGAGATCCGCGCCAACATTGTCAAGTCGTTGGGGCTGCGACTCACAAAGATCTCGTCGCACTTCATTGCAATCAACAACAAGCGCATGAACCGCAAAAAGGAGCTCAACAAGTCCTCCATCAACACAAGCACGTATTTGCAACGGACCGTTTACAACTCTGTGGACCACGATGCGGTGGAAAAAACGGTCTCGCCAGAATACTCGGAGCTGGCCTCGAACCTCGACCAACAGCAGCTCCAGCAGCTGTCGCAGGAGAACGAATCGATCTTGCTGGAGCTGAAATCCGCACAGTTGGAGTCGGTGAACCAGATCGAGCAGTCGATGCTCGAGATCTCGTCGGTGATCAACGAGATCAACCTCCAATTGCATCTGCAGAACGACTCCATCTCGGTGCTGTCGTCGCACCAGGACGATACCGTTGCAAATCTCAAGATGGGCAACACCCAGCTGGTCAAGGCCAACGAGCGCGCCAAACGGTCTGGCCAGAACCTGAGCTATCTGATCGTGGTTCTTGGTATTCTTCTTCTTATCGTTGACTATATACTCTAATGCATTACTTCACCAGTTGCAAGATCTTTCCTGCTCCGATGCTGAGTCCGTCTTTGCGCAGCACGATGCGGCCGAGCTTGTGGTCCTGAGCGTACGTGACGAGCGGCAGCTCGCGTTCCAGCAGCTCCACCACCACCACGGCCCGGTTGTTGGAGCTCAGGTGCCGCCGTTTCTTGGCCTTGCCGTCCTTGTTGATGATCGATTCGATCTCGCTCAGCCGCGACGGCACAGAGATCCCGTTCTTGAACAGCACAAACGGCGTCCCCACCAGCAGCGGTCTGTCGATGTTGAACAGCCGCACCTCGCACTTGAACTTCTTGACCGGCTGCAACACGTTGCTCGACAGCGTGGCCACGTCGCCGACCTTGATGTTCTCGGTCGACGCGAGCTTCTTGAGCTTGAGCTCCACAAACTCGCCCGCCTGTGCGATCTTCTGCAGGTTGTGTTTCGTGGCCGACGACCCGACGTTCGACGTGGTGATCGAAATCGAGTCCACCACAGCCACCTCCTGGCTCGGCGAGATACTCACGCTCTGGCCCGGCTGGATCACGCCCGAGTTCACGCGCCCGCTCACCAGCAGCTCGTCCGTCTTGGACGAGTCCTGGATGTCGCTAATCACCATGATGAACGGCGAGCTCTTGTCCACCGGATGGCTCATTTCGCGGTTCTCCTGCTCCAAAACACCCATCAGTGTTGGGCCCTTGTACCACGGCAGATTCTTGCTCTTGGAGACAACGTTGTCGCCCAAGAACCCGCTGCTGGGCAAGAAAATTAAGTTGTCCCGCTCAAACTCCAGCTCCTCCACCAAAAACTGCTCAATCTGGGTGCAAATCGAGTCGTAAACCGTCTGCGACCACTGCGCAACGTCCATCTTGTTCACGGCAACAACACACCGCTCGATGCCGAGGTTCTTGGCGATCGTCAGGTGTTCCTTCGTCTGGCCCTGGTTGCTGAACCCGCTCTCAAACGAATTGGCGTCGATGATCATCAAAGCTAGGTCTGCCTGGCTCACTCCGTTGATCATCTGCGGAACGTAGTCCTTGTGGCCCGGCGAGTCGATGATGGTGAACTTGGCCGCGTCGGTCTCGATCTGCGTCTGACAAATGTCCACCGTGACGCCTCGGGCCCGCTCCTCCTGGGTCTGGTCCATGATCCAGGCCAGAGAGAACGACGACTTGCCGATGGCGTCACTCTCCTTCGTGAGCTTGTGCAGAGTCTTGGAATCGACGATCCCCAGGTCGTACAGCAGCCGTCCGATCATCGTGGACTTGCCCGAGTCAACGTGCCCGATCACAATGAAGGACAGGTTGGGCTTTGAGTTTTTCTTGGCCAGCTCGGCATCCACGTTGATTTTCTGCTTGGGCTTCGAGGCCACCGGTTTCGGGTCCTTGAGCTTGATATCAGCGACTTTCTCGGTGAGTTTCTGCACCTTGCGCTCGTCTGGACTCGGCTTGACAAAGTTGGAGGCGGCCTTTTTCGCTAAATCGTTGTTAGTATACAGGTTGATCTCAGGCACGGTGTGGGACGGGAGCTGCACGTGAGCCAGGAACAGCGAGGTGATCGGGTTCGCCGACCGCGGGGCCAGGATTCTGAACTCTGACGCGGCCACGAGGGGCTGTAACAGCGCCGCAAACGGGTCGGGCTTTTGTTCTTGCTCTTGTTCTGGCTGTGCGGGTGGCTGTTCCTGGACCTCAACACGGCTGGGTCTGTCGGGCTGTGTTTGCTGTTTCTGTGTTCTGGGTCTGGTCGCTGCAGGCCGGCCCAGAAGTCCAACACCCGTGCCGGACCCCAGCCCGCGCAGCCCTGTGCGTTGTCTGCGTTGCTGTGCCAAAAGTTCCAGCTTCGACACCGGTCTCGCTACACTGTTAGACTCTCGTGGACGCCACACGTACATGAATACTCACGCTTGTACTTGTGTTTCACCTCCTCGAAGGCGTCGTCGACGCTAAAGTAGTTGTTCCACAGAGTCTCCTTCAACGTCTTGTCGTCCACCTGGTAGTTCTTGGCCAGGCCTTGCAAACGGGGAAGCGACTGCTGTAGCTGGTCGTACTCATCGTCGTTGAGCTCGTCCTCGTCGAATCCCAAATCCTCGTTCTCGTAGTCGCGGAAATCGTCATCGTCAAAGTCGCCCATGACAATTAAATAAATATTAAGATTAAAAGTTATATGCTAGCGATAATTAGTAGTGTGCACCGCGCGCACTTTTTTCAGCCATATGGTAAATTTGACTTGCTTGGAAATTCATGACATTAACATCACCTGTTCAAAAGGTCGCTCAGACGGGCTTTGATACAGTACGGACACATCATGTGACTGCAGCGAACGCAGTCGAACCGGTTGATGGTCTGGCCCAGCAGCTGGTCCACGGAAGCGTCCCAGTAAAGGTCGTTTTTCTCGAGATGATCTTCTTTTATAACGAAATGGTTAAGATCACCGTAGCTTTTGCCGCATTGGCAGCAGTACCACTGTATTATTTTCATCTGGTTGAGGCTCTTGAGCTTCCACGACGGAAGTTGTGCCAGCACGTTGATTGTGTCCTTGTCGCCCAGTAGTGGTGCAGGCACGTCCAGCGACGGGTCCTTGACCCCGTGAATCTCACGGATCATCTTTTTGATCTGGTTGCGCGTGAAGTTGTACTCTTCCGGAGCGGTTTCGTTCGTGGGCGTGAACGTATCGTGCGAATCGGGAACATGCTGCTGTGTGTGCGAATCGGACCGTCGCTGGCTCTTGGCCTGGTCAGACTCGTACCCAAGCGACCACATGTTGGCAAGATTGATGCTCTGGGCAGACTCGCGGCGCAAAAACGAGCCGTCCTGCACATAGCCCGAGTACTCGTACTCCTCCGTCTGCGGAGTCTTCAAAGGAGAGTCGGACGACGAATCGGAAAGGGACTGAGCACTGGGTTCCAGTCCCGGCTCCAGACTCGATCGCGCAAAACTGGGACCGGCATCGCTCATGGTGACCGGAGAAAGATCAAGTTTCGGGAGTTTGACCCTTTTGTTGTTCATAGTAGGGGCGAATCTGTTGCATGGTAAGCAGGACGGTTCTTCGGCTTCACCGCGTGTTTTCATAAGGAATGGACTGTATAAACCGTACTTAGCACCAAAATAGCATAAATGACTACCAACCGTTGCTATGCCAAGTATATATAGTTTTCGTAGCGAGCGCAGTTGCTGGGAAAAACTCCTCCCACTGACACTTTTTAGTGCCTGCTGTGGGGTGGAAGAATACTGAGCAATAATAGACTTGCGCGTGGAAAAACCGTCTCAACAATAGAGATTTTGACGGGCCAGACCCACCGGAAGCGTCCGAAAAGGCAAGCAACTCGGGGCTGTGTAATTTTCTATGCGGATGACGCGGATCACACTATAAGAAAAGCCCTTGACAGACCGAGTCTAGAACTGTGCGGCGGTGGGGCGGGGTTTTTTTGGGGTTTTTTCGAAAAGTCCAGACGGTCGGAAATGGCAATTTTCGGGTGGGATGTAATTTTCCCTTCGGGTATGGAGACACCCGTACACCAGAAGACGATCCTTTTTTTTCTTCCCAACCTGCCTCATCTCCCCCCCACACACCACAAACCTTTTCGGTTCGGTACAATCCATTCCTGTAAAAGTGAAATTGTCAATCCTGTTAGCTAACAATAAAAATCTGCGAAAAGGGAATATGCACCTAATTTGGAAGGAGTGTTATATTACCATAGAGCCGAACCCTACACTCAACTTGAAGTGCTCACAAATGACTGACCACTTTCAACCTTCCCCGGTAAGCTCAAAATACAAACAGAACGAACAACTATCGTAAACCTAGTTAAGAGAGAAAAGAACCATCTAGTAGCTCTTGGACTTCCGTTTCCATGGAATGTCCCCGTTCTTCTTCTTTTCCAGTCTCCGTTCCCGTCTCAATCTGCCCTGCATGAGATAATAACTGGCTCTTCTGATCACAATAGCCAATGTCTCTTTGGAATAACCATACTGGTGTTTCATTTCCACAAGCTTCCACAGCTTGTCAATGAGAATGTTCCTCTCCTCAGAAGGAGTGTCTCTAATCCAGGTCTTCTCTCCCAGCGGGAAGTTCAGGTCCTTTTTGAAAATGGTCAAGATCTGCTTCTCCCGCTTGGCGGTCTCCTGGATGTCGTTTGGTAATTGCAAAACGTGGGATAGCTGGGAAAGTGACAGTCTTGAGTCGCTGATTTTCTTGTATTTATTATCCTTCTTGCGGTCATCAAAGTCCAGCGAAAGGTTCCTAGGCGACTGTAGTTGTGAGTCGCTTGATTCAAACGCATCTTCGTCTTTCTGGGACTTGAGAACAGGAGAAGTGGTGCTGTATTTTTGTGTATCAAATGGCTTTGTCAACTCCACAGTGTTGATCGTTTCCACGTTGTCGAACTCGGTCTGGCTGTAGAAAACGTTCTGAGTTTCTGGTCTGCTTTGTGGCTCGCTGGCCTCAGTAAACTTGTACTCGTCCAGGGGCGGGAATGAAAATCCCGTAAAATTGGGAACCTCAAACATGGACGACGATATGGATGAAGACGATAGAGGTGACTCCATAGACAGGTGCGAGTCCTGGTGATCGACCTTGAACTCAGGAAGCGGAACCCGAGCCTCAGAGACCAGCTCTGGAAGAAGTTCGTATTGGATAGAGTCTATGAACTCTGGGTTGTAGGAGTAGAGACCATCAGGCTGCCGAGCCTCCTGGGTCTCTTGACGGTAGTCCATATCGGAACGAAACTGATAGATGTCGGCCATTGACACTGGTAAAGGAGAGTCCATACTATTCATGGATGAGTTTTAATTTGGAAGGCTTATCGGTTTGTTGATAGAACGTCACTTCACAGATGTTATAAAATACCCGGGTTCCAAGACAATATGGCAAATCTTCGCTTGAGATTATTGGACGGTGAAACAATATGGTTTATTGTTCTCCCACTTGAAAAAAACCAAATCGCTATACCACACTCTATTGTGCTTATCTGTGGCTACAGAAAGTTCCCACGACCTTTAATTTCCAAATATGGAAACTAAACCTTCCTTGACGGAAAAATTCATAGTTGAGGAATACCTTCCATGATAAGCTTATCTGTGTTTCACCATGCACGGTTTCGTATTCGTTCGCTATCATGTAGATCAGGCTGATTGTACTTCCGATCCAGATGGTAAATCTTGATAAACTCCGACAAAAGTGGTATAATATTGAAACGATCGTGGACACTATGGCAAAATCCGATTGTTTTCGAGTTCAAAATGCACACTTTGCCAAGATGGTCCGGAAATTCCACCACTGTCCAATCCATTATGCAATTTGTCAAACATAGATTCTCCAAATGTCTGGATAATCCCGAATTCAGTATTGTGGATGCTTCCTGCGACAACGTGCAATTCGAGAAAGTAAGGGTCTTCAGGCTCTTCAATCGGCAAAATCCGTCCCCGCTTTGGGTTAGTAACACTCCACTAACTGTTAATGATCTCAAATTCCGACTTTGTAGCCCAATAACGTAATTACTAGCGTGTGCTTTGTTGCCCACGACCTTGATTGTAAGGCTGGTTAGATTATGCATATCTTGAACCCATGTCAAATTTGATTGGCGTGCATCGATATCTTCTTTCAATGATAGATCTAGCTCGTAGATATTTTTCATTCCTATCGTGTTTAGTGCAGATAGAACGTTGTGGAAAACAGGATAGTGTGAATTCACCACATTAAGGCCAATCAGTGAACTATCTTTCAGATTTATGCTGATGAGTTTTTTAATTTTCATTTCATTAACCGTTTGCAAGTAGGATGGTAATGGGCTCGAGATCAATGTATCGATCCGTAGCTTGACCGTTTGGATGTTGGGGTTCATGCGAATGATATTCTCGAGAACTTTTTCGTATTCTCGAGAGTGGTACATTGTCGAGTTTGTGCAAACATCCAGCTCCGACAATTGGGTAAGTTTAGTAAGAAGCTCTTTACTGGTGTTTAACTTGGAGAGTCCAAAACACAAAATCAGACCTTTCAACGACCGAACCTTGTTGATATACGCTCCGTTTCTGAAAAAATACAATTCCTCCAAATAAGGGCACCCGATCTTGATCCCATTTGTGTTTTGGAGCATGAACTCGATCTTGTCCAGGTCCAGCTTCCAGTAAATCTCCACAAACAGCAAACGCTGACGAGTCTGCTGAAGATATTGCTTCAACTGCCAGTAGTTCTTCGACCCGCTAATAATCGATCTATCAACCTTGTTTGTTTCAGAACTCTTGATCTCCTGTGGGATCAGCACGATCCCTTTGCGCAGGACCTGGAACGCCGGGAACTGGAGCCCGGGGTGCAACAGCAACTGTATGAGGGTTCCAGAGTTGACAAACTCCAGCACCGTTTGCTGTAGCTCCACGGGGAGCTGAAGAACAAGATGGGACATGGGGACAAGAATTTTGGCGCGAACAATAATATATGGGGCCGGGGGGTCCTGTCGGAATTTCCCATAGACGCAATTGCTCATGAAAGGGCACACCCGTAGGCTTCCAAAAACAGCTCTTATGGAACGTTCCACCCAAACCGCCGCTGATCCATGTCCATGTCCCTATCTTCAGCCCCTATCCCCCCTTTTCCCTCCCAGCTTCCCGGTGTACGGATGTCCCATCCTCCCATATTAGACTGATAGCACATCAAAAAAGTAATCAACATGTCTTTGCAGAGTATTGTTGCGTCGATGATCAGCGACGCCCCACCGGGCAACAACCTCAATCTGGTCAATGATATCAAGGTGTTGCTGAACAACGAGGACTCCAGAAAGATCATTGCCACCAACCTGGAACAATTCTACCTGAACAAGGACTTTAAGCTGGTTAAAATAAACGACGACCAGTTTGTGCTTGTTTCGAAATACAACAAGTCGGGAGCCAAGTTTTACGACCCGAGCCTGGACCTGACGTTTGACTACGATTTCGACGCCCTCAAGGTGATTGACGTGGAAACCGGCCGCGCCCCACTGTCCAGCCAGCTGGCGAAATATAACGAGCAATTGGCCGAGTACTGCTCGCAACACTACCCAACGTTCTACAAGTCGGTTGTGGTGGAGGACGAGACCGACTCGGACATTTTTTATTTCATCATTGTGGACGAGAACCTGAACGACGGCAACTTCTACAACGGCAGATGGCAGTCTTTTTACAAGTACAATTCCAGCACGAACGAGCTGGCGGGGGAGATAAGAGTCAAGATCCATTATTATGAAGATGGGAACATTGTACTGAATTCCGGAACCAAGGTGAATGAAAAAGCCGGGGCTTCTGTGGTTGACACCATTGCCAAAGCGGAAAACAAGTACGAGATCGCGGTGTTGAACAAGTTTGCGAAACTGAACGACGATTTGTTCAAGAACCTCAGAAGACAGCTGCCTATCAACCGGTCCAAGGTCAGATGGGGCGATGCCATTGGCAACTATAAGTTGGGCCAGGATGTTGTTGGAGGAAGACACTAGGTCAGAACGGCGATCATCATATAAATTTCAGTAATGTGTAAATGATAAAGAAGCCCAGCACACCAACCAGCACCATGCGGAACATCTGCGGCTTGCTGGCGATTACTCTCGACAGTTTTGTGGAGGTTGTTTTGACGTTCTCGAAGAGCGCGTTCATGGCATTCGACACGTTAGACAGCGTCGTCGAGTCCTCTTGCGCGTAATTGTTGATGTCATTGGCTATATTTCTGAACGTGGAAATCTTGTTGGCCAGCAGGTTGAACTGCGAGTCGTTCTCCTGCTCAATTCCAGCTGCTCGAGACATGTTGTTGCTATTTAAAAAAAATATAGATTTATTAACATTGTATCTACAAAAACGGCGCAAGTCGAGATTCCCTTACACTATACAAGAATGCGAGCCGGGTGGGGGCTGAGCAGTTGTAGACGATCTGGATGTTAGCACGGATTCAGGACAAATTTCGTCGCATGGTGTATAGCCTCCCGTTATGGAACTAGGCGTGTTCCAGGATGACTATTTCTAGAACGCAAATTATTGATCATCATGTAGCGTACTTACCTTAATGGGTGCAGGAGTCGGCGTGCGCTTACGCGGTGGGGGAGAAGACACAACTTGAAGTGTCTTTAGATTTTCCGTCTTCAAGGTGGGTGGGGTGAATAATATCTCGAAATACACATCACGTGACTTAAGTAAAGGTCACACAGGGTTTGTAGCCACCTCGCACCGCTCCTTTTCGGCCAATTTTATTAGGCGCTCCAGCCCGCGAAAACAAAAAATCGTTACTGTCCCCTCCGCACACCGCACACTCGCAAAGTTTTTCAGAAAATTTGAAAACAATTTTAATATTCACATACTAAATCCAACGATGTCTACTGAAACCAGCGTGAAAGCATCCAACTGGAGACTCGTCCAAGTCGGTAGAGTCGTCCTTGTGAACAACAAGCTCGCCACCATCGTGGAGATCATCGACCAGAAGAGAGCTCTTATTGACGGTCCATCTATTCAAAGACAATCCATCTCTCTCGGAAAGACCGTGTTGACCCCATTGGTCCTTGAAGGTCTCCCAAGAGGTTCCAGAACCGCCACCGTCACCAAGAAGTGGGCTGCTGCCGACATCGACGCCAAATGGGCCAAGACCTCTTGGGCTAAGAAGATCGCCCAAAGAGAAAGAAGATCGCAACTCACAGACTTTGAAAGATTCCAGGTCTTGGTGTTGAAGAAGCAGAGAAACTACGCTGTCAAGAAAGCCATTGCTAAGGCTTAAGGGCAGTCATTAAGTCGAATAGAACAAGATAGCCTTGAAGTGTTGCACAGGCTTTGATGTACATCGGTTTCATTAATCAAATAACTGAAGCAAATTAGTATTGAGTACACATGGTAATTTACAGTAGTGGGGCCACCGAGTCTGCACGTAGCTTGTAAGCAGAGCATGCGGTGGTTGCCTCTGTCTCTCTGTGATTCATATTTTTTCTCTCGTCTTTTTGTGATCACGTGATCCGACTCACGAAGCCAGCCCGCTCAAGATCTGTTCCAGGTCCGGAGCTGACGACTGCGCTAGGTCGAAGTTTGGTTTTGCCACAAACACAGCGAAGAGCCGTTCGCGGGCTCCGTGGAGAGTCGTTATGTCGAAATGGTTAAAGTACCGTGGCAGTCCCTCGTGCTGTGTCTTCACAGTGTCGATGGACACCAGGTAGCTATCCTTGATGTATGCTGGTTTGTAAGCGATGACGCCGTACTTGTCGCGAGAACTGAAATATTCCCAGAGTGTCTTGAACTGTGCTTTTGCCTGTTCGTTTTCGTAGTCAGACAGATGGGGGGACTCAAACGGTAAGATCTCCACCAGATACAGGTCTCTGGTATGGATGATTTCCCAGAGATATCCGACAGCCTTGCGTGCGTCCAGTCTGCCCTCGATCTCGAGCCGGCTGTGGCGCGACGCAAAGTCGCCCACGATCTTTGTGGCCCGTGCAACCTGGTCCTGTGTGCTGGTTTTAGAAGACGAGGCATGGAATTTCGCCGTGACCTGGACATCTGCCACCGCAGGGAAACTTAAAGTGCCCGACCACACGGTTTCGTCCGCGTCGAAATTGCGTGCAGGGTCGTAGTCGTCTTCTGGCTCGTCGAATCCAACAGCCTGCGACTCGGGAGGCGTAGGAACCGGGCCCTTGGCTCCGTTGAGGATCTTGTCGAAATCGTCGTCGTTATCAAACGTCTGCTCCGGCTCGTTATCTGCCTGGTCCTGGTCCTGGTCGTATCCGTAGTCGTTGGTGATGGACGTCATGAGGTTAGCATTCAAGTTGGCTGTTGGTGGAGGCGAGCCGCTGGAATCGTCGTCCTGGTCCTGCTGTTTCTTCTCGTCCTGCAACTTTTCAATCTCCTTCAACCGAGACTCGTCGGCGGTTCGGGACCCCACATCGTCAAACTGGTAGTCCTCCTCGACGATCTCTTCACCCTTGTGTGTCCGCTTGATCTTGACCTTCTCCATGGTGTTGGTGATGACCGACTGATTGATGCTCTGTTTTCTGACCGCGTCGGCAAACTCCTTGTAATCGTCGCGCATCATCTCCTCAGGCGTCAGGTTCACTATCTGGTCGTACGTGTACTGGTCAGACAGGATCTTGTCGCTCAGATTCGACTTGTCCAGATTAAACAGCAAAGTCCGCGACTTACTCAGGTAACCAGGCGACATCGAGTCGGACCGTCTGTTGGCTGGCGGAAACGTCTCGAACAGTGCGGTTTCCAGCCCGCTCGCAATCTCCTCTGCAGCGGCGTCCAGGTCCATCTCATCCAGCAGCTTGTGGTCGTCGGGGATGTGGTCCTTCAGCTTCTTTGCAAATTGCTTCACCACAGACTGCCGGGTCTTTGTCTTGTCGATCTTCTTGGCAGCCACCTTTTTCGGCTTCCTCACAGGCTTGACGATCTTTTCCTCCGGCTCGTCCAATTCCTCCGGCTCGTCTCCGTCGTCTCCATCTTCACCTTCTCCATCATCAGCCTCCTCATCCTCGTCCTCTTTCTCCCCGTTCCCGTCGTACTCCTCGTCGCTCTCGTCGTCCACGGCTCCAGCATCTTCAAAGTCCTCCTCAACGTCCTCGTCCTCGTCCTCCTGCCCAGGAAACCGCACTTTGCGGTACTCCTCAAAAGTCAATGCAAGCTCAAGGTCTTCGTACTGAGGATTATTAGGATCACAAACATTACAAACATAGTGCTTGGGAATCTTGCGCGCACTCTCTGTGCCAAACATACACTTGGCGTGCTGCCACGTGTTGCATTTCTCGCACTCGATCATCGTCCCCATCTCGTCCTCTTCCTCGTCGTAATTCAGATCGTGCGCTCCGCAAGGAAGACACCGCACCTCTTCCTTTTCGGGCACCTGCACAGGCTTCTTACGCTGTTTCTTCTTTTTCTGGCCATTTTCTCCAGCAGGCACACTGCGCTTCTTTGGGCGCACGGCCGGCTCGTTCTGGGCCTCAATCTCTTCCAGCCGCGGGTTCAGTCCTTTCGTGGACCGCGACGACCGCCGAATCTCCGTAGACATTGTGTTTAGTGATTTTATCTTGCCTCTGAAAGTTTTGCAAAGAAAAACTACCAGTGTGGCGCAGGTGGCGGTGGTAGGGGAAATATACCTTTAACGATAAGTAAATAAATAAATTATGTATTGTTATGTCGTTCAATGAGTTGGCCCCGGTTTACAATCTGGACGCTCCCAGCTATCTTTCGATCGAGTACCCGCTGAGAGTCAAGAACGTGGACAAGGCCATTGGCATGGTTGGAGGCGGGCGCACGATCGCCCAGTGTTTTATTGAGCCTGAAAAACGGCTCGAGCTGAAACTGCGGCCTGGCGACGTGTATTCGCATCCTGTTAATTCAGAGGTTTGCGACACGACAGAGAATGTGCTACTCAAGCTCAGAATCCCTAAGAAAGTGCTGGAGAAACATAATCGCAATGTTCAACTGGCTTTGCAAGAGTGCGAGCAAAATAAAATCGCGTACGAGTCAAACGTGGAGGCAGTTTTGAACAAAACGTACAAGTTTCGCCAACTGGCCGATTTCCAAACGATCCACAAAAAATCCCAGTTTACAAACAAGTTTCTTGAATCTGTTGGGAAGGCCGATCTCGACAAGATCAAGCAGTTTGCTGATTACATCGAGGAAGATTACAAGAACCAGTCCAAGTTCGAAAACTGCGACCTGGACGTCCCGCCATTGATCAGGTACGCGCGTGTGGACATTCCCTACAATTACAAGTACGTGGGAAACCTGCTAATAGACGAGAATGGCGAGCTCACTCGGGACACCGTTAAGTTGCACACCATTTTCGTTGACTGGGGAGAAAAACCGCCTAGTTCTTACGACCCTGCGCTGCAAAAAGAGCTGGAAAAATGCGAGAACGAAGTTCAGAGTCTCAAGGAGCGCGGACTCGAGCGCATAGTGCCCGATTCGCCCGCTTACAGCTTGCTCCGGTGCATCGAGATACTTGAAAAATTGTTCACCATGAAACCGATCTGGCTTCGAAGACACATTGGGTGGATGTTGCCCGCACGACTGCGCCCGCAATTGCGGTTCGCGCTGCCCTACGTTGCCTACACCACCAAGAAGGGTCCCTGGAGACAGTCGTACATCAAACTGGGCTACGATCCGACAACCGATCCTAAAGCTGTGGCTTTCCAGGTGGAAGCGTTCCGGATGAGTGTGAAATCACTCAAGAACAACGAGATCGAGAAGATGGTGGAGAACGGTGAGGAGACTCTGATTGTTCCGCAGACATTGGCAGAGTACAAGCACGAGTTCACAGACCAGGACTCGGTAGTGAACCAGCTAGGTATAGGCAAAGTTCCGCGACAGATGTTTTACGACGGGGTGAACGCGACGTGTGCAGTTTCGTTCCAGATTGGCGACATGATGGACGAGGACGTGAAGCGGATTCTTCGCGGTGCCCAGATCCAGGAACAGTGTTTCGAGGCCACCGGGTGGCTGGACTGGGTCACGGTTTGTCGTATTCGCGGAGTTATCAAGTACAAGCTGGACTGTATTGACAAAGGACGCAAGGTGGACGCGGAGAAAGTGGACGCGATCATGGCGAAGTCGAGTTTCCCGTTCAACGACTACAAAGGACTGGTTCCGCGGGAAGAGGAGGACAACGAGGACGAGACCGAGCAGACGATGGACCAAAACACCGAGATCGCGAAAGACGATCTGATTACGCGACTACAGGTGTTCAATTCGAACAACAGCGAGGTTCTGGAGGAGCTGGATGGGTTATTGAAACAGGAGCTGTTTCTGGACGCTGGCGGGACCAAGCCGTGATGAAAAGAAAGAATATGCTGTATCGTTATTCATGGAATCTATATGACCAATCAGGATTCGACAGGAGCAGGCAGTTTGGCACTGATCTGCTCAGGAGGCGTGGGTGTTCCATTGAGGATGTATTTGAAAGTTTCGCTTGGCGAGTCTCCTAAAGATCTTCTCCAGTTGTAAATTCTAATTATTTGGAGCCCGGCAACGGTTCCTAGCAAAAAATTGACCGACGCAAGTAACATATTTTGAGGGCGAATAACAAACGACCATCTGGTCCAGATGGCGCCTGTAGCGAGAAGAGCCAATTGCTGGCTACCAGAGACCTTTTCGACAGGTCGCACCATATCGTTCGCGCCTGCGAAAACCAAACTCCACTAATTCATGTTAGTATACGCAATTGTATTTGCGAGACCCGCAAATTTGTTTTGCACTCACTTTCATCACTGGAGCCTTCGGACAAACGGCCGCGTTAGTAGCTGTCAAACTCAAACAATATGTGTCAAACTTACCCAAAAATGGACTGTTTTTGGTCCTGTTTCGCTACTGAGAAACCTTTTGAACGCTGCTGACATATTAAAAGGTTATTTGTACAATCAATCCAGTTTTTTGCATTGCTCCTCCTCCACATTTATTTACACCGCACCCACTGGTAAAATTTTCGGACACCTGCATCCCAGACATGACCTGGTGTCAGGGTGCGTAACGCTCCGGGGGCATTCTACCGAGTACAACTACAATAAGAGCTCTGTTTGGTTTGTATTATTCTACAGTTCACACTCTTGTGTGTCAAGGCCCGGTGCCGGGCGTTTGCATTGTTTCCAACGTGTTTTCGAGATCTTCGATTTCCTTCAATGTTCTGTCAAGCTCGGCTTTCTTGGCCCTGAGCTGGTAGTCCAGCTTGCGAATGCTCTCGTTGAGCACTAAAGCCGTACGGTTTGCCGAGTTGAGTTTTCGGCGCACTGCCGTGTGCGTGTCTTCCGTCTCTTCCTCCTCTTCGGACTCGCTCACGTCGATCACCAGCCTGTCCACCCACGCGCTCGTGTGGAACGGCCGTGTTTGCCGACGCAACTTGACAGGCAGCTTCAACGTCTGGAACACTCCTTCCAGAAACGCAACCTCGCACTGCGACTGTGCCAGGATCTCCGCAAACCCAAACCCCAGCCGACACAGTTCCGTCACCGCCTCAAACACCGCGTGGCCCTTGTGGTTCGCAAACAGGTCCCCCTCATACTCACCTTCAGGAATGACTATCTCCATAAAATAATTATTTTTTTCGCTATCCAATTTATTTTTCTCCAGCCATGTCCCAGGACTCTGTCATCCCGCTTGAATCGAACCCGGAAATCTTCACCGACTTTGGCCGCAAGCTCGGATTGTCGCCATTGCTCGCATTCTCCGACATCTACTCGGTCACAGACCCAGACCTTGTTGCGTTCCTTCCCCGCCCCATCTACGCCCTGATCCTGCTCTTCCCCGTTACTGAACAGTACGAGGCCCTGAAAGACCACGAAGAGGCCGCCAGAAACACAGAAAAGGACGACCATTTCGAAAACATCGTCTGGTTCAAACAGCTGCTGAGAAACGGGTGCGGCCTCTACGGCTTGCTCCACGCCCTGTGCAACCTGCCTCCAGAATTGCGCGTGGGGCAGTCCAGGATCGAGGACTTTGTCACCGCACTAAAAAGCCTGCCCAACGTGACAAACTCCAACCATTTCGAGGAGAAAAGCAAACTCGTGAAAGACCTCTCGCTCGCATTGTACCAAACGTTCAGCAAACAGGGCCAGACTGAGGCTCCAAGTGCAGATGAAGACGTCAATTTACACTTTATATGCTTTACAAAGGGAACAGACGGCCACTACTACGAACTCGATGGTCGTAGAAACGGGCCTGTGGATCTTGGCCCCGCAGAGGAACAAACCGACCCGGTCAGCTCCCCAACAGTGATCCACCGCGTCCAGAAGTACATGTCTCTCGCAGACGAAGACAACAGTCTCCATTTCGCCATGATGGGGCTCGGTCCAGACATGAACTGATCCACAGCTATATCTGTCCCTTGATGTCTATTTTCCTGTTCTGGTTCTTGAGCTGGTCCACCGTTTGTCGCGACTGCACGCAGTCAAACATCCCTTGCTCCACAAACACATCGAGTTTCAGCCTGGCGAAATACTCGTCCAGCTGCGACTCAGAGTCCCCAAACATCTCTCTCAACGCTCCGATAGACAGTTTGCGGTACGATTTGCATATGGTGGCCAGCGAGTTGATGCGGATCTTGAAAATTATAGGCTTTAGGAGCTGCAAAAAAAAGAACCACACAGTGTGGCCCAACTTCAAGGCTTCCTGGTCGGTTAGTACTTTGTTATGAATTGTATCTTGCTTAATTGACAGGTCGTCGTTGTCTTTCTGTTGTAGCGTTTTTACAACCTGAAAAAACTGCCAGTATTCGTTGGTCATGGTGAACTCCAGCAATCTGAACGCTGTTTCCAGGTACTCGTCAAACTGCAGTTGTTGTTCCAGGAGCTGCGACTTGAGTGCAAACGCCTCGTTGAAGTTGTTGGTGATGATGTAGTATAGAACACGGTATGAGTAGAATTCCGTGGATGGGGTCTCTAAACTGTCATAGAGCAGCTTCAACTGAGACTGGCATTGGTTGAACTCTCCCAAGTCCTGGAACTGGATCGCCAGCTTGCAGTGGTATTCGTACACTTTCACAGTGAAGGAGTTCTTGATATGCTGAACGGTCAGGTCCTGTCTCATCGACTTGAACTGGTCGCAAAGATAGTTGTATGTTGCACCTTGGTAATACTTATCGATCAGAAGTTGCAGAGTCTTCTTCAAAACAGGCAAGGGCCGAACAGTGGCCGGATTGGGTTGCGACGTTAATCTCAGATACTTCTTCTCCAATTCCTTGCACTTGCCAATTAGGGGCGCGTTGGTGTTGACGGGGATGGAAGGCAGGTCTGGAGGAGGAGTGCTTAGTTCTCTTTCGAATCTCTGGCTGCGAAGTTGTTTGCGTTTCTCCGAGTTCATCAAGTCCTCGGTCTTTCTATCTCGTTTCATCTTCTTCAACGGTGGAAGCGGGGCGGACGGCTGCGGTTCTGGTGGTTCATCGAAAACGTTCTTCTTGCTCAGAGTTTGTTTGACAGGCTGTGTCTGTTTAACCACCTTCTCCTTTCTTGCCTTCACAACCAAGTCGCAGTATAGCTCGAGCTTTCCTGCGCCTCCCAAAGACGGCAGGGTCTGGCTTTCCCACGAATTGGCGTCGATCTTGCCCTCGTCAATGGCCTTATTGATCAGCTGCTTGAGCTCGGCCTGGAACTTCTTCTTTGTCTCTGTGTCCAGCTTGAGCTCAGAAGCCTTCTTGAAAGACGCAGAAATGAACCCGTGGAGAGACTTGGGCCACGTGGCTGGGTCCTTATAATTCTTCTTCAGCGTGGTGCGCGGAGCCACCTCATTATAAGGCATACTTACTAAAACAAGACGTCTTTTTTTAAACCAACCAAAAATTTGATTATATAATTTATTTCTGTTCCGCATTCATTAAATGGCCCAGCTTTTCGAGTTTGACGACGAGAACCTCGCGTCTAAAACGGAATCCCTCGCGCTAAACGAGCCGTACGTTCCAGAACCGCTGGTCGTCGAGGACGTCCCCATCGGTGGGGGAGTGGAGAGCAGACTTGCCAAATCCTACGAAGTGCCCATCGACTTGCCTTATCAGGCAGGCAAACGCAAGAAGAACGTGACGGACTTCCAGCCAATTAGAGTCCTCGGTAAGGGAAGCTATGGCAAGGTGATCTTGGTGAAAGACAAGGTGTCTGGCCGATTGTACGCACAGAAACAGCTTAAGAAGGCCTCGATGGTGGTCAATGCAAAGAACTACGAAAGAACACTAACGGAACGGACTATTCTCGAACGGGTGAAACATCCAAACGTTGTCAAGCTGTTCTATGCTCTTCAAGACTTCGATAAGTTGTATCTGATGCTCGAATACCTCGAAGGTGGAGAATTGTTCCACCATCTGTCCCAGGAACGCATTCTGTCCGAGAAAGTTGCTAGTTTCTACGTCGCCGAGATCATTCTCGCCCTTAGACACTTGCACCTGCACACGGGAGTGATTTACCGCGACTTGAAGCCAGAAAACTGCATGCTCAACAGACGGGGCCATCTGGTTCTCACAGACTTCGGTTTAAGCAAAGTCTCGACCGAGAGCAGCTCGCTGTTTGGAACAGCCCAATACATCGCCCCGGAAGTCATCCAGGGAGAAAGATACGATACACAGTGCGATTGGTGGTCTCTTGGTGCGGTCTTATTTGATTTATTAACAGGTTCTCCTCCTTTCACAGGAAACAACAATAAAAAGATCATGGACAAGATTCTGACTCAAAAGGTGAAGTACCCGTTTTATCTTTCGCAAGATGCCAAAGACCTGCTGATAAAACTCCTCAACAAAAAGCCGGACAAGCGATTGAACTGCGACACCAACTTCAACGACAAAGTGAAGCCACACCGGTTTTTCAGATACATTAACTGGCAGCACATAATAGACCAAAACGACGTCGAACAGCCTCCACCCATCATCCCAGTTGTGACAAACTCCGAGCTCGCCGAGAACTTCGATTCTGAATTCACGTCAATGAAAATTACGCCTCCGAGCAGTCCAATTGCACACTCTGTTCTTGAAAAAATCGAGGACGAGTCTCGTTCAAATAGCACTTCTTCGTTCATCGCTATTAAAAAGCCAACGGCAGACAACAAATACGAAGAGTCTGTCTACTTCAACGGCTTTTCATATACCCACGAGGACAATCTTATGGAGCTCAAGGGCTAAGTTTATTTTCTTCTTCCCTTGCGACCAGGTTTCATGATGACTTTTCCTTCCTTCACTTCATTCGATGCATTTTTGAACTTTTCTTGTGATTCTAAATAGAACATAATATCAGTCACTTGTTCTTGCAATTCTGTGTTTTTCGCTTTCAACTCTTCGTTTTCCTTTGACAGGTAGTCAATCTTTTCAGACAAAGCCTGGTTCAAAAGAAGCTCCTCCTTGTATTTTTTCTCTGTTTCCACGTCTTTTACAGGTTTGGGTGTATCCTGCTTGGACTGTTTCAGCTTGTCAAACTCCTTTTTGAGCTCTGCAATGTTGTCTTTCATTTCATGTAAATTATCGTTAGCCAACAAGACCTTGTTGTTTGCTTCTTCAAACTTCATTTCGTAGTACTCTCGCTGCGACTCCAGTTGCGCAATCAGCATCTTGGAGTACTCGAACCCTATCTTTTCCACTTTTTCCTCGTTGCTGCTGGATCCAGCAACTCTTTCCTTCCCGCTGCGAACTGGCAGCTCCACCAGCTTTCCATCTGCCTCGTTTTGAACAAGTCTGTGGACGTAGTTGTCTCCAGCGTAGTCCCAAACCCGCTGCGACGTTGTTTCCATGGCAAAACAGTGCGATGTTTCGTTGTAATGGTCAATTGCGTGGCCCAGATCGTATCTTCCGCAGCCAATGTGGCCACAAATCAGACAGATCCACAGGTTATCGCTGGCTCCGCATGTAAGACATTTCTCTTCCTGCTCGGAGGCAATGTTTTGGCGCACATCAAGTTTAGCAGAGTATCGACAAACTGGACAGGAGTCGTCTTTCCATTTGGATAGACATTGACAGTGGAAAGTGTGCTGGCAAGGAATTGTTAGTAATCCGGTGATTGTGGAGTCCAACCGTTCCAAACAGACAGGACAAGACGCCAGCTCAATCATTTGTGACGAAGTATTAACGGTCGTCGTATCATTGGTTGTGAATGGGTCGTCCAATAAATAAGGTATTGTGCTCAAAGTTTCATGCTCGTGCTTGTTGGGACGGAAAAGAATCTCTTTAATGAATACCACTTGGCACGTTTCGGGTTCCATAGAGTTGAACGGTGCTCCGTTGTAATTATCAACAAATTCCTGGGCGTCTTTGTGGTTTTTAAACTTCATCAGAACCATAAATCTATTAGGGGTCTGGGTCCTGATCAGCCTGAAATGGGTCACCTGATTCCTCACTTTTGCGTTGAAAAACCCCAACAGAAGATCACTTGCCGAAAAGTAGAAGGGAACACTCAAAATCGCCACCATTGTCTCGTCGCCCTTGACGTGTGCCTCTTGTATATCCGATTGTGTCTCGTCCCGGTCTTTAAATAGCCGGATCACGCCATATCCGAGCAATTTGGCCTTTAACGGCTCGTTGGAATGCAAATCAATACCGTTCATGTCTGCAACCTCAATTGTTATTCGTGAAAATCGGTAATCGATCTTATCTGATTCACGGAGCTTTAATTCTTTAACCTTACGCTCAATAAGACTTTCACTTGGTGTAAGACTGTTTAATGTTCTGACTAAATCTCCAGAAGTTGTTGATTTCTTTGGAAGGTCGGTGAAGACGTCCTTATGCGAAAACACAAGATTGGTCCAAGGATCAGCAAATAGATCTTCTGTGAAATTGACTAGCTTCTTCTTGTCTAGAACCCCTAGATATTCTGTGGCTTTGATGTTTGATTCGCCGTGTAGAAACGCTTCTCCAATCAATTCGTCTGGTTTGAATAAATCAAAGAAAATTGTGTACGATGAATCCAAATTGCCATCCATCACAAACCAACTGACTCAACTACCATTCAACATTAAACTTTATATACCTTTATTTTATCTTAGCTAACAGAAATTTGAAAACCCTTGCACCTGGTCGAGGGTGTTCACGATAACAACTGGAGTTCGTGTTGTAGCTTTCTTGAAGAAACCCAGCCTCTGTTTGGGACAAAGATGCGACGAAACGGTTTGCCGTTCTCGTCTGTCGTCTTCAAGTTTTTAAGGTCAATTTGTGGGGATGGGGTCTCGTTTTCCGCCGTTTGTGATTTCGGTTCGATTTCCGGCTTCTTGCCAATGCTTTGATGAACAAACGTTTTCCATTTATCGAGTCCGTCCTTTGTTGCAATATTGAATGTTTGGTCTCCAACTTTGATCGATTTATCTCTTTGGAGCTTGTGGTCTCGCGAGAACTCGCCAATGTTGCCGCTATCCAGCGGGAACCGAGGATCCACCGTCACCCCTGAGACCTTCCGAAACGAATTGTATTCTCGTTGCAAGAACTCCAGCTTGCTGGTGAGCTCTTTCTCCTTTTGCGAGTAGCTGTTGGCCAGCAGTTCCAGATTGCAGACCGATTTTTCAAGTCCAAAGATCTTTTCCTTGAGTACCGAGACGTCGTTGGAAACCAGCTCGAGTTTCGCATTTGCGGTCTCCGTTGGTTGTTGCGCGTTAGAACTGCTCGACTTCCAACTGATCCACCACGAAACAAGAACCGACGAGATAGAAAAAAATAAATAGCCTTTGGAGTATTGGGAGCTGGGCTTTGATGGTATAGAGTTCGAGGATCTAAACGCAGAATTGAGTTTTTCGGAACGGAGGAGACATGACTGTACACCCATAAGGACACCGGCGTCAGTTTCAGAAGGTGATAATGCAGAGAGACACAATTCCAATTCAGCGTGAACGGCTGGCATAAGCACTGAGGCAAAATCCTGTAAGATGTCCTTCTTGTACCTTTTCAAACAATGACTGCTTTTATAGGATGCCGAGCAGTTGATGAATGTGCTCAACAGTTGAGATGACCCCATTTTCCCCACAAAATCACGAGGATAGTTTAGCTCTCTCATACTAGCGCTTATGACAAGTACACCAATTATCCCCAACCCAATGACCCAGATCGGGTCGTACTGTTTATATACCTTGAGAATGTTAGGATATGGTGACATTGGGCGTGGTTTTTGGTATCAATTGAGCGTGTTCTAATCAACAACAGGTATAAATTAATATGTAAGGATCTTTTGGCCCTTTTTTAAGGATTTAAAAAATTATTCTTATTAAAAACATCTATTATTTATTCTTTAGACAGACCTTGAGCAAATTCAACAGCTTTGGCTTTGACATAGTCACAAGCCTTTTCATCCTGCTGCTTTTCTTCAAACTCCAACCATTTGCCAAAGAAGAACTTGGCTTGTTTCCGGGTCAGCTTGCGTGCCACGATTCTTTCAAATAAGGCCTCAACCTTGGTTCTATCTCCCAGCTTGATTTCTTGATCAAGATACACGTTCCATAAATCGATTCTCTTAGGAACGTCGGACAAAAGACCCTCGAATAACGAACGACCGTGTTCTGGGTCTCCCTTGTTGAACTCCAATTGCGAGAACTTTTTGACAACCTCCACATGGTCCCGTTTGGTAAGAACCTGCAATGCCTTGACAAGAACCTCTCTTGCACGTTCGCTTTCTTGTTGTTGCAAGAGGAAAGAGCCAAAGGCAACCCAAACAGAAGTGTGCTGAGATCCAAACTTCTTGCACATATTAGTGTACAGTTGGTCAACCTGTTCGAATTTCTCAGATGCAATATAGATGGCAGCCAATTTCTGGTACATCACGTACGGGTCCATGTATTGACATGAACGTTTGAACGTGGCTTCCAATGATTCGTCGGTACCGAACATGTTCTCCAAGTTCAACAATGCAATCCAGATATTGAGCTTCTCTTGCTCCTCTCTATAGTTGATGGTCTTCAAAGCACGCTCACCGATCTCGCGTGCCTTTTCGATCTCACTGATTTGAATCTGGAACGACATGTAGTTCATCCACAAGATTGAAGAGTCAGGGTTACCAACAAGAAGTCTTTCGAAATCACCCACAGATTGTGGAGCACGGCTGTCGAGGTCCCCGGTCTGGTCCTCGGCAACAACCTTCCGTCTCTTCTTCTTAGGCTTGTCCAGCTCGTCGTCATCGGAGTCTTCCTCCTTTGCCTGGTCCAAAATAGAAGCAGTCCAGTCAAAGCCAGCAGAAAGACCATCCGTAGCAGCATCCTCAGAACTGTCAGAGAAATCGGATTCGTCCTCACTTTGAGAATCTTGACCATAAGCGTTGTCAATGACGCTGTCGTCAGACATGACTTCATCTTCGTCCTCTTCCACTGGTTGGTCTTCAATCTCATCAGTGAAGTACGAAGCTTTCATACCCAGAGAAAGCTGTTTCTTCTCGAGGTCGACTGCCAAAATCTTGACCTTGACACGATCTCCCTCATTGAACAGAGACTCAACATTGGTGACAGGCTGGTTTGCAATTTGAGAATGGTGGCACAATCCAGAGACGTTGAGCGTTCCGTCCAGGTTGACAAACACACCAAACTCGGTGGCTCTTCTGACGCTTCCTTCGTAGATCTCGTCCTTTTGGATCTGATCAAACCGTTTGAGCAAGTCTGTATCTCCATTCACCTCACTGCTCTTCAACGTCATCAAAATCTGGTTCTCACCATCGGCTTTGATGATCTTACCCAGCACAGGCTGGTGCACTTGGTAAAAGTGCTTCCATTCTTTCAAATAAGAGTCAGAAAGATCAGCAACACGCACCAAAGCATGGACTGTTCTTCCCAAGGCAACATAGAGTCCATTGTTTGCGACGTTCTTGACAAATCCACGGACGACGTCACCTGGAGCAACATCAGAATAGGATCCAATTCTCTTGTTCTTGGAGTCCTTTGTACGCAGCGAAACGTACACCTTCTTGTTAGAGTTGTCAACTTCCAAGACGGTGGCTGCGCAGATATCATTTGTCGAGAAGATGTCGTCCAACTTGTCGGTGTAGTCGTTCAATGCATCTGTGATGAAAGAAATGGCAGACACTTGTTTTCCAAGCTCAACAACCACATAACTTTCTCTGGTCTTGGTGACCTTTGCTGGGATAACGGTTCCAACCTTGACATCTGCCAATGAGGAAATCACATTGGATCTAGAACTCAAACTCAAAGAGTTGTGTTCAGTGTCCAGTCCAATGACCTTGACATTCAGAACGCTTCCAATTGGGTACTCTTTCTCGAGGTTCTCGAACTTGGAGGCATCGTCAGACAGATCCATAAGAGAGATACGGCCCTTAAGGTTTGGCGAGATAGTGACCCAGACAAATCCTCTGGCAAAGTTGTTGATGTATCCAACGATCTCGTCATCCAGATGCAGATCACCAATGGAGGTCGGAACAACCGGCTTGGAGGATTTCAATGCACTCTTCTTTGCGCTGAGCTCCAACACAGTCTGGTTTGTGCGTTTGTGACTGATTGGCAGGAAACGGTGGTTTCTGGAGTCGTGGTAGCCAATGACCTTGACATCCAGAACATCACCTGGCTGGAATTGAGAAAGAGGCTTCTTTTGGTCCTTGATATCGCTAACTTTATCGAACAGCTCGCTGACATCGATTCTTCCTTGCAGATTATCGGACAACTGGACGTTCAGTTGAGTGCTCTTAACAGACCGGATCTTTGCCTTGGTGACCTTACCGAGAGAGTAGTCATCCAGAAGCTTGATCGACTCGTCAACAGGGTTGACAGCTGGCTCAGACGATTTGCTGGCCTGTTTTTTCAAAGACAGCAGGAATCGTTTGTTAGCGTCGTCAACTCTGATCACATGACAGGTGATGGACTGGTTGGTGACAAACATCTTCTGGATATCGTCACCAGACTTCTCAACAGCATAACGTGGAAGAACCAGTCCAGTAAGACCGTTACCGAAACTGACGAAAACTCCGTTGGCAGTAACAGACTTGACGTATCCATGCAACGACTCGTTGTTGATCTCAATGTCTTTGTAAGAAATTGGCAGTTTCTCGTTCTGGGCGTCTTCAATCAAAGTAGACTTTGCACTCAGCTTGACCACACGAGATCGCACGTCTTTCTCAAGAACAAGAGTTGTGAGTTGAGCACCGATCTCTAATCTTTTGAGCTGGGCACGCGACTGCTCATAGTTGCCGTCACCAAGATGACCGGCGTAGATCACACCACGTAATCCTGATTCGGTAAGTTCAACGATGACAGAGTCTTTCTCCTTTTCCACCACTTGGACATCCACAATCGATCTTCCAGGGACAATTGTGTTAAGCACCTGCTTCTGACCATCAGACAATGCCTCAGAGACTCTGCAACTGACCTTGAGTTTATTATTTTCTGGGTCAACACTCAGAACACGAACCCGAATGGTCTGGCCGAGTTTCACATGATCCTCAGCACGCTTGACAAACGTCTCACTGATCTCAGAGTTGGGCAGGAATGCCTTCACGAAACCAAAAAATCTCACCACACAGCCACTTGGAAGAATCTTCTCGATGGTTGCAAATGTTTTCTGTCCAACTTGGACGTTTTTAATGTCCGAGACAACGTCTTCGTCATCAATGTTGACAAGAGACTTCTTCAAAGTCACTTCTATACGAGCTTTTCCTCCATGGTTGATGATGCGCAGGACTCGTCCCTTGATATGGGATCCGATTTTGAACTTTCTCTCTGGATATATTAGTTTCACGTCGCTCATGTACACTGGTGGCACAATTCCTTCGAACTCGTTTTCGAACTTGACAACAATACCTTTGTCGGCATCGACTGAACGCACTTCACAGTCGACGAGCTCACCAGCAGGGATGTCCTCGACTCGCAAGAATTTGCGCTCTATTTGCTGCTTGTCGAGTGTCAAAATGTATGTGTTATCAGTGGCAGAGAATCCCAACACTCTTGCTTGGTGGGTGGAGCCGATTTTGAAATCCATGTCCAAATCTTTATTGTCGCTGACCCTGGTGATGTGGGCCTGTCCGATAGCAAATCTGCTTCCAACGTCCACGTAGATGAAGCTGGAATCTTTGCCCTTAATAGTGACGGATTCGAAAACATGGCCGATTGGGAAAGCCTCTAGAGCTGTTCCGTCTTCAAAGGTGTTTAATGCAAGCGATTTGATGTGCGGCAGAATCGAAACAATAAATCTTCTATCACCGGCCTTCAAGTATGACACGATGACTCTGGCTTTGACCTTGCTTCCAACAGCAAACGAGTTCTTCAGCTCTGAGTACTCGAACTTGCCCAAATGCACAAGAGGAATGGTTGCATCTGCAACTCCAAAGAGTTTGCACACAAGACCTTCCTTGGTTGTCTCCTTCACGAGCGCATCAACACCCATGCCGGGCAAGATGGCATCCACAGAGGAGATTGTTTGAACGGAAGCGAACTTAGAGACTGGGCCACAAACAAGCGTTCTGCCGTCTTTTTTGGCAACAGCGACAAGAATTACCGATCCAACGTCCACTGGACCAGAAAGACTCTTTTTCGAAATAAAGCCCCCCACCTTGTCTTTACTGAAACTCAAGATCAAACCGTGGTCTTCAATGGATTTCACAGAAGCCTGGATCAAGGTGTTCACCACCAAATCGTCGTTTTCCATGGCCTGGTTCACCTTGACGGGGTCGACGCTCAATTCCAAACGCTTCTTCTTGCTCTTGGAACTCTCCACAACAATGGCCCTGAGCCATTGTCCGACCTCGAATCTTGAGCTCAGCTGCGGGAATGGTATTTTCTTCGTAGGCAAGGCACCATTGACAATGGTGTCTTCACCCTCGCCTTGCTCCGGCTCCTCTTCAGATTGGTCCTGCTCATCTTCATATTCCTGCAGTTGTGCGGTCAGCTCAGCGCTGATGTTCGTGATGGGAATGTATCCGTCCAAATTTTCAGTCAATGAAAGAACAAGTTCCATGCGGTTAATTTGCTTCACTTTACCCAGAACCAAACTCCCTGGAATAAGGTTTTTGAAGCTGACGTGATCAATACTGATCGATTCCTCTGGCACATCAACAACTTTAGCGATCTTGGCCTTCTTGGAGCGTTTTGTTTGCTTGGACTCAAGTAAAGCGTCCTGAACGGCTTCGTTGGCCACCTCCTTGACCTCCAACGGGGTCAGCACCGATCCGCCTCCTCTAGGAAACGAGATTTCGGCACTCTTAGAAAGAAGAGACTTCTTGTCCCCGGCACCGTCTTCAGACTCAGCTCTCTTTCGTTTCTGGCTTTCAACCATGCTAGACAATAAGATCTAAAATTTTTTATGAAAAATTTTGAAATATTTTTTTTTTTTCACGGCAGTGCTCAAATACCAAACGAGACAAGTCTCTTCATTCTTCCAAGTTGTTGCAACGAATACGAGCAAAGTTTGGTATGAGGTTCCAACTCGTGGTCACAAACCACCCCACGTCGGATATCAGTCGTCCATCGGTGTTTGTGTCGGATTTTGTGACCGGAAAAAGACACATCATTGGACATGTCCCCGAAGGATTACAGCGACAATGCATTCAGATTGGAGTCAGAACTTCTAGAGTTGACTCGATCTATTTGACTGGTATTGCCGACTGGAAGTCTCTTTCGGGGTTGCCTGGTTTTATTCTCACGGTTGGAGACCAAGGAGTGAAGGATTTGAACATATTCCATAGCGGGAATAGAGTGATCAAGTTCCTAGTATCTTCGTGGAGATACTTTGTGTTCCGGCTGGGACTGAGATTTGTCATTGAAGATATTGATGTTCATAAATCCGGAGAGTACCAGATCAAAGCGATCAACATTACTCGATCTGACGATGCTCCAGGGAAGACTAATGATAATGAGTTTTTGAAGCACATTTCGGAGCTATTACGACACATGTTTGGGTTAAAGTACGAACTTGGGGCCAACGGCAGGTTCCTTACAAAGATCGCACTACCATGGACTTTTTACCATCCTAAAGTATCTGCAAATTACATCATGACAGGTAACGCTGTGAGAGGCCGGTTTTTGGTCGAGAAAGCCATCGAACTGGGCTGTCCAAAACGGCAGTTCAGAGACCTGTGCGCGTTCAAGACTGTCACACTGGAAGACGGAACAGTGATCAAACCTGAAGACGTCCTGGAGCCAAGCAAACGTTTCGACAGCGCTCTGTTCTTGGACATTCCTGGCGAGGAGTATTTGGAAAATACCATCAATCACGACTGGCAGGCCGATCTCGAGGAAGGTAAATACACATTGGTTTACCATTTCATTGACGACTCGGTGAAGAACATTTTGGAAAGACCAGAATACCAAAAGTTCATCCAATCTTTCGATCCAACCACCGTTCATCTGATCTCTCACAAACAATACGTTCCTGATGCGTTGAATTATCTTTCTTCGTACACATCGTCTTTGAAATGGCATATGTTACTTCCCGAGTACTTCCCGTTGTTCAGATGGAGCGATGTGGGGGAGCTGCCGATCCCAAAAGAGCTGACCAATGTGCTACCAATGGTGCGTGGCCAGTCTGCGGGAATCGAGTCCGGTGCACCAGCCGCCGTGGAGAGAAAGTTCCCAACGACCAAAGACGAAGTCAGAACGTTTTTGAAACATGTCTACCAACAGGACGTGGTGCCTGCCAACGTCCCAAACTACCCTTCTGAGGAAGAGTTTGTGAATGCTGCATTTAAGCCCGCAGGAAAGAAATTGGGTGTGGCTCCGGATTTGTCCAAGCCGCTTAAGGACCAGGTCGAGCTCCTGGTGCTAGGAACAGGGTCAGCTATTCCGTCAAAACTGAGAAACGTCATCTCGACGTGTGTGCGGATTCCAACAGAGACCGGGTTCCGGACCCTCATACTGGACGCTGGAGAGAACACTCTGGGAACCATCGAGAAACTGTACAGTCCAGAAGATACCGAACGTCTTTTCAAAGAGCTCAAGATCGTCTTTTTGTCGCACCTGCACGCAGACCACCATATCGGGATTATATCCTTGCTGAACAAATGGAACACTGTCCGGTCTGAGCACGACAAACTTTTTGTTGTGGCCCCATGGCAGTATGCTAAATTTGTTCGCGAGGTGCAGAGACTGGACGACACACTGGACTTGACTGGGATCGAGTACCTGAGCTGCGACGAATTCAACCAGGACATGATTCTGCCTGAGCACGAGCAGGCGCCTCTTGAGGACGTTTCTCACCTCGACCTGAGAACCGTCACGTGCGAGACATTGGAACTGGAGCCAAACGCGGCGTTGCAGCAGCAGCTGCTGGAACGGGCAGGGCTGAGGAGTTTCAGAACGTGCTACGCCACGCACTGTGACTACTCGTACTCGTGTGCGCTGGACTTCGATGTTGGGGCTGAGTCGTTCAAGGTAGCATACTCTGGAGACACAAGGCCCAAGCTGCAGTTCGCGGAGATCTCGGAAGGATGCGACCTGCTGATCCACGAGTCCACTCTGGAGGACAAGAAGTACCAGGACGCTATAGACAAGAAGCACAGCACCACGTCGGAGGCGCTCCAGATGGGTATTTTGATGCAGGCCAAGAAAATCCTGTTTACCCATTTCAGCCAAAGGTACCGGTATTTTTCGAATTCCAGCCAGGTTTACAACAAATTGGCAAATCCAACCAAAGTCAGAACCGCGGTGGAAAAAGTATCCCCGATCTTCAAAGCCCCTTTGAGCCCGGAAATGGTGGAAAACGCACCTCAAATCGAGACGATCTTTGCCGTTGATAACATGCACATAGAACTAGGCAATTTCGACCTCCAACGCCCCGTGTTTGAGCGAATTGGCGACAAGCTCGAGCGGCTATTCAACGCCGACGTGGAAGATGAGTCCGAACAGGTTGAATCCCACTATTATTCAAAAAAACGCAAAGCTTCTTAGATGCTCTTTTGGCACGGCAGTGCACACAATAATTTCTATTATCATCTCCACATATCTGACGTCACATATATATAATAAAAGATTATTGCTAGTGTGCAAAAGAAAATATTTCTCATCCATGAAAGAACAAGGAGATAAAGTCCATAAGGTGCACTCGTATTCGTTCATCGAGCGGGTGGACGATCCCGTCGGTTTGTCGTCCGCAGAAGAGTCGATTTTGTCTTCCGATGAGTCCAGCTCCGACTCGGCAAAAAGACAGAAAGGAGGATTGCCCCACTCTTCAGGGGAGTCCGAACTCAATGCGTCGTCCATGTTTTTCTCTGAAAACGTCAACGACAACCATATTGAGGACGAGTACAACGACGTTCCATTTGCAAACAGTTCCAGTGCCTCATCCACTGCCGAAAACGTCTCCGACACATCGCTTGCTGCCAACCTCGACTACCTTAATATCTCCAACTCCAGTCTGGTTGAGCAGAAAAAAGAGGAGTATTCCAATGAGATCCCGGACTTCTATCTCCCCGAGAAGCTCAACTACCCGTACCGTTCGCCATACGACTTCTCAGACGCCGAGTTTGAAAAGATGAACCACTTTGACTTTCTCCAGACTTTGAACTTTAGAGAACCTCCGCTGCTACCGCCATATCTCAACTCCAACCTGCTCAACGATTCGCCTTCCCACAACTACCGCACCTATCCGTACCAGTACCAGTACTCGAACCACGTTTACATCAACGACCAGTACCGCTACAACATCAACGACCTAAACCTCATGGACAAGTATAGTCGTCAGGTGCGGTCCAAATCCATCAGAGAGACACTCAAAAAACGCGCCAGTGATCAGGGTATCCCCACTCTTGCCCAGCTTAGACACGCAGACTACGTCGAGAACGTCGACCACGAAGACATCCCAAATCATGTCATGCTCAATCATCTCATCACGTGCAACTCCAAGGTGGACAACGTTCTTACCGGTTCTTGTATCCATAGATACGCAGGCAAGTTCATCACTCAGATCGTTTATTTCCCTATATCCTAGATGGCGTTACGTATTGGCGAGTTTTCGCTCAGGGTGCTGTCGCTGTCGAAATGGTCTGCTGGTTGGAAGTACGTTGGTTTGGCCCGGGTTCTTGCGTTCTCGTTCCCCTGGAACAGTCCACCGTACTCGCTGGACGATGGTCCGTACAGCAGCAGCAGGTTGAAGTTGTTTGGCGTCAGCAAACTGAGTGGGTTGCGTTGGTTCAGGGCAGGCTCTAGATTCTCGTTGGAGAATCCACCCATGTCGGGGGTGGATGTCTGGCGAGACCCTGTTTGCTGTCCGCCGCTGATCATGTTGGACGAAGCTAGGAACTTGCGAGGAGACGGGGTCTTTGGCTGGATGCGGTTGCTCTTCTCTGGAGTCTGGATGCTAGGTAGAACGTTTTCGTCCTGCTGGAACTTCATTCTATGCTCAATCACCTTCTTGGTGTACACCTTGCTGGAGTACTTCTTGCCTGGCTTGCTCACTGTGACCGGGCCTGCTCCCGGGTCGGCATTCAGCACCTTGAACATCTCCTCTAGAATATCCAGCTTGCGTCTGCTAAGACGGCCCATTTTGGACGGCTCCGAGTGGCTCAAGTTGAAGTCTCCAACAGACTCTGCCGCCGCGATCATCTCCTTTGCCTGGAACCGGAACGTTCTGATGATACAAACGAGCAAATCGATGCGCTCCTCCTTGCGCAGATGGTCTGGCTCTTTGTGACGACACGTCTCTGGCCACCATAACGGCTTGGTACGGTCTCCGAGCTTGTATGGGTACCGGCTCTGCTTTTTGGGTTCGATGAGTCTTATCCAGGACTTGGCCAGAAGTTTACACGGGATCTGCTGGAACTCGTCAAAACACTGCGCCAGGTACTCGTCAACTTCGCGCGAGTTGCGAGGATTGATTTCGATGGACTTGAACGTCTTTTCGATGAGACTTGTCTCTGCGGATTCTGTTTCTTGCTCGATGGACAGTCCGCACAACTCGGACGCCGTCAACACGTTCTTGGGGTCCGACAGCGTGAGCTCACATTTGAGCCCAAAGTCTCTGTATATGCTATCAGTCAGTTGTCTGACCTCTCTGAGTTTCTCTTTGAGCTCGGCCATAATTGATGAGTCCAAAAGGATCCATCAACATGATATATATAAGGTTGTTAATGTGTTTAGATTTTACAGATTCGTCTTCGATTTGTAGCAGCAAGGACTCATCTCTACTTGGAGGCAGCTATGAAACAATTCTGAGCTTGCTTAGGTAATAAATTCTTTTTTATCACACCTTGAATGTCTAATGATAGTCTGGAAGAGTCGTTGAGAGATCTGACTCTGCAGTCGATCCAGGACCATCCGACCAAGCCGAAGGAGCAGATTGCGCTCGAGTTTTTCGAGCTTGGCAGCAAAAAAGAGCTCGAAGGCTCGTTGAGCGAGGCTGTCGGGTATTATAGAAAGGCGTTCAAGCTGGACGAGAAGGTTGATTTGCGATACCGAGAGAAGCTCGTGAGCTCTCAGCCGGCACCGGAGAAACGCAAAGACGGTATCATTTATGACCAGACGAAAAAACTCGACCTCAGCAAAATCAAAGTCGAGCCGTTGCTCAAGTCGTTCCATGACTCGGTATTTCACCCTATAGACGAAGAACAGCCGATCTTGCTCGAGACCTTGCCGGACGAGGTGATTACCAATCTTCTGGATACTCTGCTGTGTATGGACGGGCCGTCGTGGCTCAATTTCGCAATGACTTGTAAAAAGTTGTCGTGGCTAGGGTTTGTGCAGACCGCTAATTGGCAGCGACTTTGTATGTTGGTGTATCCGCGACAGGTGTACGACGACGCGCAACGGGTGCTTAACAAGGTGACGGCCGACCAATGGCAGATGGTGGTCCATTGGGACCACGACTGGCGCAAAATGCTGTGCGAGCGGCCGTTTATCAAGTTCAACGGCTTGTACATCAGTGCGGTCAACTACCAAAGAGAGGGAGGCCGTGCCGAGTTTTCTAACCAGTGGAACCTGCCCTTCCGCATGATCACATACTACAGATACTACCGGTTTTTCCCCGACGGCAGCTGTCAGAAGCTGCTGACGGTGCTGCAACCGCAAGAGGTGGTGCCCAAGTTCCACAGGAACTGGCGCGAGCTGTTTGGGCCCAGCGAGTGGGAGAAAGTGTACGAAGGCACCTGGTCGATGAGCGTCGACGGCAGCGTGCAGTGCAATTGCGAGGGGCCCGTCAAAATGTACCGGTTTGTGGACGAGTTCCAAATTGTTAACGGGGGCCGGTTTGCACGACACCACAAGCTGGACTGGGTGCGGATGGGGTACATTGTGAAGGAGACGTCGGAGGAAGGCGATTTGGAGATTTCGAACGAGCGTAGCTTCGCCTTCAGCAGAGTCCGGTCGTACACACAGGAACAGGCCGCCGCGCCTATAAATATACATATCACGTAAATTTTTTCCGGTTCCCCAGATTTCGGCCACAAGGTTCGTCGGGTCTCCGGAGAACCCCGAGCCCGGAAATATTTCGATGCGGCTCAGAACGGTGGGATGTAGGATGAATGGAATGGGATGGACGCTATATAAATAATAGACAGGATCTCCTTCGAAGTTGCATATTCAAAATGGCTCAAATCAACCCAACCAGTTTGAAAGGCGTGCAAATTCTCGGCGAAGTTTCCGACAAACCACTCTTGTCGGAGGCCACTCCAAGAGACATTCTCACCAAGGACGCTTTGAAGTTTATTGTTCTGTTGCACAGAAGTTTCAACAAAACCAGAAAGCAGTTACTCGAGAACAGACAGCAAGTTCAGAAGGAACTGGACGCTGGCGAAAAGCTCCATTTCTTGGAAGAGACGAAATACATCAGAGACGATCCTAACTGGAAGTGTCTGCCTTCTCATCCTAAATTGCAATGCCGTAAGATCGAGATCACCGGTCCTCCAGACGCAAAGATGATTGTGAATGCTTTCAACACAGACGTGTTCACCTACATGACCGACTTCGAGGACTCGTGCTCTCCAACATGGAGCAATATGATCTACGGCCAGGTCAACTTGTACGACGCTATCAGAGACAAGATCGACTTCACCAATGAGTCCACCGGTAAGCGTTACAAGATCAACAAGGAAGGAAGAAGACTGCCTGTCTTGATCGTCAGACCAAGAGGATGGCACATGGTCGACAAGCACATCCTCGTTGACGGCGAGCCAATCTCTGCCTCCATCATGGATTTCGGTCTCTTTTTCTTCCATAACGCCAAGTACCTGCTTTCCCAAGGACTGGCTCCGTTCTTCTACCTGCCAAAGATGGAACACTACAAAGAGGCCCAACTGTGGAACGACATCTTCGGCGTTGCACAGGACTGTCTTGAGATCCCAAGAGGAACCATCAAGGCCACCGTTCTTATCGAGACCTTGCCAATCTCGTACCAGCTCGACGAGGTGCTATATGCTCTCAGAGAACACTCTGCCGGCTTGAACTGCGGAAGATGGGACTACATGTTCTCCACCATCAAGAGACTCAGAAACCAGAAGGACCACGTCTTGCCAGACAGACACCAGGTCACCATGAAGGTATCGTTCATGACCAACTACGTCAAGCAGCTCATCAAGATCTGCCACAAGAGAGGTGTCCACGCAATGGGAGGAATGGCTGCAACCATTCCTATCAAGAACGACCCAGAAAGAAACGCAGTGGCTATGGAAGCCGTCAAGCAAGACAAACTCAGAGAGGTTCTTGCTGGCCACGACGGTACCTGGATCGCTCACCCTGGCTTGTTGTCTACTGCTCTGCCGGTCTTTGAGGAACACATGCCTACTCCTAACCAGCTCCACGTGCAAAAGGACTACGAGGTCTCTGAAGCTGACTTGGTGGACACAAAGATCCCTGGCGGTCAGATCACCATGAAGGGTGTCAGTGCAAATATTTACATTGGTCTCAACTATATGGAGAGCTGGCTCAGAGGTCTGGGATGTGTCCCAATCAACAACCTCATGGAAGACGCTGCCACCGCAGAGGTCTCGAGATTGCAGCTGTACTCTTGGTGTAAGCATGCCGTCAAGATGGACGACACTGGAAAAACCATCACCCCAGAGTTCATCTGTAAGTTGATCGACGAGGAGGTTGAAAAGTCGGCCACAAAGCCTGGAAACAAGTTCAAGACTGCCGCAGAGTGCCTCAAGAAGGAAATCAGCGGACAGGTCGAGGTCGCCGAGTTCTTGACAACTTTGCTCTATGACGATATCGTCACTGTTGGCCCTGAGGTCAACATCAACTCTTTGAAATGATTTAAGGTGGTCTCAACTGCATTTATAGCTCATGATTCGAATTGTCTATCTATTGATCTGTAATCCTATCCGCAGTGTTCAGCATGCTTTGCAAGCAGTGCTTGAGTTTCTTCAAGTGTGCCCCTTTGTAGCGCTGCAAATTGTTGGAGATCAAAAGTTGGGGGTTCATTGGCTCCTCGTTATAGAAAGTAGCGTGCAAGTGGGTTGCAAATTGTTCGTAATAGTCGTATGACCGGCTGATAAACTTGAAGAAAGGTCTGATGTTGTGTACACGGATTCCAAATAGTGTGAGTATTTGTTTCATCACGTTAGAAAGCTCCACTAACGTAAGCGCATCAACGTCATCAAGTTGTAACATTTGGTAGTTTTTCAAGTCCTTACTGGAAAGCTTGGTAGAGACATCGCCAATTTTTGCCTTATGGGACTCGTTTTCTTGCTTGAGTGACTCAATGAGGTACTCATACTCGGTCATCTTGCTTGCTAGCCGCTGCTTTTCAGCCATAAGCTCGTCAGTACTACCTTCAGAGTCTTTCATCTTAGTCATTATCTGGTCAATCTCTTTCTCGGTCTGTGTTTTCAAAGACTCATACAATTTCTCCACTTCAAACTTGCCCTTTTCGACTTCAGCGAGCTTCTGTCTTTCAAGCTCAAGTTCTTGAGTCAGGCTCTGGTTGGTAGATTCGTGACTTCTGCTGGCTTCATGAACTTTCTGCAGTTCAAGTTTAGTGTTTTCCAGTTCATGACAGACACTCTCGAGTTTTGCTCCAACACTTTGTGCACTATCAGCATCTGCTTTCAACTGTGTGATCGTACCGGTTTGTTCAGTAACTTGAGCTTCAAGCTCTGCGTTCTTTGTCTCAGCGCGCGCGACTTTATCTGATTGTTCCTCCACATCTGCTTTTAGCTTATTGTTCTCTGCCACAAGTTCCTCATTCGATGATTTAAGCTTACTGATTTCCTGTTCAAGTTGTTCACGAGCAAGAACCATCTCTTTGAAAGAATCTAGCTCTTTCTGGATCACACTTCGGCTGTCCATCAAGGATTCAATTTTCCTTTCCAGATCATTAATAGTTTTGAGTCTCAGCTCGAGTTCTTGTTCCATAGTTGCGTTTTGCACGTTTGCCTGTTCCAGTTTCTCTTGCAACTCTCTTTTCTCAGATTGAAGAGTTCTCAGTCTGTTTGGAGACGTCAAGTTCTCTTTATCCTGGACATTGTCATCGAACTTGACTACCAACTTCTGAACTTGGTTGGCCTCGGAAGCGGGAGAGTTGCGCGGATTAAGAACATTGGTATAGTGTTTAGATATCGAGGCGATATTCTGGCGGAGATCAGCTCTTGGTGTCGACGAGGCGACCGAATCGGTCATTGGCGTTTGGAAATCCAACATGGAGTTCTGATTTTCATTGGCGGACAATTCTCTAGCCTTGAGTGCGCGGCCAAATGCGCTTTCCTGGTTTCGATCTGACTTTTTATTTAGCACCATATCGATAAACTCATTCTCATCTATCGAGTCGGGGATCGTCTTGTTGTCAAAATAAAGATGGAGGTCAGAACTTTCCGCCAAATGATCCAAATCCTCGGATTCTGCAGAATTCGACCGGCGACGCATTAGCTTAATTCGTTGTTTTCAGCGCTTATTCAAGTATAAACAAATAAAATATAAACAATTGATTACTATAAATTGAGCGCGCTTAATATCTTTTTTTTCCCACGACGCGTCGGTAACGTCGATTTATGTCTTGGGGTGTTACTTAGTATCTCGTTATTCATAAATATGCCAATATCTACCGGACTAGTTCCTTCAGTCGCTGGTTCACTTCTTCTAAGCGTTTGATCTCCTCTATAGATTCCACCATGACGTTGTATTTGGACATCTTCTTGCGCTTGCTTTTGCTATTTTTGCTCTGTAGCTGGTTAAGATGGGTAGGAGAGGAACTGATCAGCTCGCAAAGCTCATCGAACGATCTTTTGATGACAGCACGCCGTTTTTTCTCCGACGAGGTATGGTTGAGTTTCTTTTCCTCTTCGGTCAGCTGTTTTTTCGATAGCGATACACTTCTTTGTCGCTCCTGGAACGAAGCTCTGGCTAATTTCTCTTCCACAGATGGTGCAGCAGAAAACACATGAGTCGGTATTGAGTCTTCCTCCTTTTTAATGAAAGGCTTGGTGGCTGGTTGTGGTTCTTTTGCGTTTTCTCTGATGGAGTTTGCCAACGGGTCGATCGAATGCCAATGTTTGGACAGATTTGACAAGCTTTGATCGTTGGCGATGGAATCAAGGAAGTTTTCCAAAGCAGATGTTTCTGAAACAGAAAGAAGTTCTGAAGACTGCTGGCGTGACAACCCAATGACGTTTGCCGAGTAGTTTAGATTATTAAATGTTGCCAAGAGATTTCTGGTATTTGGTGAGACCGGAGAGTTGGCCTGAACAGGCGATAGCTCTGCAAAGTTGAGGGATGACGAGCTGCGGTTCAAAAGGGAGGTTTTATCGTATGGTGGCCGGGTGTTATCTGGTGTCAGGGGTCGAGACAGCTGTTCGTGGACGATTTTGGGCGATCTGTAGAAAGGCGATAGTCCCGTAGACATGAAATTCGATAACGGTGGGGTTTGCGGTGCGTTCGTGGAAGTTTGGGTCGAGTTTGTACCGGGAGACAAACTATGGGACATTGCAGCGTTTCTACTGGACCCAGGTACCGAGTTTGGCACCGAGCCGGGCGTGGAATCCAGCTCGTTCGTCATCAGTACATACGCGGTATCGAAATCCAGATCCGACGAGAAATAGTCGGCTGGTGCCGAGGACGCTGTTTGTCGGTTGGACTCGCTGTTCTCCCACGATGTGTTGTAATTACCCTGCGGCGGGAGCACGCCCAGGTTCGCGGAAAACATGCTCGGTGTCGGGCTTTTGGTGCCACTTGTGAGGTTTGACAAGGACATGCAGGCGGATTTATTGCGGGTTCGAAAACAAGACTCTCGATCCGATGAGTAGACTTTTTTATTAATTGTTGGAGAATCACATGCTTACCCCGAGAATTAGATTACCTTGCACATAATTGTGAATTGGCAGACTTGAAATTTCGGGACCCAAGGCCCACGGTTTTCGATTACTAAGTACTACTGCAGCACACCGTTGGTGAGACGCTGCAGGATGAGGTCATCTGACTCAGATGCGTCTTTCTGGATCACACCTGCAGTTTTTAAAACCGACTTGGTGCCCACAACGTCTTTTTCGAAGTTGATCTGGCTAACGTTGTCGGAGAACTCGACCGTCTTCTGCCACTCTTGAGCGTCTTCTAGTGAGTAGTCCAGGTTATCAGCGATGTACTTGGCGGCTTCTTCTTTGTGGCCGTTGTAGTACTCAATTCCGTCCTGCACAGCTTCAAGGAATGCCGAGACCTGTTTTTTCTCCACGTTTTTACCAGAAACGACCACCCATGACGACCATGGAGTGTAGATTTGGCCGATCTTCTTGATCTCCTTGTTGTCGTAGTACTTCTTGCTGGTGAAGTATTCCCACATGAACGCATCTGACGACTCCAGGTGGTCTTTTTGGTTGACAGAGTCTCTCAGGTTCTTGAAGTTGTCCAGGATGACGAACTTTTTGAAGAACGGCACACTGAAGCCGCGCTGCAGCCCCAGAACGAATGCCATCACATAAGAACCAGATCCAATACGACTCACACCAATAGAGCCGTTCTGTAGCTGAGTCTCGGAGGTCAGCTCGGAGCGGTCCACTCCAGTGGAAATTGCCCAACAAAGCGGTGACTTGACGTACGTTCCCGCAATCTGGTACTGATCGTCTCCATCGCAAATTCCTCTCACAAACGCTTCTGTAAGTCCAACTGCAATATCGATCTGCTGACTCTTCAGAGATTGGATCAGGTGGCCAGACCCGGAAGGATACTCAATGAGCTCGCATTCGATCCCTTTCGAGGCAAAGAACCCTTTGGCCTGGGAAAACTGTAAAGGAGTCGAAAAGTGTTCAGGAACAAACCCAACTTTCAAACCCATGGTGGTGGAGCTATATAATTAATTTTACACACTTTTTTCTCGGCCCAGGTTATTTTATTAGCGTCTCTTATAAATACAAGGCTTTAAGAGCCATTCTCCTTCAGGAGCTTTCTGTCTCTTTTTCTCCAAAACTTCGAGTTTATCCTCTTTCTCAACAAATTTCCGCTTCTTCTCTTCCTTTGCCCGTCTTTCAGCCAGAATGTCTGGCGGAGGCTTGAAAAATTCAAATCTCGTAAACATCTTGTTGGAGTCGTCGGTGGACTTGTGGAAAAAGCCCAAATTCTTCAAAGCATTGATGAACTCATCGCCCTTCTCGTCGCTGAACCGCGACTTGATCTCTGCGATCCATAACTCTCCTCTTGGAGCAAGAAGTCTGTAAGCTTCGTTAATAAAGTCAAGAAAATTTGTACCCATTAAAGCCAGACAGAATATCACAACCGTACATGATCCATCTGGGAGCGGAATGCTCTTGATATCGGCCACAGTGACTCTATTGTTGGCCTTTTTCAGATCGAAAGAATGCACTTGAATGTTGATCTTCTTCGTCTTCTTGCCTGTAGACATGAATTTGGCCACGTCCTTGGCCAACTGAGCTTCTCCGCAGCCCATATCTGCAATAACAACTTTCTTGTCAGCCAGTCCTGGAAGACCCCCAGGAGCATTAACGTATCTGGTGGTAGCTTTGGTTTTGATCTGGTTCACGAAAACGTCCACTGGATTCTCTGGCCAGGACTGCACCTGTGATCTGAACCCTTCATGGTACTCTTCAAACAGCTCGGGTTGGGTCTCGATAAGTTTCAAAGCATCTTCCGATCTGATCGTGTAGAGCTGCTCGTTAATCCATCTAAATCTGGACCCGGCCAGCTTGGCCATCATCTTCCGCTGCAACGGTGTGAGATTAGCAGTGGAGGCAAATTGGTTATCTTGAGCGGGGTTCTGTGGTTTCTGAGCAGCTGGCTTAACAGAAGCCGGTTTCTGCTCTTCAGTTTTATCAGTTTTGTCAGTTCTGTCAAATTTTTTAGGTCTGGCTCTCTCTTTGTCGTCCTTGCGCTTATCTTGCCGCTGAGGCTTCTCTGAAACCTTCTTGGAGTCTGGCTTGGACTTGGGTTTCGGCTTGGACTTTGCCTCAACCACTTTTTTGCCCTCTAGACCCCATCCTTCAACTTCAAATAAAGACATTAAATTTTTAAGGAAAAAGTTCACCGGGAAATTTGTATTAATACATAGAGCATAAATAAAAGAAAACGTAGAAAAACTAGATTTGAACACCGGTATTGGGAAAAGTAGAACATGGTCGGAACTATACGATGAAAAAGATGAAACATGGTCTCATGATGTCAAAATGTTTTGAACCGTCCAGGAAAAATGGCATTGGCTGCCAAATCAGTCAGATTATTCGGGAGGTTGACTCCGTTGCATTGGAGGAGCGTCGTTTGTATAACTGCTGGAGTATTGTGGAGCTGCCGGGGGCTGAGTTCCATAGCCATACGAGAACTTGATTTTCGGTTTCGAAGAGATGGACTCTTGCCGCTGCTTCTTGTCGTCAGATGCGTCCTGGCCTGCATATTGCTGAGGAGCATAGTAAGAGTATGGAGGGACCTCTGTGGATTTTGTAGCCTGGGTGGTTGGAGTGCCCTGCTGAATGACTCTCTTGATGTCCTTGACAAAGAGGGGATACAACAGATCGACGATTCCCTCTCTCTGGGCCATCGAGAGAGCTCTTTCAAAAGGAATCCAAACCCCTTTCAGGTGCATTGAGCCAATCTTGACAACATGTCTAGTTTTCTCCGCTTTTAAAATTCCGTCTCTTCGTCCTCTGGTCATTTTCGCAACGTTGAGAAGTTTTGTGCCGTTCACCATGTCGTTGTCTGCGCGACGCACAACAGCAACGCCGTTTGCTTCCACTTGGTAGCAGAGAGTCTTCTCGTCCTCCCACATTGTTGTGGTTATTTTCGGACGCAGTCTTCCAGATTGAATCGCGTTTTCCGATGACGCAGTGCCACCTTGTGTGGAATAGAGGTATTGCATCTGGCCTTTATACGACTGTGCATAGTTCGGGTATTGGCCATACCGTTGGTAGTAGGTTCCTGGCGGTGGCTGAGGGTAATAGTATCCCATTTGCTGAGCCTGCTGGGATTGCGAAGGAGCTTGTTGGGGAGGGTAGGAATATTGTGAGTAGTGAGATTGAGCTGTTGGGTAATATTGGTATGTTTGCGGGTCATTCGTCTGGGGAATCACCGTAGCAGGCTGCGTTGAAGGAACTGAAGGGACTGAAGGTACCGTGCTGGTGTCTGATGAAGGAGCCGAAGTTGCTGCTTGATAAGGCTGGTACGAGTAGTTTTGGGACACGGGCCCCGAAGGCATGACGCCTTGTTGGTACGCCTGATAAGACTGGTAAGCCTGGTACGGCTGCTGGTACTGGGAGTACTGTTGAGACATTAACGAATGTAGTAAATCTGCATATATATACTTAGCACTTGTGGTTCCTGAATCTTGCCAAACAAACCTTCATTACATACATAGACAAACAATTCTGAAAAGTTGAAAATATCGTTTGCAGCACTGCTGCACGCCGGTAGCATGCCAGATTTGTTTTTCCCGCGTGGTGCATGCAGTTGCGGGCACGGCAGGCGCGTGCGAAAAAAAAAGTCGGCTCCCTAAAACTTAAGCGAATTCGCGATTGTAGCAAAGACGCCCTGAAGAGTGGTGTGATCCACCGTAATTAGCTAGCCTATAGGATCTGCAAGGCACATATTCACTGACAGCCGCCTTTGCAAACGCCCATCTCCCCTCACAAGACCCTCAGCGCGAAAGCTATCGCCGTCCATCGCAGGGCACATACCCATTGCAAGGTACGACTACGGGTTTCTGGTGCACGGGTGTCGTCTTTCATTCACGGTGGTTTTTCGTGTTATGATTCTCCACTCAAAAAAAATTTCATCGATATTCTACAAACCAACCCAATGACAGTGCAACCAAGCCCTTCGGCGTTCGTTGTGCTCCATATAACCACCACTTGCGATGAACAGCATTCCTCCAGAGATCCTGGCGAGATTTTGGAGGTTGCCTGGTCTGCGGTGGACTCTGAATCTTTGGACGAAATAATATCCAACTCCTCGCTCGTCAAGCCCCTTAGTTCGCCCGTGACTTCGTATTGCACCTCGCAGACGTCTCTCACGTGGGACAGTGTGAAAAATGCTCCGTCCTTAAAAGAGTGTCTCAGTTTGCTCGAACAAGACATTGAAGAACACCTCGTTTCTCAAGATATCTCGTTCACCTTTGTGGTCTTCAACAGCTGGGATCTGCGAATGAGACTCCCAAAAGAGACCAGAGAAAAAGGCATTCAGCTACCAGCGTATCTGGAACGTTCGAGACATTTCGACCTGAAGAAGGAGTACATCAAAAACCAACAGTACATTTCTTTGGATCCTGAACAGTACCTTGGTTTGAACTTGACACAAATTTGCACCTCTTTGGGGATTGAGGTTGCAGATATCCAACCGGTGAACGAGTCGTATGGCCAGTCGTTGAGCTTGGCAATGCCTCGTCGAGCAGGCGACGAAGTGCGATTGCTCCTGAAACTCATAGATTATCTTCAGAAAAACTCCCCAGCAGCAGCAAACGTTCTCCAGTCTCCCCACGATATGGCTTTGGATCTGGAGCATTTTGACCTGGAGAAGTCCAGAGTCCTCTATATGAGCAACCTGCCACTCGACACCACACAGAGCAGCCTGGAAACATGGTTCACCCAATATGGTGGCAGACCCATGGCTTTTTGGTCTATCAAGTCTCCTGTCTCGGACACCCAAAACAGCAGCCGTGCTGGATCGGTCACCAGTGCTAGCAGCCGTAGCAACAGCGTCGGATCGCAGTCTTCGAGTTCGAAATCGACATGCACTGGGTTTGTGGTGTTTTCTTCCCATGAAGACGCGCGTGACTCTTTGGCTATGACCGGAAGGGTTTTCAACGACAAAATCATCGAGGTCCAGCCATCGTCAGCTTCGATTCTAGATAAGGCGCAGGAGATCTTGGCACCGTTCCCTTCGTCTAAAAACAGACCTCGGCCCGGCGATTGGAACTGCCCGTCCTGCGGGTTCTCTAATTTCCAAAGACGAACTGCATGTTTCCGGTGCTCTTTCCCAGCCGCCTCTGCTGCTGCGGTCCAGGAGTCGCTCAACAGCAATCATTACCATAACAGACAAAACAACGCCAACGGGACGTCCAACGTGTTTTTTAGAGCAGGTGATTGGATCTGCCCCCTTGAAAGCTGCTCGTATCATAATTTTGCCAAGAACGTTACCTGCCTCAAATGTGGGGCTCCAAAATTATCCGCAAATACACATTCAGGCTACAATTATCACCAGGATGCATACAATGCGAACTTAATGCAGAGAAGACCGGTGACTTCGTCACAATACCATACAAACCTTAGACCGCTTTCTGCCGGTTCTGACACCTCTGCACCAGGCGCGGGGGCCCTGTACCACCAAATGCAGTATGGTCTGCCTAGTGCCGGTAGCAAACCTGGCTCGCAGCCGGGATCGAGTTCGAACACCCCGTTGTTCCAGCCAATGCTGTCTCAAGGAGCATCTCAAGCATTTACGGGGACTTTACACAATTTCCAAGGTCTTTCTTCCAGAATCAGCGGACTCAGCCTAAATCCGCAGCCAATTCTGCAAAACCACACAGAGTCGCATCCACTGTACCATTCCGGTTCTGTTCCGCTGAATCTAGACCTGGATCTCTCGAAATAATGTAATTTATAGATAGCACTTTCAATACAGGAAAATTGCACCGCCATCTTTATACTCTGCTGCACCGCCACACCCGCCCTGTCGCGCTCTAACTAATTTGCTACACCAATGTCTCATTTGTGCTTTAATATTGTGTTATAATGATGGGCGATTCGGAGGAGCCGCCTCTTTTCGATCCCAGACGGGACACACAGACTTTGTTCAAGGTCCAGCTGTACGTGTGTTCTTTCTTGGGAGTGGTGATTTTTTTCTCTTTCTGTTTGGCAAGATACAAGTTCCCTTTGGTGTACTCTGTGCGGCCGTATAGAAACAAGATGATTCGCAGGCTACCCAACAACTTCCTTGGATGGATCAAAGTGTTGCACTCGATCACTGGAGACGAGGTCTTGCAAGTTGCCGGGCTGGACTCGTACGTTTTCTTGTGCTTCTTCCGTATGGGGATCAGAATCTTTTTATCCATGACTGTTGCAGGTTTGCTGGTTCTTAGTCCAGTAAGGTACTTTCTAACCGGGACATTTGATAAGGAGTCTAATCGGATGGAGATGTTTTACAAAGTGATGACCGGGTCGATCAGAACGGCCGCCAAACACGACGATGCTGATCCAACGGGTTACTTAATAGTGTGCACCATCTTCACTTATGTTTTCACCGCGATTGTCTACTTCTTCCTGTTCAAGGAGACTGCTCATATCATCAAGACCAGACAACGCTGTTTGGGTTCGCAGAGATCAGTCACCGACAGAACCATTTCGATCTCACAGATCCCTGAGTCATTGAAGAGCGAGGACGCTTTAAAAAAACATATTCAGACATTGGGAGTCGGTAACGTTGAGAAAGTCACTCTTGTTCACGACCACTCCAAACTTAAGGCCCTTTTTGATCGGCGCAAAGCTACTGTGGAAAAACTGGAACAGCTTTACTCGAGTCATTACGGGCTGGAAATTCACATACTGAAGAAAATAGACGTTCCGTCTACAAAAGTCAAGCTGGTGACCGATGAGTGGGACTCAGACGATGTATTCCCATTGTTAAAGGCGTTTGACTCGAAAAACAGAGAAAAAAAGAGACCTACTGGAAGAATCACCTGGTTTGGACCTAAAGTTGATCTGTTCGATTATTACGGTAAGCAGCTTATTGAGCTAGATGAAGCAATCGTTCAGTTGCGTCGAGAAGCCGACTTCCGCGCCACTTCGTACGCTTTCGTGACAATGGACTCTGTGAACGATGCGCAAATGGCTGCTCAGGCCGTTTTTTCTCCAAAAGTGTTTCAACTGATCACGTGTCTCGCACCTGCTCCCTTGGACGTCAATTGGGATAATTTACTATTAAGCTCGAGATCGGTGTTTATTCGCAAAAATATCGTGGAGCTGATTATCATCGCTTTCAGCATCTTGCTCATTATACCGATTCGGTACCTGTCATCGCTGTTGAACGTTAATGCTATCAAGAAAATATGGCCTGAGTTTGGTGACTACTTGCTCAAGCACGAGTTTTTCAGAAAGATCGTGACCGGTCTCCTTCCCACCTATTTGTTCACCTTGATCAACATTGCTTTGCCATATGTCATTTCGTTTCTGTCGAATCTGCAAGGACTAGTTTCCAAAGGAGACGTTGATCTCTCTGTGACCCGCAAGAATTTCATGTACATCTTTTTCAACTTGTTCTTGGTCTTTACGTTGTTCGGTACCTTGTCCAGCTACAAAGCACTGTTGACTGACACCACTAAAATAGCTCCATTGCTGGCAACATCAATCAAAAGCTTGTCGTTGTTCTACATCGACCTGATTTTGCTGCAAGGACTGGTGATGTTCCCAGTGAAGCTGCTTCAGATGGGCGATTTGGCATTCATATTCTGGCAATATGTAATCTGCCACGCATGGCAGACCCCAAAGACTTACAGAGACCTGTTTTACAAGCCTGCAATATTCGAAGTCGGCTTGATTCTCCCGCAACACATGTTGATTTTCATCATCACCATTATCTACTCTGTGATCTCCACCAAAATCTTGACCTCAGGACTGGTCTACTTTGTGTTTGGCTACTACGTGTACAAGTACCAGCTGGTGTACTCTATGGTGCATCCTTACCATAGCACCGGCAAGCTGTGGCCTATTGTGTTCCGCAGAGTGTGTCTGGGCATGTTTTTCTTCCAGTTGCAAATGTTTGGAACACTGGCCTTGGAACAATCGTTTATTCTCGCTGCGCTGGTTGTTCCTTTGCTACCAACCACGATCATTGTGTTGGTGTTTTTCAACCGCAACTACGTGCCATTACTGTTCTACATTGCTCTTGATGCAATCAAGACCTCGGGAGAGTCTGTTGAGACCGACGATTCCGACGATATGGGGTCTCTACTAAGTGCTGCCGATGGACAACATACCAAGCCTAGCACGGGCCGCAAGTCGATGGTGATAAGAACTCCCTCAGAAACATCGACTGCCCAGCTCGATGATGTGGAGGCGCAGCCGATCAACGTCCTGCGCAAACGAAGAAGCACCATCGACGAGACCAGAGAGGCGTTCCAGAATTACACCTATCCGTTGCTGGAGGAGGAACTGGACGGGCCTTGGATCGGGTTCGAAGGCGATAACATTGAGATGGTCCAGTACGACGCCGAGGACTCGCGAATTTTATCTACAGTCGTGCACAAAAAGAATACTCGGATCGAGTATGATTGAAAATCTGGGGTAAGACATGAAATCTCCGAGATCTCGGCATATGGACATTTTTTTGTTGCAGGTGCGACGCGTTGATCATATTTTTTTAAAACATGGCGCAGTTGAATCAAAAATAGGTATCCAAATATAGAACATTTAAATAGGTAGGAATCATCTACTTTTCAGACATCAATGGGTGTTGAAGATAACCCGTTTCATTTGGACGACGAATCCATTGACGAGCGCGTCGCGCTCCCCAATCCGTTCCACCAGGAACACGACGAAGAGGACCCTGTTGATGGTTCTGCAGGAGACTCGTTTGATCTGGACGATTACGGTTATCAGGACCCTTATCAAGAAACAGGACCATCCATGGTCCATGAGTCCGTTTTAAGACCTCCTTCTAATGTTTACGACAATTCCCAGTCGAGCTACTCTTCCAATAGCTCGTTCATCGAACCTGAAAAGGCCCAGGAGCCATACACCACCACCATGTTTTATCAGCCTCCTGTGCCTGAATTGCCATACCAACAGGGATATCCCGTGTTCCAACCTTTCCAAAGAGACAATGATGAGCCCATGATTAATAACGCGTTCTCGGCAAACAATACCGAGGACGCGATCGAACTTTTGAACGTGGCAGCTACCGGAGATACCAAGGTCCAGCTTCTCGACGACGGACATTACAGTTTTGACTATCCTGTTCCTAAACATCTGATCTCGCGGATCCCGTTTGAAGACGCGAAAAACCTCACAGAGTTCACGCATTTGCGGTATCATGCCATCACATCAGACCCAAAGGACTTTACAGACGGTGACATGGAAAAGCGCCAGGACATTGTCAATTATCCCTTGAGACCAAACCTTTACGGTGTCCGTCGTGAGACAGAGCTGATGATTGTTTGCACGATGTACAACGAGGACGAGGTGTTACTTGGACGTACTTTGAAAGGTGTCTTTAAAAACATCAAGAACATGTACAACTTGCCTGAAAAGGAGAACAACATCCATCCGTTCGGCAAGGACGCGTGGAAGAAGATTGTGGTGGTCATTGTGAGTGATGGACGGTCCAAGATCCATGAACGGTCAAAGGCATTGCTGACTTTGCTGGGTTGCTACCAAGAAGGTGTGATCCAGGAGAAAGTCAACGACGACAACGTGAACGCGCATTTGTTCGAATACACCACCACATTTGGTATTGGTCAGTTCGACTACCACAGAGGCAACGATGGAAAGGGTTTCACTGTTCCTTTGGTGACAGAACAGACTGTTCCGGTGCAGATGATGTTTTTGCTCAAGGAGCAGAATAAGCAAAAGATCAACTCGCACCGTTGGGCTTTCAACTTTTTGTGTCCGAACTTGCGGCCCAAGATTGTTTGTTTGCTCGATGTTGGAACTGAGCCGGGTCCCGACTCTATCTACAAGCTGTGGCAATCGTTCAAAGACCCACAAGTCGGTGGCTCTTGTGGAGAGATCCGCGCTATGCTGGGAAAAAAGATGAGTCCGAACGACGAAGGAACGTTTATGGAGAAGTTTGGTCGGTGGATCGTCAAGATGTTTTCTGATCTCATGTGTGTTATGTTCAATCCTCTGATTGCAGCACAGAACTTTGAGTACAAGATCTCTAACATCCTCGACAAACCTATGGAGTCTGCGTTTGGTTTTGTCACTGTGCTTCCTGGAGCTTTCAGCGCGTACAGATACGAGGCATTACAGGGCGACCCATTGAAGGCCTATTTCCACGGAGAAGATATGAAAACCAACACCGAAAAACCAGCAGGAACGCTCGAATCCAACATGTATCTTGCGGAAGACCGTATTTTGTGTTTTGAGCTGGTTGCCAAGAAAGGCGCCTCGTACGTTCTGCGGTACGTTCACGACGCGTTCGGAGTGACCGACGTGCCGTCCAACATTAGCGAGTTCATCAACCAGCGTCGGAGATGGCTCAATGGGTCGTTTTTCGCCGCATTGTACTCGGTGCTCCACTTCTACCGGATCTTCAGCTCGAGACACTCGTTTGGTCGCAAGCTGATTCTGCTCATCGAGGTGATCTACCAAACGGTCAACATCGGGCTCTCGTGGTTTTCGCTGTCGTTCTACTTTTTGGTGTTCCGAATTCTCACCTTGGGTGTTACAGCCACGTCCGTTGGCTTCAAAGCCGGAAACATATTGGCAGTGGTATTTCTGTGGATCTACATTGCCGCGCTCGGACTTACGTTCATCATTTCGTTCGGTAATAAACCGCGCGACGCCAAACGGCTGTACCAGCTGGCGTTCCTCCTGTTTTCCATTGTGATGGCGTACATGATTTTCTGTGTCATCATGCTGACGATTTCATCGGTCCACTCGATCCAGGACGAGATTGCGTCGTCAACCAAGAATAAGGTGCTGGCGTACTTTGAAAACTCAAAATTCCGCAACCTGACCGTGGCACTCTCGTCTACGTACGCATTGTACATCATCGGATCGCTGCTATTCCTGGACATGTTCCACATCGTTGGTTGCAGTCTACAGTACATTTTCCTGAGCCCTGCCTACATCAACGTGCTGAGTGTCTTTGCATTCTGCAACATCCACGACATCTCATGGGGAACGAAGGGTGCCGTTAAAGTGGACGACGCAGGAAAGAAACAGGCCAACAAGAGCGACAGCTCAAATGAGTTGATCTTGTCCGAAGCCCTGCGCGACCCAGACGAATTATATTTACTTGCGCAAACTGACATATCCGAGCCAGAAGCCGTTGAAAAAGAAAACACGCTAAAAACCTCGGAACGGAATTATTCCTTGGGAAGAACATACACTGTGCTTGCTTGGCTGGTGTGCAATTTCATCATCCTTGTTCTGGTGCTGCGTACGGGCGGACTTGACGACTACAATGACAATAAGAACAACAAATCCAGCAGCAGCACATCAACGTCCAAAACTAAACGAAGCACAGACACCAATAGCTCCAATACGTTTATGACGTTTGTTTTATGGTGCGTTTTTGTTCTTGCATTGTTCCGCTTGTTTGGAGCCATAGTGTATCGGTTGGACGCCGTATTCCGCAAACGTCGCTACCACAAACACGCTGTGTTCTGACTAAAACGATCTTCGTTGCAGCTTCGGGGTTAAATGTCAGCTCTGTGATTACTAAGGTCGGAGTTAAAGTACGAAAAAAAAATTGGAGTTAAGTCCAAATTTTCCCGCAAGCCGAGCCGAGCGGCTTTAATAAATAATATTTTCGAGTTAACATAGCATAGTAAATTCACTGCAATATAGTAAGTAATAATGTATCTACTGAATAGTATTATAACTGTAATCTCGTGAGATCGTAACTTCATCAAATTAGTTGATTCCGAGAAACTCGTCCTTCAGCGCAGGAACGATTAGAGCGCTCTCGACAGTGTTCGGATCATTTTTTTTGTATGGATGTGGGTGCTGCGAGTATGTGTGGTGGTGTCTGTGTTGGTTGGAGTGCTTGCGGTTCGTACTGTCGGAAGATCTTGTGGATGCTGATCTTTGCAAGTTGCTGGGAGGATGAACAGAGTCGAGGTACGAATCCTCACCAAAGTAGGAGGAGTAGGAGCTGTCGTTGCGCGAGAGATTCATCGGGTTGATCACCATGGTCTTGGAGTTGTAGGTGGAGTCTGGAGACGTTCCCAGCATCGAAGCTGGCGAGTTGAGGTCAAAGTCCGACATCAAGAAGCCGGAGCTCGACCGATGGGAGCCTAGCAACCCATTCAATGCCGAAGAGGCTAATCTATGGCCCGAGGAAGAGCCATTGAGGTCCACCGAAGAAGGAGCTCCGCTCTGAAGGTCGTCAAAGCTCTCTGCTCTGGCGGTAGGGGCATTGATAGCGTTCAAAAACAGGTCCGAAGGCAGTGGACTGAGAGGACTAAAGAATTCGTCGTCCTTCTCTTCCTCCTTGATGTCGTCAAGACGTCCCGAGGTCGAATGCGTGTTAATCATAAAGTCGGTATTGGAATCAGTGGTGGCAACGTTGGGTAGAGGCGAAAATGGCTCGTCCGATCTAGGAGTGATGGACTCTGGAGACGAGTATGGAACAAAACTTGGTTGCGGTACCTCATCCTTCTTAACTGGGTGGTCATCAAAAGTGTCATCATGAGAAGAAGATTTGCGTAAGCTACCTTGTTCAGGGCTGGTTTCGTTGTCTGAATGGTCTACAATATCAGATTTATCAATCAACAAGGAGATGGCCTGATTGATCGAAATTGGGACCGATTCATCGTATTCGTTGTAAGTCAAGTTTTCTGCGAATTGATCGAGCTCGACTGTGTTCTGGAGCTTCACCATTTCGGAAAGCTTAATCAGGGCTCTGTTAACAAGACGGAGCCTTTTTTCAATCAGCTCCACATAGTCGTAGGAGTAGCTCTTGTCTCTGCACTTCTTGCGTTCGGTGTAGATACAAATCTTGTTATCGGCCTGACACTTCTCGCAAGGCTGCTTGCCAGAACACTTTGTCTTCTTGAGTCTACAAGAATCACAAGCCTTTCCGACTCTTTTCTTCTTTTGTTGTTGGGATTTTCTATCTCCAAACCTATCAGGCGAGGAGAACGAGGAAGACATTGGCATGATGAAGTCGATGTTGCAATCAGGGTTGGATTGGGAGGGGGTAGGTTCAAATTCTGGAGGGAGTTTGCATGATATTTAAGCAAAATAAAACCCCTCGGTCGGCTGAGGACTTTAATGCCGACCCCGAGCAGATAAATTAATAATCGGATGAGCATAATGCGGGAACATTGAAGAATGAACAAACCAGCCGCACCTGGCTGTTTAATCATGCGTAACCAACTGTCTAACGGAAGGAACCCGTTCCTGATCTGCGGTATTTACCCAATAATTCTGCAAACGCTATCCGTCCAAGACTTTCCGTGGGGTTCGATTCCATGCAATCTATCAGTTGATATTATTTGATATTGGTAGTTGAACGTCAAGACAATAGTCATGCCACATACTGTCACAAAAGCAAACCACCCCCACTGAGGGGTCTCGAGCTGGAGGAAACTCGGCCAAATGTGACATAATTGGATAACACCGACATGCACTCTGTTTTTCTAAAATCCGAGCAACTGTCTCGATCGTCCCCCCTGTTTCTATACGTCGATTAAAACACCCGAAACTAGATCCTTGCTTTTTACCCCTAATGTTTTTTGTTACCTGCTTTGGTTGCTGCCGTACATGGAGCAGCGAACTGAATAGAAAAAAACCACTTCTGGTCCAGTAGCCCCGGTTTCTTTTTTTCCATGCACTGTCCAAAGTTACCGAATTAGTTGCGATATACACCTGCAAAATATTATTCCTAATAGTGCAGAATGTCCCGGATATTGGACTTATTCCTCAACTTGGTAGCAGCCACCATTCAAATTCCCCTGTTGCTTTTGCACACTTTGGGACTGGAGAACTGGCTTGCCTCGTTCCAATCGCCTTTCAATTTCCCAGATAATGTGTTACCGCGCTCTCCGCCAACTTCTTCCTCCTCCACCATATTAAACACCACGCGCTATCTCCACAACCAGATCGTCGATGCAGTCGACATCGTGCAAATTGTTCATCTACATGGCTATAAAGTCCACGAGCACGTCGTTCAAACAAAAGACGGCTACTTGCTGTCTATTCATCGAATAGTGTCTCAGTCCGCACCTAAAAATAAACCTGTTGTCTACATGCATCACGGACTTCTCACTAACAGCGAGCTATTCGTCCTCGGAGATACCACCTCTCGGTGTTTACCGTTTCGCTTGGTGGACCTAGGGTACGACGTTTGGCTCGGAAATAACCGTGGTAACAAGTATTCCCGCAAACATCTCACCCTCTCGTCAAGAGACGTGAAATTCTGGGACTACTCGCTGGACGAGTTCGCCATGTTCGACATCCCAGACACAATAGACTACATTCTGCGGGCCACAGACCAGCCCGATCTCACTTACATCGGATTCAGTCAAGGTTCTGCTCAATGTCTGGCCGCTCTGTCCTTGGACCGCGATCTCAACTCCAAGATCAAGTATTTCATTGGACTCTCGCCCGCAATGGTCCCAAAGGGCTTGAACCATCCAGTTCTGAGTTTCTTTGTCAACTCTGCTGCAAATTTGATGTACAGACTTTTTGGACGCAGAGCTATACTACCCTCGGTCGTGTTCTGGCAGAAATTGATGGGCCCTGCACTATACGAGTTGGTGGTGGACCGTTCGCTTGTGTTTCTGTTCGGATGGGAGTCTCGCAACGTGACCAAATCTCAGAAGAGAGTCGGCTACGCACACATGTTTTCACCTTCGAGCGTGAAAAGCGTGATCCACTGGTTCCAGATCATCAGCAGCGGCCGGTTCCAGATGTTTGACGAAGGCGGCACTTCGGGCTCGCGCCTGGTGTACCTAAGTGGTGCTGCCTCGTTGAAAACCAATAGAGTGGCTCCGTTCCCAACACCAACTATTACGACCCCCATTCTGCTGATCTACGGCAAGTCGGACTCCCTGGTGGACATCGACAACACCCTGAGCCAGCTAACATGTCCCGTGGACGTGGTGGGGATCGACAAGTACGAGCACATGGATACCCTTTGGGCAGCAGACGTGGAAGACAAGGTTTTCCAGCTGGTGACCAAAACTCTCGCTAGCATCTAGTAGATAAGCAGTTTACGAATATACGAGTAATTGTACAAAATGTCGTGTCAATCCTTGCAGTGGACCCCATACGGAAGCACGAAGGCTGTACCTTAGAAACTAGAAAGCTTCAGATGGTCGACTGCACCCAAGATTGGCAACGTTGATCTCCAGTCCAAGCGTAAAGACCGAGGTCTAGCCCCAGTATCCGTGATGTCATGGGTCAGAGCGCTCCCGAAAGAGGCTCAACCTCGGAAGGATGCGATGTTGGAGCTAGCTTGTCTGTGGTTTTGCGTTAAGAAAAAAAATTCCTTGAAAATTATTCTTAAATAGCGAAAACTGGCGGGCCGGGTAATCTACGATGCACTCTAGGAACCATTCCAAACTGCTCCTAGTGACAAGAGCCACTCTGCCCGGGGACGAGGTGGCTGTCACATCGGCACAAAATCGGCTATTCAACCTGTTGCAGCCGGCCCGGGACGATGGCCACGCGCGAATGGCTAAATTTAATTCAGACGGTGGAATGGCCAAAGGAGTCCGACTGCGGGCTTTTGCTTTCCTTTACTCCAAAATTTATGACTGAAAAAAATCACCAACCCCAGATTTTTTAGCATACTCTAATGATAATAGCAAGAGCGCCCGTCCGCCATCTTTTGCGGCGCTCGTTCGCCACCAGCGCGTTTCTGAGGACCTCCAACGTGTCGATCGAGCCTGTCACGCAGCTGAAGCCCCGCCATATGGCCCAGTACGCCCAGAACCCACATTCCTTCTTCAGAACAATAGTCTGGCAAACCCCGCCTTCAAACATCCTCGTGGTGAAAAAGCCCTGGAAGGACGAGGTCACGCACGCCGCGTCTGTTTTCATCGACCATATCCACTCGTCGTACCCAAATTGCACGGTGATCGTCACCGAAGACGTGGCCCAGGAACTGAAAGAGAACCCCGGCGTGCTTGCAAATTCCGAGCCGGGCGTCAAACATGTCCTGTACACAGGCACCAGCGAGGAGATCGTGAGCAAAACAGACCTGATCGTGTCGCTGGGCGGAGACGGCACGGTACTTAGAGGAGTCTCGCTGTTTTCAAATACAACAGTGCCTCCAATCCTCTCCTTCAGCTTGGGCACTCTGGGATTTCTGCTCCCGTTCGACTTCACCGACTTCAAAGAGGCGTTCAAAAAGGTGTTTGAAAGCAGAGCGCTAATGCTACACAGAGAACGACTTGAATGTCACGTGGTTAAAAAATCTAGATTTACAAACTCAGACCCACAGTCGCTTTACAAAAGCGACTCTGACGAACTAACACAGATCCATGCAATGAACGACATCGTGCTGCATCGCGGCTCCTTGCCAAGTCTGATCAGTTTGGACGTTTATGTCAACGGCCATTTTTTGACAACCACCACAGCTGATGGCTTGGTTTGTGCCACGCCCACCGGCTCCACGGCATATTCACTGTCTGCCGGCGGCTCTATGGTTCACCCGATTGTGCCCTGTATTCTATTGACTCCCGTCTGTCCAAGATCACTCTCCTTCAGACCTCTTATCCTCCCATCGATTTCGCACATTAAGGTGGTTGTGAGAAGCAAGGACCTGGCCGGACACGAATGTTCCGCCAAGCTGTCGATCGACGGAATCCCACAACTCAAGCTTCGTGCTGGCGACGAAATCCACGTTGTCTCGGAAGCAGGCTCCATATTAGACCCATCTTGGAACTTGCCCAGCTCGCTCTCCTTGAAGAAAGTACCGTCCACAGAAAACGTCAAATCTGGAATCTGGTGTGTTGCACGCACCAGAGGCGACTGGGTCACAGGAATCAACAATCTGCTGGGCTTCAACTCGGGATTTAAGAGCATTAACGAAAACTTGTTCCATTGATAGCTTTAATTCATCTCCTTTTCGTGGACTCCGTTGCTAGCAGCCGGTTCTGGCTGCTTGGCTTCTGTAGACTCTACAGTCTCTGCAGTCTCGGTAGGTTGCTCAATCTTGTCGTCCTTCTCTTGCTGCTCAAGTTCTTTCACCATTTCCTCTGCAACCTCGCTGTAGTAGCTTGGAGGGATGATGGAAGGGGTGGACTTTGCAGCCTCGTTGTAGTTGGTCGAGTCTTTGGACTTGGATGCGTCCTCGTCCTTATCGAAGTACTCGTTGTCGGGAATGATTCGTTCATCATGCGCTTTCTGCGAACCTCCACGGGTGTCGATGGCCTCCTTGGTGTCCTCCTCTGGGTCGTCGTCGAAGTCGGCAAGGTCAGGAGGAACATCGTGCATCTGCACAGAAGGAGTGTGCTTGGTGTTTTCAAGACTGACCAAAATCTGCGTGAGAATTCTGTTGAGGTACTCAGGCGAATTGGCGTTGTGCATGTTCGAAGGTCTCACATCAAGCTTGTAATCGGGTCCAAAATATTCGTAGTAGTCGTTGAAAGGAAGATCGGAATCCAAAAGAGTCTCGTTGAGCAAACCAGCCTCGAATGCCCAAGTTCTGGCAACGTTTCTCATGGTGTACCCTCCACCTCCAAGAACCATGGTTGGCACGTTAAAGCGTTTCACAAAGCTCACACAGTTAGCGTGTCCGCGCATAGACAAGTTGAAACATCCAAGTTTGTCACCGGAAAGCGAGTCACCTCCACATTGAAGAACAACGGCAGATGGCTGATACCAGTCCATAATTTTCTGGATCACCGGCTCAAAGATCGACTTGTACGAAATATCGTCAACTCCGTCTCTCAGAGGCACGTTGACGGCATAGTATTTTCCCTTGCCAACACCAATATCTCTGAGCTCACCTGTACCAGGGAAAAATTCTCCGTACTTGTGGAACGAGCAGGTCATCACACGATCTGTGGTATAGAAGGCCTCTTCGACACCGTCACCATGGTGCACATCGGTATCGATGTACAAGACACGTGGATGGTATCTCAAAAGCTCGATGATTCCCAAAACAATGTCATTGACATAACAAAACCCAGAGGCCTCGGCTTTTTTAGCATGGTGCAAACCTCCGGCGTAATTGATGGCGATATCGCATTTTCCTCTGTTGAGTCTGGCGGCACCTTCCATGGATCCTCCTCCAGAAATACCACAGTACTCAAACAAACCATCAAACACAGGACTGTCGTCTCCAACGTTGAACTTGGCCTGCTCTTTGGAAAACATCTCCAGGTTGTCCGGAGTTGCTCTGGCAAGGAAGTCAATGTACTCGTCCGTGTGGAACTGGCACATCTCCTGTCTGGTTGCCGGCTTTGCCCGGTAAATCTCCATCTTCTTGTACAGACCATAGTTCATGATCAGAGAGTGCGCCATCCTTATTCTATGTGGTTTCATCGGATGTGCGGCACCATACGCATAATTCCCCACATCGGAATCGTAGAAATACGCAACTCTTTGCTTGTTGTTTGGATTGACCTTTAGGTCGTCAAATGGTTTGAGCTCAAACACCATTGGGAACACAAGTAAAAAAGATAACTTTCTACTCTTGCAGGGTAACGTGGAAAATGCTTCCTTTTTTATGGTGCGCGGTGTAGAGATAATTTTCAGTCTCTATATAGAGTATCGGCTATAAACTATGCGTATGAGAGGGCAGACTGGTTGATCTGCTTTTGGTATGATCTGTAGTTGGAAATTTCCTGTGAGAGCCGTTGCTGGAGTTCTGTTTCCTGCCGCAGTTTCTGGTAAACCAGGTTGTTTATCTCAAAGCTAAGTCCTGATCCATAGCTGCTGCTCAGGCGAATTGGTAGCAGCCATTCCACAAGACTGTTGCCCATGACCGCTCGCCAATTCTGTTTGTATCCAAGATTGAATATGTTTCCGACGTAGGGAGCGTTCTGGTTAGACCTGTACCGTTGAGATTCGTATGCCTCTATGGTTGTTCTGTTGATCAGCAGCTGGTAAATGGAAAAAGCCGTGAATATCAGCACACATAGTCCCATGATCAGACCAACAATGAAAACAAACATGATGTGCAGCGAAAACTTGTCCAAATCAACGGTCTCCAGATAGTATATTTCGTAGAGTGAGTAGCCCGAGATGGCGGTGGCCAGAGCGATGTAGATTGTGCAGTAGATCAGAAATTGAATAAACAGTTTATGGTTCTTGAATCCAATGCAGTCCGCAAACCACGGACAATGGTGATCCATCTTCAAGACACACATATCGCACGAGGCGCAATGGTGACATCTATCTGGTTTCCAGACTTTGCACTTGTTGCAGAAGCGAAATCCGCCGTCCCGTTTCACTGTGATTGAGTTTTCCTGTAAGAATGCTGGGGGAACAGGCGTCTCGTCTGTATCCGAGGGGAGAATTCGTAACTCATCAAAGTCGGAAGGCGATCCGGGCCCAATTGCAACAACGAAATAGTAGGATATCAAGCACAAAGCCTCAAGCAGGGTCATCAATACCAGAATGGCAACGGCACTGAATGTGTTTTCAACAAGCACCAGGTCGATTTTGAATATCACAGCATAGTAAGACCATACGAGCAGCAGCGTGCAAACAAACTTGGGAAATGTCGAGGCGATCGTACAACAAATTTGTCCAACGGTCACCATCAACGCATTTATTGTAATTATAATTTACTTTTTTTTTATTTCGCTTGAAAAACAATGTAAACACCCCTTATTTCTCCGAATTATCGTTCACCTCATAAAACTTTCTGAAAATAAACGACACCAAATGATCCGTGTCGAACAGAACGCTGTCGTCGAAAAGCTTAACAGTCTTTTTGTGCTCGTACTGTAAGTTCAGCAGATCGTCCATGGTGATTCTCTCGTGGCCACTGACTCCGAGAGAGTTCTTGGAGATGTCAAAGCTGAACTCTCCTTGACGCTCACAACTGATCGAGATGCTGATCCGACTCATAGCAAAAGAGGTCACGCTCACATCGCAGAACTCGAGTAAAACACGTTGGTCCATCAGATGTTTCGCTGAGTACTTGTAAGACCCAAACTTGGGCAAGTATCCCTTCTTCTTCCTCATCTCTCTCTCGTGGTAGTACTGTTTGGAGAAGTACTTGAACAAAGTCGGTTTCTTCTTCAGCATCGTCTGGTGCTGCATTTTCATCATCACACGGTCGATATCCTTAATGTAATCGGTGTACACCTTGGAACACGTCCTTTCTTTCTTCTTCAACTTGGTGAGTGTTTCCACCACAAGCTTCAATTGGCGTTCTCTTTCCTCCTTCTTGGACTTGTTGGTCTTGATATCGTGAGCAATCTCGTTCAGAATGGCCTGGTATCCGTTCTCACGAGTAATGTAGCCATTGTTTTCAAGCTCCAACAGAAGCTCAATAGCATGTTTCTTCACCTGCGGGAAAGTGGAGTTGTGGATCTTCCGAAGTGTTCTTCTCTCCATTCCCAACTCCGGAATCACGCTGTTTGCCTTCTCTTGTTTCACAAGCTCCTTAAACCTGAGCTCATCAGATGGAGTGATCTCACTCAATAGCATGTCTAGCAGATCAGCACCATCTTGGATCTTGATGATGTAGATCAAGTATTCTTTGACTTCCAATAATGCCACCTTAGTTCCCACGATCTTCGGGTCAGTACTCTCTGCAATAGGTTGCAAGTAGAGCTCCACCAGACTGTTCTTCGTTTCAATCTTGTTGTGGAAAGAAGAATACTCTTCTATCTCCATCAACAGGAAGTGCAAGTAATCGTCTTCATGAACGATGAGCTCTTCTTGGTTATCGGAAACGATCTGTAGCATCTCGGAAATTTCATCTTTCAACAACTCGAGTTTAGGCTTCTGACTAGAAACAACGTCCTCGTATATCGATTTTCTCTGATATGCCTCTTCAATGGATCCCACATCAATCAAATCCTTCAAGATTTTCCGAACTCCTTCGATGTACTCCTCGATGAATGGATTTAGTGGTTGCAAATAAACATTTTCCGAGTTGAAAGGTCTCATGAGCACCAGTTGGTTCAAAACTCTAGCCACATGGACAAGGTTTTCACGCATACGCACCGCGTGGTCAGAATCATCTGACATACTTTCAATGTCGATACCGTAATTTTCAGGGTTGATGAATAACGGCAAAACATAGCATCTGAGGAAAATCGATCCAGCAGCACTCAGGTAGAATCTCTCAGACTCTCCAGGATAGTTCGCCTTGAGTTGATCGTATGCGCCCCGGCAAACGGCTCTGATGTATAATGGAACTTTGCCGACCAACAGTCCGAGAGTTTTCATGACGGCGTACGATGCCTCTCTCAACTGACTGAGGTTTTTGACAAACTGAGCTCTAGTCTCGTCATCGTCAATTGGATCCATCTCGTCCAAGTCTTCCATGGTCTTTAAGGTCATACGGCCTTCTAACTGGTCCCTCTCGATCAGATCTTGATAAATCTTCTGTGGGTCTGGTTCATACGATGCGTCCTCGTCCATAGTTACTTTCCAAACGCAATCAGAAAGAATTCCTTTGGCCAATGCCCTCTGTTGAGGAAGGTTGACGTAGGTCATAAGCAGATTTTCCCAGGTCTTATTGTTTCGTGTCGATATGGTTTGTCTTGACTTGACAAAGTTCTTCAGACGGGCCAAAGATTCCAGACCTTCAAAGCATTCATTTGATGCAAACAAGATAAGCTTCATCAGCAGGTACTCTTCACGGCATGGGGCAGTAGACTTCGGAGAGACAAAGTTGCTGTATCCAAAGCACTTGAGCACCCAATCCTCAATATCTCCAGTACTCAAGCTCAACTCGGCTGTTTCGTTATCTATAATAGTTAATAGATGTCCAAGATAGTCGGGTTTGGTTTGCAAAAGATAAAAGAACTTCTCATAGAGTCTTGTGAGAGTCTTTATAGGCTTGATAACAATCTTCTCCGGGTTTGATCCCAAACTCTTGTTCAAGTTGTCGTTGAGGTCATTTGAGAATCCAGTCAGGTTCATATGCTCATCCTTGAATTTGGACAATTCATCCAGGGAAACATGGTTCTTCTTCAGTAATTGGATCTTGGCTCCAAGCTGGTTCAAGTTCAACTCCCATTGTTCAATTCTCTTGGTTTCATTGACGATCTCGTCTTTATATTTCTGGATCTTCTTCTCATCTTCAATCTCCGACCCAGGGCCATCCAATAAACCAATGAAGTTCTTGATTGCTTTCAAAGGGGGATTCTTCTCGTAGATCAAAGACTTGTAATCGTGCTTGGTACGAGAAGCACGGAACAAATTTTGAAGTTTGATGATCTTTTCAACGTTATCCGGCTTGTTAAACCAAGCTTCTCTATCTGCTAATCTTTTTCTCAACAGGAAACCTCTAATGTCGGATTGTAGGCCGATCACTGTGTCCTCAGAGTCCTGAACATCTTCTTGAAGAACCTCCATGTAGAATCTTTGGAGTACACCTCTGAAAACAGTTTGCAATTGTTTCACGGATGTGGCATTCTTGTATAATTCACGCTGGGTACGTCTCACATCATCCCGAACCAATTTACCTCTGCATAGAGCGAGGAAGTTGTTGAGTCTATAATCTTGCTCAAGATAGTGTGTGGACAGATGTTCTTGACAGGAGACACTAACTTTAATTCCCGATCTCGTAGTCTTTCCTGAGTTCTTCTCCATCCGTGAAACCAGGTAGCCATCATTGTGTCTAACCAGCCCTCCCCTGATATGAGCTTGCAGCTTGATGATTGAGCTGGTACGACTTAGGAGAGCTTTTCTGTCGCGATAGTTTCTTTCACGCAGAATCCCTCCTCTCATAACACTTTGAAGTCTGACAATTGATGCTTCCTGTTCAGTCAGCCTTGATCTGACAGCAGTGTACTTGTCTTCACGCTTGGCATTCTTCAAGATAGCCTGAAGAACAGAAAGGGATCTGGAGTTGGCCAAAAGACTGTTATGGGTGTTTGTCTTTCGAGATCTGGCAATATTTCCTCTTATGATAGCTTGAAATCTAGCGATGTCTGGGGTGAAAACCTTCAGCATGAACTTACTAACAAACAGTTCATAACGTAGCAGTGTTCCCCGTGCAACAGCCTGCAATTGAATCAGTTGAGCGACTTCACTATCCTCAGATGTTGGTATCTTTGGGTCTGAGGCCGAGCGAAGTCTCAATCCATTATCAGAATCTATCATCGAGCTGTACTTTTCCTCAATTCTGTCAATATCCATCTCAAACTCTTCCTCTTCAAATTTCTCTTTGAACAAATGTCTGGCTTGAGCAGTTTCTTGATGGACAACCTTGATGTTAGGTTTTTCCTCGAAAAGGATCTCATCTTCAGGTTCTTCAATCACTGTCAGGCTGTCCCCAAGGTTGACACGAACACCTTCATCAATGTTCTTGAAGTTTGGTAGCTTCAAGCCCCTAATTTTGATTTGCATCTTCTTCACGTCAGCTTCCTCAATGTCATATTTTTCCAAACGTCTCACCTTTGGAGCTTTCTTGTTGGCAGACATCATGTAGCTCAATGCATGCAAACAGAAGATAACTTTAGGGGTATTCTTAGTTTCAAACAAGTCAGCAGTCTCAAAGATGAACATGTCTGGTAAATCTATGCTCTTTAAGAACTCCAAAAACATGACAACATTCTCGGTGAACTTGAAGTAAAGACCACTCTTGTTTTTGAAATTGGTGCCTGGTGCATTGTTTTCACCGTAGTAAATGTTCTTTGTCTTGGAAAAACCAAACTTTTGGGCAAGCCTAGCAACCAAAATACCGTTTCGAAGGTACTCTTGGAATTCTGCAATCGAATCGTTCTGTAGATCAATTTTGATCTCTAAACAGTCTTCGATCCAGTTCTTGATCTCTGCCACCCTGCAAAGGAACTCGTACGCTTGAGTGGTTTTGCGGTCACGGTCCATCCAAGAGCCTGTTTTAACCGGTTCGTCGTCAAGTTGGCGGTTTGCATTTGAGGCGTCACTCGTGAGTCGAAACTTGCCTGACTGCGACTCAACACGGGAAGTTTTCCGCAGCTTGTTCTCGATGTTTCTCAACTTGTTCAGATTCTTTAACGAAGGCGAGTTGGAGAGCGCACTGTTGATCTGTCCCATTGTTTTGATCTCACTTCGTGAAGGTTTGTGCAAAGGTTCAGATCTTAGCTTATTGGTAGCAAATGGAGCAGGTATAGGAATGAAGTTAGAGGCATTATTTTGGAGGGTATCTTGTTCTTTTTGTTTGATTAGTCTTTTGACAGGTGAGTCGTTGTCCAGGAAACTGGATTTCTGAGGAGACTTGAACGGATTTTCGTTCTCCTTCAGGTTAGCAGTGGCTCTTTTAGTTGGAGAACTAGGAGCACTGGTGTTGTAGGAGTTTGCCGGCTTGAGAGGGGACAGATGTGGAGAGCTAATAGCCTCCAGATACCTGGAGGCCAAGTTTTTCTTGCCATCCTTGCGAACGGAAGTGTCCATCGACATGGCCTAAATGATTTGTCTCGATTATATTGTAAACAGTGAAGTGTAAACAAAAATAATTTTCGGTGTGAGGAGGATATTTCCATTTTGGGCGAAAACGGGTATGATAGATGGGATGGTAGCAGGACTTTCTCGAAGTACGAGCGCACACTTTAGCTAGTGAACTTGATGCGTATCCATTTACTGTACTAGAGCCTATGTTCTCACAACTAATTGCAAGTCAATTGGGTCCATCTGTAGAGCAAACACTTATAAGTCCTCAGTATAGCTGATTCCTCTTGCAAACGCCAAAGAGGCTCCATGGTTGTTCCTCTATGTCTTGTTATGTATCACAACTGTTCTGACGGTTAAGTAACAGTGAATGGGAGCATCCTGTGGTCTGGTCAAGTGATCTCGAAATTTCTCCGACGCGCCTATCGACGCCACATTTGCAAATTCCAATTTTTCATGGAAGCTTCTGGACGAAAAAGTTCGTCCAGTTTGACAAGAGAGGATAATAGTAGGTGCATATATAAAGAAGGCCCATTCCCAGGGCCAACGAGTGGGTTTTTTTTTCATATTAAAATTGGAAACTACAATTAGGCACTATGTCGACGAAAAGTGAATCTTATGAGTTCCAAGCTGAGATCTCTCAGTTGATGTCCTTGTTCATTAACACCGTTTACTCGAACAAGGAAATCTTCCTCAGAGAATTGATCTCTAACGCTTCGGACGCCCTGGACAAAATCAGATACCAAGCTCTCTCCGACCCATCTGTCCTTGAGGCAGAGCCAGAGCTTTTCATCAGAATTACACCAAAACCAGAACAGAAGGTTCTTGAGATCAGAGATTCCGGTATTGGTATGACCAAAGCTGAGTTGGTGAAGAACTTGGGTACCATCGCTAAATCTGGTACTAAGGCTTTCATGGAGGCTCTCTCTGCCGGTGCAGATGTCTCTATGATTGGTCAATTCGGTGTGGGTTTCTACTCCCTTTTCTTGGTTGCTGACCACGTTCAAGTGATCTCCAAGAACAATGACGACGAGCAATACATCTGGGAATCCAACGCTGGTGGAAAGTTCACTGTTACCCTCGACGAGGAAAACGAGAGGATCGGCAGAGGTTCTATCATCAGATTGTTCCTGAAGGAGGACCAAACCGAGTACCTCGAGGAGAAGAGAATCAAGGAGGTTGTCAAGAGACACTCCGAGTTCGTTTCTTACCCAATCCAACTTGTTGTCACCAAGGAGGTTGAAAAGGACGCTCCAGAAGAAGAGGCTGAGGAGGTTAAGGACGACGAGTCAAAGGAAGCCAAGGTCGAGGAAGTTAAGGACGACGAGGACGAGAAGAAAGAGCCAAAGAAGGTCAAGGAGCTTGTCACCGAGACCGAGGAGTTGAACAAGACCAAGCCTCTGTGGACCAGAAACCCATCCGAAGTCACTCAAGAAGAGTACAACGCTTTCTACAAGTCTATCTCCAACGACTGGGAAGACCCATTGGCCGTTAAGCACTTCTCTGTCGAGGGTCAATTGGAGTTCAAGGCTATCTTGTTCATTCCAAAGAGAGCTCCATTCGACTTGTTCGAGTCCAAGAAGAAGAAGAACAACATCAAGTTGTACGTCAGAAGAGTGTTCATTACCGATGAGGCTGAGGAGCTCATTCCAGAATGGCTTTCTTTCGTCAGAGGTGTGGTTGACTCTGAGGACTTGCCATTGAACTTGTCCAGAGAGATGTTGCAACAAAACAAGATCTTGAAGGTTATCAGAAAGAACATTGTCAAGAAGCTTATTGAGACTTTCAACGAGATCGCTGAGGACCAAGAGCAATTCGACAAGTTCTACACTGCCTTCTCCAAGAACATCAAGTTGGGTATCCACGAGGATCAACAAAACAGACCAGCTTTGGCTAAGCTGTTGAGATTCAACTCCACAAAATCTTCTGACGAGTTGACTTCTCTGTCCGACTACGTCACCAGAATGCCAGAGCACCAAAAGAACATCTACTACATCACTGGTGAGTCCATCAAGGCTGTTGAGAATTCTCCATTCTTGGACGCTTTGAAGGCCAAGAACTTCGAAGTTTTGTTCTTGGTTGACCCAATTGACGAGTACGCCATGACCCAACTGAAGGAGTTCGAAGACAAGAAGCTTGTCGACATCACCAAGGACTTCGAGCTTGAGGAGTCTGAGGAGGAGAAGAAGGAGAGAGAGGAGATCACCAAAGAGTACGAGCCATTGACCAAGACTTTGAAGGATGTCTTGGGCGACCAAGTCGAGAAGGTTGTTGTTTCGTTCAAGCTTGTTGACTCTCCAGCCGCTATCAGAACCGGTCAATTCGGATGGTCTGCCAACATGGAGAGAATCATGAAGGCCCAGGCTTTGAGAGACACTTCTATGTCTGCATACATGGCATCCAAGAAGATCTTTGAGATTTCTCCAAAGTCTCCTATCATCAAGGCATTGAAGGCCAAGGTTGAGGAGAGCGGTCCAGAAGACAAGGTTGTGAAGAACTTGACTACTTTGTTGTTCGACACTGCATTGCTGACCTCTGGTTTCTCTTTGGACGAGCCAACCTCGTTCGCCAAGAGAATCAACTCTTTGATTGCTATTGGATTGAACATCGATGAGGATGTTGAGGCTCCTGCTGAGGAGGCCACTGAGGCTCCATCTGAAGAGGCTGTTGCTGAGTCTGCTATGGAGGAGGTTGATTAAAAAAATCGATTTAACGGTACTGTTAATAGTAATAAATTTTAATGGATGTGAAGTTTTTGGGCTTTAGTAATTAGTACTTTTCTTTTTTAATCGGTTCAAGAAGAAGAAGGAATTCCATCAAAATAAATACTACACATTATTTTTTATTTCTTGATACTGAAGCATTGATCATTTTGCGGAGTTTCTGTGCCGTCTTTTTGCAAACTTATAAAAACACAAAGTACGGGGGTACTTTTTGATGGTCCATCCAATCGATCGGTTAATTCAGTTATATCGCAAAGAATCCGTGCCAACAGTTGTTCCCACAAAGTCCAAGCTACATTACCAATCTATTTCGCTTTATCTATTTGTGTTTAGTGTTGGGATATACGTATTATTACCATCTTTAATTCCTTCAGCATACCCAACCACCATGTTTTCCAAAAGACCAGACAGATTGACCACGGGGTTGATCAACATGACCACAGATTGCTTTGCCAACTGTTGCCTACAGGCGTTGGCTGCGTTGCCTGGGTTGAACGAATATCTGAACGCCATGACAGAATTCCGCAATGCCAAGCAACAGGAAGGCGTGCAGTTGCCAGCGTTCACTTTGCACCTGGCTCTGATCAGCATGGTGTCCAAATTGCAGGAGACCATTTACCACTCGCGAGTGTTGTCCGTTTGGGACTTTCTCCATGTTATCGAAAAGATTTACAAGAGCAAGATCTCCATGAGCCAGCACGACGCCCAGGAGCTTTTGCAGCTCATTCTCGAGACCCTTGAGCGTGAGCACCATCAGTTGCGCAAAGTTGCTGCGGGTATTCCCGATTTCCCCTTCAGAAGTGAGGTTGCCTCCCAACTTCGGTGCATGAAGTGCGGGCGTAAGAGCTCCACTCAGTACAATCCGATGATGATAGTGTCGCTGCCTGTTCCGCAGGAGGCGTCTATCGATCTCGAGAGCATGCTGAAGGGAAGCGAGAACGACATCATCGACTACTACTCGTGCGTCAGATGTAAGATCACCCATATCATCAACACGGTCAAGGAGCCAGATCCAATAGTCAAGAAGTTGCAACACAGACTAGACCAGGACCTGTTGATCAACGACGACCTCGAACCGGAATTAGAAGAGTATATCAAGAACTTCCCCGACATCAAGTCCGACTCCATCAAGACCACCGTCCACAAGGAAACGTCCATCATCGACCCTCCAAAACTGCTCACGCTGCACCTTTCGAGATCCATCTACGATACGCAGGCCAGGCGGAACTCTTGCAATGTCGACTTCAAGGAGTTTCTCACTCTGAAGGTGGACACTGCCGAGATGGACAAGTACAAAGTGATCAAGAAGGAGGAGGAGGAAAGAAGCGACGACGACCCACCTCAGCTGAGACGGGCGATCTCGTCGATCTTGGAGGAGAAACCGGGGTCCGAGTATTTAGAAGACTCCGGAGTCCACTCCGACCACGAGGAAGAACAGGAGAACGAGGAGCTTGTTTCGGACGAAGAAGAGTTGGAGGACGAGGACGACGATGAGGACGACGTGGCCTCTAGGCTCGCGGCACAGAGAATCAGCGAAACCACCTCCGACACCCTTGTGAACGACGACCTCAAGACTATTCATTACCGGCTGTATGCCGCGGTTAGGCACCAGGGGTCCCATTCGTTGGGCCACTACGAGTGCTACCGCAGAAAACCCGTCTTTTACAAAAACTCCGTCACCGGCGAGTACTACCAGAAGTTCCCCAAGCTCGACACAGAGGAAGCCACCGCTGGCGAAGGGCCGGCCGTGGATATCCGCAGACAAACGTCGATGTCGCGTTTGCGGTCGCGTGTGTCGTCGCTGGTTGGAGCCACCAGACCTCGCTCGCCATCGCTTGTGGAGCCGGCCCCAACCTCGGTGATCCGGGACAAGAAGCTGGCCAGTTCGGTGAAACAACCGTTCTGGCGTGTGAACGACTCCAAGGTGTCTGAGTGCTCGGTGTCTGACCTGCTGGAAGACTCCCGCGCCGTGTATATGTTGATCTACGAACAAGTTGAATAAACATTGATATAATTATAATATAGATTACTTCTATAGAACTGAAAGTCCCTAGTGAATAACCACCACTAAGTCACCTGCCTCCACCATATCACCGTTGGTGTGCAGGATTTTGATAACCTTACCGCCCTTTGTGGCGTTCACCACCATCTCTGTCTTCATGGCCTCCACAACAACCAGACCCTGTCCTTCCTTGACCTCGTCTCCAACTTCCACCAGAGGCTTCCAGAAACGTCCAGAGTACTCGGAGTACACCAACTCCGCGTCCTCAGGATAGGTCTCTTCCTTGGCCAGGTTCTCGGAACCAGACTTTTGGAGCTCGGTGTTGGAAACCTGGATCAATCTGTTGAACTCTTCAAGCTTCTCGCCGCCCTGGTTCTTTTGGAACTCGGCAATCGACTCAGAGTTCTCCTGCACCCATTCCAGGTACTTGGTGTGGTCAAACACAGACTCAGACATCTCCACCTTGAAGTGTCCGTGTTGAGCGTCCTCAGAGAACTTGTCGAGGTCTTCCTCGGAAACAGGATAGAACTCGACCTGGTCGAACGGAGTCAGCAACCATGGGTTACCAGAGTTGGACTCGGCAGTGTGCGTTCCCAAGGAAAGCTTGTCCCACAGAGGCAGCGTTCTTCCAACAAGTTGGTAGCCACCAGGAGAGTCCATGGTGTAGATACACATGTACATTCCTCCGATACCAACAACTCCGTTAGGAGTGAAGGTTCTGGACGGGTTGTACTTGGTTCCCAGGAATCTGTGTCTTGGGTCCAATGGCACGGCACATGGTGCTCCCAAGAAAACGTCTCCCAGACCCAAAACCAGGAATCTGGCAGCATACAACATGTCCTTCACGGCAGATCTCTCGATGCCGTTGATCTGAGCAATGAAGTCCACGTTGTTAGGTAGCCATGGAGCACTTGACCGAATGGTCTCGGAGTATCTCTTCACAGCGTCCAAGGTCCGTTTGTCCTCGAAAGCCATAGGAAGCTTTATCACACGGCTCTTGACAGACCACTTGTTGGTGAAAGCAACCTCGGTCTCATAAGCGATCAAAGTTTCCACCAAAGTTTTTTGGCTGATCTTGGATCCATCGTATTCCACCAAAACAGATCTCACACCTTGCGACATCTCGACAATTCCAACGGTCTTGTGCGAGTCAACCATCTCAATCAGCTTGTGCACTCTGTACGACAGGTTGAGGTTCATAATGTTCTCACCGTATTCGACCAAGATGTATCTGTCACCAGCCTGTCTATAGGTGACAATAGGAGCGTTCGAGGAGCCGGTTGGCTGGTATCTGGCCAAAACAGGGTCTTCTGGTCCAGCCAGTCCTTTCTCGATGACTGGAGCAGAACCCTTGAGTTCCTTGATGGCCTTGTCCTGGGAAGTCTTGAGCTCAATAGCAGAGTCAAAGCTAACAGGATAGAACTGGATTAGGTCTCCAGGCTTGACCTGACCGATCTTCCACATCTCAGCTTGACAGACAACAGCCTGACAAACGAATCCTCCAAGAGAAGGACCATCGCACGTCAAAATCACAGGCTCGTCACCAGTGAAGTTGATGGCACCTAGCGAATAGACGTAATCGTGGGCGTTCGATGGATGCAGACCCGCTTCTCCACCGTCTGGTCTGGCCCACTTAGGCTTAGGACCAATCAATCTCACACCGAATCTATTGGAGTTGTAGTGAACCTTCCATGGCTCTGCAAAGAATCCCTTAACAGACTCCTCCAAAAAGAAGTCTGGAGAACCGTGAGGACCACAGGTCACAGCAACCTTCCACTCCTTACTGGCAATTGGAGGAATCAAAGATGCTGGAACGGGTTGTGGAGCAGACACTGGAGCTGGCAGAGTGCATGCTTCCAAGTTAGGTTGACCCAAAAAGAGAACGTCTCCCAACTTGAGCACTCTTCCGTTGTATCCACCAAGGTTTCCGAGAGCAAAGGTGGAACGAGAGCCAAGATACTCAGTAACATCGATACCGCCTCTGATAGCCAAGTAACTTCTGCATCCAGAAGTCAGCTTGCCAATAACCAGTTTGTCGCCTCTCTTAATGTCAATTGGCTCGTACATTTTCTTGGACTCGCCGTTGACAGTAATTGGAACCTCTCCACCGGTAATGCCAATGACGGCCTCATGGTGGAACAAAATGGAAGGACCGTTCAAAGTAATTTCAATAGCAGGAGCCTTTTCGTGGTTACCAACAATTCTGTTGGCCAGTCTGAAAGAGTAAGCGTCCATTGGTCCAGAAGGTGGAACACCAATTCTCCACAAACCGGTTCTACCTGGGTAGTCCTGGACGGTGGTGTAGGCACCTGGAGAAGTGATCTCGAAAGCGTTGGCCTTGTAATCGTAAGAGTCCAAAACCTTGGTAGCAACCTTGGCAGTCTCAAACATGGTGGAGTTGGCAACAGATCTCAAGTAGTCGATATTGGTAATACATCCGTAAACGACTGTCTCGTTCAGAGCTTTTCTGAGTTTCTTTAAAGCGTCAGCTCTGTCCTTACCGTGCACAATGATCTTGGCCAATGTTGGATCGTATTCGGCAGAAACAACGGTTCCGGTCTTGACCCAGGTGTCAATTCTGGCCCATTTTGGGAATTTGACCTCGGTCAGCTGTCCCGGCGAAGGCATGAAGTCTTTGACTGGGTTCTCGGCGTACAGTCTAGCTTCCATAGAGGCGCCCTCGCACCTGATAGTCTGACTAAAGTCTGGAGACATGTCTGCGGCGATGAAAAGCATCCACTCAACCAGGTCGAGTCCGGTCACTTGCTCTGTGATTGGATGTTCAACCTGGAGACGAGCGTTGACTTCCAAGAAGTAGAACTCGTCTCTTTTCTCGTCGTAGATGAATTCCACGGTACCAGCACCTTTATAGTTGATCGAGGCAGCAAGCTGCTCGGCAGCTTTTCTCATCTTGGCTCTGGTGGTGTCTGGGAGGTTTGGAGCTGGTGTTTCTTCGATAATCTTTTGGTTTCTTCTTTGCAAAGAGCAATCCCTTTCCCCAAGAGCAATAGCCTTACCGTAACCATCACCAAACATTTGGATTTCAACGTGACGAGCATTCTCAACAAAACGTTCAAGGAAAACACCAGAGTCACCAAAGTAGGCTTGACCTTGATGTTGGACGGTCTGGAAAACTCTCTCAATGTCGGCAGCAGAATCGACTTTTTGCAAACCAATTCCTCCTCCTCCGGCAGTAGATTTCACCATGATAGGGTATTCGAGTTTCTCAGCAATCTCTCTGGCCTCTGACACAGAGGAAACAAGTCCAGAACCTGGAACTAATGGCACGCCAGCCTTTTCGGCAATCTCTCTGGCAGAGTGCTTCAGACCCAATTTTCTGATGGCATCACCACTTGGTCCAACAAAGACAATGTTCTCCTTCTTCAATCTGTCCGAGAAATCGGCGTTCTCAGAAAGGAAACCGTAACCAGGAATAACAGCCTGGGCACCACTGTCCTTACATGCCTTGACGATCTTGTCGATGTTGATGTAGGTCTCCGCGGCAGAAACTCCGTGCAATGGAATGGCAACGTCGGCAATCAAAGCATGCTCAGCATACTTGTCAGCGTCAGAGTAGACGGCAACCGACTTGATATTGAGTTTCTTGAGAGTCTTGATGATACGAACAGCAATTTCTCCTCTGTTGGCCACCAACACGGAGTCAAAAGGCTTTTTTTGCTTGGAAACCTCCTTTTGTTGAAGGTAGTTTCTCCATCCACCAAGATGGGTAATGTCCTCGGAACCTTTCTGGGTGTATCCAATCTCTTCGCAGATGAACGATTTCACAACCTCGCCAGATTTGGTCTCGACAGATCCAATTCCCAGAGGCTCTGGGACCATGGAGATGAACTCACCAAACTTCTCAGTTGGAACAGCGTAGATTTCGATCTCGATCTCAGATCCTTCTTCGTCGTAACTGACCCTGCGCAAGCCAGGTTTGGCAATTGGTCCGGTCACAGGAAGAGCATAGAGTTTGTAGTTCTTGGAAGTGGTTGTCTTCTCAACGAAAGCCGCTTGGACCTTCTCCAATTGCCAGTGGAGAGGAAGACCCTTCAAGTGAGCACCAACAACCGCCAGTTTGACGGTGGTCTCTGGGTTAGGAATTGGCAGAGTAGGGTCGATCTCGTCAGAGACACCAGCCTCCAAATCTTTCATAGCACCCAGATATCTTCCGTTAGGATACAAGGTCTTGAAGAACTTGCTTGCCAAGTCGAGCAAAGCGTAGTCCTCGAAAGCTTGTCCCAAAATGGTGACACCATTAGGAAGACCGTCGGATCTGAATCCAACAGGAATTGCCAATGCAGACAAGTCTGCAAGGTTGACAAAGTTGGTCCAGGTACCTTGTCTGGAGTTGACAAGAATTGGTTCTTTTTGAACCTCGGCGATGGATGGGTTCAATGGACAAGTTGGAACAAGCATGACCTCGGTTCCGGCAAAGCTGTCGTGAACACGCTTGAGAATGGCCTGTCTCTTGTATTCGTAGTTGAATGCAGTGGCTGCATCTGGGGCTTTTCCGCCCCTGATGATCTTGGCAACGGTTGGGTCTAGATCTTTTTCTGGAGGATTGGATTCAAAGTAGTCCTTAGTAGCAGCCCATCTCTCGGCAACCCAAGGACCCTCGTACAGACACTTTGCGAGGTCCAGCAACGGCGTGAAGTCGCATGGAACGATCTCGGCTCCCATTTCCTTGAATGTGTTGACGGCCTTTTCGTAGATCTTTGGGTTTTCGGTGTCGTTGTACCACAGTCCGGTGAGATCTGTAGGAACGGCGATCTTTGGCTTGGCCGAGTATTGTCTCTTTGGGTTGGCAGGAAGGGCTCTGGAGTACTCGCAGTTGGAGAAGTCGGCCTTGGCCAAGATATCGAAACACAATTGAGCGTCGCCCAAGTTTGTTGCAAACACAGAAGGACAATCCAACGACTTACAAGCAGGAACAACACCGGCGGTGGAGAAAGCACCCTTAGTTGGCTTGAGTCCAATCAGATTATTCAAAGCAGCAGGAACTCTTCCTGATCCTGCGGTGTCGGTACCCAGAGAAACAGGAACCTGACCTTTTGCAACAACAACAGACGATCCGGCAGAAGAACCTCCAGAGACGTACTTGTTGTTGAAAGCGTTGGGAGTGACACCGTATGGGGATCTGGTGCCCACCAATCCGGTAGCGAACTGGTCCAGGTTGGTCTTACCCACGACAATCGCACCCTGATCTTTCAACAAAGCAACCACGGTTGCATCCTTTTCAGGATTGTAACTGAACGATGGACATGCAGCAGTGGTGGCAAACCCTTTGGCATCGATGTTGTCCTTCACAGCAACAGGCACACCGTACAGTTTGAGGTCTTTTTTATTTGATTTCGATTGGAGGATTCTCCATTGGTGCTGGAGATTTTCCTCAGAAGCAACCGATATCCAAGCTGGATCTTCAGGTGCAACTTTCAAAGACTTGACCAAATCCAGCAGCACATTGTAAGAAATCTCGGGAGTGGAGTCCTGGTGGAACTTCACCCATTTGGAGATTGTCCAGCCAGTAGTGTCAGTCATTAGGCAATAAACAAGAGGTGAACTTTTTTGGACTTGACCATTCTTATCAATAAGTCTGGGTTACCCGCGAAAAAATTTATCGGTGCCCCGAGGCACTGCGGAATCCCCCGATAAAACAATTGGGAAAAAGTGACGGCGAGCACTCGCCGCAAATTTAATAATAGAGAGCCGATGCTGTGACAATACGCCTTATTATTAAATAGTACGTTATCTAGATAATTATTGTGTAAAATCGACTATAAATGAATAGTGAGAACGTCGTAGCTGCTGAACTGCTGATTGCAGTTCGGACACTTTCTCATTCGCGAGTTGAGTCTGTCATTGATGCAGTCGGAACAGAAGCAATGTCCACACACCTTCAATGTGAGGTCTTTGAAGTTCTTGTTGCATAATTGGCATTTGGTCATGGCCAATAATGCCTGGTTGATTTCCTCATCCTGTGCACTAGCTGCAGGGTTGTTTGTACGGTACTTCATCAGTAAAGACTCCAAGGACTTCACCTTGGAGGAAAGACCCTTGGCTTCTGCTTCCAATGCAGAAACAGACTTCTGTTGCTCGCTCAAAGTCTCTTGTCTCTTGTTCAGCTTGGCCTGTAGCTCCTGGTTGATCTGTGTAGTGCTCCTCAGCTTCAACTCAAGCTCTTTGTTCTTGTTCACTTGGAAATTCAAATCGTTCTTGAACACAATCTCCAATCCTTTCAGCTTCTCATACAATTGTTGCTCGATCTCAAACTTCTTCACCATGTTCTTCTCGTTTGTCCGCAAAACCTCAATGAGCTCGTTCTGCTTCGTCAAATTTGAACTCAAGATCCGGTTCTGAGAAGTAAGAGAATCCTTCGACCGCATAGCCTGAAAGTATTTCTGATCGGCCTTATTCTTCTCCACATTCAGCTTATTGATGAACGAGTCCGAGTCAGCATACTTCTGCAATTTGGAGTTGGCAAGCTGCCGTGTCTGCTTGAAAGCTTCTTCCAGTTGTCTCAACTCCATCGTTAGGATCGAATTGTGTTTCTGTAAAGTTGCAACATCCTCGCTGGACGTCGCCTCTGCCTCAACATCGCCCTTGACACCTTCCTCCAAATTCTTCAAGCGTTCTTCCAAAAGCTCGTTCATCTTGCGGTACTCCTCCGTCAGCTCGCTCTTACCCTTCTCGGCTTTCAAAACTGACATTTGAGCCTGTAGTTCGTCTCTATCCGCGCGGATTCGCGTCAAGTCTGTCTCCAGCTTTTGCACATATGCATTGTTACTCTTCATCTCCGTGTGTAACTTCTCCTCCAAAGCAGACTTGTTCTGCGTAATTGACGACTCCAAAGCCAAAAATTGCGACTCAATCTTGGAACTCTCGTACTTCACCTTGCTCAACTCCGTGTTCAGCTCGGCGTTCTTTGCAACCAAATTTTGATAAACTGCAGACTTCTGCAAGTCTTCCTCTGTTGGGTCCAGCAGTTTCGAGCTCAAGTCCGACAACCGTAACTCCAACGATTGAATATCCTTCATTTTTTGGTCCAGTTGCTCGGTAAACACGTTGTTCTTGGCTTTGAGTTCCTCGACTTCTACTTTTAAGTTCTCAAACTCAACAGTACTCGCCTCAGGCAAAGCTTTCTGCTCTCCATTCTCAACCTTGACTTCCGGGGTTTGCTCTTTGACCGAAACCTCGTCGGTCTTCTTGGCGTCACTAATCCGATTAAGCGTCTTGGATTCTGATCTGTCTTTCTGTGTTATGTAGTTGTCAATTTCCAAGTTTAGCTCTTCAATCTTATCTTTAAGTGTCTTGTTCTCGTGCTCTAGTTGACTTTTGAACGAGGTCAAGTTAGCGAGAGACTCCTGGAGGGTGGCAATTTTGTCATCTGCATTTGGAACCGGTAAGGACAAAATGGGCTGAATCATGTTTATCAGCGCCACCCTTGTTTCTTCCAGTTTTTGAGATTCGTCACCAGCACTGTCATCGACCGATATTAACACTTTTTCGTTGATATCGCTCTTGATGTCTAGCTTTTCGTGTGTTTTGAAGTGCTCCACCAGCTCGGACCACCAGGAATTGAGAATACTGTAACATCTGTAAACTTTTGAGTAATGTTCGGCCAAGAGCTTCAAATCCTGGTCGAGTCGCCTATTTCGACTTCGATACAGGTTCATCAGTCTGTAAATTGCCTCTTTCTGGTAGTAAACCACATCCTCTTGTGTGAGGGCCCCCACTTCACTCAGCTCATCCAAAGGCTCTTGTGATTTCTTGACCTTCTTCAGGATTTTGGAAACCTCTGGGGCTGGAGAACCTGGTCTTTTGACTGTCGACATGAAACCAATCTAAAATACAATAATAGCGTAATATACAGCGACTATGGCCCTGCCAAAACAGTGAAATATGTACAAAGCGTTTGTAAGGCAGACTTGCAATGACTCGCTGTGGTTCACGGAAACAAGAGGAATATTTGGACTGGAGAGATGTTTTTTTTCAACCACGTCCTGAAAAACACACGTCCGGGTAAGTCTGTTGTAGGTGGAGACAGCAGGCGATGGCGGGTACTGGCCGCTTGTAGGAGGTGTCTTTGAAACGATAACACACAAATGGGGGCTGGTGGCGGATTTCAAAGCTGTGGAGGGGAATATTTATAATTCGCAACATTGGTTGCAATTAATATCGAGTCCCAGCCGCAAACCTATGTGATTTGAATAATGTGATAAAAACATGTTACTTGACGTTTATTCTATTGACATTGTAACCATAACTGATTGGAATTGGAGTGTGATTGGATCCGTCCAACTTCAGCCCAATTGACCAGACATTTTAATCTAACGGACTAAAGTAATAAAATTCTCCGAAGATTGGAGAAACTGAGGCAGGTAAAAATCGCACCTGAAAAAAAAAGTTAGGCAAATATTCCAACAGTACCGAATATTACTAATTGTTTCCCGATGTTGAGATTGGCTTTTGGCGTGAAAAACATTGCACCAGTTGCAAGAGCAACTAGAACCGCCTCTGTGGCTAGATTCCACCCTGTCAGATTCACCAACGGTGTGAGATTCTACTCGTCTCCTTCATCTTTGACAAAGGACGATGTTCTTGCTAGATCTGTTTCTGTGCTCAACTCTTTTGATTTGAAGGTGCCAGCCGACTCCATCGGCCTGCAAACAGAGTTCATCAAGGACTTGGGAATGGACTCGTTGGATTACAATGATGTTTTGGTTGCCCTTGAGGAGGAGTTCGACGTTGTGTTCGAAGACAACGTTGCTAACGATATCAAGTCTGTTGGCGAGTGTGTCGACTACGTTTTGAAGAACAGTTCTTCTGCTTAAGCTAGCACAAATCTCGGGCCTCACCTAGGAACAAGACCTGTGCTGGTAGATCATACCGTTTTTTTTTCCTCGTGTTGAAACTACCTGATTGGCTCGTTCATGATGAATTCAAGTCGGACGTTGGGCTTTGTCGATGGTTTATGTTGGTCCTTATATGACTCCTCTATGTAAATAATATTGCAACCGTACCTTCCTCGTAGTCATGCTCTAGTCCGGGGCCGTGAATGTCTGACTGGTGTACAGATGTTGCGCATAGATATTTTTTTGCCTTTGCAGAACTAGCTACTTTCAACTTACCATGACAAACGAGATCCCGCCATATGACGTCCATTCTGAGGCTGAGGCTGAGGCAGAAGAACAAGTCTCTGCGGACGAAGTACAAGGGCAAGATGCCCCTGGAATTCCAGCAGACCAGGTCAACGAATTGCAAGAGAAGTTTGGCGTTCAGACAATACAAGATCCAACTCCGCAGGTTTTACCCTCCGACAAGGAGCTCGTTAGCGAATTTCCGGACAATTCTCCTGAAATCAGCTTGATCCAATTCAAAATCAGAGACCTGGGCGATTTGGAACTCGATCGGTTTACAGACCTTGAACGGTTGATTCTTAGAGACAATTTACTGGAGAGTGTCAACGGGCTCAAGCTGATTCAAAACAAAGAGAAGCTGGAGGAGCTGGACCTTTACGACAACAGAATCAAGCATATTTCGAAACATATTAATGAGTTCACTAACTTGACAGTGTTGGATCTGTCTTTCAATAATATCAAAACCATTAAGCATTTGGAGAACCTTACCAAGTTGGAGCATTTGTATTTTGTTCAAAACAGAATCAAAGAGATTCAGAATTTGGACACTTTGAAGAACCTCAAGAACTTGGAACTTGGAGCCAATCGTATCGAAGTCATTTCTGAGCAATTGCTACAGCTACCTAGCCTTGAACAATTATGGCTCGGTAAGAACTTGATCACCAAATTCGAAAACCTGGAGAAACTGAAGAAGCTCCGTGTTTTGTCCATCCAGTCAAACAAGCTCACCAAGATCGAAAACTTGGACCATCTGGAGAGTCTGGAAGAGCTTTATTTATCTCACAACAAATTGACCAAACTGGAAGGACTCGATAACCTTTTCAATTTACAGGTTCTTGACGTGACGTCTAATCAATTGACAGAATTGTCGAATCTGAGCCATCTTACAGAATTGACCGATTTCTGGTGCTCGTACAACAAGATCGACTCGTTCGAGTCCATCAACAAAGAGCTGGCAGGTCTTCCTAACTTGGATACCGTGTATTTCGAAGGAAATCCTATCCAATTGAACGCTCCCGCATTATACCGGACCAAGCTAAAGCTGAATCTCGGTAAGTCTTTACGGAAAATTGACGCAATGTACTTGAGTTAGATATCAGCTCCAGAATGCAGTGAATCCGAGAGCTTGAATTTCCGTTTCTCCTGTGCTACAGCCGTTTGAGTGTGTTTCCGGGTTTTTACGAATTCCTAAATTTCCGACCACGGAGATCAGGACACGCCCAGGGCCACTTGCTTTTTTAAGTATTGTTCCCGAAGATATACGAATTAACGTTACGTGTACGCGCTGACTGTTTGTCAGGGCCGTAGCTGTAGTATTGTTATCGCAAGCCTCAATTTTCTCCGAGACCGGTAGCACGAAAAAAAAAGTTAGGGGGTGGGACGGAAAATATTCGCGGAAAAAAACCCCGGGAATACTTGGTGACTCTACGATGACTCCGGTGAAAAATCAGTGTAGCTCAGACACTTGACGGTACGCTACGATTGCAAGGCACATGTTTAGAACGTATTGTAGGTGTTTCAGTGCGCGTCCATTTGCAGGTTCCGGGCGGTGGCTTGTCCCGGAAACGGGCAAGTTCGTGCAGCAAGAGCCAAAAAAAAAATGAATCATCTTGGATTGAAAATATGCAAGATGGGTGTATGGAGAAAGAAATATAAATACTGGACAGAATCTCTTGTTGGAAGAAATCCAATTTGATTTAAATTCCTAATCATGTTGAGAGGTTCAAGTGTCAGAACAATCCAAGGTCTACAAAGCTCGCAAACTTTGCGGTTGGGTGCCAAAAGAAACCAGTCCGCTTGGGCAAATCTCCAAGCTGCTCCAGCCGATAAAATTCTCGGTTTGACTGTGTTATACAACAAGGATACCAACCCATCGAAAATCAATTTGGGTGTGGGTGCCTACAGAGACAACAACGGAAAGCCATGGATTCTTCCCTCTGTGAAGAAGGCCGAGGAAGTGCTGGCTAAGACTGAGGAGAGCAAGGAATACGTTCCAATTGTTGGTTCGCCTAAATTTAACGAATTGATCAAAACGCTGCTGTACTCACACGACGACGCTGGAAAGCAGCTTTTGAAGGACGGACGTGTTCTCACCTCGCAAGGTATCTCGGGAACTGGTTCTTTGAGAGTTTTGGGAGAGTTTGTGAGAACATTCTACCCAACATCGAAAAAAGTTCTTGTGCCAAACCCAACTTGGGCTAACCACGTCGCAATTTTGGAAAAAGCCGGTCTCACCACTGAAAAATACAAATATTACGATTTCAAGACTAACGCATTGGACGAGCAAGGAATGCTCGCCGACTTGGCCGCTGCCGAGCCAGGTACCGTTGTTCTTCTCCACGCTTGTTGCCACAACCCTACCGGTGTTGATCCAAAGTTGGAGCAGTGGGACAAGATTTTGGACGTGATCTCTGAGAAGAAGCTGTTGCCATTCTTGGACATGGCCTACCAAGGATTTGGCTCTGGTTCTCCAATTGAGGACCTGGGCATTTTGTTCAAGTTCAACAAGGCCGTTGCTGACGGAAAGCTGTCCAACTTTGTTCTTTCTCAATCTTTTGCCAAGAACATGGGTCTTTACGGAGAGAGAGTTGGTTCTTTGTCGCTGATCACTTCTGGTCCAGAAGAGACTGTGAGAGTCAAGTCCCAGCTCGAGAAGGTTATTAGACCATTGTACTCCTCTCCACCATCCCACGGATCCAAGTTGGTTGAGATCATTCTCTCTGACGAGGCTATTTACCAACAATGGCTCAAAGACGTCAAGGTCATGGCCGACAGACTTATTGAGATGAGAGCCCTGTTGTACGATAAACTGAAGAACACATACAAGAACCCATTGAACTGGGATCATCTCCTAAACCAGAAAGGTATGTTCTGCTACACTGGTTTGAGCGAGGAGCAAGTCAAGAAACTGATTGACAAGTCCGTTTACCTCACTTCCGACGGTAGAATCTCCATTGCAGGTATCTACCCGGCCAACGTTGACTACCTGGCAAAGGCCATCCACGAAGTCACCACCAACTAAGTATGCAATGTAATACTATTCACCTAAAAGCCATTTGTATGTCGTGTGCGCGACACATATGCTGAAATTTTATTCAACCAAAAAAAACGATAAGATTAATTTGTTTACTTAGTATTCAGTAGTTTGAGTGTTAGGACCCGTAGAACACCTGGAAACGCGCGAGTCCATCTGAGATACCCATAATGAACGCTGGAGAAGTCAAATCTGTGATAACGAGTTTGGATAAGGCCAAGGATTCCAAGACAATCTTGGAGTTGTTGGAAGTGCTCAAGAAAGATGTGGTAGCCACAGAAAAGTTTCTGCGTGAAACCAAGGTCGGAGTGGCAGTCAACAAGCTGCGGACGCATGCCGATGCCGAGGTCAGCTCGCTCGTGAAGAAAATTATCAAGCAATGGAAGGAGCAAGTGTCCAAGGAGAAGAAGACGGTTAAAGCTCCGGCTAAAGAACCTACGCCCGTGGAGAAGGTGTCGCCACCGGCCGAGTCAAAGGCTGGTGAAGCGTTTGTGACGTCTAAGCCACGGAATCCTGCCAATGACGGCGTTAGCATCAACATTCATGACGACTCCACTAGAAACGGGTCCATTTCTGGGCTTTACACGGCTCTGGCCATGACTTCGGACAAATTTCCAAACGAGATTGTGAAGATTGCCCAGGAAATTGAAGCCGAAACATACAAACTTACGGACTCTAAAGTATCGGACAATTACAGAAACAAAATGAGATCTTTGATAATGAACTTGAGAAATAAGAATAATCCAGAACTGAGAGCACGCTTACTTGATAGAGCTCTCAAGGCCTCGAAATTTGTGAATATGACCAACCAGGAACTTGCTCCAGATGCCCTGAAGAAGGAGTTGGCTGACCTTCATCAAAAGAACCTGTTTGATGCTCAAGGTGCTGTTCAGAAACGTGCCGTCACTGACAGATTTGTCTGTGGAAAATGTAAAAAGAGAGAGGTCAGTTACTACCAGATGCAAACGCGGTCTGCGGACGAGCCTTTGACCACGTTTTGTACATGTGAGAACTGCGGAAACAGATGGAAATTCAGTTGAAGAAATCGTGTGCGTATACGATGAAGCAGATCTATTACGGTCTAATGTACCGGTGATATTTTTACAAGGTGTCAAAGATATGTTTGCCTTGGCGCATTTCCTGGATCAGAGCAGCAATTTTGGGCACCACGTCGTCGTCCAAACGCTGTGTCTCTTCAGCGGAGAACTTCCCAAGGACATAGTTTGCAACCGTGTTGGAATCTTTGTTGCCGCTGGGATCTCTGCCAATTCCTATTTGGACTGCATTATAGCCTTTGCCAATATGTTGTTGTATAGATTTAAGCCCGTTGTGGCCTCTTGGTGACGAGTTTTGTTTGCGCACGCGTATTTTACCCAGATCTATGTCGAGTTCGTCATGGAGAATAACAAGAACCGGGTTCCACTGTGAGAGTGCAACGACCGATTTCCAAGGTTTGAGCAGGTTTTTGCCGCTGGTATTCATGAACCCGGGGTTTTGATATAGTAGAACATCAGGGTAGTCTGGGTTGGTTTTGAATTTGTACTTGTCGATGGTTTTGATCTGGGAATATCCCGAGTCTTGACTAAGTTTCTGTATAACAAGGTGGCCAACCGAGTGGCGGGTGCCGTGGTACTGTGCCTCGGGATTCCCGATAGAGGCCACCATGATCAGCACCGGTTTGTCATTGGCTGACGCTATTCTGGAAACAGTGGACGAACTTCTTACAAACTGCAACAAGTTAAGCATGAAAAATAATATCCCGGAGCTGGAAATTGTTCAAAAAATCTTTGGGCAGTCAATTCTACCAGATAACAAGTTCTAATGAATGCAGCGCCTTTAAAAATCGTGTCGGACTCTTATAGTGAAGGAGAGGTGTATGGTGTTGTGTATGGGATGCTAGTCAAGTTTCTGGTGGCTGTTGTTGTGGTGACGATAGCATACGTTGTGGTGGATAAAAATATGGAGTCTTCTCCAGAGGCGGTCAAAGGGGCTGAGACAGAGACCAAAACGGTTGAGGAGAAGAAGAATGAGTAGTTTTATAATTGTTGATGTATTTGTTGATGAAAATGCCCCCTTGAAATCGCACTGCGATTCCTTTTGCCCAGATTCTGGAGATGGATATTTTTCCAGTGTAATATAATACCTTTTTATTGTTTATTTCCTATGGACATTTAAAATGAGTGCAAGCGAGGGCAACTCATCGGGTTCAAGACCAAAAAGTGAAGAGGAATCCGGGCAGTCTCAATCGCCACAGTTTCCAGACCCGTCCTCCGGGGTGAAGCGCGAATCTGACCATACGTTGTCGCAGTCCCCGGTCAATGGATCCAATGGATCCAACAGCGCCAATGGATCTAACGGAGAGAACGGGGCCTCCAAACCGCAAAGGAAACGCAAAAAGGTCGGAATGGCGTGTGTTTACTGTAGAAGATCCCACATGATCTGCGACGAAGGACGACCTTGCCAACGATGCCTCAAACGCAACATCGGGCATCTTTGCCACGACGAGCCAGCAAACGCAGGGCGCAAAAACAAGAAGAACCCAGACAAGTCGGCCTCTGTGTCCGTGGGACCTTCCCCGTCTCCAGGAGTCCAAAATATCGAAGATACAAAGGTGGACAATTCGAGTGCGGAGAAATTGAGACCTCTGGGGATTTACCGTCACCAGCCAATCTCCAACGATATGATGACTTATAGCGTCAATCAGCCGCCAGCTCCAAATCCGCATGGCTATTTGTCGTCCAAACCATCATCAACAGCGATCAACCAACAACCTTTTTTCTATTCAGAGCACGCTGGCTCCGAGTTCAACTCGTTGACGGAATTCCTTTCCATGATCGACGATTCGGATATGATCAACTCCATCAACCTGGACAACGATCCACTGTTAAACAAGCTCGATGGCCTGACCGGGAACAAAGAAATGCCACTGAACCTGAACCAGGTGCCGCATTTTGAGCCTGCTTTCGAAAACAGTCTGTTCATCAAAACACCAACAGGCACCGTTCCGCCAAACAAACCAGTGTCGTCGATCGGGTCGGCCTTGCAGATGGCTCCTTCAGCTGGCATGACAAGAACGTCGCAAACATCTTTGGACGGGTATTTCCAACAACCATCGCCTGTTGCTCAGCAAACCACCCAGAACGCGGTCACAGCCAATGGTCAACCATACGTGTCGGACTCTGCAAGAGACAAGTTTTTCCTTACGGCTGCTGACCCAACTACCGAGATTTCTCCCGAGGAGAGATTAAAACAGGTCATCAACGCAAAATTAGAGGCAGGACTTCTTAAGCCATATAACTACGCCAAAGGCTACCAGCGTTTGCAGACATACATGGATAACCACATGGCTGCATCCTCGAGACAACGGATCTTGAAACCTTTGTCTACCTTTAGACCAGGATTCCGAGCAATCGCTAAAACGCTCAAGGATATCGACCTGATTCTCGTGGAGGAGAACTTTGAGAGAATGCTTCTTGACTACGATCGTGTTTTCACATCTATGGCCATCCCCGCTTGTCTGTGGAGAAGAACGGGAGAGATATATCGTGGAAACAAAGAGTTTGCGTCGCTTGTGGAGGTTTCGATCGACGATCTGAAAAACGGAAAATTGACCATCTATGAATTGATGACCGAAGAGAGCAGTGTGAATTTCTGGGAAAAATACGGTGCGATCGCGTTTGATAACACCCAGAAGGCCGTTTTGACAAGTTGCAACCTTCGAAGCAAAGACGGAAGAAAAAAGAGAAACTGTTGTTTCAGTTTTACCATTAGAAGAGACAGGTACAGCATCCCCAGCTGTATTGTTGGAAACTTTATTCCTATTCAATGAATCACGGGTCGTTAAATAGTTGATCGACTGTGCGACCCGAATGTGCGATATTTATAGACTTGAGTCTTTTAAGGTCATGAAAGAACTGGTCAATGATTTTCAGTGGAATTGCACCAAAGCTGACAAACTCGAGATCTGTGTCCAACTCGCTGAGTTTCTCCAGACATTTCACAAATTGAACTGGTCTCGAGGTGACCTGCACGATGTTTTTAGCCTGTTCATTAGCGTCTTTCACGATTTCTCCGTTGAGATTTGAAAGCACAGGCACCTTCAGATCGGAGCATATGCACGAACGCTCAAAGATCTCTTCCAGATCCGGCTCGATCTCTCTCAGAAGTGGGTTATGGAACGGGATGGAAACTCTCAAGTCCAGGTTGCGGATCCTGGTCTTCCATATACCAGCCTTGACCAATTTCATTCTCATCTGATCAATTTTGTCCAACAGCTGCGACCGAACCCCGCTCACCACGATTTGCTGATAATTGTTATAATTGCCTATTTGGATGTCCACTTGTGCCAAAAGGTTATCGATGTACTTATAATGCGTGGGTTCGAAAAGCAGTGCTTGGGTCGAGTACGAATTGCCAGTTTTGGCGACTGTTTTTTCCATCAGAAGTCCCCTTGTATGTGCCAATTCCAGTCCCGCAGAAAAGGGGACTGCGTCCTGTACCACCATTGCGCTGATTTCTCCCAAGGAGTGGCCTAGTAAAAACTGTGTACCATCTAAAAGATTGATGTTTTTTTCTGATTTGAGCAGGTTGTATGCCAAAAATGACGTCAAGATCAGCAGCGGCTGCTGAACTGACGTAGACTGCGTGGTGTTTGTGCGCAAAGCGGCTTGCGGATCGGTGATGAACTTGGACAGTTGCAAAGTGGGGAGGGTCTCGTCAGCTTCCCGAAGAATTGTCTTCACAACAGGATTTTCCTTGTGCTCTGCCAGTTTGGATAACGATCTCAAGTCAAACCGACCTTGTCCTGGGAATACTACCACTTTGGTCGAGGCTAATCGTCTCAGCACTTTGCTCATGGCTATATTAATTTCCTAGGTTTTTTCTCCGAGAATAGTACTGGTGTTAGGCGTACTTGAATTATTTAGAGCACATTATCCTGAGCATCAGGGTTCTTGAACTCACGAACGCTGTCGTCCACGGTGATGATCTTTTGTTTCTCCATGATTCTGAACTGGACCATTTTCAGAAGATGGTACGTCATCGAAAGATGAGGCGCGTCAACACCGTTCCGCTGCGCGATTCTTAGCGGATTACCAACTATTACCTCCACTTCCACCATTCTGTTCAACCGAACATCCACCAGCATCGATGGGGTGTAGAACAGTCCGTCAGAGATCCTCAACATGTTCTCCTCGAGATCTGGAGGAAGAATGTACCCATCCGACTTGGCAATGGCATAAATCTCTCTCATGATCGGTCTCCAAATACTTTCTTTGCAACCGGCCATGGCAGCTCTGCTACAGTCGAGATCGGTCAATGCTGTGGACGTGTTGATAGCAGCGTTGTACACGAGCTTCTGCCATCTTGTTAGTCTTGGGTTGACGTCCTTCTTCACCACGTTCTTGCCGTTCTCCATCTTGTAGATGGAGATAAACTCGTCCAGCTTTCGTTCTGCTTCCTCCTTGTCTTTGATGGTTGGGTTCTCAAACACACCGATTTGCACGTTGTCCGGGGTCATCTGATTCACCACACAGTCGATGTTGGTGCACCCGATCAGCGAAACACAACTGAGAATCACATGACCTGGGAATTTCTCCAAGAACGGCTTCTCGATGTCAAGCCCGTTCTGGCACAGAATCACTGTGGCTTTTGTATTGGCTTTCAAAACGGGCTCCAAGATCTGTTCGCACGGAGTTGGTGAATCTGGCAGGTTCTTCACAGAGGTGAAAATGTAGTCGTACACCTCGCCGTTTGCAATGGCCTCCTCCACGTTGGGAACCACTCTGCTTGGTTTCCAGCTTTCAATTTTTCCGAATTGAATAGAGTCAATTTTGTATCCCTCGGTGGAAGCCTTCTTGTAGCCAGAACGAACCACCACCGTCACCTCGGCAAACCCGTTGTATTCCAAAGTGTATGCTGCAACAACTCCTAGGGCACCACTGCCCACAAGTAGCACTTTATATTTCGAAGGCATGATAAGGATTTGGATACTATTTTTTTCCCGAGCTCGTACTTTTATTCTTTACACAGCCAAAGATCTATCTACCCTGATCGGAATTATGCTCCCGAATTGCCCAATTTAGACAATCTTCCAATTCTCTTGCGTCGTTCAGCGAGGTGCCCAAAAGAGAACTTCCAGTGTCGGTTTCCAAGTCGAGGTTAATCGTCGAGTGTGCCGAGTTTATCAGGGAGTTTAATTTGACCCGTATTTTTAGATTATTGATCGGAAGCTCCAAAACCGACGCTGGCGGAGTCAGCACCCTTGAGAACGGATCCACAACACCCTTGGGCTCGTTCAGGTTCTTGGTGAGTTGTAAGTTCTCCTTCAAGTACGTCGTGGCACGGGTGCGGTCGTTGTCGAGCTGCACCGTGATGACCGACTCGAGCACATCTTGGACGGTTTTGAGCGAGCGTTCGTGGCGGTTGTAGACGATCATCGGTCTGATGATCGAGCTGGGGAACGTCTGAGATGCTCCTGTAGTTTCTGTGTTCAAGCTCAACGGTGGAATCTTGCGTTGATCTAAGTTTCGTTTGTGCTCCGCGTAAAGCATTAAGCGGAGATATATTTGGATGAGCTCTGCTCTTTCGTTGGAGGACGATTGTTCGGGCAATTGCACATTTTCTGGTGCCACCTGGCTGATCTCAACGATCTCGTCGTGTAAATCGATCAGGATCTTGTCTTCATCGATGGTAACCTGCAAAGAGATTAGGGTGGCAGCTTCTCTCAGAAGCTGGTAAAACAACTCTTCTTCAAACAAGTAGTATCTGGCCTTGGCAATTTCATTGATGATACCTTCTTTCTGTAAAATGCCGATTCTGTCCTGGAGGTTGGATTCCGCGATCAAAGTGAGCTTGTCTCCGGTTTTAGTGTAAAGTTTCACGTTCACAAGTTTATCTGTTTTTTCCTCGGTTGTTGGCGCAGAGATTCCAAACGTGAGGTCTCCTGAAGTTGGATCTTTCTTCAACAAACCAATTCCCTTATCGTAGTACGTCGACCCAGCATCTCCGTAGCCGTACTTCACACAGATTTCCTTAGTGTTCTTGATGTTCATGCTGGTAATCACTTCGTTCGACTTGAGAACTTCCACCATTCCTGTCCAGAAGTTCTTCTCCTTTGCGACCTCCTCTTTCAGCCGAAGACTGCTGTTTTTCAGGTTCTTGGACGCACGCTCCAAACTCTCAAGTTTCCAGCCGCGGCCAACTCTGGAGATGTCGAACTGTAACTTTTCAGTATCCTCAGGAGGTTCCACTTTATCGCTAGACAACGATCCAATCTTAATATGTTGTTTCAAATGCGGCGACATCGACGACGACCCGGCCGCTGGACGAACACACGATATCAGCAAAGAAACAAAGTCCAACGACAACGAGGACTCGTTTAAGGCTGAATGGACAGAATTGATGATGGTTTCTTTCTGTTTCAAGAAATCCTCCTGGGAAATGAAATTCTCCGAGCTGAACTCCTGCTCCTTTTCTGTCTCTTGCTCCTTCTTCTTGACGGTCTCCTCAGAGCCAGATTGTTGGGCTTCAATCTCCTGTTGAAGTTTCTCTTCGGTGATGTCCAGAAACGACCCGCGTTGTGCAATGATCTTCGTCAACAGCTGGGGCAATGGAAGCTGCTGATCTTCGACCGTTTGTCCAACTCCCGCCGAATCGTCCAGGATCGGAGCGAAATTCGAAAACACATTGTCTGGACCACTCATGATTTCCGTATATAATAATTTTTTGGGCTACCTGAGATTTAGGTTATTGTATTTCTTATCCCATCGTTTTTTTCTGTAAATATGCCGCCAAAAAGAAGATCCAGGGCCAAGAAATCGACAGCTGACGACGGAAAGGACTCCGGAAGCACCTCGGCGCTTGAGATCGGGTCCACCGTGAAAAAAGTGGTCCATGACGAGACAGCAATTGAAGAGCTCGAGGTGCCAGGTTCCGTGTCTTCGGATGTCACCAAGGCCGGTGAGATCATGCAAAAGCGCGAACGGTCCCGGGCAAAGGCGATTGTGATGACCAAACGGTTTACTTTCGTGTTTGGAATCCTGTTTGGAGTTGTTGCTGCTCTATATGTCGGCTCCAAAACTGTCAGTCAGACCGACCTCTTCCCGGAGTTCGACTTTGACTCAGTGCTCAAGTTCGAGTCGATCAGCGCCTACTTTGACGACTGGAAAGATGTTCTGCCCAGTTCCATTCAAAGTCTGCTGGATGAAACTGAGAAGGAAGAACTGCACGATCCAAGTGAATCTTTTGCAATCGGTAAGCTATTGAAAAAGGAAGGAATCGAGTCCAAGCATCCGGTCATTATGGTTCCAGGAGTCATCAGTACTGGAATCGAGAGCTGGGGACTCGAAGGAACCGACAATTGTAAGAGCGAGCCCCATTTCAGAAAAAGACTCTGGGGATCATTCTACATGATTAGAACAATGTTTTTGGATAAGGCCTGTTGGCTCAAGCACATCATGCTGGATCCAGAAACCGGACTTGACCCACCGGGTATCAAGCTCAGAGCAGCTCAGGGCTTTGAAGCAGCAGACTTCTTTATGGCCGGCTACTGGATCTGGAACAAAGTGTTCCAGAACTTGGCTGTTATTGGGTACGGTCCTGATAACATGTTCAGCGCAGCGTACGACTGGAGACTGAGCTACTTGGACCTCGAACGTCGTGACAACTATTTCTCGAAACTCAAGTCCCAGATCGAGCTGAGCAAGCACTTGAGCGGCGAAAAGACCGTGCTTTATGGACACTCTATGGGTGCACAGGTTATTTTCTACTTTTTGAAATGGGTGGAGGCAGAGGGCCCGCATTTCGGAAACGGAGGTCGCAACTGGGTCAATGACCATATCGAGGCCTTTGTGGACATCTCTGGGTGTCTTCTGGGAACACCAAAGGCCATTGTTGCTCTGCTATCTGGAGAAATGAAGGACACTGTTCAACTGAATGCTTTAGCTGTTCAAGGATTAGAGAAGCTCTTCTCCAGAAGAGAAAGACTCGATATGCTGAAGTCGTTCGGAGGAGTTGCCAGTATGATTCCAAAAGGTGGAGACCTGATCTGGGGAACGCTTGACTCTGCTCCAGACGATAATTTTGCCGGAGACAGTCAAAAGTACAACCAGACGATGGGTAAGTTTATCCGGTTTGTTGAGGAAGTTGGCAGCTACTCCAGACAGAATCTCACTGTGGCCGAGTCTATCAACTTTCTGTTAGACCAAGGACCGGACTGGTTCACCAGAAGAACGTTGGAGCACTATTCTACCGGTGTTGCCAAATCCAAGAAAGAGCTAGCTGAAAACGAGAAACAGTTCAACAAATGGATCAACCCGCTGGAGGTGCCTCTTCCCAACGCCCCAGACATGAAGATCTTCTGTTTCTACGGAGTTGGAAACCCTACGGAGCGCGCGTACAACTACAGAGAGGAGCTGGACAAGGGTATTTCCAAGCTGAATGTGTCGATCGACACGGACAACAAGCACAGCGTTCTTCTGTCTGATGGAGACGGCACGGTTTCGCTAATGACGCACGCGATGTGCCACAAGTGGGCGCAGGAGGGCGACAACATGTTCAACCCGGGCAACTCCAAGGTGACTATTGTGGAGATGAAGCACGAGCCCGACAGATTTGACATTCGAGGCGGTGCAAAGACCGCGGAGCATGTTGATATTTTGGGCAGTGCAGAGCTGAACGAGCTGGTTTTACGTGTTGCAAGCGGGAACGGCGACACGATCAACAGTACGTTTGTGACGTCGCTACGAGAAGTCGTGAACGGGCTGGATTTATAGAGTGTTTCTTCAAACGAAATTATTGAGCCCGTACACCGTCGCGCTTTTTGGTGGAGCGTCGCGCATACCAGCCTATTATTATTTTCTAGCAGCGGGCCTAAATTGGAAAATCCATAACAAACACCCTCGGATCGAGTATTTTGTTTATTCAAGCGTGTGGTAGAACACAGCATAGGAACTTTGTTGTTACATTTGCTAGCAAAACAGGTAGCAGTATTGGTGATAGAACGAGCCATGACTACCACCACGACCGCCAGACCAGCTTTGGCACAGATAGACAACAACTGTTTGGATCGGACAGATTCTCGCGCAGGTAAACATGTTTTGTCGTTTGGAGGGTCCAAAGAAATGTCACCAGGACTTCGCCGTGCGCGTGCGTTCAAGCTCAAGCTGCAATTAGCGTACTACAAGGTGAGCACGAACCAGACAGACGTGCCTTTGGACAAGCTCAAGGTGATGGAGACAGATAAACAACATGGATCCCCGATCTCGAAACGCCATCGCTCGAACGCGTTGGACGATCTTTTGGCGTCCTCCACGCCTGTGCTGAACCGGAAGCGCAAGGCGGACCAGATTAGAAAGCGGGCAGTGAGTTTCCTGGACGATGTTGTGAAAAAGAGAGCCACCACGGCCAACTTGAAGCGGGCCTCTCTCGAATACAGAAAAGCTTCTTCCTTTAATACTCTTGCGCAGACGTCTCCGTCCCGGTTTGTCACCTTGTCTGCAGACTCCAACAGGGTCAGACTGCCTCCTGTCCCGAAAAACGCTATGGATCCTTCCGATTCCACCATAATGGAGGCTAATTCCACATTCATGACCCCAATTAAGCCTCATCTGAACACCAGCATGTCAGAATCCTCCAAGATCTTTTCCTCCGTGTCCAGATCGGCCCACATGGAGCCTTCTCCAACAAGACTTATGTCCACTCCATCTTCCATTGGAGCAGCCAGATGCCTTTTGCAACTGGCCCATCGATAGTTTATCATTAGCATCGTGATGTTTTACTTCTCTGCTTGGCTCCCGTGTCAGCAACCATATATGTCCATGAGCATATCGCTGTATTACTAGCAACATATACAAACTAATAACTGAGTGAAATCATATCTTAATCTTTCTTGGGCTTGGCCAGCTTCTTGTAAAACGACTCCAAGAAGATGCCCACAAACACCACCGCGAGTCCTGTCCATTGGCCAAAGTTGAGTTGGTGGCCAAACAGGAACACGCTAAGACACATGGAGAACATCTTGCGCGTCACCGTGACCGTCACCAGCAGCAGGGAGCCAAACTTCTCCAGAGTGAGAAATATAAATATCTGGCCCAGAGATCCAAACAATCCAAACAGAACGATGTCCTGCACCACCTCCCAGCCGTTCTGGGAAACAAAGGCGCGGAAATAGTCCAGCTGTGTTGTGAACAGCGACATGTATGCGAACGTGAACACCATGTTAAGCAGGTTCAGGCCAGACATGAGATGTGCTCCCGTGATCTTGACGGGGCCCTCTTTCGAGAGCAGCTGGTCCTGGGTCGAGTTGGTGAGTCCGTCCAGCAAGAGCGACACGAAAAGGTAGCCAAACCCAAGCAGAATTTGACCGTCGTTGCTGGTGGACTTGGACTGGTTGCTCAAGGAGAACAGCACCACTCCGGCGGTGATGCACAATGCCACGAGATATTTGTACATCGGATACGTCGAGCGGTATATCACCCGATGAACCAGCATCACCGGGATCAACTTGCACGACTTGGCCAGTAGATAGAACAGGTAGTCCAGGTGGTTGAGCGACTGGTATGCTATTGGAGACGAAACGGCCTGGGTCAGAGCGATGAGCACAAAGTTGTGGAAAACCGAGCGGTTGGTGAACAGAAACTGCACCGGCGTATTGACACGGTGCGACTTGAACGACAGGTACGCCGTCCCGACGATCATGGCGAAGAATGCTTGGATGGTATTAATGATGAGCGGCGACTTGAAGTACGCGTTCCCGAGCGACGAGTAGTTCTTGGACGCAATTTTCTCCTGTAGATATGACCACGACAGAAACGACGCGTAGATGCCCGTCACGCACACGGCGAGCGTCGGCAGGCTCGAGGAGCTGCTCTTTGCGTTGACCATTGGTGAAATATTTCCAGCGCAAGATTTTGCACAGCCCGAAGAATGACAGGTACCGGGGATGGTGGCTAGCAAGAGCGAAGACGGGATGCAGACCATATAGCCTGCAGATACTTATAAGATGTGTACTGTGCAGTGTGGTTGGCTATGAATCTGTCCATGTTGTGCCGCGACATGGGTTTTGTTGTAATGGTCCATACAACACAGTAAGCTTGAATTAATTATTCCGTATATTTAATTTCTGTGGTTTACTATGGTACGTGCTTTCAGTGGTTTTCCCCCTCTAACAAACAGGTTCTGCCGATCATCATTGGAATCGGCGTCACGGTGGCCGCGCTGACGGTCAAGTCGGCCGCGTCCGCGTACACGCGACTATCCCGCATGGGCCCCCATCAAATCGCCGCCTTGAACAATATCAACCTCAAGCCCGTCAGCTCCAAAGACCCGTTCTGGATGTACCAAGGCGGGTTTTACGAGAAGATGAACGAGGCGGAGGCGCTGTTGATCCTGGAGATCCAGCCGGACGAGATCCTCCATCTCACTCACGACCTGTTGAAGAAAAGACACCGCAGAATGATGTTGCTGAACCACCCGGACAAAGGCGGCTCTGAGTACATTGCGCTCAAGATCAACAGAGCAAAGGAGATCCTCGAAGACAGCTACATGTTCACTGGTCCCAAGGACTAGAAATAGACCGATTATGTCAGCGTGGAAAATAATCTAATGAAACAATGTTTGGGTGTGACATTGAAAGGTGAGCGGTGCAAGAACAAGGTGAAGGACGGGCCGTATTGCAGTCGCCACAGCCAGAACAGCCAACAGCCTGTCCAGGCGAAAAACCAGGCCGGTTACGTGTACATATTTACGCTGGCTCATTTGATCAACGGCTCGCCAAAGAAGCAGAAATGGCTGCGACAGGCCGATCCACACCCGGAGAACCGCATTAACTTCACAGAGACAAGTGTGCTGGACCCGAAGCGAAACATCCTGATCAAAGTAGGCTACACTACACAGCCCGTGAAACGAAGACTGGCCCAATGGAGAGACCAATGTAAACAGGACTTCCAGCTGATCGGACCGACAAACATGAACAAAGTGGTTTGTTCAAATAGAGACAGGCTTTCCGAGCTGGTGCATCGCATGAAACATTTGTCAGTGAAGACGTTCGCCAAGTTCGACCAGAAACAACACGCGTTTAAAGTGTCTCACGCGTACAGATCGGAACAGCTGGTCCATGCCAAACTCGGCATGCTGTATGGAAGTGGAAGATTGTATTGTGATGGATGTAAAAGTGCCAGTTCTGGCGTTCATAAAGAATGGTTTCTGGTGCCACGCAAAGACATCAGAGCCATTTTGCAAACAATTGATCAGTTGGTTGTGTAATTCTAATCCAGTTTCTTGTGAGGGTTTTCCTTTTCCACCTGGTCAATGTGGTTGAGTCTTTCGATCAAGTGAGGGTGGCTGTAGGTATAGGCAGAGTAGAGCCAGTCGACGTCCAAAGAGCTGAGGTTCCCCTTGTGCAGCTCAATCAAAGCGGCCTTGAGTTCCTCGGAGTAGCCAAGCTCTGCAGCAAACTTGTCGGCCTCGTACTCGTGTTTTCTGGAAAGCAAATTCATGGCAAACTCAAGAACAGTGTCAACAGGCTTAAGAATGTCACCAAACAGCAAGAAACCAACAATAATAGGCTGTTCCTTAAAGAATCCGAGACTCTGGTACAAAGACTTGTTGTTGACGAAAGCTGCAAACATGGTGAAGATTCCAAAGATGTGGATCTGGTTGATGGCCAACATCTTGGTTGTGTGAGACAGAGCCCAATGGCCGATCTCGTGTCCCAGAACAGCAACAACCTCCTCGATCTTGGAAGATGCAATCAAAGTATCGTAAATGACAATTTGCTTCGAACCCCATGGCAGACCAAGGAAGTAAGCGTTGGAATGCGAAGATCTCTTGGAACCGTCTATAACAAGGACTTTGTCCAACGGGAACTTGTTCTTCTGGGCCAGTTTTTCAATCTGCAACTTGAGCTCGCCGTCTTCCAGCGGCTCGACCTTGTTGAACAATGGCTGGATGAATTTTGGATAGACAATAATCATAAAGATTTGAACAAAGAACAGGAACACAGACAAGTAATACATGAACTTGTCGCCGAAATAGTCGATAATCTTCAAGAATCCAGCAAGAATTGGACCTCCGAAAGCTGCCATGACGGCCAATTCCTTCAAAGAGTCGGTGAACCAGAGCTTGTAAGTGAGTTTGTTGAATCCGTACTTCTCTTCAATGACAAAGTTGAAGTACCAATCAGTTGGCAAATTCAAAAAGAACGAGATCAAGGACATCTGTCCGACAAAAAACAACGATTTCGTGATAATTGATCCGGACAAAACAGCTGGAACGATCGAAGAGGTAGCCAACCACGAGGCTCCTGACCACAGCTTTGGCAAGATATCAAACTTGAAGAACAGAACGTTTTGAACAAGAGAATAGAACGAAGTGACCAAGGTGAACTTGGATTTGGTCAAAGAATAGCTAGTAGACTTCAACAAGGTATCATTGTCGATTTTGCCCTTTATTTGAAGAGGAACCTCCTTCACGCTTGCCACCTTCTTGATCTGTCTGTATTTCAAATACGAATCAAAACAGAAACTGGCGGCAGTAAAGCCCAAAATAATGGCCTTCCAATTGAGTCCTGGCCTATCAAAGAACGAGCTTGCGGATTTGATAAAAGAATCCATAGTTTAAAAACGAATCTTTTTCGACGACGCGAACAAAATGGGTTTTTCTACAAAAATATATCAATTTTTCAGAATCATGTCTTTTCTAATGGTTCATCAGACCTACAAAAGTCTATACAAATGATTTGTCAGATGGTCTAGTTGGTCTCGGAAGCAATCTTCTCGGCCTTGGCAACGACATCTTCAATACCACCAACCATGTAGAATGCGTTTTCAGGCAAGTGGTCGTACTTTCCTTCCAAGACAGCCTTGAAAGAAGCAACAGTGTCCTTCAATCTGACCAATCTACCCTCAATACCAGTGAAAACCTCAGCAACGGCAAATGGTTGAGACAAGAATCTCTGGATCTTTCTAGCTCTCTCAACAGTCAACTTGTCCTGTTCAGACAACTCATCCATACCCAAAATAGCAATGATATCTTGGAGAGACTTGTAAGCCTGCAGGGTCTCCTGGACGTTGGTGGCAACATCGTAGTGCTCTTGGCCAACAACGGCAACATCAAGCAATCTAGATCTGGAGTCCAATGGGTCCACAGCTGGGTAGATACCCAACTCAGAGATACCTCTGGACAACACAGTGGTAGCGTCCAAGTGGGCGAAGGTAGTAGCTGGAGCAGGATCAGTCAAATCATCGGCTGGCACGTAAACGGCCTGGACGGAGGTAACGGAACCCTTTCTAGTGGTGGTAATTCTCTCTTGCAACAAACCCATATCAGTGGCCAAAGTTGGTTGGTAACCGACGGCAGAAGGAATACGACCCAACAAAGCAGACACTTCAGAACCAGCTTGAGTGAATCTGAAAATGTTGTCAACGAACAACAACACATCTTGACCTTCTTCATCTCTGAAGTACTCGGCAATGGTCAAACCAGTAAGAGCAACTCTGGCTCTAGCTCCAGGTGGCTCGTTCATTTGACCGAACACCAAGGCGACCTTAGAGTCACCCTCCAAGTTGATGACACCAGTCTCCTTCATTTCACGGTACAAGTCGTTACCTTCTCTGGTTCTCTCACCCACACCAGTGAAAACGGAGAAACCACCGTGAGCCTTGGCAATGTTGTTAATCAACTCTTGAATGAAAACGGTCTTACCGACACCGGCACCACCGAACAATCCAATCTTACCACCTCTTGCGTATGGGGCAAGCAAGTCCACAACCTTGATACCAGTCTCCAAGATTTCAGCAGCAGTAGACTGCTCAACAAAAGCTGGTGGGTCAGTGTGGATTGGGTTTCTTTGCTTGCACTCAATTGGACCTCTCTCGTCAATAGGCTCACCAACAACGTTGATGATTCTACCCAAAGTACCTCTTCCGACAGGGACGGAAATTGGAGAACCAGTGTCAAGGACGGTTTGACCTCTAACGAGACCCTCAGTACCATCCATAGCAATAGCTCTGACGGCGTTCTCACCCAAGTGTTGGGCGACCTCCAAGACCAACTTTTGGTTGTTACCTTGGTCGATGGTCAATGCATTCAAAATAGCTGGCAATTCACCTTGTTCGAACTGGACGTCGACAACGGCACCGATAACAGCTCTAAGTAATGTTAGTGACTTTCACAATTTTTGTGGTTATGCAGCCCGCCATGCCTTCGAAAAATATTTCCAGGGAACCACGGAAAAAATGCACACCTCTGATTTGACGAGAGAGTAAGGACCACGACAACGTGTTCCAAATGCTCCCAAACGATGGCATTCTTCTGTATTCATGGATAAGTCCAAGGACATGTAGTGCTGTAAACCAATTGGGTGCAATTGTTTCCGAAGGAGACACCGGTAGTGACGACCAATTGCGAAATAAACAATCAACAAGACTGTCACTGCATCGGCAGACATTGCCCTGTGTTCCCAGGCTTCAATTGATCCAAAGATATAAGACTTACCTGATCTTACCAGAGGCTGGGCCGGCAGTTGCCAAGGATCTGTGAAGGGCCAAATTGGCTCTGGCAGCCTTCAGAGTAGCTCTCTTGGTGACGGAAAACAATCTAGCAACCATGTTCCTTGATTATCGAATCGATTTGATAGCGATAAGTAAGAAAATAATCTCGAATAAACAAGAGCTAAAGAAAAGAAGAAGGAAAACCAACAGCAGATGCTTCGTTGGTACAAAATTCTCGACAGCTGCCATGCGAAAAAATGTGTCACTAAGGACCAGGCAACACAAAATATTATTGGTCGAAATTGGTAGCTGGGTTATAAGTCGAGGAATTGGCAATTTTCAAGCCGGAAATCGCCAAATTAAACCTATATAATCCATTATAAAGTGGTTGGAACGCGATCGGACGCGTTTAAATACCATATACCCCTCCATCTATCAACATATTTTATCGGCATTAATTTTTGATATTTGATCCACTATAAAATAATTCAGATCTCAACTTTGAGTCCCAATTGGTCAATTATGTAACTCTCCAGTTCCCACACTTCCTGATCCCGGATAATGGCCCCTGATTTTTTCAACTGGCTCAATTCCAACCTGTCACCTTCTTTCTGTAAGCATTCGAGACACATGTAGGCTTTCCCGTAGTGCGGGAACTGTTTCCTTCTTCTTTTGATGCGCTTGATCGAGCTCAGATTCATACCGTGCTGTCTGGCAGCCACGTCCACAGGTTCCGCGACCGGCGATTCGCTCTTTCGTGCTAATCTCCGAGATTTGCGGATCACCACGTCGTCCTCCGTATCGGAAGCTGCTCTTTTACCACGCGAGCTATCGTCGTCTCCACTCACCGACTCTCGGTCGTCGTTGTTGAATTTCGAGTCCTGCTCCTGCACGGGACTTTGGTTAGGTGTGGGCAGCAGCGAGTCTTGCGATTGGTTGTATTTCTCCACCTCGTACTCGAGTTTCTTCAAAGCATCAAATTCCATCCACTTGAATGCAGGAATCGATTTGCAACCAAGACAGATAATCTCCTCTGCTTCCTCTTCAACACTCATTCTGCTCTTGCGAGTGGTGGAATTCACAGACTTGCATTCCTCGCGTGCTCGTTGCCGCTCTTTCCAATACTTCTCAGAGTCCACCACGTCCAATGTCTGAAGCACCATCTGTAGCTTGTCGTTGGACGCGCAGAGCTTGTAGTTCCGAGCAGCACCAAGATACGTGGTTAGTGAGTTCTTCACCATAGCCATGAGACTGTCCGAGTCAAACTCCATCCACCACGACGGAGTTTCGTCTTTTTGGAGCACGAAATGGTCCAGGATGTTGCGCAAAAGGTTGTAGTGATTGAACACGTTTTCCTTTCTCACCAGCTTGTACTCGTCGATGGCCTCCTTGCCGTAGTTTACCCAATACGGCATGGTGAAGTTGACGGCCTCGTTGACGTTGAAACCAGCGTTGAAACCAGCATGGTACACTTTCGGGAACGTGATCACGAACTCGTTCGGTTGCTGGTTCACATAGTAAATGCGGATCTTGGACCCAAACTTCTGTCTCACCAAAGAGGCAATCTTGTCTGGGGACAGGAGAGTCACCAACTGATGGAGCAGGTCTGGCTGTTTAGAGAAATAGTCTGGACACAGGTCATGACAAACAGTCTCGAACATATCGCAGTCAGTAGCAGGTATACCGTACCATTTTTTGGTGGCTCCCATGTGACAGTAATTGGCACTCAAGGTGTAGTGATCTTCCTTGTGCCAGCAAAAGGTAGAGAACATGGAACCGATGTATAGCCATGGAATTGTCATTCCGGAAATCTGGTCTCTTTCGTTCATGTAATTCAACAACGACCCTTTTGCAAACGGCAGGTTCATCAAATTCAAAGGATGGTCCATATAACCTTCGTATTCCTTCTTATAAGAATGAGTTCTTGTCGGGAACCCAGATATTTCTCCTGGTCCATCGTTGTGGATATCCGCCCCATACCGAACTTCAAAGTCCTCGTCGTCCTCGTCTTCGGTGTTGACGAGTCGCCAGAACTCCTTCTCAATAGCGTCGATCGAAGGATTCATATTCCCGCCAAACATTTTCTTGCAATACTCCTCCTTCAGCTCGTTGCATTCCTGAGCAAATTCCCGAATAGTGTAGATGGAATCAAAGTCCTCCTCAAACCCATAGTCACCGTTTGTGCCCTTGAGACATTCCTCACAGAACCAGTCGTTGGAGGGAACCTCGTTCAGAACAGGTGTGAGACACTTCATATGGTAATTCCTGTTGCAATCATCGCAAATGAGTATTGTTTCTGGATGGTCGGCAAGCCCGCACTTTTCGCAGCCGTTGCTCTGTTTCTTTTGAACAAGCTCGGCGACCCGCGAGTCCAAAGTCGCTGTCTGCTGGCCCTGCGATTCCTTGTCTTTCAAAAACCGAATGTATTCCAGCAAATCGGTGTAAAGGGACCGGTCAAGTTTTCCACCGTAAAATGGCAACTGGTTGTCCACATAGAGATCATAAAGATGAACGGTAACAGTAGAAGAGCCATCTTTCAGCTCAACATAACCCGTCTCCATCATGTCCTTCCCCTTCATTTGTAGATAGTTGTTAAATCCGCTAAGCCAGAACTGCCTGGATCTATTGGTCAAACTCAACTCGCTCAGAGTTTGAAGCCGGGTGTGGAACTTAAACGTATCTGGATCAAGTGCAAAAGGAGCGTTCCAGCCATGTGGAGGTTTCAATTTAAGGATCCCATACTGTTCACCAAGCTTGATGATTTCCCTGCTATTGAGATATTTGATAGGGTTGGAAAACTCCTCCTCGGTAGGATATAAAGTAGGTGCTTCTGTCGGATGAAACATGACCAAACGTATATCAAGCAGTAGTAGAGCCCGTTGTCATGTATCTGGCAAAAGTCAAAGTATCTAGAAAGCACCGGTTCGAACCACTTTTATTAATATCTTGGTATGTAAACCCCTGCACCGTCTGCTGGCTTTTCCCTTCTGTACGTCATTTAAGCTGAACTTGGAATTTTGCAGGCTGTGCAGCTGTTCCATTGCAAGGAAGACAAGAAAAAAAAAACGACAACCCTGCAGTAGTCTGTGCACGGATGTTCATTAGTGAAAACATAGCGATTTGACTAGATTTAGCTGTCTTTTCTTTGAAAATTAAAAGTTGTTATAACGGCCCCGCCATGGAGGACATTGACGACGAAAAGTTCCAGAAAAAGCCGAACCGGAGTCGCGACTGGCGGGAGAATGCCATAAATCTGTGGAAACGGTTCAAGCTTAGGCTTTATCGCAGAGATAGGCCAACCATAATTAGGTTACTTGGCATTTCATTATTAGTTACCATACTATTATTCTGGCTCTTATCTCCAGGTGCCACTCCTGGTTCACGCAAATCCACACAGAGACGACTTCGCAATCATTTCGATCTCTCCAGAAAGAAGTACCATGATAATCTTAACATGAAGCTGGCAAATAACCACGAGAACATTGGGTTTGGTCTGGCCACGAATCGGAAAAACCACAAAACCCCAGGAGTTGCCCCGATTCCATCACTTCCTGGTATCTTTGCTGACGACGATAGCCAGATTGAGCGGAAGAAAACCCTCACCAACAGCAAGAAGAACAAGTCGCTGCTCCAGAAATTGGGGCTCTCCAGACAAAAACGGAAAATATATGTCATTTTGGGCCATTCACCAGAGGTTGGTATCAAGCATCAAAAGTCCAAAGAGTATTGGCTAATGGAGAAACTGTCTCTTTTGAACAAAAAACATTACTGTGAAAAGCATAACTACGAACTTATAGTGGTGAACGCGCTGGACGACGATATCGGGCTGTACCAGAAACGGTATCAGCACGAGTTTAGAGAAGGATGGGAGAAGTTTGATATTCTTCGCAGGCTCATGAAGCGGACGTCTGATGACGGGTCATCTGACGTGGAAGAGTGGTTTTGGTACTTGGACATCCATACGCTAATTATGCAGCCCGAACTGTCGCTTGAGCAAGTGGTTTTCAAGAATCTGGACTATATTTATAGAGATTTGAGGTACTTCAACCCAAATAACCTGGTGGTTGATGAGGATCTGAACCATTTCACATTGGGAACTTCATTGAGAGAAACTACAGACATCAACAGTGTGGACCTAATCTTGACACAGGACTGCAACGGGATCAATTTGAACTCTTTCTTCGTCCGTAAGAGTGACTGGACCAACTTGTTACTGGATGTGATCTGGGACCCGGTGTTCTACAAGCAGATGCATGTCAAATGGGTGAAGCAAGGAAACGAGAAAAAGTACGGGTTCAGACTCAGCACGGACGAATATGATTCGAACTCGTACAACAACGATGTCGAGGAGAAGAATTGCTTGGAATACCTGTTCAACACACAATCTTGGATCAGAGCCAAGATTGGATTTATGCCTATCAAGGCATTCAACTCTCTTTCGCAAGATTACTGCGTGGTCGAGCCGGATGACCACGAGGAAGAGTACGAATCCCTGCTTTCGGTCGAGGCCGGTGAGGACCCGAAGTTCGATCTGGCCAAGTCCAACCTGTTGAAGAACCAACACTTCCACTATTCTCCAGAAGACCGCGACTTCGTGGTGAACTTTATGAACTGCGAGAAACACCACAATTGTTGGGACAGATTCCAGGAGTTCAGCGACATCTACGAAGACCTGCACAAGAGCTGGGTATCCAGACTATTCTCGTTGTAATTATAGACTTAGACGGAATTGAAATTTCTTTAGCGGTGTGAGGCGGGGCTCAGATCAGTAGCGAAAAAACGCGGTTGAAAATCCTTTGTTAGATCAAACGATGGCTATTCTTTCATCCAACCTTGTCAATACACTTAGAATCGCATTCCATGGAGTGGTGGCATACTTATTGCTCACTTCGCCGAAATCTGTTCTGGAATATGACGGATTGATCATTTTGTCCTCGTCTATGAACATTCCCTTACTAATGACCACTGAGGGCTCATCATTATACGGTTCGCTGGCACTTTTGGTCTTTTTCCTTGGTCTCAACGACCTGGTTCCTCTGCTGGATGGTAACTACAATTACTTTGAGGCTGCTCTGCCAACAAGACTGCTGGCGTACTTTGGCTTGATATTCTACTGCTACATGGGAGGAAACCCAATCATCAACAATTCGCTAGTGTTTGGTTACTGTTTCATGGAGATCTGGTTCTCTGTGCTGATTTTCAGCTCGGTGAGAGAGGAGAAGCTTAACAGAATCAAAGAAGAAGAGAAAAAAGTGCTCGATCTTAAGGAGAAGTACGAAAGAGGTGAACTTAGCGAAGAACAGCAGGAGAAAATTACCAGAGACATCCACGAGGTGGAAATGAAGAAGATTATGATGGAATTCGAAGAGAAATAATACAGCTGACTCCTGTGGGCTCATTTCTTACCGAGACGAGCAGCAATGTTGGTAGCTTCCTCAACAGCACGACTCACTCCGCTTCTGACGTTCTTGTCCTCCATCACCAGCAATCCACCGATCGTGGTTCCACCCGGAGTGCAAGTGGCCAGCTTCAATGCACCTGGGTGCTGACCTGTCTCGGAAACCATCTTGGCAGTGCCTTCCATCACCTTGGCAGCACACTCCAAAGCAACAGCAGAAGGAATACCCATTCTAATACCTCCCTCGGCAAGAGCCTCCATGAACAGCAGGGAGAAAGCAACACCGGAACCAACCAAGGCGGTGGCAGCGTCCTGGTTTCTTTCAGGCAACTTGATGGCGGTTCCAACACCACCAACCAAGTTCATCACGAGGTCCTCGTGTTCTTGACACTCCTCGGAGAAAGAGACCACAGCGATACCAGCACCGAACTTGGCAGGGGTGTTTGTCATGACACGGGCGATTTTGCGGGCGTTGGAGGACCATCCGCTCAATTGTTCAATAGACCATCCTGCAAGCAGAGAGATAACGATCTGGTCGCCGGTCAATTTGCTCGAGACCTGGTTGTAGATTTGCTCACAGAGGAAAGGCTTGCAACCGAGTATGAGGATGTTTGCTTCGCCAACCGCCTTGGCGTTATTGGCTGGTCCGAACGAAGTTTCGATTTGCTCGCCATAGGTTTCCTTTAATTTCAAAGCTGATTTTTCAGAGTTTGTGCAACAAACGATTCTGGAAGGATATGGCTCGAACTTGGTTTTCAACATTGCAGATAGCATTGCAGTACCAATGGTTCCACAACCAAGAATGGTGATAGTGTAGTTTTCGAGCGACATGTCAAGTTCTAGGACTGATAGCTTATAAGGTTAAAAATTTAGATCACCCGAATTTTGGGCAACCTTATCCCGTGCAAGGGTGCATTTATTGTGCTATAAAGTTTTATGACCCCCAGATTAAATGGGATAAATATTAAAGCTTTAAAAGAAGGCAATTAACAAAGATCGATCAATCGCATCAAAGAGCAATTTTTAGAATAGCGCTTTGCCCAGTGACAATCGATTTAATACTTGTGTTTTCTTTACAGCTGATTGAGTGAGAAAAAGAGCTTAATATTTGGATATTTGGTTTCAATTCTCTTATCTACCGAAATGACTAGTCTATACTTAAGATCTACATTCAGCTCTCTCAGAGAGTATCTGACACCTATCAACCATACTTCAACATTCACTGAGACTGGAGAGATTACTCCGGAGGAGTTTGTTGCTGCTGGAGACTATTTGGTTTATAAATTCCCAACGTGGCAATGGTCTCCCGCCCCTGAGTCTAAGAAACGCGATTTTCTTCCTGATGACAAACAGTTTCTAGTCACCAGACGTGTCCCCTCGTACGTGAGAGCGAGCGATTACGAGGTTCCTGCCAAGGTGCCGGATTTCACAGAGGAGGACGACTGGACAAACACAAACCTTGACACCGTTCATCCGACCCGGTGTGGTCCTGAGGACGAGCGGCGACATTCTATCAAGTACGTGGAGCTGACAGAAAGCGGCGTCTCGGGCCCCAAGGACGAGCAAACAGAGGAGCACGAAGGGTCTGGTGCGCATGAAATTAATGATATTGACGAGCTGATCGACGAGACCGCAGAGGAGGCGGAGACTTCGCAGGACAGACACCAGGAGGAGATCGTGAACGACCCGCGTAAGCGCAGCTATGACCTGTACATCACGTACTCCACGTCGTACCGGGTGCCAAAGATGTATCTTGTTGGGTTCAATTCCAATGGTGTTCCGCTGTCGCCAAACGAGATGTTTGAGGACATTGCTAGCGATTACAGACAGAAGACAGTAACCATCGAGAAGGCTCCGTTTTTGTCCAACACGACGTCTGTGTCGATCCATCCGTGCCGACACGCCAACGTGATGAGAGTGCTGATGAAACGGGCCGCGCACGCAGCACATGCCAAGAAGATCAAGGACAAGCAGCTGGTGAGCGGCGTGGCCAAGCTGGGACTTGCGGACGGCCACGACGAGGATGAGGACGAGTGGGAGAACGTCGACCAGGGCGAGGAGGGCATTGTTCGCGTGGACCAATATCTTGTGATCTTCCTCAAGTTTATTGCGAGCGTAACCCCTGGAATTGAGTACGATTATACCATGGATGCATTTTAAGTAACTAATTGATTCTAAGCTATTTCCATTTGGCCCCAAATCTTGATGCTTTTGTCCACGTTACCTGTGATGAGTCGCAGGCCGCTGTGGTCGAACTGGGAGCACAGAATGCCCTTTTCTCCTTCCAAAGACCCGGGAACCGCGATGTTGGTTCCCTGCTGGAAGATTTCACCCGATTGCCAGTCCCAGAACGCGAACTTACCATTGTCACAGCCGCCGAACATGACTCCGTCTGCGTTGGTGGCCAGAGTGTTGATGATTGTGTTTCCATGCTCGATCTTGTTGGTTTCGAAGAACTCCACGTTTTGCAGGTAAGAACAGTCTGGGAGCTGGAATTTCTTGATTCCGTCCGAGGACGCGGTGATCAGCTGCTCGTTCTCTGCCCCCAGAGCAAAAGACCGCACCGATTTCGAGTGGTAGGTAAGCGTTTTGTCGCACTTCCCGGCAATCAGGTCCCAGGTCTTGACGGTGGAGTCCATCGACGAACTGATCACCTGCGGGTTTGTGGCACGCGCCCTGACCTGGTTGACGCTGGACTTGTGGCCCGGGAACGTGTAGACGGCCGTTTTCGTTCTGATATCCCAAACACGAACGCTGGAGTCACGGCCACCCGTGACTATGAGGTCGAGCGTTGGATGCACGTCGATCGAGTACACCGAGCTGAGATGGCCATGGTAGTCTCTGATGATGGCGTTTTTCTCCAGGTCCCAGCACTTGACGGTTTTGTCCTCGGAACAGGTGAACATGTACGGATGTCTGTCCGAGACGACGATTCCTCGCACAGCCATGATGTGACCCGTGAGCGTGAGGTCGAGACGCGAGGCGGCAAGGTTCCAGATCTTGATTGTGCTGTCAGCAGAGCCTGTGGCAAAGTACTTGTTGAACGGGTCGAACGCGACGGAGGTGACCTGGCCCGTGTGGCCCAAAAGCACCTTGTTCAGCTTCCATTTCTTGTGGTTGTGGCCATGTTTCGGCGTGTTGCCCAGCAACGGCACGAGGGCGGAGTTGGTCAGCTCATCTTTGGAGAGAGTGCTGTTCGACAGAACGAGCGCGGAGTCGGACGACGACACAAGCGGTTGCGCTCGCAGCTTGTCCAGAATAGACCGTTTCCCCAGCTTCGACTCGATGTGTCGCGGCAGCGGGAACGCAGACAGCTCGGTGGCCCGAATGGTCTTGGAATACTCGTCGTCAATGGACAGATCCAGCGAATCAGAGTACAGCCGTCTGCTGAGATCCTGGATCTCCTGATAAGACGAGGCCATAACTGCAGGAGAAAAAGATAATCAATTTTTTTTTTTTAATTTTTTCACTATAAAAATTTAATTACTAATATGGAGAACGAGGAGCCCGAGTATTTGAATCTCCAGGAGGTCGACGAGGTGGTCGAGGACGACGACTCGAACCCTCCAATGGACGAGGACGAGATGGACGAGGACGATGAGCCGTTAGAAATCGACCTGAGCAACAACTCCCAAGGCTACTTTGAGGACCACCAGGACTCCATCTTTGTGGTGGCGACACACCCCACTGTGCCGCTCGTGATGACCGGTGGAGGAGACAACGTGTCGTACTTGTGGACTTCGCACACCAACCCAACGAAACTGGTGGCCAAGCTCGACGGCTACACAGAGTCTGTGGTTGCTGCTGGCTTCACCAGCGACGGGTCATACCTGGTTTCCGGAGACATGACGGGCAAGGTGCTTGTGCACAAGGCGTCCAAGAAGTTCCAGGTCTGGTCGTTGTACGGAACTTTGGAGGACGTGGAGGAAATCACCTGGTTGCAGGTGCATCCTAAACAGAACGTTTTCGCATTTGGAGCTTCAGACGGATCTGTCTGGGTTTACCAAATAGAGCCAACTTTGGAGGTGATTTTCACTGGATTCTCGCATTCGATGGAGTGTACGAACGGTCTGTTTGTGAACTGCGACAACCTGGACGAGCTGAAACTCGTTACCATCTCGGAAGACGGCTCCATCATTGGATGGAATTGTTTCACACAGACACAGGATTACAAGATAGACGCACAGAACGGACTCAAGGGAGTGATCACTCCGTGGGTGTCGATTGACGCAGATCCTCACAGCAAGGCGTTGGCCATTGGATCCAGAGACTCTCAGTTGGTCATAATAAACAGCGAAACGGGAGCCATTCTCACCAGCTTGCGTGTGCTGGAGTTGCAGGAAGGCCAGGACGTTTACGACATCTCCATTGAGAGTATCAGCTGGTGCAAGTCTCCTAGTCTAGCACTGATGGCCCTTGGATTGGTTTCTGGAGACGTTTACATTTTCGACACCAAAACATGGAAGGTCAGACGTACGCTCAAATGCTCCGAGTCGGTGACCAAGCTCCGGTTCCTGGACAACTCCCCAGTGCTGCTAGGAGCATCGATGGACGGAAAGGTGTACAAATGGGACGCTAGAACCGGCGAGCTGTTGGACTCTTTCGTCGGCCACCATATGGGAGTGTTGGACTTTGCGTTGGACAACTCAAAGACACGTTTGATTACCGCGGGAGACGAGGGAGTCTCGCTAGTTTTTGCATTATAGTCGTGGACAAAATATACCTAGTTTTGTAACAGCTTGAGCTTCTTGTCGAGCTGCTTGTCGACAATGTTCTCCACAAGCTTCTGTAGAGCACTGCCACTGCTGAGGAGGTTGGCCTCGACCTGTCTCTCGATCAGCTTGCCCATGAGGTCGACCTCGATGTTAACGGTATCTCCGATCTTTTTCAGGGGCAGAACAACTTTTTGCTGGGTGTAAGCCACCATCATGATCTTGAACCGGGCCTGGGTGTAGTCGACGTCAATGACGGTCAGACTTGTTCCGTCGATACAGATGAAGCCTTTTTGGACGATGTAGTTCATCAGTTCCTTGTCTCTGAGTTCGAAACCGAACTGGATGCTATCTCCGTCAGGTTCGCGAGAGACGATCTTGGCAATGGTGTCAACGTGACCTTGGACCATATGGCCTCCGAAACGGACCTCGCCTGACACAGCTCTCTCGAGATTGACCTTGGTGCCCTTGGCGAGGCTGCCAATGTTGGTCTTGCGCAAAGTTTCCTGGGACACCCCGACTTTGAAGGTGGAATCAGAAAACTCCGTCACTGTCAAACAGATGCCATTGACAGCAATGGAGTCGCCCAAATGACAATCGCCGAGGATAGACGCAGCGTTGGAGATGACAATGTCGAGGTCGCCGTGCTGGCCAACCTCCTCAACCTCGTGGATAACACCCACGGTCTCGACGATACCGGTGAACATGATTAAGAGTAAATCGCTAAAAAAGAAAATTACGTAAGTGCGGTTCAACTCAAATAATAAGAGACAGGCTATCGAAATTTTTCTTGAAAAATAACGGCACTAACAACAGTTTAACCAATTCGTTTGTAGTTTCGGTGAGGACACTGGAGCCTCAAACGAACTGAAAGTTTTGGGATTTATCACCACACACGTCGAATCGCCCGAAGGGGAGATTTTCCTGTGGCGTGCTGTGGTAAACGATTCCCATAGATCGACGGTCAATTGCAGAGGTCGAGACTCGCAAATCGCTCACGAGCCCTGACCTTTGAATATTGCCTACATGGATTTTCGTTTGAAGCCCGCCTGTTTCGAATGGGAATGGTAGAAAAATTTAATTTAATTTAACGGGTAGATAACCTTAGTTGCATCATCATTGAAACAGTTTGGAAAAAATTTACATAGTACATATGTGGTGTAAGGGTTTTCTCATGTATCCCTGCCTAGTAGAGTGCAAAAGCCAGCTGGCCAGGTAAAATAAATGGGCTCTTGTTCTATACGTGTAAGATAACTGGTATTAGATTTTCATTCTTGATCTAATTTGGGACTGGTACTGGCCTCTACTATTGGAGAGAGTGATATCTAGGTTTCAAAGGACCCCGCATCGAACTTGCTACCCATTAGACAGATGAGTTCTGATATCTTTGTTCGAAGTGGATCCATAGGTGAATCCCAACTCGGAACCGCTAACAAGCGGTCTCGCAAGGACAAATTCAAGCCCAAATCCAGGAACAGCAGCAGGTCCAGCTTTGGTCTGGAGTATGGGGACTATTTGGAAAGTGTACATAAGAATTCGTTTTGGAAACAGGTTGGCAGATGGAGACGACACAAATATGTAAAGATCGCCATTCCATTTCTCTATCTGGTGACGTTCATTCTGGTTCTACAGAACTTCAACACAGAGTCCGACGAGGGTGCGGACGTTGGCCACAGATCTGGCTCGTGGAGTTTGCCTACTGTTCATGACTATTTTACAAAGAAATCTGCCAAGCCAGATGCTAAAAATGAGCTGTTGGAGGAGAACAAAGGTTCCGAAAATAAACTGCTGGACTTCAAATACACCGCAGACGTTGCTGTTCTCCCTAATTCTCCCTACAAGCATGCCAGAGAAACGTCTGATATCCGCGCCACAAGAACAATCTATTACGAGGCGATTAGACAACATCTGGAACAATTACAAGACAATCCCAAGGCAGCATTGCCTGAATTCGATTTTCACTGGAAAGACTGGATTGATATGCAAGATCTGATTCCTTTGTTGGAGCAGAAACCCAGCTGTTTTGTGGCCGGAGTGCTAGGGTCCAACGTTCGGACCCCTTGGCCCGGTTGCGTAGATCTCAACAATAAGGAGGAAGGCGAGCTCAATTTCTACTTCGAAGGCCCTGCAGTGGACTACGAGTCGGAATACAGACTGAGTCTTCGAGGCAAAACGTATCTGTTTGCCTCTGCACCTCCTCCAAACAAGCTCATCTTCCTTGCCGGTGATCTGGCTTTTATGGTGAAAGTGGCAGCAAAAAGAGATATTGTGAAATCCGGAATGTTGGAGAGTTACATCAAGTCGCAAATGGTGAGACATGATCTGACTTACCAAGAGGTGGTCAGCTCGCCAGTTTCCTCGTTCGACACTTTGGCCGAGATCAGCCGGATCCTGGGTCGGGATTTTGTTGATGCCAGTTCAATGGGGGCCAACAAGACAGAATTGAAAATCAACCAATTCGAGTTCCCTCCAAACAAGAAAAGATCCAAGGCAGCAGCAGCAGCTTTCACTGCCCAGCAAAACCATTATCATAACGTGCTTCTTCGAGAAAAAGAAGGAGCCGTCGGAGAGAAGAAATACGACTGGCGATTTTTCAGCAATCTGATCCTGCAAGAGACCGACAAAAGAAGCAACTGGCACCAGTTGATACGTGGATGGCTCCATTTTTCAGCCAACCTCGGAATCAACTCGTGGCTGTCTCTGGAGGCCCTTCTGGGGTGGCACAGAAATGGACTGCTCAGTCCGTGGGAAGAGAGTGTCCATTTCGAGGTGCCCGCAAGCGACATGGTGAAGCTTGCCGAGTCATTCAACGGATCGTTGGTGATCCAGGACGCAGCAGACGGAACTGGAGTGTTCTATATTGACGTGAATCCCTACTACATGGAACGGACAAGAGATAACAACGGTAATGCGTCTCCGGAATCTGTTGATCTAAGATTCATCGATGTGCGAACAGGTTTGTACCTCGAGGTGAACGGTCTTGCAGTCAGCAAAGACGGGCTGTCTATCCCATCGAACGTGATGGAGATGTTTACCAACGAAGGAGACGTGCTGAGTGACCTGAAACCGGACCGGACCGTTGACGGATCAAAGCGCAAGATCGTCAATAGTGGAACAGGAGTGTTCTACCACATTGGGCAGCTGTCTCCTTTGAGACGGACGCTGTTCGAAGGCCGTCTGGCGAACGTTCCGAACCGTTTCGTGTCCATTTTGGACATGTTTTACAAAGACATTATCAACATTCGGGAATTTTATGGACATAAATTTGTGGACCATTTAAGATTGTGGGTGGACAGCGAGAAATGTCAGTACGTGCCGAGCGAAGACATTGAGCTTTTCAAAAAGGGGGGTAGCAACTTCTTCGGCGCATGCCACGACTTCAACATTTGGCGCGAATACAATAGCACCAAGTCCGCAACATTGTTCAAGCTGCTGGAGGCAGAGAACGACTACAACATGGTTCTGAGCTCTATCGACGAGCTTCCTTCACTATACGACGACTACTGGGTGAACAAGCGGGAGAAGATGCTGAACGCCTTGTATAACATTCCACAACGGAAAGAAGAGCATTAAAATTTCTTGCAGAGCATTTTCGGAGCTCGGTCGTCTGACCTGTACGGCCACGTGAAGATACTAATAGAGATATAAAATTTTAGAAAAAGCACGCAAATCTATTTAAAAGTTCCTTTTATCGCCAACGACTAACCTAAATGAGCTTTGTGGTAACTGGCCATAGAGGGTATGTGTTACTGATGCGATATTAACCGGTAGATATAAAGGGATCAGTCCCGAAAATACCATTGTCGCGTTTAACGAGGCAGTGAAAAACGGGTGCACCGTTGTGGAGACCGATCTCCACATTGCTTCGGATGGCGAAGTTGTTATTTGCCACGACATCGACACCAACCGAGTGTTTGGCGAGAATTATGTGGTGACCGAGGTTCCGTACGCTGGTGTTCTATCCAAGCTACGTACCTTGCAAGCCCCACATTTGCCAATGCCAACTTTGAAAGAGGCCTTGGAATGGTGCTACGAAACCAACAAGGATCGCACTGTTCCTGTGAAGTTGATGTTGGACATCAAGTTCGACAACGATCCTGTTAGAATCGTGGACCTTTTGCTCGAAAACCTCGAGAAAGTTGGAGGCTTGGCATATTGGGAAGATAAGATTATCTATGGTCTTTGGGGGTCGTCCCATTACGACCCGCGGATTGCCAAGTTCGAGGTCATTAACATTTCGGTGGACATTGAGATGTCCAAAAAGATCGTTCTGGACGTGAAACAGAAAGGTGGTCATATTGACGGAATCTCCCTGATCTTCCTAGCTAACGGTGTTTCGTCCATGGTTCAAGAGATTGTCCATCTTTGCCAAACGGAAAAGATTAGATTGTGGCTGTGGACCGTCAACACTAGAGAGGTTGTGGAGTACTCTTTGGAGACATACAAACCTTACAAGGTTGACGGCCAGCCGTTGTTGAAAGGTTTCATCACCGACGACCCGGTGGCCCTGCTGACAACGAAAAAAGTGTCCATATCGCTCGGGTTCAAGGTGCGTATGTTCTTCCAGAAAGGTATATACCTGACGGTGCTGTTCTTTGTCCGTCGCAATTTTGGCGTTGCTCCTATTGTTAAAGTTCTGAAAACAGTGGGATTTATATAAATGGGCAATTCCAAAAATAAAGGATAGTTTTTGTTTTAATTGATTTATTTGTGATGAAGTACAAAATACAGCTGGCGTGTATGCTGGCGGCTATCGCTGTGGTTGACGCCGACATGCGCTCGTTTCTACCGGCCATTCTGAACCCGCTCGTTGTGGAAAATGGCCACCGGTTCGAGAGACCCGCCATCGAGATCCGCAACAGGTCTATGGTGTACTCCACCAACGGGTCGATTTTCCACCCGCCGAACGCCATTTCCGTGCTCCAGCACGACGCGGTTCTCGATCTCGGTCGCAAATACATACAGTCCAGCCAAAAGGATTATTTTGTGGTCCGTCTCGGGGCCATCAAAAACTCCACCTGGAACACACAGCTATACGAAGATTTCACCACCGTGATCGATAACGCCCACTATTTCCACAACTTGCTCGGGTTCACCATCGAGTCCGCATTGGACGAGCCAAATCTGCCGTTCTTCAAAGCAGCCGTCAGAGATATGAAGAGATATATGTCCCGCAACAAGATGCGACGCATACCTGTGGGACTTGAACTGAACTCCCAGCTCAACACAACAACAGATCAGTATCTCGGATGCAACACACCATACCCTGTTGATTTCTACTTCTCTCAAAACGGCCTTAGCTTCCCGACCCCTAAACAGGGGCCGTGCCCCACAAACATGTCCATCTGCACCACGACACTGCCCCACACCCCGCGATCGGCGCGCTGCGACTGTATCATGTCCGCCCTGCACTGCATGATCAACCCGGTAGTGGCAAAACAGGGGATCAACGAGCTGGACAGGTTCTGCGACACCGTTTATTGCGGGTCGATCGAAAACGACGTCACGACAGGACGATACGGCATATTTGCCAGCTGCTCCAACCTGCAAAAACATTCAATAGCACTGAACCTGTATTATACGTTCCACGGCAACCAGTCGTACTATTGCCAAGCAAACGGACTGGGCACTTTGGTGGCACACAACTATTCGATCGAAAATTACCAGCAATTGCAGGATTACAACGGCAAGTCTTGCAAGCAAGAGATCATGGACGACTGGAGTCGGTTTTTGGTTGGCCGACCTCGCAAACAAATGATTACATCAAATGAGCGGGACAACGTTAACGAGGACATTGACAACGACGACTTCGACAGAGTGCCAAACTCTGCACCCGCGCTCAAATACACAAACGGACTGAATCTGTTGCTGATGTTATTGATATTTTCTATTTGACAATACTCGTTTCGTTTCGTTTCGAATCATTCCTTCTTGTTTCCCCACTTGACACCCAAAAAGCCCGACTCTCCCATAAGACCGAGTCTTTTATGCGCAGAGGATGATTTCGGACCACCAACGAGGTAGAACCGCTTTTCTCCCTTGACATCCATCGACACGTACAAAAGCTCCTGCTCAACGAAATTTTCCTCCAAGGCTTCGAGCTGCACAACGGCAATCTTATAGTCGCTTTCCACAAAGAATCTCATCAGCATGTGTTCCTTCTTGTCCTTGGCAATGAACTTGGTTGCTTGGATTGGTCTGTTTCTGGTCCACTTGTCGTTTGGAGTGTTACCGTAAGCCTTCAATCTGATGTGCTTTCCACCGTCGATTTCCTCTTTGGAGTAACCGAGCAATTTCAAGGCCTCCTCGTTCTTCTCGATCATCGACACAACTCTGTTGAAAGTCGAGGTCTCACCAGAAGGTGAGAATAGCTCGCTGAAGACTAGGTACAATGAAACAGAAGAAAGACCAAGAGCGACTAGCACAATTGACGACGAGACCATGAACTTCGACCCGCGAGCAATCAGACGGAAAACGGAGGTCTTTGGCTTCTTTGCCTTGGGAGCGGCCGGGTCCTGGGGCTGAGAAGCGTGGGAATGGGTGTGGGAGTGAGAGTGGGAGTGAGAATGCGTGTGATCTTGATGGCTGTGGGAATGGTATCTAAGGGCTTCAAAGGACACTTTCGGTGCGGCAAGCAACGGTCTGGCGCCTGCGCGCGAAAGCTGGCGTATTCCAAGGACACAGTGACGAGACAACATGGATCACACGGGTGTGGAGTTACGGAGCTGGTAATTTTTTTACCGATTTTTTCAGTGTCGAGACTGCCGGTCAGGAACTTTGTGGTGTACGGGTGTGCATTTCATGCTCGCAAGAGCCGAGCGAGGCTTGGAGAAGAAGGGTGGCAAAGCAATCGAATAGCCGAAGATATCTGACATGGGGCTGGCTGAGCAGGTGACGGAACAGATCTTGCGTCATGCTTGCAAGCGAGATGTGTCATTAGGGCATGAGGGTCAGATGAAAAGATGGGGTGGTGACGACATGTGAGAGGTGTTGCTGCTTGCTGCCAGGGGCGCGATATATGCGCGGAACAGCCAAAAATGGCACTATTTTGGGCCCGTGGTGTAATGGTTATCACGTCATCTTCCGGAGGTGCATGGTTGCGGGTTCGAGTCCCGCCGGGCCCTGATAGTTATTTTTTTTTCCATGCTTGGGCTCAGCAGTTATTCCTTGCCTGAAGCGGGTTTGTGCCTTTCTTTTAACAACCCGAAATGTGCTATGCATGCATAATTTTTTACATAAGAGTCGGAACTACCGATAAAAATGGTAGATTGCGTCGGCAAAATACATGGATGTTGCTTTGGCGGAAACAGGTCCTGTATCGGGCATGACTGTAGACGAGTGCGTCAGGGGGTATATGTTGCTTGCGCCACCTGAAATTCGGGAAATGAGAAATTTTGTGCGTTTTTGTGCTGCAGGTGCGAGAAACCGTTGGGATGAGACATGCATGAATTGAAATAGTTTTCCCGTTAGCATCAAAATTTAGACTTTGCAAGATCATATAAGTAGGGCCGAGCTTCTACCCAGATAGAAACCTTTGGTCGATTGCTACGGAGACGAGTTCCCACGAGGAGTGACTTCAAGAACTGAACTATGCAGTTGGACGCGGAAGCGGGTCGGTCTCCGCCCAGCGACAGCGACAGTGCAAAGAAAAGAAAGCGGGCGTTGAAAGCCTGTGTCATTTGCCATCAGCGCAAAATCAAGTGCGACCTCGATTTCAAAGAAGAGGGCCAGCGCTGTACAAACTGCCATGAGCTCAACCTCGAGTGCGAGCTGTACAAGCGCAAAAAGAGAATAAAAAAGTTCCAAATCCACAAGAACCTGTCTGACCTGCTGGAAAAGACGCGGATTGAGACGCTCAATTCGGTGCGTCTTGACCCTGTGGACCTGGTGCAAAAGATCAAGCGGTCGCGCCACCAGGAGTACGTGCTCAAAAGTTTCTCCGACGCCGAAAACAAGCTTGTGTCGCGTCTATTTGACGAGTATCTGTCCAATCAACAGGTGCCAGATGTCAACGATACCATGATCCCCAATATGATTGCTCTGGGGTGCTTTAACCTGCCTCAGAAATCCGTCTGCGACAGATACGTGCAGGCGTATTTCAAAAAAGTACACCCCATAGTGCCAATTCTCAATAAGGAGAGTTTTCTGCGCGAAAACGCCAAGTATACTGCGCCTACATCGTTGCTACTGTTGCAGACGGTTCTTTACGTCGGGTCCAAGTTCGTGGATCTGGAGGCGGACGAAACAAAGGCAACACAGTCGAAAATCACAAACATACTTTACAATAGAGCCAAAGCGTTGTACGACCACGACTTTGAGCAAAACCCAACCAATGCCTTGGTGTCGATGGTGCTGTTCAGCCTGGCGTACGAGGACTACTATTTCCACACCAAGTCGCTGTACTCGTGGCTGCAACTGGCGATCTCCAAGGCCAACTCGCACGGCTTTTTCCAAAACGACATTGGAGAGTACTCGGAGCAGGAACAGTGTCAGATCCGTAAGATTGCATGGTTTCTCATTTCTAAGGACACTCTGGTGTCGATGATCATAGGAAAGCCCCGTCTGATGAAGGTGTCGGCAGTGAATATCCCACGACTGTCGTTGGACGACTTTCGGTTCGACACAGACATCCCGGACGTGATCAAACAGTACACCATAGAGCATATCAGACTGGCCGAAAAGTTCCCTGTCATCGACAAGGATCTGTTCAAAAGAACCATTAACTCGCAGACAGTGAAACAGTACGATCCGTTGATCAGATCGTGGTACGACACTCTTCCTCCCGAACTGAGCCCAGAAACACACACAGAAGCGAATCCAAACTACCATAGCTTGGCAATTTGCAGCCATTATTACTGCGCGCTCATCTCGTTGCACCATTCCAGCATTGTGCATTCCATCGCCAAGGAAAGCCACTGCGAGAAAACACCTCCCAGCCACAGGGCGTCATGGGAAACCATTTTCGAGTCCTGCGTTGCCATGGACCGAATCCTGCACCATTTAAAGCACTCGCATATACTGGCGATCTTTGCTTCGGAAGCAGTGATGTCTATGTTCTTGGTGGGGAAAGCTTTGGTCTACTTCATGAAGGCAGACGACACTCGCGTGGTAGAAACGGCACACAAAATTGCACACAACATTCTAGACGTGCTCAAAAACTATGTCAACAACTGGAACCTTGCTCAGAAGTTCTATTATGTGTTGAACAAACTGTTCCACGACAAAAACACCCAAGCAGAGCTGTTGAGTAACTATACATGCACCATCAACAGCTCCAATATAGATCTGAGCTCGATAAGACTTGAAGAAATGGACTCGGACGCAAGTGCAGAAAACTCTATTTCGGATTCAAGCTCGCATGTTTCACAGGGATCCAAGAAAATATCAATAGCCTCTTTGATGTCGGGCCCGTCCGACTTCAAGCGGGAAGACAATCAACTGTGAAACCAAAGGACAATAGCATCTGTTTTTTTTTAGCTGTATTTTTTGATGTATTTTCTATACCTGTTAGTTGAAAACAGGCACCCAATTTAAATATTTGAACCATGTAGGTTCCACAAGCACGCATTGGCCATCAGCAATCTTGGTCTTTGGAGAGTCGAACAGCTCCACAGTACCTCTTATTAGGCATTTGCGTCCGCGAAACTCCTCCACATTGGCCTTGAGAAGAACTGTGGAGTTTGGTGGCACTTTGTTGTAAAAGTTGAGTTTGAGTTGCGCAGTGACCCCTCTTTTGTTTGGCAGCTTGGGAAACCCACAAACACACAGTTCCTCGTCAATCAGTGTAGACACTATCCCGTTATGCACCTTGGTGTCTGTTCCGACAAGCTCGTCTCCAAAATGGCTGATACAGTAGAGTTGGCCCTTGTCCTTGTTGATAAACACTATGGGGTCAATGGCGATATGTTTTGGCGAGTTGAACAGGCCTTGGCCCACGTGGTACTTTCTATGTGCATTGGGAACCATATCCGAGGCATTCAAAAGCTCAAATGAACTATCTGCAGCCAATTGCTTGTACAACTTTGATCCCTTCACAGAGTCCAGGATGGCTTGCGACCTTTGATCTGTAACTTTGAGTTGTTCCTGGGAGGTGTCGGGCCATGATCTACCAAACACGGCAACTCCTGCACCAAAAGACAACGTGGACACGGCGCCTATTTTCGCGAAACGGGCAAATCTACCAACAAAAGACATACGGTAGCTGAATAGGTGTAATTTATTTCTTAATTGAACAAAAAAAAAAAAAAGGCTTTACGATAAACAAAAGCGTTGTTTTTCACTGTACATTAAAAAAAGATAGTTTGGTACGCGCCAGAACGTCTACGCGCCGTGCAAAGCAGAATTGGTAGAGAACACAACGACTTGGCGTTGCAAAGATGACAAAATCGCCAGAAGATATCGCGGTCGACGAACCGGTGGTATTAGAGCAAACCGATGGTGAGTTGGGAACAAGCACGAGTCCCGAACCAAAACCAGAACTAGAGGCCGGACCTGATCAGGAGATGGACGAGCTGATGGATATAGACAACTCCAACGACGTGAAGATCGAAAACGGAGATTCACAGCCACAACAACAAGAAGTGGATGAAAATGACATAAAACAGGAATTCCACCAAGAGACCGTTCCTTCGCCACATGAAAACGCTACAGAGACAGAGAAAACTAAAAGTCCCCTTACCCAACAGGACTCTGTTCCAAGTGACTTTATGTTCACCTCGAAACCTGAACAGGAGACAACGATCACCATGACGTCGTTAGAAAAACAAACACATACAATTGTTCTTCCTTCGTACAGCTCGTGGTTCGACATGAAGAAGGTCCATAAGATCGAGAAGGACTCGTTCCCCGAGTTCTTCAACGAATCCAACAAAAACAAGACCCCCCAGATTTATGCGAAATATAGAAACTTTATGATCAACTCATACAGACTGAATCCCAACGAATATTTATCATTCACTGCCATTAGAAGAAACCTTGTTGGAGATGCAGGTACATTACTTCGATTGCATAAGTTTCTGGACAAATGGGGGCTGATTAACTACCAGGTTGATCCCGAAACAAGACCGGTTCCTGTTGAGCCTCCGTACACGGGGGATTTCACCGTGGATTTCGACACCCCTCGGGGACTTTTCCCATTTGAAAGCTACAAGCCTCCTGTGGAGCTACCAGACCTCACCAAGTTAAAGGAACTACTTAAGTCGAGTGGTTCGCTGGAAAGCTCGAACGGAGACTCTGTGAAAAGACGCAAGATTATAAAGCCAGATATCAACAAAGGCTGGTCCGAGACAGATTTGGAGAAGCTTGTGGAAGGCGTGAAGCAGTTTCCGAACGAATGGTACAAGATTGCAGAGCATGTTGGTAACAAGACACCCGAGCAGTGTATTCTTCGGTTCTTGCAGTTCCCTATCGAGGACGAGTTTCTTGAGAAAAACAAGGAGCTTCTTGGACCTTTAAAGTACGTTCCGAACCTATCTTTTTCTCCGAACGACAACCCGATCATGTCGACATTGGCGTTTTTGACGACGTTGGTCGACTCGGACGCGGCCCATGCTGCTGCTGCGCGTGCTAACAAAGTACTGGACGACAAGACCGCTGAGAAGCTGGACAAGCCGGAGGAAGTGAAGGAGGAGAGCGAGACGGACCCGTTACAGGACGTGAAGGACGCTGCTGCCACAACGTTTGGGCTGGCGGCCGCACGGTCGCACGTGTTCGCCAACTACGAGGAAAGAGAGATGAACAAGGCGATGACCTCTGTCGTGAACAACACTCTGAAGTTGGTGGAGCTCAAGTTGGGGAAGTTGAGCAAACTAGACAAACTGATTGAGTATCAGAAGAAACAGCTGGCCAGCAAGGGCGACGAGCTGTTTTTGGACCGGCTGTCGTTTTTCAAAACGACCAACAGCGTGTCGTCGAAGCTGCTACAAGCGATTGAGATTTTGGAACAACAAGGCGATGTGGATTCCAAGGTGAAGAAGCTTGTTACGGACGCGCGCGAGTTGATTCTGAAACCTCAAAAGACGAGTCTGAACGTTCTTGGATACGAGGCCAAGGACGAAGAGCCTGGTGCGGGTGAGGAGGAGGAAGTGAAGCCTGTGAGCTACGAGACTCCGCAGTTGTATAGATACTGGTCTGGATGATGTAATAAGAACTTTTTACAAGAGATTAGTTGGTGGTGTTTCTAATTGAATGTCATTTCACTATGAAAAGTCGTATCTAGTGGACAGCAGACTGGAGAGCCTCGAGAACCTCGATTTCGACGGCGGCCTCGGCAGCAACCGACTCATCGGCAGAGGAAGCGTTTTTGTTGGCCTCAGCGAGTTGTGTTTTGATGCTTTCGGAGGAGAAGGCGTCCAATGGGAAAACCTCGACGGTGGAGACGTTCAACTTGGAGCCTGGGAGGATGCTGGCAAAGCCTCCAGAGATGAAATATTTGGAGGTGGTTCCGCTGGACTCGATGACCTCGACAACACCAGGGGCCAATTCTTCAACAAATGGAACGTGGTTGGCGAGCACACCCAATTCTCCCGACACAGCAGGCAGATTGACCTGGGCAACTTCTTTGTGGGTGAAGATGGCCTGTTTGTTAGCGGCGATGATATCGGACATGTATACTTACTTCGTGAGGGGCCACAAGGGACAGCTTCAAAACGTCAGGGTTGACTGCCTCGGCGTAAGTTCTGACACCGGCCGTGGCGAGTCTTCCTGTTCTAGCAACGGATCTGAGAGATTGTCTGAACATTATGAATTAAAATGTTTTTGTAGGTAATTTTTCGTGGCCATGGGGGAAAAACTTGATTGGACGAGAAAAAGTCGCCAGCGTTGTTAATCGTCCTTTTCGACCGACGCGTCTGTGGCACATGTAGTTTTTTTTTCCAACCGATTAGCTACACCATGTCTTCTGCGTTGAAGGACTCGGCCAACAACATCTTTGTGACAACGGCCACGATTCTTGACAAGCTCACGTACAAGCTAAGCGGGAATGCCACCAACACGGTGGTGCCGCACAATTCGAGCTCGGTGGCCCGGCCCCTCACACTTGCTCTGAAGCGGGACTTTGAGAGATACAACCAAGTGTTGGACGACCATACGCTGGACCTGAAGGAGACGGAGTTTGTGCTGCGGTATTTGAAGGCCAAGTCGGCAAAGGAGGAGGAGCGCAAGAAGATCCAACAGGAAGAGGCCCAGATGAAGAAGAAGATCGAGGAAGAGGCCGTTCGAAAGAAACAGGAGCTCGAGCAACGACAGACAGAGATGTTCAAGCAGCAGCAGTCGAAACAGGACACGGGCGACATGTTTGGGTCTGCGGACGATTTGATGAACCTGGATCTGGACAATTTCCAGTCGGACTTCCTGGATTTCGGACAGCAGTCTACAGACCAGCAGCCGCAGAACGACGACATGATGAAGGACCTGTTTGACCTTGAAGGCGAGGGCGGCAATGGTGGTGGCGAAGGCGCGATGGATTCGCTGACAGATCTGAACCTGGACTTCCTTGACCAGCCTGCACCGCCACAGCCGCAGCCGCAGCCGCAGCAGCAGCAGCAGGCACCGCCGCAGGAGGACGACAGCGGGCTGATGCCAACAGACCAGATGGAAAACCTGTTTTCGCAGTTCGACGAGCTGGTCAACAGCGGCGACTTCTAATAGCATTCGGATCAATCAAGTAATTACGCACATATGTATTATAAAACTATTTTCTGCAACAAGTTCCTTCAAAAGCGAGTCTCGAAGTGCTATCGGTGGCACTCTTGATCTCCAGGTTGGTGGCCTTTTTGGCCTCGGAGGTGGTCATGGCGTGCGAAGGCTGGATGTCTAGACCAGGGTTCTCGGTGAAGAAGTGACGAGGTCTGATCAGCAGAGTGATCGGCTCGGCAGGCATCAATGGGAAGTCTTCTGGAGCAGGGAAGTGAGAGATACCAAAGGTGTGGAAGAACAGAATGTCGGTGTTCTCAATGTTCTCGGAACCGTCGCCGATCCATTCTCTCATACCTCTGACACCGTCACCAGACCATTGTGGAACATGGTCTCCAGATGGATACAGTCTGTCGTCTTTGTATGGAACAACGTTGACCGAGTGTCTGGCCCAAGGAGCTCTCTTGGCAACAATGGAACCAGCCTGAGCCAATAGTGGTGGACATTGGGTCGAAACGATCTTGTAGGATGGGTTCTTTCCAGAGTAAGGGTTGACTTTGTTAGGGTTGAAGATATCCCAGGATCTACCGGTAGACGACTCGTAGTTCGTGAGAGAGTCCTTGACGGTCTTGAAGGTGGTTCTCTCGGAGTAGAAACCGTTACCGTACATGTTCTCTGGAGAACCGGTTGGGTATGGAGATGGCTTGGAGTCTGCGGTGGCAGCAGAGTTTCCGTCTCCGTCGACTCGAGGGTCGATTCTCAACGAGAACAAGTGCTGGTGGTTATGGGCGTTCACGTTAGGATACACTCTGGTACCCCATGGGCCGGCCTCCTCGTCGTCGCCCAAAACGTAGGTGTTCAGTATACCAGTGAGCTTGATGTCGAGTCTGATGGCTCCGTCCTGCATGAACACCCAGTACAAGCAGTACTCGTAGTTGGCAGCAGTGAAGATCTGGGAAATGACCAGCTTGGTGGCTCTGGTGACCAAAGAGGTAGCAAAGTTGTCTCTGAAGTCGGAGTGCTTGAACAACAGTCCGTCGTCCTCCTCGTGGATACAAACAGCGTTCTTGATGGTGATTGGGTCTCCTGCTCTGTCGGAAAAGTGAGCGTCCAAGTAGTGGATCACACCTTTACAGTCGCAGCCAAGAGCCAATGGGTTGGTCATGTAACCGGCACCATATTCACCGATATCCAAAGCGTGCTTTCTTTGGTGAGGGAAGTCTGGACATCCGTAAGGAACAATCATCTCGGAGAGCGACATTCTGTGGAAAATCGGTCTCACGTTGCCATGGTCGTTGTACGAAATGTCCGACAAGACAATACCTTCTCTGTAGTTGAAACCAACGTGGAACTTGAAGTTGGACCATTCCATCACGTTTCCGGTCATCTTGAAAGAAACACCTTCTGGCTGGGTCACGTTGATAGGAGGAGCTTGTGGTCTCATGGATCCAACCTTCTCTTCCATGTGCTTAGGATAGAAGTTGGCGTGCTTGTGCTTGGACACCTTTCTTCTTCTGTTTGGAATGTCGATGTAGATCACCTTCTTTTCCTCGGTGTCAACGATCGGACAGAAATCCAAAGGATGCGAGTACTGAGAGTCGTCCTCGTCGGATCTGTAGTAAACAAGGGCCTGTTGCAATCTCTTACCAACACCCCATCTCTCATCGTATCCGATGGTCCATGGGTCACAGTAAACCTTGTGCATCTCGCTGGCTGGAACACCAGACAAAACACACTGCTCAATCACAGCAGGGTCGTTTCTGATAACGTCTTCGGTGGAACACAAATCCTCAACGGTCAAAATAGGCTGAACTTGTTCAAGAGCTCTTGTCTCCAAAACAGATAAAGAGGCAATGTCAACAAGTCCCTCCTTGACACCAGGCTTGCCGGACTCCAAAATGACGTAGTAGGCAAGTCTTGGAGGCAAAGGACCGCCTTGTTCCTTCCACTGCAAAAAGGCCTTTCTTGGAGGCTCTCTCAAAGTGACAGTGTTGAAACTGATTGGCTTACCAGCAAAGTAGTTCTTGACCGTGTTGGTCACCGCCTTGATCTCGGCAGTGGACAGGGGGTCCAGCGGGTGGGCCGGCTTAGGTGGAGCAGCAGCAGCAGCAGTGGCCTGGGAAGCGATCTGACGTAGTCTATCCATTGGGTTGACCAGAGTTTTGGCGCATGCCGGCTTTTATATAGTGCGCAATGGCTGATTTTCCACTGATAACAGAATTGCCTAATCGGGGAATTAAATCCACCAGTGATTGAGATACTGTTTTCGGTAGGTGGGACCAACCAGACGAGAAACTCCGCACCGGGCGAGCCAGTGAGATACGCCATTTTACCCACCGGCCCACTACCGCGACTTTGCTGCGCAATCCCCTCCCCTATTGAGCGCATGCCAATTGACTACAAAAACTGGCACTGCGTCGATCGGCGCGTCGACACTCTCGCACCCTAGCTTACGAAAACATGGGTTGTGAAAATTTTTGTCCCAGCTATGCCTGAACCTGTTGAGTTTGACGAGTCGAAACTCGACCTTTCCGGGCTCGATTTCTCTGATCTCGAGTCCCAGTACCACGTTGAAGAGCCAGTGCACAACTACGACCAGTTTGTGATTTGCGACGGCGCGCCTGTCGCGCCAGAAGCTAAGGCTCCTGTTTTGAAGAAGGTTCTCACCAAGCTGTTTTCGCAGTGCGGCAAAGTCGTCGACATGTTTATGCCATTGGAAAACGGCCAGACAAAGGGCTACTTGATCATCGAGATGGAAAACGCCGCTGCTGCCGACAAGGCCGTCAAGCAGTTGAACGGAAAGAAATTGGACGTGAAACACAGATTGTTGGTGAACAAACTGCCAGATATGGAGAAATACGCTCTCAATGACAAGATCAGCGAGGAGTTCGTGGAACCACCCGTTCCCGAGTTCCAGAGCCATGGATACCTGCACTCGTGGCTGTTGGATCCTAACGGAAGAGAACAGTTTGTTGTTCACCACCACGACACAGTTGGTGTTTGCTGGTACAAGAAGAACCTGCAACCAGAAGACGTGATCGAGTCGAGAGCCCACTGGACGTCGGCCTCAATGCGGTTCTCGCCAAAGGGTACTTATTTGTTCTCGTTCTTCCCTGGCGGAGTGCAAGCCTGGGGAGGTGAAAAGTTTGACAGAATCCGCAGATTTGTGCATCCTGGTGTGCAACTTTTGGACTTCTCGCCAACAGAAAAGTTCTTGGTGACTCTGTCTCCGGAACCGATCAGCATCCCACCTGAAGACCACCCTGCTCGCGCCCAGTGCTTGTTCAGCGCCGATAGCGTTGGCCACAAGCTGGTGATTTGGGACCTGCAGACTGGATTACCGGTCAGAACGTTTGCATTGCCACCAAACCTCGAGAAACAGCAGTCCATGCCATGGCCGCTGATCAAATGGTCCTACAACGACAAGTACTGCGCCCGGATGGGTCCTGACGCACTGGCTATCTATGACACCACCGACGACTTTGCTCTGTTGGACAAGAAGTTGTACAAGGTGGAAGGAATCGCCGACTTTGAGTTTGCTCCTGCCGGTGTGAGACTGGCCACCACCAGAAGAAACGACGAGCCAGAGACCGTTCTGTCGTACTGGACTCCGGAAACCGTGAACCAGAGTGCTCGTGTTTCTGTGGTCCAACTTCCTTCCAAACAGGTTTTAAGAACAGTCAATCTCTTCAACGTTTCGGACGTCAAGATGAGCTGGCACAACGCTGGAAAATTCCTGTGCTGCAAGGTCGACAGACACACCAAATCCAAGAAGACGACGTTCACCAACCTGGAGCTGCTTTCTTTGAGCGAGAAAGATATTCCTGTGGAGAAGATCGAGCTGAAGGAGGTTGTGAGTGCGTTCCAATGGGAGCCGCACGGAGAACGGTTTGTGACCGTGTCGAAGCTGGACATTCCAAACCCAAACATCGCCATTCCAGACAACATTGTGTCTTTCTACGACGTGGAGGAGGCCAAGGGGTCGAAACAGGCTGTGCTGAAGAAATGGGTGTGCCTGAAGCAGGTGACCAAGACCCATGCGAACCAGATTCTGTGGTCGCCAAAGGGCCGTTTTGTTGCTGTGGGCACTGTGAACGGTACGAACGGCGAGATCGACTTCTACGACATGGACTACGACGGAGAAAAGGAAAAAGACCAGACCGCCAAGGTGGCCTCGAACCTCAAGCTGTTGAACCACCACGAGTTCAAGGGTCTTACAGGACTCGAATGGGACGCTTCTGGAAGATACCTTGCCGGATGGTCGTCCGCATGGAGACACAAGATCGAGAACGGATACAAGATCTTTGATCTTGTTGGAAACCTGTGTAAAGAAGAGCTGATTGACGGGTTCCGGGAATTCGAGTGGAGACCAAGACCAGCCTCTATTTTGAGTGCCAACGACAGAAAGAAGGTCAGAAAGAACCTGAAGGAGTACGCTGCGCAGTTCGAGGAGGCCGATGCCATGGAGGCGGACGCCGAGTTGAGAGAGCTGATTTTGAAGAGAAAGAAGCTGCTCACCGAGTGGTACACCTGGAGAAGCTCTGTTATTGCCAAGTTGAAGGAACTGAACCTGACCGAGCAACAGCACGAGACCAGAGAAGAGGTGATCGAGGAGGTGAAGGAAGAGATCTTGGAGGAGACCGAGGAAGTTGTGGAGTAAGTCTTAATAAATATATTGGTACACTAATTACTTTTGGGCCTTAGTTTTCAGCTGAAGACCATGCCAGTTTGCGATCTCGTCCTTGAGCAGCTCGTTGACCAGCCGATGCTGTTTGATCATGGACAGACCTTTGAATTTTGCACTCTCGACGTTGATGGCAAACATCGACCCGCATCCGTCAGAGATGTCTCTCACTGACAAACTGGACGGGTCCAGGGCCTCTTTCAGCTTGTTGTAAACCATCGTCTCATAGGCATCCATTCCGTCGGAAAATAGCCGGGCCCCATAGCCGCCAGATCCAAAACCAGGCGCTAACCTTCGAGAAAGCACAGATCGAAACATGGAGATAGTTTTTTTTTCAAGTTATCATTTTTTTACTTAGTAATAGAAAATCAGTGTACGGATATCAAATTAGAGTTATACAACTCTACGCATAAAATAAACGAAACTCAAAGGTTTAAGAACTGAATCCCCAGAATTGCTCAACGTTGTAAGAACCTGGTGCCTTCCACAGATCGTCGAAGGCGTTGAAGAGGATGACATCGTTTCCAACAGAAGACTTGAGCGACTTGATGGCAGTAGCCTGGTTCTCAGAAGATGGAACAGCAACACCGAAAGAGTCACCGGAGTGAGGCCATCCGGACTCAGCACACATCACAGTCTTCTTACCGTCACAGGCGCTCCAGACTCTTTGCATTTGCAACAACAACCAGTCACCAGCTCCATCAGGGTAGATGGTTCCGTCCCAGTAAGCGTGGGCACTGAAGGCAATGTAGTCGGAGTACTCACAGAGGTCTGGGTTGGCAATGATGGCAACGTGGGTATCGACGGAAACAAGGGAACCAGAGAAGCCAGAGCCGGAAAGAGCCGACTTGGCTTGGCTGATGTAGTTCTTGATGTCAGAAGGAGTAGCAGTGCCAGCGTTGACGAGCTCGTTACCAATGGAGATGGTGTCAATGTCGTCCCAGGAACCGTATTTCTCAACAGCGTTCTTGATCTCGGAAATACCGTCAGCAATGGCGTCGACGTAGTAGATACCCAAGAAGAGTTTCTGGTCGTCACCCTTGGCTTGCAGAACGTTTTCGACTTGGTTACAGTCGACACCGTAAAGTCTGATCAAACCGTAGTCAGAGAGCTTTTCCAAGTCACTCTGGACCTCGGACAAGGACTTACAAGCACCGGAGGAAGAGTAAGGAGAGTAAGTGACACCCTTGGAGCCACCGGTGAAGTCGCCAGTAGAGGTTGGCTTGGAAGCAGAAGAGCTGGAGCTGGAAGTGGAGGACTCAGAAGAGGTGGACTCTGCGCTGGTGGTGGAGGCAGGAGTGTATGAGGTGGTGGCGGTTGGGACAACTTGAGCGTTTTGGGTAGGAGTAGAGGCGGTCACGGCCGATGGGTCGGCGTGGACCAACTGGACGGTACTGGCCTCGGAGCCACCAACGGTGACAACAACGGTCTCAGTAACGTGAACAACCTCTCTCTTTGCATGTTGGTGGTGGAGGTGGGCAACTGGGTGGGCCAATCCGGTAGAAGCCAAAAGGGAAACGGCTAATGTTTGAATAATCTTGTTAGCTAACATGACGAAAGAATGAATAATAACCAAGTTATGAAGGAAAGTGTAATGAAGGAATGACTATAAGTTGGTTACTAGTTGGTTCAAATGTAGCTAAAAGAGCAATAGTGTCCTTTATATGAAAGAAATGAAAACAAATCTTTTCCGGCAGAGCTCTGAGGTATGGCCGTGGACAATGTGTAGTGTAGGAAAAGTTTTTCTTATTGTTTGGATGTTTACATTTTTCTACAAGTGCAAACCGGGCTACGTTTCAAAAGACACGACCTTACCTGAATAGGCAACAAAACATAGATCTCATTCCCGATTTGGACGTTGTGCCGATATACTATAGGTTACCCTTCAAAGTTCCGGTTGTCTAGGCCATGCGACTGCTGCAACTCATAAACGATCCTAAACGGACTCAAATTGAACGGACAATATGACAAATCGGACCCTGAAACGAGTGACTCTATTCGGATTAGGATTGTTTATTAAGGTACACTCTGCTTCGCTGCCACACTGTTTCCAATAATTTTCTTCTTGGTAGCAGTTTTGGGAAAAGTACAAACATTTGTAAATTCCCTGTTCCATTTGGGTCGGCCACCACCAACGACAGGTAGAAAATCACCTGGAAGTTCTTAAATCCTTCCACGATCGCGATGTCTTCCACCGTCTCCATAGGAAAGAACTGTTTGTTGACAATCTGCTTGCACACCGCTGGGTGTCTTTTGCTGTGATGAGTAAGACTCACTCCGATCTCCATCACCAGGTCGAAAATGCCCTTGCGCACCACGCTCGACTCGCTCTGAACACCCAAGTTGGGGATAATTGTCACGCACTCTTCCGCCTGCGAATATATCCAAACATGCGCCATATTCACCAAGTGATAGCAGGCGAAAAAAATCCCGATCTGGAGTACTCGCTCGTTCCAGCCACGGCCTCGCAAAACCCGCTCCAGATACACGTACGCCTGTGTTCTGGCGCTAAGCGTCTCGAATATCGCAATGTACAGCGCAAAAATCGCCCCCATCGTCATCATTAGGCGCAAAACAAGAAACCCTGTTTTAGATTCTCGCACAGCAGGCCGCACCGTAAATCGCACATATTTCGGTGACTTATTCTCTGGCCCTGACAATTCGCCACTAGCCGCCGGCTTCTCCTGATATATCAAGTCAGCCCGCTCGATCTCCGACGTCTTGACCTCCAAAACGTAGTCTTTCTTCATGTGACTGGTTATCGTAAAATTAAATTTTTTTTTCCCAGTATTTTTTTCCCTTTATCGTATATTATTTTTATCTGCGCCTACTTCTTCTCGATAATTCCAACAACCTCCTCGTTCTTACGGAACGCCAACAACTTCTCGCGTCGCGACCGCGAACTCATCTTGGCCGGTTCAGGCTCGTTGTTGCTGTTCAGATCCTCCAGCCTTGCACGCTCCTTCAACACCTTCATCTCCTTCACCTCTTCCTCGTGCTTGCTCTGCAACGCCTTGATCTCCGCCTCGTACTCCTGTAGCGTTTTGAAATCCTTGCCTGTTTTAGCAGCGTACTCGGCAATGTCCACAGGCAGTTTCCGCAGAAGAGCAAGCTCCACAAAATGCGGGTTCCGCCGCTCCTCAGACGCAAACTTGGCCTTGATCTGACGTCGCGTGCGGTACGGATAAAGCTGTGCAATTAATCCGAAATCCGTACCCCAGGTCGAAAGTGCCCGGTAAAACTCCGCCGTCTCGGACGCCGTCCACTTGTCAACATACTTCTTTTTCGAGTACGAACCTGAAGTGATAAGGTTCTGGTACGGGTTCTCGTCAACCACCTCTCTTGTCGAGTCGGTCCGTCCGCTGTGGCGGTCGATAATCGTGGATTCCGGATCCAAAATCAGCTGCTGGTTCTCGTCCAGCTGCAGCTGCGGCTGACGCTTGTTCTTGCGCGCGCTTTCGGGGTCTCCTGCCTCCAAAATCTTTTTGGCCTTTTCGTGTCGCTCCTTCTCCAGCTTGTCTTCCTCCTCACCCTCCAGCTGGCTCAGAGGAACGCGCATCTCCTTTGCCAGTTTCCGCCGCTTGCACCGTAGCTCGCGCTGCGCCTGTCGTCTTTTGTCTCCCTCGATCGCCAGCTCAAAGTTCTTGGATGTCTTGCCAAACGGAATCACAGGCTTGCATAGCTCCTCCAACGTAACCTTTCCGTCGTTAATCACAAAGTTCTCCAACAAATCCGCGTCGTCGTGACCTCTGACCTTGTTGGCAGCCTTGATCTCGTTAATCACCAACGAACTAGGAACATCGACCATCGTCTGGTACTCCTCCAAGGACACTTTGGTCAACACCTGTGTTTCCGGGTCCAGAATGAACTTCACCTGTTTCTCCTTCTCGGCCTTGGTCAGCGTAACTTCCTGGCGTCTCTTCTCTTCCACCAACGGATCGATCTCCTCGCGCACATCGACAGCTTTTGTGGCAGGCCCGATCTTTTTGAAATCAACAAGAACAGGAGTCTCCTTCAGAGAGTTTTTGCGCGAACCCTCGCTCGCCGTCTCGGGAATACCGATCTTTACCGGCTGTGTTTCCGGCTCGCTCACAGACGACTTGCGTCTTTCCGACGAGCCCCCTACAAAGCTCCCTTGACGACTCCGCATCCCCATGTTGTTGGAAGAGGTTCCCTGGCCCAGAGACGACAATCTTTTCTGATTCGCGTCCGTATTCTTCAATCCAGTGATCGAAGAGCGTCTCAAAGCTCCAATCGAAACGACAGATGCTCGCCGCGGCTTCAGGAAAGTCGCTGTATCATCGTTTGTCTCCTCGCCCTGTTCGTTGTTTTCAGTGACTTCGCTCTCAACCTCGGTCTTTTTCTTGACCGTCTTCGGAACAGGCGACGGACTCGTGCTGGAAAACGGTCTGGGCTTGCTGCGCTGCGTCAGTTTCGGCGTGAACCGCGTTCCCGACTTGTTGACGCTACTCATCTTGTGCTAATGGGTCTTTTTTTTTGGTACAATATTTTCTCTTGCTAGCCAGTGTAAAGATGTTACTTGTTTTGCGAGTTATACAGCTAGTACGAAGTAGATGTTCCGTGGACCACTTCTCTGAAGTTTCCGTGGAAAATGTTGCGGAAGTCTTTCCGAACGGACTTGAGGTTGATTGCAACAAGAGTCATGGTTGGTTTGGAGAAAAGGTCGTCGATTTCTTCCAAAGATCTGCCCTTGGTCTCCACCACGAAAAGCAGCTGGTAGATCCATCCCAGAGCAGCGATTCCTCCGTAGAATCCCAAAGTCAGTCCAGTGTCGGTGAACGCGTTCCACATATCGGTGAAGTTGTAGGTGATGATGAAGGCCCACAGGTACAACGAGGCACTGGTCACGGTAACACCGTACGAACGCAGGTATGTTGGGAACACCTCGGATGGAATAACCCAGGTCAGACACGAGTACGAGCCGAAGAAGCCCATGTACAAGATGATACCGGTCAGGTACAATCCGAGCGACGCAGAGCCGTTGACAGGCAGTCTGTAAGAGATACCAACAAACACCAATCCGATGAAGAATCCTGGAAGCATAGCATTGGCCCAGAACCGGCGTCCACAGTAGTCCATGCACATGATGGCTGGAATGGTACCGAGAAGCAGAGCACCTCCTCCAACAAGCGACATGAACACAGAGTTCTTCTCGTCGAATCCAATGGAAGCCATCAGGGTCGACATGTAGTACATGACAGCGTTGACACCGGTGAACTGTCCAAGGAAAATCATCACTGTGGAGTAAATGAGCGATCTGCGGGCTCTGCTGTTGGTGATGAAGTCCATCCACTTGTGTTTGCTTGAGACGTGGGCGTCCTCGAGCTCTTCTTGTTCCAAAGACTGGATCATGTCCAAGAACTCGATCTTGGAGTTAATGTCCTCGATGTTTCTAAGACGTTTCCAGATAGTGTATGCGGCTCCAAGTCTTCCCTTGTGGACAAGGTATCTTGGGGACTCTGGAAGGAAGAACATACCGGCAAACAGCAAGGTGGAGAACACGAGCGACGAACCCAGAATGTATCTCCAGGCACCGTCCAGCGAATAGAACATGGCAGCAATAGCGTATCCGAAAACTTCTCCAAGAGCAATATTGAACTGGAACAAGGAAACCAGGTTTCCTCTCACTTCGGATGGAGAACACTCACCAACGTAGGCAGGGATGATGGATTCCAAACCAACACCAAATCCAATAAAGAAACGACCGGCATACAAACCTTCAACATTTGGAGTAGCAGCACACAAAACACCTCCAATAGTGTAAGAAATACAAGCAACCATAATAGACAGTCTTCTTCCCAGAAGCTCGTTCAATGGAGAAAGACAGATACATCCACCAATAGCACCCAGAGGCATCAAAGCACTCACAAGAGATTGCTCGTGCGAGGTAACATTGAGATCTGGAACAAGAGACACCTTGGCACCGGAAATGAGCGATTGGTCAACACCAGAAAGCATGCCTCCCAAAGAGGCAAAGAAGGCAAGCATGTAAACCATGTGTTTTCTCTGGCTAAAGTTGATGGTGTAGCCAGTTCTCAACACCATACGGTCCCACAAGGAGTTTGTATCTTCTGCTTCTTTTGCGAGGAGTTCCAGCTCCTCAAAACGAGCAGTGAACTGCAAGCCCTGGTCGTCAAGGGCCTCAGCCTTTCCTGAGTCACTCACGTTGGAGTGGATTTCTTTAAGGTCTTCCATAGTTAAGTACAGTACGGATTTTCTAGCGGCAAGCCCCTGCTATATAGTGGGTCGGATTAACTTGCGAGGGGGGAGGCTTAAACGTGTTTTTTACAAGGGGAAACAATAAGGGACAATGTGTTTGATTTGCAACGCGGAGCGAACGCATCAATTGGGAAACTGGATGAATCGGGCACAGGAAAAATGACGTGTGCACGCATAGATGGCGGAAAATTTGTTTTTGGAACTAAGCAAGGTTAAAAACCTAGCTCATCGTAGGGTTTTTCCGTTGGCACCGGATAAATTTCAGAATCTACAACAGGATTCGTTCATAAAGCTCGTCGATTGCCACGACTGCCAGTGCCCAAGACAACCCTTCCGTTTGCCCAATTTGTCTTGTTGGCCCAGCAAACATGCAATCGAAAGCTCTATTGTTTCTCCGCCGTCGGGGTTGTGGAGTGGAACGGGGGGTGAACAATAGGAAAAACCAGTTTTCTGAGAAACACCTTACACCGCACGTACAAAACAGGACTACAATAGCACAAAACCCGCGGTGCTTGGTAGTCACATTAGGGCCATGCACATCAGCCTCGACTTACGGGGTAAATAGAGTTTCGCTTACAGCGTGTATACAGTCGGAATATCTAGTTCGGACACCGGCTCAGATCAGAGTGTAGGATCCCCCAACGGTGATGTCTGCTCCTGTCATGTATGACGAGGCATCGCTGGACAAGAACACATAGATGCCCTTCAGCTCGTACGGAGCACTGACCCGCTTACCAGGGATCTGGCTCATCCAGAACCGGCGGTACTCCTCAGGGTGCTGGTCTAGAATGTCTGTCTCGATGTAGCCGGGAGAAACACAGTTGACCCTGGCGAAATCGACCCACTCAACCGCCAAACACTGTGCCAGTTTAACCAACCCGGCCTTACTGGCGTTGTACGGAGCCTGTTTCTGCGGGAAGTTGACGACGCTAGCCGACACAGACGCGGTAAAGACAATTCTGCCTTGGTCCAAGATGCCTGCGGCAACCTGTTTCTTAAACGAATTGGCGGCAGCCTGGGCCGTGAAATACGCCCCGTCCAGATTAACCGCCATCATCTTCCGATACGCGTCCTCTGGGTAGTCCTCAGCAGGGTACTCCTCGCAAATACCGGCGTTCGGGACCACAATGTCGAGTCTTCCAAAGTCCTTGACGACGGCCTCAATCAGGTCCTCATTGGCCTGTTTCGATGAAACATTGCACTGGTACGCCTTGTAGGAGACGCCCAGGTCGCTGAAAGTTTTTGCAACCTCCTCCATATGTTTCGAATTCGAGGAGTTGTAGGTGATGGCCACAGAGGACCCTGCCTCTGCAAGCCCAATGGCAGCAGCAAGGCCAATTCCCCGGGACCCACCGGTGATCAAAGACACGCGGTTAGCGAGAGAAAATAGCGTCTTGACGTGGGAGTTGTTGGGTTTGAACAGCATGGTGAAAAATCAGTTTGCAACATGTTTTTCAGTGTGGGGTAAGGGAAAAGGAACAGGGACTACCGGTGCGAGGTGTGGATAAATAATTACCGGCCCGTGCACAGATTTTCTGGGCAAAGGAAAAAAAACAAAAAATTGTTTAGTGGTTTTTCCCAAGATGAGTTCCACAGGTGTTGAAATCCAGCCGGCATCATCTTTCGACGAGCAGGATCAGCTGCTGATCAGACGGATCCGCCAGCAGTCGCAACTCAGTCCAGACAGCTCGCTGGAAGAGCGGATTCTGGAGAAGTTTGATCATTTTCTGGCCAAGCTGGAATCGAGAATCGAAACGTTTGAGACGTATTTCACCCAGCAAACGGGCAAGTCGAGCCACTACCACTACCATTTCTACGAAACCTTGGAGTCCATGAAGACCGCGTTCATCCAAAACAAACAAAGAAGTTTGTCGTCGCTCGGCCAAATACTGGACCGGTATTACGGCTCATTATTGAATGATATCCGAGAAACAGACTCTGGAGACTTGCACCAGAGAATTTTCACCGGACTGCAATTCCTGGACGAGAAAATCGACCAGGTCGAAAAGACGTTCAGCATTCCTTTAAGCCCGAACGAACATCTCACCGGACTGAAAGGAAAACTGTACAACTACGAAAAAGCTGTTGCTGCCGGATCAAAGAGGCTTTTACATTTTTACGAGCTTCCATTTCAATGGCGCGAAAACAAGTACATTGTGTTTGGCTACCGTTTCAACCCGTCACACACTTCTGCGCTCAAGAGTGTTGTCCAATGCCACAACGAAACAGCCAATATCTGGACGCATATTTTGGGCTCGGCTCTGATCGCATATCTAATGTTCTACCATTACCCTTCCACAGACGTTTACCAGCACTCGTCCTTCGGCGATAAGCTGGTCACCAATTTCTTTTTCGTGGCCTCCATCAAATGTCTTCTGTCTTCTGTCGTCTGGCACACGTACGACTGCATCGCAAAACTTTATCTGCGTCAAAGGTTTGCCTGTATCGACTACACAGGAATCACAGTGTTGATCACTGCCTCGATTATCACCACCGAGCATATTGCTTTGAAAGAGTACCCAGCCACGGAGCTCGGCTTCATTGCTTTCTCGTCGATTGCGGGCGTTGTGGGTGTGTTTTTCACCTGGTCCGAGTTCTTCGACAAACCAGAGTCGCGTCCCGTGAGAATTTTGTTCTTTATGTCGCTTTCGGCTCTCGGAGTGGCCGCTTTTTGCTCCTCCATCTTCCTGAGAGGTCTGACCTACTCTCTTCACCTTTACGTCCCGCTTCTTCGGAGCTTTGTCTGGTACCTTACGGGTGTCCAGTTCTACGGAACTCTGGTTCCTGAGAGATGGAGAAACGACGTTCACGTCGATGAGCACGATCTCTGCGACGAGACAATCTTGGAGCTGGAGAACTCCGGCAAGCTACAGGAGTATCTCGACAAACAGCCCGCCGTCACTGCCCAGCGCAAAAGCTGGCTGTCCATGTGGTGGGTCGACTACATTTTCAGCTCGCACCACATCTGGCACATCTTTGTGCTTCTGGGGATCCTGGGCCATTACTCGGCTCTCCTGGAGATGTTCTCTATAGTTAACTGAAATATATTTTATGCATCATGAGGAAGGCTCCACGTTGATTGGTTGCGAAGAGGAGTGTGTCGAGTAGTATGTTGCGAATTGGTCGTTGGACTGCGACTTGGGTTGCTGGCTGTGCGACTCGAGCGATGCGTGCGGCTGCAACAGTGGGGTGGTTTCGGAGCGTGCGGTGGGGGAAGAGGAGGATTGTTTCCCCACCGAGAAGACCAGGCAACAGGACGTGATGGCCGCCAGCACAAACATCCCGATGATCACTCCGACCAGTCCCGCAACAAACGGCAAATGGAGGTGGATCGGTCCATTCGACGAGTCAAGCCAGCTGGGGTCAATAGCCCGATCAACAAACACGATACCCGCAGATCCATCAATAGACAAGCCCTTGCGTAGCAACCGCACCTCGTGGTCGTTTCCTCCCTGGATACTTAGCATTGAGACGCCCGAGGTGAGCTCTCGACACGTAAGATTTGCCGAATCCAGCATTGTGGGGATAGTGTCTTCGCAATCTATCATCTTTTGTATGCTTCCAGGAGGAAGAACATGGAGCTTGGCAAAGTCTGCGAGCTTTTGGACTGAGCCACGGTCGACAGTGAAGTTTCCCAGCTGCAGCGACTTGGAAGTTGGGATGATGAACGAGTAGCCTTGGTTGACGAGCTTGTCCAGGCCGATCAATGATAAAACTTTCAAAAACTCTTCGCTATCGACAGTCGTCAACAGCTCCTGGACACCAATTTGCACAGAGCTTGGAAAAACAACAGTCTTGATAGGATGTCCGACTCCTTTATCAAACAAAACTTCTAGCTCCAAGGAAATCTCTGCTTGGGTATCGTTGATGAAAATGTCCCCATCTCGACGAAGAATTAGCTCTTCTCCCAAAATGGTGGTGACCGTTTTCTGTCCTTCAAAATCGTCGTAGATCAGACCGTTGACGATCATGTTGCCGATGACCTCCCGCAAAGTTTCTGGGTTCTCGCTCAAGTAGTCTAGTACTAGATCAAGTGTATCCCAGGCATCGGCGTTGGGCAGGAAAATAGTGTATCCAAGTCCATCGTTGCTCTTAAAGTGGAGGAAATCGAAATCCTTGAGGAACTGCAACGACTTTGCGCAGCGTAAAAACGGCGAAACAGCTGTCTCAAAAGGAAGAGGAAGAGACAGGTTGTCGTCGATGAAGTAAATGTTTGTATTGCCAACCTCAATTTTTTGAGAAGTGACCAGAACGTTGTGGTTAATCAGCACCTGATCACCATGTGTGATGATCTTGAGTTTCTGGCAATGTCCGAGAACTGAATTGGAGCAGTATTTAGAGTCCACCAGCTTGGATTCTTTAAGGTCGAGCTTTTCGCTGGAAAAATGGTACAGTAGGGTATTTTTGGATTCGGCCAGTTCAGTGGTTGGAAGCACAAATATGGTCTGGTTGAGCTCTGGATCGTCTATCAGGTCGGAGAGCTTGCGGAAATCGACCTCGTTCACTGAAGATTCCAAGTTGAGTCCCAGCAGATATTTTCTGGGAGTGAACACCGGCCGTGCGTCGTCGAATATGACCGAGTCGTACAAATGAACAATGCCATCGGAAAGAAGATAGTTTGAAAACGACGAGTTGGTGCCATCCACAACGATGTAGCTTCCCTCACCATTGGAGCTCACCTGTACCTTACGTTTGTGGAGGTTGCGAGTCTTGACGGGTGGAGACAGTCTGCCTCCGATGATTTGCGGTAGCACGAACGATGAGAGTAGCGCATTTTTGTCCTGGAGTCCGAATTCGGTATTGAGGTAGGCCAACTCGATCTCGTTCAGGTTCAGAGCCTCGTCCGACGGGAGAAGAACAGTCATGTTGGTCAGTTTGTGCGAACTGCAAAAATCGTTGGAAGCAAACAAAGTAGCAAGTGTTTGATACTCTTCGAAAACCGGGTCTGCTTCTTCTACCGATTGGAAAAACTCACACAGACTAACATGTGGCTCGAGGAAAGAGGAGATCCCCAAAACAACAGAGTTCACAGACCCTGCATGGTCCTCGCTAACCACAATCGAGTTATCGGCAAGAAACAAGTCGTCTCTATTGTCGAGCAGTATTGGCGACTGGACACCATCTTTCAGCACCGAATCCTCGAGAAAAAGCGTGTAGTATAGCTCCAATCCCCTGACTAGAGCCGAATCAACGGGTTTATCGATAAAATACCGAAGCACGGACTCCTGATCCAGTCGCACGTATAGTTGGTCTGGGTCGAAGGCCGAGTTCAAGGGGGCTAAAAACGTGATGTTTTCGAGTCCATTGACGTAATCAACAAGATCGCTTCGTTGCAGACTCAACAATAACTTGCTGAAATTGGCGTTATCTGACAAGACGTCAATTATCCTTGTTGTTGGGGGCGTGTCGTCATCGCCGTTGTTGGGGAGATCTGGCGCCAACGCAGACGCCCAGACAGCCACATAAAACAGTCCAAATACGGCCTGCCACAAGCAAATCAACATTTAGACAATCTGGCTTGTTCAATTGGAACGTTGGCTAATAGAGAGATATACTGTTTAGGTTTTAATTTAATTAAGATAACCCTCACACCACCTATATATAATTTTTCTCTAGTTTTAATCATTGATTAAAATAAAATGTCTGAGGAATTGAACGTGCAATCGAACGAGCAAGTGCTGGCCTCTGGATCTGCTGAGCAGACTGAGGAGGAGAGATTGGCTGCGTTGAAAGCAAAGGTACAGGAAATGGAGGAGGAAACCGCAAAATTGAGAGAGTTACAGCAACAAATCAACGACGAAGGAACGGACTCCAACGTCTCTATGACGGGTTCAGACTCGCATTTGGACTTTGCAGAGAGAGAGGACATTGACTCAAAGTCTGTGTTTGTTGGAAGCGTGGACTACGCATCGACGCCAGAGGAACTACACAACCACTTCCAATCGGTTGGAAATATCAATAGAATCACCATCCTTACGGACAAAGTGACGGGGAACCCAAAGGGATTTGCTTATATTGAGTTTTCAGACCCATCGTATGTTCAAAAGGCCATCGATGAGCTGAATGGCTCGGTTTTCCGTGGACGAGAACTGAAAGTCAGTGCCAAAAGAACTAACCTGCCTGGTTTTGGTGGTAGAGGTAGAGGAAGAGGCCGTGGTAGAGGCCGTGGAGGCTTCAGAGCAAGAGGAAGAGGGTTCAGAGCAAGAGGTAGAGGCGGATTCAAGCCATACTAAATGTATAACACTGTATAATATTACCAACCATTATAATTTTCCACGATTAGCAAGCTTGACAATCTTCTCCGATTCCCTTGCAGCAGTCATCCATGCACCGTGAGCACAGCCGTTCCCTTGTTCGGCCAGTGCTTCGCCGACAAACCGGACTCTTCCCCTGCCGTCGAAAATGTCCTGAGCGTCGGTCAGGGCTTCCAGGGCCTCGTCGATCAAATCGCCAACCGCACAGCCCAAATAGGAGCCTCTGGCATATGGGTCGTTATTCCACTCAGACTTCACCACGTCCTTCGCAATAGGAACCTGGGACTCTTGCAAGTTTGAGATGCTTGCCAAACCGGCACGGAAAATCGGCCAGAACTCTTCGAAAGAGTGCGTCTCGACGTATTCAGTGAGCGGGTTGGATGTGAGCGCAAGAATAACAGGCTTTCCAGTGCCTCTATTGATGTTTAGGAACAAAACCGGTAAGGTCCAGGGAGTTGGCGTTCTGTTCAGCACCGGGTCGATCTTCAAGTTGTCAAAAGTGACATTGGCGTTTGTTTGAACGGAATAAGTCATCTGCTCGTCGTTCTGAGGAATGCAGAAGAATCTATCGGCATCGGTTGGCCAGAAAGGACTGTCAAACTCGAAAAACACCTTTCCCAAGTGAGAGTAACTCAGACCCTTTAATTTGCTGGTGATTGTCTTTGGAAGTGGAGGGTTCCATTCGATATGGCCTTTCTCGCTCTTATCCTCTAGTTTCAACACGCTCAATGGAACGGAACAGATCAAATAGTCGCTGTAGAAAGACTCGACGTTTCCGGAGTAATCTCTGGTCTTCACACAGATCTTTCTTGTTTCTTCGCTGAACTCGATAGCGAAAACCACCTTCTGCAGCTTGATGTAACTGCCAACCACGTCCCTAGTGCCAACAACTTCATAAAGCTCCTCTAGCTCGTTGTCGTAAATTGTACGATATCCGTTGGTAACCATGGCGTCTCTGCCCAGATGCGCGTCGCCCGAGATCAACCGAGCACTCAAAACGTTCCACGACGAGCCGATCCACATCTCGTAGTATCTAAGCAGTTGCGGAGCCAACTTAATCTGGGTCTCGGTCAAAGTGGCTTTCTTATCTTGTAGATATCTCAAAGCAGCGTTCTTGACACTCACATCGTCGGAATGGCTGAGTTGGCCGCAAACAAATTGCAGATAGTCGCTCATCTCTTGAACAACAGGGTGCAGCTTGTGATTGTCGTCAACTATGCCCAGGTCTTTGTCATGGAAGGTGAACTTGCCGTTGTCGAAATAATACTTGACATTACCCTTTTCGATGGATTTCTTCAACAACGGATTGTACAGACAGTCGTGCATCCAGGAAGCACCCAGATCGAGCTTCAAACCAGACTCGGTCGTCACTGTGTGCAACCGACCACCGAGCCGGTCTCGTGCCTCAAGAATAATCGTGTCAATACCATTTTTGTTGAGCTCGATACTGGATTTGAGACCAGAAATGCCCGCGCCAATCACAATCGCAGAATGCATATTCGTAGACATGATGGAGGTTCTTGCGGCTAGTTAAATATCCCAAGAACTAAAAATTTAGGCGATTGCGGAGTAATAAGTCTGATCAATTATCCAAAACCAGACCACTCTATCGAAAATAAAACGGTTCGGGTTTCCTGTTTGAGAAATGACAGTCCATCTTTGTGATTTCGCGAAATACCTTTCTCTCCAGCAAGGAGCCAGATCTTCTTGACGTTTGTGGCCAGACGGCCTCCTTTAGTCAGTTCCATCAGATCCAGCTTGTCCGAGTAATAGTTCTTGGTGTTGACGATAAAATGCGAATGGTATTTTAGGGGGTCCCCAGGATACGACACAAACTTGCCCCCAAATCGTAAACCGGGCAATATAAACTGTCCGTACTGCTTCAGCTTCTTGAAAACGCAGTATGTCCGGTAGATCTCGTCCATATCCTGCTCTTGTGCACAAACGTACTCGTACAAGAGCGTTTCTTGATCTGGGGAGACGGTCGTTGTGATTGAGTTGGGCGTCTCATAAAACCCGCCGTCAGAATCGGCTGCTGTTGGGTTCGAGCAATCTGTATCAATAGCGCCAGCGAACTCAATAGCCTTCTTCTCGTACAAGTATAGAACCTCTTCTACACTCAAACGCAGGGGAACCCCCAATAACAAACTTTGTTGAGGCGCAATGGGAAGAGTACCTGTCAAGATCCCGGCAATCCCATATTTCTCGCGTAAAGAGCGTGAGTCTTCAGCGCTAAAAACAAGTGCCGAATCCCCAATAATAGATACACTGGCTGTTACCATGGTAATAATTTCCTCGTATTTATTTTCCATAGATACCCTACACCGCCTTGATGTACAAATATACCGTAATAATTTACACTAATTATCGAATTATACACGATGGAATATAATATTCCAACCAATCACTCTTCCTCAGAGCTCTCGTCCTCGTCATCATCGTCGTCATCCTCAGAACTCTCGTCGACCTCAGCGTCCTCGAATTGTTGCAACTTCTTCTTCAAGCTCTCAATCTTTTTCTCTTCACTATTGGCCTTCTTCTTCTTGCGCTGAGACTTGGAGCTCTTTCCCCTCACAATGTAGTTATATAGTTTCAGAAGAGTCTCGTTGTTAAGCTGGTCCATGTCCAACTCAATCTCTTCGTCATCTGCGAGGTCAGGAATTCCTTCCTTAATAATAGCAATCACATTCTTCAGCATCTTTTCGTTGATAGAAGCCATGGCCTCGCTGATCTCCTTCTTCATCTCATAAGTGACGTGCGTAGGATAGATACCGTTAGGCTGTGATATAGATTCTTTCCGCTTCTTTCCTCCTTTCTTTCCTCCCTTCTTTGTCTTCCGCTTTTTGAGCCATTCTTTTTTCATTTGCTCGTACTTCTCTTGTCTCATCTTTTTGAGATCTTGAGTCATACGCTCAATGTTGGCCACCAAGAAATCAATGGTTGGGTCGGTAATCGAGTCGACATCAACATTGAAATCGTCATCGTCCTCGAAATCGGAATCAAAGTCAGAAAGATTGGGTGGTGAAACAGGTGTGGATGGACGGTTTGTCCATTTTTCGTTGAAAACACTCTCCAAACGATGTCCCATAATATTAACAGCTGTTCCTTCTGGATTAAAAGCGTAACAGTTTTGGAACACAAGTCTCACATCTCTCTCGAATGCGTCCGCGTTTTCATACTCTCCGTTTTGCAACTTGCTTTGAACCGTTCCGAGATCCATCGGCTCTTTAACAACGTCAAAATAGGTCGGACAGTCAAGAGCAACTGGATCAACAGGAACCAAAAATGGGTACGAGATGGAGTCGTATTTCTTGGAGAAGAGTTCCTTGATTACCTGCTGACAGAAACGCAACTCGGCCTGGAACTTCTTCTTTCTTGGTCTGATGTCGTATGGCATGTCTTTAGGCTTTGGAGGATGGATCTCTCTTTTTGGTCTGCCGTTGTCAACAGCACTGTCTCGTCTAAGTTGTGGGACCTCGAGACCAGCGGTTGCCTTTCTTCTGGTTCCTTTTGTGGCAGAAGGTTGAGTTCCCGGAGGCAGCTCTTTAGGAGGCATGTTTAACATATGTTTTTCAAAACTGGCCTGTATGTTTCTAGCCATCTGGGAAATAGCAGATTCCTTTCCGTTGAAAGTGAAACAGTTATTCACCATCAGGTTGAAATCTTCAGTGACCTGTTCTGGGGTTTCGTAAGCATCCGCATTCAACTTCTTTTCTATGGTGGAAAGATCCATAGGTCTTTTGATGAAGTTGTAGTAGAATGGGATATTAAGCTTGACAATATCAACAGGATTGAGGAACGGAGACGCATCTTTTAAGCGTCTCACGGCCTTGACAGATGTAATGGCATGTTTCTTTTGATGGGCAGGTAGAGGATGCTCAGGCAGATTATTCATGTCTGGTTCTGCTGGAGGTTTTGGGGCTGGCTCCATCGTGGCAGGCACCATAGCCGGAGCACCAGTTTCTGGAGTGGCCTGCACAACAGTCGATGGCTGTGCGGGTTCCGTAGATTGGGGCTCGTCCAACTTGGGCTTCTTGGCATCGGGACTATCTAAAGTCTCTTGCTCCAAAGCATGTTTGCCGGGAACCTGGGGCTCTGTCGACGCCACCGACGCCACCGGGTCCTGTGGTGCGGAGGGAGTCACCTGCTCTACCTTGCCATTGGTTGGGATGTCAGAAACAGAAGACGTCTGGACGGTAGCACCTGTTTCTTCAAATGACATCACCTTTCACAAGCAACTTGCACTTTATCGAAATTGGCAGAAAAAGAAAATATTTCGAAACACGGCCGCGACTGAATATTTGGGAAATCGCGACATTTAAATAGCAGAAAATTTTTTTCGCCAACGAGACGACTTTGTTGTCAAAAAAAAGTTCAAATGTTAGTTTGCCCGGGTGTCACACGACCTTTGTCGATAATCAGAACGCCACCGGGGGTAAGAAAATAAAATGGTGGTGGGGGAGTAGATAACGAGTTATGTGAAAGATTTGATTATCTGCATAACAGAATGAAAACGAACAGTGGACAGGATAAAAACATCAAAGTGAGACTTTTCCCCCTCTTTCCGGGGATGGAGGCGCGCGTTTGGTAGCAAGACCGTTGGATGTGGATCTGATTAGTACAAGTCGGGCTGTGTTTGTCTGCGTTTAAGGTCGCCGTCGCCTCGTCTCCACGCACGCAGCTCCCGCATGTTGAGCTCCCCGAAACATGATTGTGTGCAGTTTTGCAGCATGGCACTCACCTCGCGTTGGTGCAGCTTGAACACCTCGTTCAACCCCAAAACGCTTCCTGCAGACATCGGCTTCCAGTTGATATTATCGCCCAGTTTACGACGCTTGGTGGACATTTCTATGGTGTTTTCGGTATAATCACGCTCGCTTCGGAGTTGTTCCACCAGATCATAGTCGTCCTCGAGGTATTTGGTTAAAATCAGGGACGTTCTTTCCAATTGCTGTGTGGTCTGGACAAAATGGAGTTGGAATAAAGGCGGTGCATCTTCTTCGCACGGCACAGGTAGTCGTCTATTCACATCAGACCAGTACGCAGCATCAAACACACACGACTCGCTTTTGTCCTTCATTGTGACCTTGGGAAGGGCTCGGCGGGCGTGTCTGGTTCCGAAAACCGGCTCCGAAACCGTTCGTTTGTGGCCAGGACGATGAATCTGAGGGGCAAGGTGATCAACACGGGTGATGTACTCTGTATTCTCGAACGGAATCAATCCGGGCTCGGAGAAATGATCCTCCATCCAAACCACCGACGAGGACGACTTGATCGAACTAGTAGCGGAAACGGTCGGAGACTCGATAAGATGCGGAGGAACAGCTTGCACTGTGTGGTCGTCAAACGAAAGCAATTGATAGTTGTGACTGGAAGGATCCGGAGTGTGCTCTGTTTTTGGAGCAACATCGTTTTCTTCTCTCAGAATGAGCAACGGGTTGATGGAAGACTGGGACGATTGCAATAGCTCAGAAGGATGCCAGTCGAACGGAGCAAGCTCCCCGGACTCGTGATTTGCAGCTCTCATCCAGTAATACGCAGCAACGCTGTCAGAAGTGGGTTCTGCGACAAACTCCATGGTCCATAGCAAATACGAACTGATGGACTACTGAATATATTAGAAAGCGATAAAATTTCTGCCACTATCAAAACGAAATTAGGTCCAGAGCCATCATCGCCCCCATGACATCGTTCCCTGTTGATTATGGTAATGGCCTTGCACCAGGGGAAAAGAAAAAAATAGCATGCGTTATCTGCACCAGATTTTCTGGAAACGGATAATTTCACAAACCAATTTGGTCCATGAACGCGATGTTTTGATGCTCGATGAACCAGAAAATACGCACGTTCAACTATAGGCTAGTAGAAAGGCCCCAAGTTCCGGTATTGTTATCCAGTTTATCGCTAATTGTGCAGAACGCTAAAAAAATAGCTTGCATAAGATGTCAAACCTGGCATTGGCTATTGTTTCGGACGTCAGTAATGCACCGCTTTATGCTGATGGATGGACGGAAACATTCTGGCTCGCTGTTCGGCATAAAATTTAGTTTGCTGTAATGTCATGCAACCGCGAGGCCTGTGCGTCGTGATGGGTCTTTTTGGAGTGTCGACGCGTCGACAGGAATCCGACTTTGACAAGAGTGAAAAATAATTAGAGTGGTTATAAACTATTAGAAAAACCTGTTAATTTGTTAGATGTTTCTCGCTTCTCGGTTTAGCGTCCGGCACGCAATTAAACCTCAATGCTGGAGACCGTTCGGGTCAGTTTCGCAACTGACAAGACAACAGGGCCTGGAACTCCGGTTTGCCACTAGTTCGCTCGTCCGGAGCGTTGGTGCCAAACCTTTACAACGCGGACCCCCCCACCGATTTTTCCACTCATTTCGGCCTATTCTTCAAGAAGCTCCCAAACCTGCGCCTGCTACGGCAAAGAAACAGCGCCATTCACAGGTGCAGATCCTCAAGGACCTGCTCTCCTACATATGGCCGAAAAACAACCCCTGGGCCAAGTTCCGCGTTGTTGTGGCTCTAGCCATGTTGATCGCAGCCAAGATCCTTAATGTGCAGGTTCCGTTTTTCTTCAAGTCTATCATCGATTCCATGAACATAGACTGGGTCTCGCAGGCGGGCGTGCTCCCCACCACCATCGGCGCAATCATCCTTGCGTACGGAGTGACCCGGTTCGGGGCCGTCTTATTTGGCGAGCTCAGAAACGCAATTTTTGCTCGTGTGGCTCAGAGTGCCATTATGGAGGTGGCACACAAAACGTTTGTGCATCTGCTCAACCTTGATCTGAACTTCCATCTGGCTCGGCAGACGGGAGGCCTCACCAGGGCCATCGACCGGGGTACCAAAGGTATTTCGTACGTTCTGACGGCAATGGTTTTTCATATCTTGCCAATTACCTTTGAGATCTCCGTCGTGTGCGGTATCCTGACATACAACTACGGTCCCTCGTTTGCCGCGGTGACTCTGCTCACCATGCTGGCGTACTCTGTGTTCACCATCAGAACCACAGCCTGGAGAACCGGGTTCCGAAGACAGGCCAACAAGGCTGACCAAAAGGCAGCCAGCGTGGCATTGGACTCGCTGATTAACTACGAGTCCGTCAAGTACTTCAACAACGAGGCGTTCCAGTCGCACAAGTACGACTCGGCCCTCAACAACTATAAGAACGCCTCCATCAAGGTTGCCACGTCGCTTGCGTTCTTGAACTCGGGCCAGAACCTGATCTTCACTTCTGCTTTGACGGCCATGATGTACATGGCGTGCCAGGGTGTGGCAGCCGGCTCGTTGACGGTCGGCGACTTGGTGTTGATCAACCAGCTCGTGTTCCAGCTGTCTGTTCCTCTCAACTTTTTGGGCTCTGTGTACCGTGAGCTGAAACAGTCGCTCTTGGACATGGAGTCGCTGTTCAACCTGCAGAAACACAACATCACCATCAAGTCCAAGCCAGACGCTCCACCGCTCAACATGCACGGCGGCGAGATCAAGTTTGAGAACGTCACTTTTGGCTACCATCCAGATCGGCCGATTTTGCGCAACTGTTCCTTCACGATCCCCGCCGGACAGAAAGTTGCCATTGTGGGGCCCTCGGGAAGCGGCAAGTCCACCATTCTGCGACTCGTGTTCCGGTTCTACGACGTGTCTGAGGGCCGTATTTTAATTGACGGCCAGGACATTAGAGATGTGGACCTGGAAAGTCTCCGGAAACATGTGGGGGTTGTTCCCCAGGATACCCCACTGTTCAACGACACAATTCTGGAAAATCTGCGGTACGGAAACCTCAACGCTTCTGACGAGGAAGTTATGTCGGTGATCGAGAAGGTGAAGCTCGACAAGTTGGTGACCGATCTGCCCGACGGCGTGGAAACCATTGTTGGTGAACGAGGCATGATGATCTCCGGAGGAGAGAAACAAAGACTCGCCATTGGAAGGCTGCTGTTGAAAGACTCTCCAATCACCTTCTTTGACGAGGCAACCTCTGCCTTGGACACCCACACCGAACAAGCCCTTTTGAAGACCATCCGTTCGGTTTTCAGAGAGAGCAACAAAACAAACGTCAGCATTGCACATAGACTCCGAACCATTGCCGACTCAGACAAGATCATTGTTCTTAGAAATGGGGAGGTGCTCGAAGAAGGAACCCACTACGGTCTGTTGGACCGCGAAACGTCTCTCTATAAAGAACTGTGGAACATCCAGGAACATCTCGACCTGGAGGGGGAGCTCGCCCAGGAGGAGGAAAAGGCTGAAATTTCCAACAAGGCCTGAGCATTGTACGAATGATGTAGTAAAATGAACTTATGGAACGGATACGATGCTGCGGGCTGTTTTGTGGGAACGGACATGCCTTTGTTTATGCTGGAAAAGTTTCCCACATACATTCTCTTGTTTTTTCCCAGCTATCAGGGCCAATCGACTGCTCGCTTGCTTTCTGGATGTGTACGCGCGCGCTCACAGGCCCAGATCGTCAACGTTCTGCTCCTATCGCGAAATTTCCCCCTGGCTCATCTGATCCTCCAAGTTCCAAAAAAGGTAATTTCATCATTATTGGGTTTTTAGCCATTCTGACTCCACCATTCGATTCTTCAACTCCTCTAGATCACAGCGCCCATGTCAATGACCTTC